AAGAAGAAAAACTCAACACGAATTCTAAATGACAGGAAATGCATGCGACACGGCATGAATCAAAGAAGAATAAAGTTAATCACGTTTCTCCTTTCTATTTTATCGATAATGATGACGAGCATTATTGTACGATATGGTTTCATTCACCTTCTACTCAAAATCTTGTCTAAACGCTTTCGTTCACTAGGTGTTAACGTCTCTGCAGGAAATTTTTGAAGAAATTGAAGATCTGATTGCCATTGATCGGGATTGAGTAATGCTTCTAAGTAAATCCCCTCGAGAGCCGATGGTTGTGCAGCTATTACATCTTTCATATACTTGATCTGCTCTTCTAACGAAGATCTTTCATGAGTTGTAACTGTTAATTGTGGTGATGATTGATATTCATCGAAGTTCTTTATATTCGAAAAGATATTGATTTGATGTTCAAATGACAAATACGTACACGTTTAGTTTCGATAAGATCGTTGAGAAGAATATAAGGATGGTTATGTAAGCGTTGCTTTGCTAGTTGAAGGAAATCATCTGATTGCGATTCTATATTATTTGTCTCTGAAGTTTTATTTGCATATATTGTATTCAAATAATCAGGTAAATCTTTTTCAATGGTACTTGCATACAACTTCATATCTTTGAAACAATCTAGCATTTCACTCAATCTATTTACTTTCATTGCTCGTTCCAGTGTCTTGGCTGTACCGGTTAGATTGTTATTCGTCGAATGCATGTTAATTTGTACAAACAGGAAAAACGCGCTTAAAAAATATATTCGATACATGCTCTGATAATGATCGTTGGAATTTTCGATCCGATATCATTTCGATCCCTTAGGGTATATTCCTCTTACGTAAGATATTATCACAACGAAAGGGAAAAGTCAACAGAATGAATAGTATTCTATGTATTCAATACAGTTTAATTGAATAAAAGTCTTCATCGTTTGTACGACAGATTGCTATTATTTTTGAATGTACACATATAAATTCAGTAAAAGAATATAACGTGGAAGAAAAATTTGCATGCTCAATCAATGCCCTCTATTTCTTGAGTAAGAAGAACAGGTAAATACATGTAAGAAAGAAAAAAGATTCGTTTGACTATTGCGTCTACATCACATTCATAACTATGGCAACAACATCTCTATGTCCCGATTGTGATAAACAAGAAGGTATCGTACCTTGTCTGGGATGTAAGAAGATTTTTTGTGTTAAACACTTTCAAACTCATCGTCAGAATCTTTCGGTTGAATTGGACAATGTCGTTACACGACGAAATACCTTACAAGAATATTATTATGAAACCATTGTTCCGACATTTGATCCAACGAAATTCGGTGCTTGGAATACAGTCGATGAATGGGAACAGAAAATGCACGAACAAGTGAGACAAACTGCAGATGAAGCAAGAAAGCAACTAGATGCATTTTCTAAACAAGCACGAAACAAGATCGAGCATCAACTGAACGCAATAACTGAAACGATTCAACAGAAAATGGAGCGAGAAAATTTTGTTGAGGAAGATATAGAACAATTAACTAATAAAATCGATCGAATTGATGAAGGAATTCAGAATAATAAGTACCATCCTCCAATTGAAGTGACTTCTGAGCCAATCGATTGGAAAACTGCGATACAAATCAAACTTATTACAGAAAATGGTACAAAACCTGAAAAACAAGAACCAATAGTTATCCCACCGCCTTCGTCTGCGGTTGCAATAACAACGAAATCGGATTATCCACGATCGCTCCAACGAAAATGCTTTACTTGTGGAACAGATACATGGCAAAAAGAATGTAAATGTTGTAGTCAAGTGTACTGTGGTTGGCATTTGAAACGACATGCTGTCAGTTCGAAAAAACATTGATTGAATCTATTTTCTCGAAAATATAAAATTTATTTTCATTGACAGAAATTTCACAGCGAAATATAGTATCAGTGATTATTGACATCAATTCCGAAACAGAGTGTAGACGTGCTGTGATGGCCGAGTGGTTAAGGCGTCTGACTTGAATCACAAAGTGTCGAGACAAGCTATCAGATGGGTTCTCCCGCGTAGGTTCGAATCCTACTCGCAGCGTTCCTTTTTTTTTCCTTTGCGTGTTCTTCCTTCTACCAATTGGTAATAATGACTCCCTGTAAGAACATCAAACAACACTAGTGCAAGCTTTATTGCTTTATTATTCAACTAGACACTATTAGGTTCATTGTATCCTGTATAAATGAAGATACAATTTCTATCTCTCTATTAAACAATGCATACTTTTAGAAATAATTTATAGTACATAGATATGAAATGTCATTGTTTTCTGCTTTAGTGTATCAACATGAAAATAAATTTGTAACTAATAGTTCTAACAAAATAGATTTATTGCAGTGTCAATGTGATTATATATCATGATAATGATATTGCATACGAAAATATTGATTTTTATGATTAATTTCCCTCTTGATTGGTGTTGTACAAAGGCAAATCTTGCTGTGACATTGAATGTCGTCTAGTAATCGATCTAATTCGAATAATCCAACATGCTGTGATGGCCGAGTGGTTAAGGCGTCTGACTTGAATCACAACGTGTCGAAACAAGTTATCAGATGGGTTCTCCCGCGTAGGTTCGAATCCTACTCGCAGCGTTCCTTTTTTCATTCCATTTTCTTCATTTTTTGGGTACAACTATTTATAGAACTCGTCGACACGAACTGTCATATTTGCCAATCATTTTGGTAAACAGTTTACCATTTACATTGTTAATATTGTAACTTTAGTTAGACTACTTTTATTGCAGAATTTTCTACTGACAACGTACGAAATGTAAACAGACGGCGATTTATATCAAAAAGACAATCAAGGATAAATTACAATGTCTGCGTTGATCAGACATATAAAAATAGTTTAAAAGGACTTATTTGATAATCGAACACCACCATATGGCTTCTTTTAGGACGGTGGCGTCTAGTTGATAGCAAAAAGATTTGTTTATACAAATTGAATGATCTCGTAATTGTTACATAAACGGACGGAGTACAACAAATAACTGAAACAAAGGTCTCATAAAATAAATAAATAAATAAATAAAACCTAATAACCTCTAGATGTCATATGTACTAATTCATCAGTCCTTAAGTTATCAACAGTTTATTACAAACTAACTGAGATGGCTAGTGTTTCCCATTTTTGTTTTATGAAAAACAAGAAGCTTTCGTTGTTTTCTACTGTCATTACTATTCGGAGTCTATTAGAATGTAAATTTCGAAAAACAATAGACTCATTTCTGAATGAAATGCCAGAAAACATTCAATCCAGACATGTCTGTCAGTCAGATCAAGCACTATTCGTATTTCACTATGTATTCATTGATACATAGAAAAGATAACTTAGAATTGTATTACACTATGTTGAAAATGTGTTGTTTTTCTTTTCGGCAAAATATTTTCAAAGTCAAAACATCATTTTTGTCATATAATTTAAAAAAGAAAGATTATTAATATAACAATAAAAATACATTTATTATTTGCTCTTTTTTTTTTCTACGCATATAACATGTTAGTCTTTTGAAGCATTGCTTGAGTCGGTAATGAAGAGTATGCTACGACTGGTGATCTTTCACTATGCTTGAGTCGTCGATGTGGTTTATCAATCTTAATACTAGATTGTGTACCCACTGTAATATGACAAGAACTACTGTTGTCTATTGATGAGTTTTGTTCAGTAATAGATTCTTGTTGCTCCGATTTTGGTAGTAGTTCTGTGGTTAAGCGTGACGATGACGAAAACGCACCGTCGCCGCCGGCAGTTGACATTCCAGTTGTTTGATGCATTTGTGAATAGTGTGAAACTGATGATCTAATCATGTAGTCACCCTGTTGAAATTTGGCATTTGAAATATTCGTGATATTTCCTGTTGGACGTCGATTGCGTAGACTATCGTTGAGTCGACAGCGGCGTCGTTTTGAATAACGGCAACAGAGTAGATCGATAAATGATGAACGGAAGTTCTTTGACATAAAACCATATAGAATCGGATTTGTACACTAAAAATAGATGACACAACAGGTCAAATCTCTTTTCGAACACTACACATACGGAATTCAGATAGGCAAAAACGTTTGCAAATGTTGTCAATATATCCATGTAAGTTTCAAAGTCATGACTAGTATTCTGCGAAAGAATAACATTTGAAATAAAAGATAATTGCATTAAAAACCAGCAAAAGGCATATGTTAAAACTACGGCTAAGATCATTCGTGTCGCACGTCGTTTACTTTTGCCGACAGATTGACCTCGCGCTCCACGTAAGAACTTCAGCATGAGTCCATAGAGAATCACAATGATTGTCAATGGAAGGGCATACAAAAACACCACAAAACCAAGCCAATAAAAGCTGGCTTCAATAGGTAGGACGTGTGGAGGTGACCTTAAAGGTGTTACATCTGTATGGTTGTAGTTGATAAGAAATGTCGTCGAGGAATTGCGCATCGGAATATAGGTCAAATTCAATGGGAAAGTTTCCGTGGGTTCAGCAGATGGTTGCAAATAATGTAGCAGGCAATACATCGATACCGGTGATCCATTTCCACCAAATCGAATCACCGTAAATAATGAACCAATAATCATCGATAGACTAACGCCAATCAACCATAAAGCTCTATGAATGGAAGAAAAACAAAGGAAGCGTGAAGCATTTCTTTTGCCTATTTGACATCGCTTGAGAAACTCGCTGACTTACATAATCCAAATTGTTGTGTTTCTCGTCGTTCGATAATTTCCAATCGAATCAATTGCATGAACGACAGCAAGGTAACGATCAACTGACATGAATACAAGCAAATAGATACTCATAAAAGCAGATAAATGATTGATGAATTGTGCTAAAATACCAAGAACAAGTGAGAAAACAATCGTTTTCTGTTTTGGGAAAATTCCAACAAAAAAGCAAAACATAATGAATGTATGTCTTTGTTCGCCTATTTACCTAATTTACAACCGAATTCAGCAAATGGCCAACGACCGAAAAAGCTGAATAGGGTCGTCGGAATACAAACAATAATGAACAATACATCAGCAAGTGCTAAATTAAATATTAATAGATTTGTTGGTGTTTGCATGCCCTTGTTAAGTCCTATGCCGATTAGTACCAATGAATTGCCAATTAATCCCAAGACAAAAAATGTACTAAATAAGCATATCTTCAGAATGCCAAGTTTTAAGTCATCATGTTCAGTGGCATCGCTATAAGAGTCCGCTCGTAGTGTACTATTCAAACTTTCGTGCAAGTTAAACTCCATTTGGTATGATTAGCATGAACGTTACACTAGATTAAATCACGTCGCTTCGATAAACATAGGTAATTGTCGAAGGAACAGTCATCGAGAGATATAGAGAACAAGAATAAACCAACGATAATAATCTAAAAGAAATAGTTTATATTGCGATGGTATCTATCATGCATTAGACGAGGTTCCTAAGTAATTATCAGAAGACAAATATCGATCTATCTGCTAAAACGACTTAATTCGCTGAAAGAATTTTTGTCTAAGAAAGAGCAGAAAGAAGAAATATCTATTTTGCTCGTCAAAAACACATGATGCACGCACTAGTAATACCATGATCTCTCGTTTTCAATAGGGCATCGTTTCCTATTCCATTAGCAAATCCAAACGCTATGATTACAATAGTCATACTGTTTAGGATAACAATGGCAGCATAGTAATAGAAGTGTTGAAAGAAATAGTGGCATGAGAGGAAAGAAAAGAAGGAAAGAAAAACTAGCAGCTCATTGTTTAGTTTCTAATACGAAAATAGAAATTTGAATATCTTAATGAGTACATAGATATTCTTCTCAGATTTACTCACAAATTGATCTATACCTGAGATGAATAAATATATGTTTGTCTAAACTATCAAGCGACAAAATGACATCTGGTTGTAGTGAATCTGTATTTATCATTAGTAACAACCAAAGAGAGAGAGAGAAGAAGAAAAAGCACAACGAGTCAAACATCAGATAGATGAAGAGGAATAATTAGGTTTTTCTGAAGTTTTTTTTTCGCCATGTATGTCTAGCTAGTTTTCATTTCGGAAGAGATAGTTGAGTGGATGATTCGTCTTTCAAGATCATCCATCTTACTTTGTTATAATCAGAAAAATCAGCACAGAAAAATAAAAAATAATTATTATTCTTCTATCTCATTATCATATTAATATAGAACATGAAATTAATTCGCTGACGTCTACCGGATGTGAAGACTTTGAAAAAAAAGGACGCGCCTAGATGTATTTTTTAAAGTTCGAATAGCAACGACTCGCTAATGAATTATCTGCACTCGAACGTCGTCAATGACGATGATGATGGAGGTTGATGGATTATGAGGGAAAAAGTTTTCCTCAGATAGACTTTCAATTACCTTCAAATGTCAACAAAGAAATCTCGAGATAACTAGATCGATGAGAACAGCTAATTTGTTTTACAGACACTTCCTAGAGGACAGGTAGAGAATTTTGTGCTAATGTTTGATTTGTTCTTCAACTAATCTATTTCTCTGCTAATCGATCGAGCTCGACATTATCAAGTTGAATAACAGTAGTAGACAAAAAGAAAAGTGATGTGTTATATATCACTCAGCCATTTTTTTTCTCGTACTCACTGATTATGTTTATATCTATTTGGACAGATTATTGGAACATACATATATACACACACGTCATTCATGCCAGAAGTTACTATTTTTCTCACTCGTATACTCCAGTCGTCATCCCTCGCTTAGCCAATTGTTCAAATAACGGACAGCTGCTCTCTATTTTCTGACATGCCGATATAAATCCATCGGTTTCTTTTTTTCTTTCGTGCTCTCTCGCTCTTTTTCTCTTTCCCTGCTGATCTCGTTTGTTTTAACATACAATGAGCTGGGACGACAATAATGTTCTTTCACATTACTCAAACTTTCCTTTTGGTAATAGAGAATCACTGTAAGAGAGAACCAGATGAGAATATCACTACTGTTGTTTAGAGACAAACTAATCGAATGAAAACAGACAATATGCTTGAAGATAGAAGAAAAAGAGAAAGATATGCGTATATATACATAGCATAATCTAACATTATGGATGCATGAAAATTTTCATCAACGATCGTTTTCATCTCCAAGATGGATACCTTCTTTAATCAATACTGTCATTCAACGATACATCGAGAATGTTTTTCAATGATTGTCTGGTTATCATTATAACTAAATAGATGAGGCTAGTAGACAAGCATCGACAACACACAAAAAAAGCATAATCTCGAATAATTTGAGATATATGTTCTATCTATAATTTCTTCGGGGCATTGACGATGTTGATTAAACGAATAGTTACTTTTTTATAGCAGCTATGAATAAGATAAGCAAATCAATCTAAAAAAAAAGAGTACTGCTTAGGATGAAGATGATGTTTCTTATTCATATTCATATGAATAGATGTTTTTGAGTTTAATTAATGAACTGAAGTAAATTGAACAAGCATGCGACAGATCTAAATGATACTTATGTGTCTTATTCGAGTAGTCTAATCAAATGGAACGGCTTGGCCCTTGTGCAATGTTTGTGCATTGAAAAGAACAAAACTTGTATAACTGAATATTTGAAAGAAGAGAGAGAATGTTTTTTTCTTCATACATAGAGACAAGAAAGAAAAGACGAATGACTCAATTTCCTTAAGCCAGAACAATTTGATTATCCTAAAACGATAAAGACAGTTCATCGGCAATACTGAGAACGATGCGCTAGTGTTTTCTTTTTTTTTCGTGCGCAAACACAGTTCCTTTGTGTGTCTCACTGCTATCGATATTCTCGAACGATACAAACGTTGAATACAGGCACGTGAGGATGAAGAATAACGACTCAGTTGTTTTTTTTTCTTTCTTCTTCTATCAGAGACAATAGTCATTTATCAGCCGTTGTGTCGTTCCATTCTTTTGCTTTTCTATTCAGATATTTGATTTGCAAAACTTACAGAATATCTTGAGAACATATTTGAAAGATTTCCAGTATTATTAATATTGATCGATCAACAAATAGAACGAGTCTATGTTGGCTCATTTGAATAAATGATCGAGTTTTCTTTTGTTAATCATGTTGTTAGAAAGAAATAACCCTTGAGTTAGTGAACAATAACAAGACAGAGAAGAGAAAAGAAAACTTCACGGTTCACGTCAGCAACAATACGAAAAAGAACGATCTTATACGAATGTTCACAGATATAGTTATGAAAACTAATCTGTTCACCATTAGCAAAATAAGAAAAACGATATCCTCTAATGGATGATGTAAGATCTTAATTCTAAGTCATGAATATTCGAGATGGATTAGTTCATGTGACAAATGAGATTACATCATTGAGCAAACTATCCAGCGATATACAGATTGTTTTTCTGTAAATTCGAGATGACAAAACGGTTTTGGCAAGATGAACGATGAGTTTGTCGATCGAATTAATTATTTCACAGAAATATTGTCGATTTTTTCATGTTAACATTAACAACATTGATTTGCATAATCGGCATATTATGATGGTCTTTTTTTATTAAATACAGACGTGTCTGGAGTTCTGTTTTGTGTTCTTGTGTGGAACGTTCAACTTAATGTAAAATTTATTTCAAGAGAAGTATGTAAATTGTCGGAATGTTTCAGAAAAATGTTGGGTAGTTGACAGCCCCCACAGACGGATTTGTTTTTTATTTAAGATGATTTTTTTTGTTGTTATGCAAAAAGCATTTGACCAAATGCTCTTGAAATACCATCCAGCTGTTGCTTTCTTTCCTTTGGTGTTCAAAGATCGAAAACAGTGAGATACACTTCATAAATCGTAGGTTCAACTAATATTTTTGTTGAGATTAACGTGAACTTAGCTGTTTTGTGAAATCAGTATGCTGATGAGTTTATAAAACATATTCTCTTTTATAATGTTGGTATTGCGTTTAGCAGAATTTCAAAAGCAGATCTCAGCGATCAACTAAAGGTCAACTTGTATAATGATTCGATAGAAAATAAAGACATTCGATTTCAGTACAACTAGCATGAATCAGATACCATTTTCAACTTTATTCTGCAAAATAATTTGTATAGCCGAAGTCTACTGTTTCGCGATATATCAACAGAATAATAAAAGTACGTCAATTGATACATTTTGGTTTCTATGAAGCTCTACCAACAAACAAACAAAATGATTCATTTCCAAGTAAACATTTTCAATTCAATCATCATCAACTAAGAAAAATAGACTGAAATAAATATCCACACAACCTGACTGATTCCCAAGAATATACTTTTTGAATCAGCGATTACCGTGATATTAGAAATGCACTTGCAGTCTTCTACTAACGTGAATCAGCTTGTGTAAAACTATCGCACACTCTTCCATGTTATACAAATGTCTTTCTATACTTTTGCATTTATACATAATTGATCAAATACAATATAAGAAATCATACAATCATTCCGATATATCGTGCAAAGTTTGCGAGAAACAGAAAAAGAAAAGTTATATCCTTAAAGGTATACAGTTAAGCGTGCAAAATGTACACCTGGATATCAAACAAATGGAATGAGAAAGAGAAAAAAAAGCCGAATCGATCTACATATACTCGAATACGATCGACGAGGAGTGTGTACAGAGCTATATAATTATATAAATGTGAAATATTTCCTGATTATTCATCATTTGACGTTGATTTTGCTTGCAAGTGTAAGATGAAGTTGCAGTGGATATTATTCTTTAGTATTTGTCTCGTTGGTTTTTCCACACCGGTGCAAGGTCTATTCAGTGGTACATCACTTCAAGATTATATTGATGGATTAGTCGACGCTGCCAAATTTAAAATACAAGGAATGGTGAGCCTTAATGACACGACGGTTGGTCGTATGTGGTCGTATTTTAAATCAAAATATGGTCGTGTTTATTCATCATTAGGTATGAAAACGTTCTTTTAAACTCTGCCTACTTAGTTGGAATGATTTCGTTTTCTAGACGACGAGAAGCAGCGTCTCCGCATATTTCGGGATCATTTAAAATATGTCTTGGAATCTAATTTGAATGCACTGCGGACGTACGAGCTCGAATTGAATGAATTTGCCGATTGGACAATCGATGAATTCAATACTTTGAAAAAAGGTTTGACCATTTCTACTGAATTACGACGTCGACTCTCCGATAGTGAGAGTGATGACAGCTATGATGAAGATTCCGTTCGGCGTAGCTTAGATAAACTGTACAAACATCACTATCATCAGCGACGATTAAAACGAAGTATGATCTACCGAAGACAGCATCAAGCTCATCTTGACAGACGTGGATTTACTGATTGGCTTTGGAATTTGATCAATGCAGGTGTTGGAAACAGTAGCAGCAGCAGTAACAACAACAACAATGCTGGCTCGTCTACAAGTTCATTCGATTGGCGCAGTAAGAACATGGTTAGTAGTGTGAAGAATCAATTGAATTGTGGATGTTGTTATGCATTTGCTACTGCTGCCGTCTTAGAAACACTTTATGCTGTCAAAACAAAATCTTCCACCGTAACTGACTTCAGTCCGCAACAAATCGCCGATTGCTCGAGCAATGGCAACAATGGTTGCAATGGTGGAAATTTTGCGCCTAGTCTTCGTTATATCTTAGGACAAGGGGGTAAGATCGCAACACTTGCTTCGTATCCCTATGCTGGAAAGAAACAATCATGTCAAACCAGTGGCCTCAATCAAGTTAATCTTGGCAACATTCAGTACGGTGCTATACCTGAAGGTGATGAAAAAGCAATGGCTAAAGCCCTTGTCGATTACGGACCAATATTCATCGGTCTTGATGCTGATTCTAAATTATTTATGTTTTACAAATCAGGTGTTTTGTCAATATCCGGTTGCCCGACTCGTCGGCAAGATATGGACCATGCGATGGTTGCTGTCGGTTATGGTTATGATAGTGCATTGAAATTGCCATATTGGATTATAAAGAACTCCTGGGCAGAAAAATGGGGTGAGAAAGGTTACTTGCGATTAGTAAAAGATCAAAGTAATATGTGTGGAGTTGCTTCCATGGCTTATTATGCAAAATTAACTTGAAAAACGTGACTAAGTTACTGATTGATTGATTTGATTCTGCTGTTCACTTATCGTGTGTTCATTTACTTCTTCTTTTTCTCATGAATAAAAAAAAACAAACACCATATCAATAATGAAAGAAAAGAACTAAAAGATAAACGAACGGTATAAATGCTACAGATCGAAAAGAAAGCTGAATCTATCGTTCACACACGAATACTAAGTAGAAAACGAACAACAGATCAGGAGTTACAATGGAACGCTGAAAAACGATCAGTTTAAGATGACCCGGGTTTATTTTGATCTGTATTCTGATGGGAATCTTTCAAAGAAAACAGGTAGTTGAGATATATTTTTTGGAAACGAAACATACTTGGTGACTCGTTGGAATTATTACTACCACCAGGTTGATTTTGATTAGCCACATTACGTCGCAAAGATTCGAGGAGCTCAGGATTACTAGCTGAGATTTCACTCGCCATGCGTTGACCTCTGTACAAATCAAACCGAGGTTTTCATGGGAAAAGAAAGTTTTTTTTTGTCGACAAAACAACATACGTTTGTAAAAGTGTTTCTAATCCAACATCACCACCTTCTTCTGAATTAAGATTCGTAACTAAATTCGCCATGCTAGAATGGAATTTATCAGATCGATTTTCACACATAAACAAGCTTACAGTCCCTGCACTTGAGGATTTTGCACAAATTGCATTGCCTACAAACATTGATATTGTCTATTTCATAAAACACAAATCATACTGAACGAACCATGTTCATCAACGATGGATTATTAAGAAATGACATCATGTCTGGTCCACCAGCACCACCCATACCACCTAATAATGAGCCAAACATCGATTGCATATTAGGTCCCTATGTGAGAAGCAACGAATAATAATCAAACTGAAATGTAAATAACAACTGTCGGATGACATACACCTACAGCTGCTCCTGGTGCAGCACCTCCTGGCGCCCCAATTAATCGATCTTCGCAAATTCGAATAGATTGTTTATAAGTCTCGCTATTCGGTTCTAAAGCATGCGCTTTTTTATATGCATCAAGCGCTTCATGAACTCTGTCTAATGAAAGATATATAACACTAAATAAACATTAATAGTGACTGCTATCATAGAGTCGAATCGATTTTTATCGACATACCCAAGTCGACCGTATGCTTTACTATAATTTGGATCGATTTCAATTGAACGAAAGCAATCAGCCAATGCTTGATCGTTATTGTTCAATTTATTATGCGCAGCAGCACTACATCAATCACGGTAAGTGTATTTCATAGAAAGTATGATAAACTCACCGATTACAATAATAAATAGCATTATTACCGTCGATTTGAATTGCGGCATTGTAAGCTTCTAAAGCTTCCTTGTACTTTTCCTGTTTGACAAAATCGTTTCCCTCATTTTTTAATTTATCCGCCTGTTGTCGCATATCATCCGTCAATGGTACGGTTACCGTCTAAAGCAAACCAGAAATGTATACCTTCGATGTAATGGCAATGCAAATCAATAAAGTTTACTGGTTGTTCTGCGACACCTAGCCAAGATGTGAAATCTATGGTATGTGGTGTGGCTGATAAATTTTCCGAGAGAAGAGTGACGAGATCTACAGTTGAATCATATTTGGACTGATCTTGTGCATTTGTCAATGAGACTTCATATGCGGTTTCGAGACATTGGGCAGCAACTAAATGTTCAGAATTATTCGTAGAGAAATCAGATGAATATTTCATTAGTTTCTATCAATTTATACCTTCCAGACTTTCGCGTCTTTCGTCATTAGAAGTCTCTGCTTGTATTTCGCTGCTGAGAAACTTCAGTATCAAATAGACCAAATGTTGTTTTTCTGTTTGTTGTTGAGACATGTCAGGTGAGAGTGAAAGTTTGTAATAAGCAAAAAAACTATACCTAACTGCTAATCAACTGTACACGAGTGTGTGTCATTCAATCAAATCGAGTGCATGGACCAATTATTGTACCACTAAGTAATGAAAGATGTCACTAAAATCTATTGCGCCTTAGGTTTTCTATCTCATAGACGGACATACGAATATACACTTGTACTACTTTCGACGATGTTTTACATTTTCGTATCTCAAACCGTTTCTCATTTGCTTTCGAATCATTTCAGTCTTCATCCTTTTTCAATCATCGAAGTTTTAAATAGTATACAGCATAATGATGTAATAGACCAATACTTTTAGTTACTTAATTGATTAACCTTCAAAGTTGTTCTTTGTTTGCATTGATGACTTAATTATTCTAATGTTGATTTAAACTTGCATATTAATATTCGTTTCGTTTCGTTTCAGTCAATATTTAAAGATCGATCGAATACTGTTGATTTTCAATAAACGAAAGAAAAAACGAATTGCATCTTTTTATTTAAATAACATCTCATATCCAAAACACTCTCTTTTCTTGATTAATAGAGCTGTTATTTCAATCTTCTCTTTCCCTTTTCTTCTTATCTCAATGACTACTAGCTTATCATGATGATTAAGCTCTGCGTGTACATACATTTCTATTCTTTCTCCTTACAATCAAGCTGGACACACGCACACCCAACTTATACAATTGAATGACCTTTGAAAGATCTATGACATAATAGGAGAGGAAGAGAAAGTATTCAACTAAAGAAGCCATACACATTTGGAAGGTTATTTGTTACATCTTACAATGCTGATCTCTCGTTTTACATTGATATAAAAAAACAACAACAATCTGACGTATGTTGAATATGTGAACATTGAGGAATGTGTCATTAGAGAAAAAAAAAGAATGTCTTCGAACCAAGTAAGTTTAAACGATGTGAATATATGTTCAAACTAGAAACGTTACACGTCTTTTCTCAGTTTAATCGTCAACATCAATTGGTATTATGGCCGTTCAACTGAATCATGTTCATCATCTATCTTTTCGTTGGTTTTGTCGTAACAACTGCTGAACTGCTTTCATCATCAATTCCATGTGAATATCTTTCGGTCGAAGAACTTCGATGTCGTCAAACATCTTTCATCGAAGCCAATCTTCCACTCAACAATCAATCGAACTCTTCTCAGATTATCAATTTCGAATGGATTGAATCGGGCGCATATATATTTTCGCATAACATCTTCGACTTATTTTCCAATCTACAAAACGTATCCTTACGTGCGAACACATTGACATCGCTAACAATTCTACCATTTTGGTCGCATTTGAAATCGATTCGTCATCTCGATCTATCACAAAATCGTCTCATAACTATCAACAGCCGTGACTTCCAATCATTTCATAATTTAGTCTCATTAAATATCTCACTGAATTTTATTACTACAGTCGAACCGATTTGGCTATTGAAACCATTGCACACGATTGATCTTTCCCATAATGGAATCAATTCACTTGGTTACACACGCCTTCAGAATGGTACATCCGAAATAAACCCCTGCCTTCTGGAGCAAGTTTACCTCAATCATAATCGTGGCCTTTTATCTTTCACACAACTGCAAACAACCATCATGGATGTTTGTCCATTTCTCGATCGCTTTCAATTAATCGACAATCATTGGCACTGTGCCTGCAATGATCTTATCAATTCATTGAAACGCTATCGAACATTACTTCTCATTGACGATTATTCTCAGACGCTAAGTGGACAATGCGAAACTCCCTTATCCTTACGTAATATTGATATCCAAAAAATTAGCGAGGAGTTAGTTTGCGATCATCTACTTCTATTCGATTCGTCGTCGTATAACACTGATGATCAATCATCATCGGTATATCCTCGGCAAATCATGTGCTTATTTATTCTGGGTTGTATCATTGGAATTATCATCGGCATATGTCTACGTTATTGTGCACATCGTTGTTTCGATATATTTACGTGTATGTTATTGAAATTTGATAGACAAAAAGTAGTGGATGAAGGTCGCCCGGATGAATCGATCCAAATGACCGATTCTCTTCATCGTCAAAATCGTTCTGTCTATTGTCCGACAACGGAATCTGATTCCTTGCCAAGTTATTCTCAAGTAATGAACGACATTTTCTATTTGGACATTCTTACACGATCGGCACCTATCGAAAATGATGAAGAATGTTGAAAGATAGTTTATTGAATAGAGAAAGACTAAAAATCATCAAATGACATGTAAAAGATGTTGCCTTTTTGTTTCGTCACTGATTCTATTACGCCAATCACGAAAAAGTTAATAAAAAAAATTTCAAGAATGCTCATCACAAACACATATTTAAAGCTTGGATTTTACCATTTGTTGAAGAAGTTTTTCCAATTTGAGTGCGGTTGGTAAATCGCCTAAAATAGACAATTAACGATTTTGTCAAGGAAAAACGCTGATTCTACCTTGAATTTTTAATTTACCACCCATGAATGCTGCAGTTGGTTTTAGTTTTCCTGCGAACATTGCTGCAAAGTCACTTTTCGACATTTTAAATGTGCATTGAGCTTTGCCCGATGGTGGTTCACCTTGACCAGCACTTCCATTGTCGTTTTTCATATCTAAATACCATTTATCACCTGANTTTCCTGCGAACATTGCTGCAAAGTCACTTTTCGACATTTTAAATGTGCATTGAGCTTTGCCCGATGGTGGTTCACCTTGACCAGCACTTCCATTGTCGTTTTTCATATCTAAATACCATTTATCACCTGAAACAAAAGAGAACGTCATATCATACATCTTCTTGAATTTCGTTCCCTAACCCTGCAAATCAAACGCATAAACGCTATTGATTTGTTTTAATAGTTCCGGTTTTAACAATGTCTTGATTTGATCAAAAACTTGTTCAATACTCGGTGCTGCTCCGCTTGCTGCACTGGCAGCTGATTTCGCCATTCCCAGGGGAGATTTTTCTTGTTGTAATTGCGACAAGTTTTCATCAAGGAAAAAGTCAAGTACGAAATCCTTGGTGCCAGGAACCACAGCATATTGATCGAAATCAGTTACACCTTGTTGACGAAGAAGTGTTTCGTCAATAAAAAAATTACCAGTGCATGATCGACTATCTTGAGTAAGAACGGCATAGGCCGCATCGGCCATGATTTCGGGTCGACGACATCGTTTGCGATGATCTTCTCCGGCAATCAAGGTGATAGCATCGGTATCAATGGCTATTCGAAGAAAGGAGCATGAACGAGAAGCATATGTCTATTATTTTTTACCAGTTTTCGGCCATAGAGCATTGACAGCAATACCGAATTCACGTAATTCAGCTGAAAGACCAAGCGCGTATAACGACATATTGTACTTAGCAACAGTGTAGGCAACATGGCTTTTGAACCAGAATGGATTTACTGATATTGGCGGCGAGTTCATCAAAATATGCGGGTTGGAAGATTTCTTTAGATATGGTATGGCGACCTTCGAACTAAAACGAGTATTATACTGAGAAAGTAAGGTGATCATTTTCAGTTTTGGTTACTGACCAAAGAAAAGTACCGCGTGCATTAATTGAATGCATTAGATCATAACGTTTCATTGGTGTATCTGTGGTATTAGTTAAGGAAATAGCTGATGCATTGTTAATTAGAATATCGATGCCACCGAATTTCTTTGCAGCTTCTTCGAATGCTTTGATGACTTGTTCTTCGTCACGTACATCAACAACGCATGGTAGACATTTTCCTCCAGCTTTTTCAACTGATTAGACAAGAGTGAAATAAGATGAAAGTAAATAGTAAATATATGTATATCTGACTTTCTTCAGCTGCTGTATAGATTGTTCCGGGTAGTTTCGGGTGTGGAACGGTTGTTTTGGCAGCAATAACAATATTTGCCTTGTCTCGTGCACATCGTAAAGCAATTTGTTTGCCGATGCCACGTGATGCTCCAGTAATGAAAATAGTTTTGCCTGCTAAGGATCTATACTCACGAAAGAAAGCAAGTCAGCCATATGTTTCAGATAAAGAAACATCTCATTCACTTACGGCATGTTAATGAAAGAAATGGAAAAATTCGAAAATTATCTGAAACAAAAGCAAAAACACTCATCAAATAAAACGATCGAGAAATTGTGTATAGGACGCTTTCGCTTCCGAAGTTGTCGGTATGAAATGACCGCCATTATGTCGTAAGATTTCAGCATTCTTGAAATATTCATTCGCTAACACTTCCGACATGTGACAAGGTATGACACGATCATCACTTCCGATAACATGTAAATTCGGCAGATCGATTTGCAAGTTCTCATACATCGCTCGATGTTGCTCTTGGCCACTTTTGAAGCTAGCAACCAAGATAACAAATCGAAAAGGATAAGTTCCGGTAGTAAAGCGAGAGAGAAGTAGTGCAGCAAAAGCAGCACCTTGAGAAAATGCTAATAAACCGTCGAATGGCACTTGTTGTTCATTGATGTATTTCGTAACGTAATCTAACGATTCGTTGAAACCGAGATCGCAGGAAGTCACAGCTAATGGATCGTAGGTTTGATCCGAAGATGAAAACCACCAACCTGAAAATAAATACAGAAACCCAAGTGGCGGTTCGATCTCATACGGCAGCAACATCTCTCAAGATAAATACCACGCTCATTTGATCGACTCGTGGCAGTCGCATTCGAATCTTGCTCATTTGTATTGTCTTGCGCAAGGATAATATGCGGCGCATCAATAAAAACGAATTCTGCCACGTGTTTTTTCAATAATTTTCTCAACGAGCCCGTTTTCTCTCGAAACATAGTTCCGTTTTGTCGATAACCATGTAGACAAAGAATTCGCAATGGTGTCATACTAAAATAAGAGGCAATGCAATATAACAATCAGCTTACAAATGCGTAGGACATTCATGTTAGTTTTATATGTTTATTTAAAATATAACTTATGATATATGACTATCGATAGTAAGGAGATGAAACGAACCACCAGAAAATATAATTAGATGAGATTACGATTACAACAGAAAGAAGAAAACAGAATGATAAGTTTGTGATAAAATTCCTTTTTTTCTGCTTTGTTTTTTAAAAGTAAGTGTAGTAATAGAGAATGGGTGGTAAGGTTTATTGAATCTAAACTGATTTGATAACACGCATTCGAAGTTGATCAAATTTGTCCTGTAGTTGTTTAAAATCGAAACTAAAATACGCAATGGAACGTTTACAAATCAGAATAATCAAACATTTTCTTACTGTGTCCATTTGTCATAAGCAACAGCGTAGAATTGCTTTGCATAAATTCCCGTTAAACTTGCTAAATTCGCTGCATAATAACTGGCCATATCGAAGAAAACATTCAAGTAGTGAACGCTTTGATTAAAAATTATGAGTGATAAACGTTGGATCTATGAGAAGATAAATCGTATCGAACGATTCCGAACAATCAACGGGAAACATACTTGTTCAGCTAGTTCGATACTCTTGTCATAAACAGGACCTTCAATGTATTTCAACAAGAGCGTCCATTGTTTTTGTAAATAGTGACCGAATTGAATGATATAGGGTTCCATTTTTGTCAAAGATGAACGAATATATTGTTCACCGGCCCTACGAACGAAATTCGTTTCATCAGAGACAAAGACCCACGGCTCTTACGTGGTCGAGGTCGCAATCAGTTTCTTTGTTTCTTTGCACGCGTCGGATAGACGTTCTTTGATTACAATTGCTGTTGGATGTTTGAGATAATCTACGAGATCCGAATAGAGTTTTCTCATGCTTAAGAAGAAAAATCAGCTTCCCTACCTTCGAGTAGATAATCAGCAGCAACTGTTAGCCATAACCAATTCGAGTAGATCACGTAGGCAAGTGAGAGAAAAACAAGTAGTTTGAAAATCAAGCCCGATCTTGATTTGGAACGCATTTTTCGTTTACTAACAAAAACTGAATCCTAAACAAGACGAAAAATTGAAATCAAAATTCTTTTCCTTGATTTTACATTTTTCGCATAAACACGCAGGAATTCATTGTGATTCGTATCGTTATTTTCTCCATTGGAAATCGTTCGTAATTGTTGGACAATGGTACGTAGGTCCTTTGAAGATGATAATACCGGAATTGATGCTTCATTCGTATGTAATAACGATAAAAGATTCCTGTAAGAGAAAGGTAAGTCGAGTTTTCAGACATGTTTAGACATACAAAGAGCTTTGGGGATATTTCTTATGAAGTGTCGACCATGTTTTAACGATGGATTGATCAGCACAACAAGCGACAATCATACGATCAATCTACAACGATTTGGTATCGAGAGGAAGTTAAAAAGATTAAATTTGATCTCACAGCTGTTTGACTCTTTGGTGAACGTTGTTTGTCGGTGGAAACATACGGAAATAGAGCCTCGAAATATTCGGTCGAATTTTTCGACAGATTTTTCTTGTTACTAACAAACAATTCCTACAAATTCAAATCGAAACCAATGAATATTCACTAGATGAAGTTCGTTTCACTTACGGAGAGAATGTTGGCACTTTTTGCCAATGATGAACGCATTTCTCGTGTTAAAGCTGGATTTGGTCGATCGATGAAATCAAGTAGTTTGACGTACGATTCAACAGGAAAGACTTCATCCGTTCGAAGGAATTTCTTGTTTTTGAAGTCTCGTCTAAACTATGCAGTCTTATAAACAAGAAAAACACAGATCATCACTTACGATGTTAAATGAGATAAATTTTCCACAGCGAATTGGTTGTATGTTCGATTTTCAATCAATGGAAACATCAAGCGAAACCAGACTAGAATAGAACACAATCGATAGTCAATTGGAGTTCTCATATGCGCGAAAGCAGCAGTCTTTACCATCGACTGCTAAAGCCGGATGTTCGTATTGCAATTGGCTGTAAGCCCAGAGTAATCGAAGTACCTTATCCGATGGATATCGTTTTAATGATGTTGATAGCTAATAGAAATTTATATAGAATATTTCGTTTGAGAGAATATCAAGAATTACTTCGTCAACATCGTCGAGAAAGGATTCGTTCGGTCGTTCATTGAGATGACGAAGAAAGTATTGCAATAATGTTTGATATCCAACAATTACATTGAGATCTAAAACGAAAGATCGAATGAAAATAAAAAGATCAAGGAGAGAATTTAATTTGAATTTACCAGCATTCGGATTCAGAATACCATTTCGACAGAGTACAATAGCTTTTAATTTTGATTGTGTATCGAAAATTTCTTTTAGATAATCTCGAACTGATGTTGATAATGTATTCAATGGGTATTCTAATAGAAAGAAAAAGATTTTACAAGAAGCATGTCGATTATTCAATTACCATCATTCGTTTCTTTAGCAAAAGTTGGATCACTTAAGCCAGATGTTACTTCTTTGAATTGGTTCACAAACCAATAACAAATTTTTTCTACCCAAACGGACGTGTTATCTTTCGATGTGGCATACAGTTGCTTCAATTCATCCAAGTTGATCTATTGCAATATAGAAGCATTCAAAAATATCAAGGAATTAAATTGCTAAATATTACATTTTGAAGTGCTTGCTTCAATGCTAATGCACTCGATGTCTGTTTAGTCGATTTGGTTGGTTTCATCGTGGATGCTTTATCAATCGTCGCTGTTGGCTTTGGTATCTTCGTTACATTTACTTGATTTTCATCATTTTCATCTGGTATCCGCTCTTTCATTGAACTAAATGCACTATCGGAAAGTTTAATCGCTAGAAAACAAATGCAGTCAAGCTTGAGAAATGTCAAATGCACGATTCGCACATACATTTGGTTTCTGCCTTGGGCATAACAGGTGCTGCTGATGATTTGGTTGAAGATGGAGCTGCTTTTGTTTTTGCTTTTCCCGACACAGTCGTCCAATTTGAATCGTTCGAAGGCATTTGTTTGAATGAGAAATCAAATGAAAAAAACTTTAATCTCTAAACACAAAGAAATTTATCAAGTGCTTTGTTTCTTATCATTCGTGAATATCGTGTCGGTCGGACTGAGGGTACGCGCGTTAATATAATATAATACCACTTTACGAAAAATGACTGGTAAATGAAAAGCAACCAATGAGAAATCTGGAGCACTTGGCGATGAAACTTTTTCCTTACTACAGTATTTAAAGAGGTAGAAGTAATGGCGATCGACTTGAATGAAAGAAAGAAAGAAGGAGATAGGCGAATCGAAATTGGCAATTATTTGCAAACATGAGCTTGACATTAAACTTATTTTTCGCTGTTTATTAACTCTGATCGAGCGTGTCGACGAATATCACTTTGATTTTTCTGAATCCAATTACATTTCCGTTCATTTTTATCAATATATTTCGTCATCTGATATGAATTTATTAGTTTTTTTCTTGTGAACTATTCACATTAATGCAGAAAATAAAATAATATTTATAATACAGAGCGAAATAACACCGCCAATCAAACAAAAATATGCAGATCAAATGAACCAAAAAGAAAAATATTTGTTAAGAATAACAACAATGAAAAAAAACATATGAAATCAGTTGAGATGAGATGTAAAACAATATACATATACATGTAGCATTGAAGGATTTGTTTCGTGTGTTCTAGCAGATATCTCAATGACGAAGTGAAAATGTACAAAATAAATATGCACAGGAAAATAAAACAAAACCGAAATTATTTGCAACATTGATTAAATTGTACTCAGTGGTAGTAAATGTCGTGTCGGATCGGATGATTTACTCTTGCTTCCGTGTTCTTCCTTTTCAATACCATTTTCTTTAATTTGACTCAAACACACATCCGGCACACGTTGAGAACGACCAGGGAGTGACTCGCTTGAATCGCTCGATAGTTTTCGTTTAGCCGTACCATTACAGACAACTGGAGGATCATCTTCTTCCTCTCCCTCCTCGTCGGCGTCGTCGTCGTCTTCAGTTTTCCCAACTAAAATATCGATAGACGAAATGAATGAAGTGCAAAGCGATGAAAACAAACCTGTTTGAAGTTTTACAAATTCTTCAGTGAGTAGTTTTAGTTTTCGACGTACACGGCTTAAACGCCAAGATGTTAAGATACACCAAAAGAGTAGAGCAACTATAGCCGTAACTATCAGAGGAATCCAAGCCTCCAATATAATCAAACGAGAAGAGACATCATTGTAATTTTCTTGTAGTTTATATAACTGTTCTTCGAGATATTCGAACTAAGACAGATCATAAAGAATCATTGAATAGATAAGAAAGGTTTCGAATTACTTTTTCATCTGCACTTTTGGATGCTTTGAGAAGAAGATCCGTGGTTTGCTGGGTTTCGTCGAGTTTTTTCCTAAAAACATTCCAATAGATTGCCTTTTTAAGAAACAATCGCAACTTACACGTAGTGCTGACTGAGTTCTTGTAAATACCGGTTACTCAACGTTAGATTGAAATTTAATCTTTCAATTATCTTGAACAACTCAGGCAAAGATTTCGTATTGACCAGCATGCCTTTCAACCACGGGCTCGAGATGAGTGGCGGTATCGGCTCGTTATAGTTCGAAGCAGTTGGTGAACTTGCATCATCGATAACATTAGTATCGATTGATGGTCCGAATATGTCGGGATCGATCGGAGGTGCCTCGTTCGATGACAATTGAGAGGAGTTTTCATCTGATATATTTGTTGGAGTTTGCGAGTCGAGTGCAGGCGGCAGTTCGTCTGGAATATTTGCAGAAAAAATCTGATCAATGGAACGATTTGTTACTGATTGATTTTGACTTTCATCAAATGTTGTGCTCGTATGATTTGGTGTAGACTGATTATTAATTGAACTTTCAGCTAAAATAAACTCGAAATGAAATGCTAAAGTTAAATGTGTTCCACATACTTTCATTAACAATCTGCATAGTGTCGTTTTTGTCAAAAATCAAGTCTTTCTCCAACGAATCTTGGGTGATACTGGTGTTCACATTAGTTGATATGTTTTTATTAGCTCCAATAGATTTCTCCCTTTTACACGCGAATTGGTTGGTTAACACGTGATAGTAACCACATGGGTTGATATATAAGTTTAATGTTGACATTTGTCCCTTGTTCTTCGTCCTCATCAAATCATTGGAGATATCTGTTCGCATTAACGAACACTGACAACAATGGTTTAATTTGAAGCAGATTTGAGATAAATAAAGTGCACATGTATCAAACTCTGACCATAAACCCATTAGAAATTCAGCAATACATTGTTTGAATATATCACTCTGTCGCCACGATCGAATGCTATCGTTTACTAATGAATCATTCAAATCTGTTCGACGACAATCAGGTTTGATCGTATTGTCCAATGTTGTAGGAAGAGATGTCGTTGACAGAGTATCTCTTGTGACTGATCGACGAAAAACTCGTTTTGCTAAGTCAAGTATTGCTGAGCCGATAATTCCACCGACTTGTTGATCATTGGACACATCGACATTATCATCGTCGCCATCGTCATCGTCATCACCATTTTCAATTCCATCTCGAATATTAATAGATCTTTTCGATTCAACTAGATTCGTATTTTCTTCCATGGTCATGATTTCATCCTCAACATTCGAGCCATGAACACGTACAACGCTCAACGGACAGTAATGTTCATGACCGTGAAAATCTAAGAGTTCAAATTTCACATATTTCAAATAAGTTGTCGATGCTGCCGCTTGGAAACTTTGTATCGTTCTATTGTGCGATGCATTGAACGTGCCCAAATGATGACGGTGCCAATCTTTCGTCGGATATCTAGAACAGAGTCATCTGCACAAAAAAAGTAATTCAATTGCAAGTCTTACCTATCCGATGCTGAAACTCGAAATGTTTTCGGTACACTGGAAAATAATTCAAAATTGGCGATTTCAATATTAAGAATACGAATTGATTCACATAGTTCAATGACGAACCTTTGAAAGCAAAAGAATGTTGAATGTTACTATTCGGATTGTTTATCGTACCAAATTTTTGCATTGCATGGATTCAGCATATATTCATCAGGAGAGGAGGATAGAATCGATGGTGTATTTTGTGCTTCGACATTGTGTGCAAGAATTTTTGCGCCACAAGAACCACTAGCGAAATTCTTACGTAATTTTCCTTTTTTGGACAGACCAGTCGTGGATGCGATCTGTTGGACATTACTGGACGAAGAAGTTCCTTTCGGCGAACTTGTTGTTGGTATTTCTGATGCCACACTGTTCTGACTAGAAGTTCGACCCGTTTCTATTCATTTACAATTTTTTTTATACTCGAATATCGAAAAAGAAAAACGACGAACTTTGTAAGTCAGCATGGAGCTGTTGTTGTTTCCATTCTTCAAATGAATTAATACTGGAAAGATTCTTTTTCGTCGAAGAAGTGCTTGATGGTTGTTGTTGTTGTTGTTGTTGATCATCAGTTGTTTGGTTATTGACAATGAACGAACTAGAAAAAAAAGCAAGAATCGAAATTTCGTTGCATTCAGCACAATATTTACGTTGCTGTCGAAGATAACGTTTCAGTAGGTGGGTTTTCTGTCGATCTAGAATATCATCACTACTGTATTCAGTTTCCAAATAAAGTATCACTTACAATGCAAGGGGATCCGTTTCAATTACTGTTACACTTTCAGCCTGCAGTGTTTCAGGATTCTAAATAAAAAAGAATCAACGCCGGTTATTAATACTTTGACTAAGGGTAAGTTACCGAATCTGAGGAGACATCATCTATTAATTGCGAAGAATGTTTAGTGGTGGCGGTCTGATTATCTTCATCGAGCTAAAACGAAATACTCCGATTCATCCGCATTCAATCGAAAGACAAATAAAAACAATACCCGACTGGCAGCAAGATTTTCACGAACTGGGTCGGTCGGTGTTATACAGGATAACAATAAACTGATAATGAATATTGCTCTAAACATAATCGTAGACGAAAATTTCGCATTTGAATCATGTTAGTAGCTTACAAAATGCTGAATTTTTGCGAAATAATGCACACAATCATTCAAGAAAAGAAAAACAAAGAATTTTGTCAATGGTGGGCAATAGTCGGGACGGAATTAATCTGAAACAGACATGATACACGTCAAAAGTGATCAGAGGAATGTCCTACAAAGAATTCTTGTTTTCATTTTTTTTCTTTCAATAAATCAAAACAATAATAACAGCAAAAAAACACAGAAACGAAATTTTCTAAATGGTTTGTTTTTCCTTCTTATTCATTGGTTTGTTTTTATTCAGTTTTGGTCGTTTCGGACTCTAACTTATTCACTTTCTCGATAATTTCATCGTATAATTCCTTGTATTCCGGATGAGGACGAACCATTAACAAACAACATGTTCGATTAGCACGAATTACACTACCTAAATCTTCTTTCGATGGGACGAACACATACGGAATATTTGCTTCTTCTAAAAAATGTAGAAAGTCATGTACTTCAATGCAGAATTTAGTCTATTTTCAAAATGGACATACCGCAGACAACAGGCATGTGACTGTAAATATCAATAGGCGATACATTCCCAGCGAAAACGACAAGACCTTTTTCGCCTCGACGAATGTATTTTTGTGTTTCACGTAGACCTAATCGAATGTAATTCTTTTGTTTCGTTGCTTGTTTGACGCATTTGAACAATTTCTTTGCTAATTTTTTCGGTGCCACAGGTGAAGCCAGTGCATTCATGTATTTGAATTTATCTTCGTACGATGGACCTGCATTTTCTGCACCGTTTTCGTCGGCATTGATTGTACTTGTATCCATCGCTTCATCGTTTTGACTTTGTTTTTTATCTTTTGTCATGTTTTTCTTCTTTTTATAGACGGATAAACTAATCTTTCGAAGTAATCGCTAACGACAATCAATGAAACTATTCTCGCTCCGCACGAATCGATCTGATTCATCCAGAAAATACCCAATTGGATAAGATAATTGTTCGAAGAGGCCGACAGGATATTAGCGCCACTCTTTGTTTATTATTTACGCCTATAGAGAAGAGAAAATGTTTATCGTTCGATTAGTTCTTTTCTCAATCTAAACGGAATGGTTCGAATTAAAAAGAAGCAAACAGCGACACGAAAGCGAAAATATCGTATAAATGAAACAAATCCAACCAATTCTCCTAAGCAAGAGAATCGTTCGTCTCGGATAGTGACGAAAAATTTTGAAATCTTTGTTACTGATTTTCTTGCTGATCCGTGTGGTTTGCCGGTTGAATTGAGAGATTATGTTTTAGTCGATGGATCTGCCTCACTTAATGAAACATCAGGTATTCATCTATCTTCTGATCAATACGAAATGGATGAGTAGAAAACATTGTCCTTTAGATTCGTGTCCGTCCAATAATAATCAAGTTTTGAAAAAGATCTTTGGAAATAATGAATCATTCGATCGAGTTATCAAAAATTCGACTCCACTATTAGTCGAAGGTAGTACTTTCCTGTACGAAATTGTTCTTTCTAGACAAATGTCTTCTTTTAGAATCGTCGAAGAAGCCCGGCGAAGTGGAACATAGAATAAATGTCTGATATGTCCATTTCAATTGGAGTAAAACAGAAGAAAATCAGCTCAAAATCTTTCTATTTTTTTGTGAATGAATGTTTTGTTGAATAACGTGTCTTTTTTGTCAAACAAATCTGTATTTACGCTCATTTATTTCTATGTATTTGCGCAAAAAAAACAATTGTCACGTGCTCCTTTTTGCAGTATGTCTAGCTATTGAACATAAGACTTCATTGGTGACAACAATCAACTGTTTGTTTTTTTATACACAGAATGATCTGTTTGAAGTAGTAGAATTTGTATCTTATATAAATATGTATATCAAATGCAATGAAAGGATTGTTTGTAAAGGTACATAGATGATATTGAATAATTTATTGTGAATCTTGGAAGCTACTCGGCCTCTTTTCATGTTAAATTGAATGAATGACTATTATTGTCAGCATCGAAATCAAATACCATTAGAAGCAATTAATTAATAACACGTACTATCATAATTACAAATTCTATGTTATATTACTAGTAACGTTCGTCGAAGCAGAGTCGCTATGCTCTTGACTAGCGGCGGCGCCAGGAATTTTCACTAGGGTGGGCTCAGGCTATTTGAGCCCACTCCTGGCGCCGCCACTACCCTCGACTGAACCACTGACTGAAAATAAAATAGTCTTATGTGCGTTTTATGCAAAAAAAGACAGAAGTATGACCTTTGAAAGGGTCCCCAGAGATTGATCTTCATTCGCCTCACAGTCTTCAAAAGAGTCAAAGGACTACTTGTGTTGCTTTTAATTATTGTATATTCCTGACTGACAATTACTCACAGGAAGCAGAAGTTCGCTATAAATGACTATTATGGATTTGCACCTTTCAACATATCCTCCTTTTTCTAAAAGAAAGATAATTTCAGTAAGACCAAATGAGACTCGGTATAGACTTCGCATTCGAACGTGTCCGATTGTTGATACTTTGGTAACTGGCTAGATTACCAGGCGCCACTCACAACTCGTCGCTCCAAAGCTGTCCCTATCTATCATATAATTACCCGTGTGCTACTAAAAAGTATCGAAAGTTAGTTAGCATTCCATCAGTATCTCATAGATAAAATTATCTGCGTCAGAACATTTGAGGTTATCTCCTTAATTAAAAGGCTTAAAGGACTACAAAAACTTTCAATATATCGAAGCTCAGCATTTAAGATTGCTCTCCAGTATGTAACTTGTGAATAAATGTATTTTTGGATTACTGGCCTTTAGTATGCGACAGTCAACCGAGTGTGTTTTTACTTTTTCATAATCAACTCTTCTATGTAGCCCTCCTCTCAGGCGTGATTGAAATGTTTTCTTCATTTCTGTCACGTCCCTGCTCCTTCACCCGTCATCCAGCCAACCTCAAGCCTCAGGATCCCTCCCAAACGATGTTTCATGAAGTTGTGAGCATTTTCGCAAACAAAATGTTTTTTCGACTTTTGACTCCGACCCTCACCTCTCCAAAACCATGTTCTATGAAGTTTTGAGCCTTTTCAAGAAAATGTTTTTTTGATCTTTGACCTCTGATCCTGACACAAACAAACAAACAAACTTTTTTTCATATGACCCTCCTTTCGGTCGAGGGAATATCTCTCTTTTTGTGTACGATTAAATTTATTTAATATACGAATATGTATATACAAATCGACAGACGTACAACAAGCAATGTTAGTTTATGTGTATGGGGATTTTCAATAGAATAGATCGTGTTGGACGAGGGTGATGTTTAGTTGAAAATTATGAATTCGTTTACAGCTGTAGTTGAATATCCGAATGGACTCGAGAAGGTGGTGAATCCTCGAGAGACTTGACGGGATTTCGTCTGATACATGCGTTCTGTTGTGTGAAAGAAGATTTATTGCGAAACATACTCATCATATAATCTTTGAGCATAAACCGTTTCTTATACAAGAACAATATGACTGATAATACACTAATAATCGCAAATGTAAGAAATAGACCAATTAAGGATTGAAGACCCATAGATGTTGGTACATTGGATGCTTCTGGGCAAGTTTTCGCTTGAAACCATTTTGTACGCAAATCGTCTAATGAGCCTGCTTCTCTCAATGATAAGATATTTACATCTAAAATCTGTGCGTACACCCAATTCTTGGGTATAGCAATCCCGAATGCACTCGTCTCAAAGTCTGCACCGACCAATGTTAAATTACAGTAGATATTGTTCGTCGCATACTCAGCTACTCCGATGTCCATGAATGAGGCATCGATCAGACCGTTGAGTAAAGCATTGTATTGCTGTTGCCGAGATGATAATGGATAGTAGTTTTTCACACCATTGGAAATCTCGCGTAAATAATAGGCTTCAATCGATGTGCCGAGACGAACACCGATACGGTTAAACGGTAACTTTCCTGCTTTGATATCATCAATGCTAGATATGAGCTCCGTTGTTTTTGCGATCGTCAGATAAGAAGTTAAATTCGCTGTATAAGTCGCGACAAAAACAATGCTTATTATGTATAGACCAAGTGTTAACAGACGGCCAGCTGCTGTTCTTACATGGAAATCAACACCATAGCCAACGAAAGCACCAAGAGAATACCACATGCCCATTGACAATAAAGATAACAGTGATCGGTTTTGTAAGATTTCATTTTCTTGCCGTTCTATGATACAAAGAATGACGGCAGCAAATAGTCCAGAGCCAAGTAGAGTTAACCAGAGGTCAAAGGAGAATGTTTTCAAAAATGCTAAAAAGTCGACGCTTTCATCCGTGGATTCGCGCATAATAATACGTAACGAGTTGTCAAATATTGAACTGGAAAAACTCACTATTTGTCGGCGTCCAGAAGTAATGGTAAGATCACTCATCATCATATCATAAACACCATTGGATACATCTTGAATAATATTATCGTAAGTTTTAGTCGCTGGTGCTAAAATCAGCTGCGGTACAAATTTCATATTGTATTGTAAAAGCGCAATGAGATCTGGTACGTAACCGATATATGTCGTTGTATTCCGTCCGAAATCATCAACTGTGTAAGAAAGCATTGTAAATGGAGTCGATTGAGTAACAGCAATTCGTAGAGTGACTCCTTCGAGAATGGGTCTATCGGCCGGCGGCGTTAATGAATTGCCTGGCCACACAATTACATTTGCTAAGGTATAGGCACTCCAATAATTTCTGTTAGTGTATTTTAATACTGGTGTAAAGTATATTCCCGTTGCAGATGGTTGAATGTTTTGTGCAACGTAATAGACGCCAGTCAGTCGATCTGTTTCATTGGCGCTGAATTCGATTTGACCAGTGACACCAAGAAATGCGATGTCATTGATTGCGGAAAATAAGTTGCTGGAATTGGTTAAAGACCGATCGAAACAGTAGGATGAACCTATCATCGATGGACACGTTGAAAGGTTGCTAGAATCTGACGAACAGACTTTTTGTAATGATTGAATTAGTGACCATGTAGCATCAAATGCAAACAATCCGTAGTAATCTATCTTCGATACGCCTGGAAATGTTTCTGGTTCGTATGTTTGCCAAATATTGCATGCCGCGTTCAGTAATGTTTGATTGAATGGTTCACTGATGATACTGCCTGTGACCGCTTCCACTGTTAGTAGTCCTACTAGTGCTTGATAAGATGTTTGATTGAAAGTAGTGAATGGAATACTCGAACTTAAGATCCATGTAAATTGTGGGCCAAGAACATTCACATCAATTGCATTGTGTAAGATCAGTGGGGTATTAATTGGATCCGCCCACAAGATTACCACTCGTGCAGAACTACCAGTTAATAGGGCTTGTAAATCCCCGCGAATACTTCTTGTCGTCACATCGAATATAACCGTTCCCCGAATCGTCACTGCACCGGCAGTAAGTGCTGCATTAATAACTTTTGCTCCATTTGTTCCAAATGCATCATTCTGATAGACAATGATAGCCGATGTCCAGTTGTATCGAGTGAATAACTTTGCAATTGCTATTGCAGCCTCGTTATCTGACGGGATTGTACGATAAAAGGCCGGATAAGAGGTACGGTCAGATAGATCGGGATTGGTTGTCGCGTAAGATATAACAGGAATACCTATTCTTTCGGCGAAAGCGGTGATATCGGTTGCTTCTCGAGAATAGGCGGGACCAACAACACCCATTATATTAGAATTTGATATGGCCTGACACATGTCACTAAGAGCATTAACGACATCTCCACCAGTTTGAGCAGCTTGCCACTGAATGTATTCTCCATTTATCTTCACATCATACTGCTGTGCAAGAATGATCGCTGTTTTGAACATAGCTCGTGAATGCACAGAAAACGTACTAGGTATTGATGTATTTTGTGCATCTGGAAAAAGACCTAATAACTGAACAGCAGAGTTGTTTTGTGTCGGCCAAGCTGTTTGAATAAATGTGATGTGACCTAGTCCAACGGTCAGATAAAATAAAGCATATCGTGAGATAAGCGAGAAGAACATGTTCGTTTGTTAGTATGAACGAAGTAATTTGTTCTTTAGCGAACAAGCTGTAAGACAGATTGGGTATTCGGAGATCAGTTTCGATTTTGTGGTGCATCGATGAAGACGAACTTGATATTTATATAAACTTGTATGTCATTGAAACGAGATACCGTTCAAATCAGATTGAAATAAGCAAAATAGATATAAAAAGGCTGCTTGACATGATGATAATATCTCAATGATACCACACAATTGACAAAATTAGAAAAAAAAGGACAAGTAATTACTTCGCTTTTGCGTGATGAATTAATTGTAGAGATCTAGTCATGATATAGTTGTTATAAAAAAACAACTTTGCTATATCGTGCATCTTCAAAATCTATAATCACGCTTCAATGTAACTCTCACTCTATCCCGATTACATTTTCCCGTCCCTTTCTTTAATATCCACATGAATTAATCTGAATATCGTTATTTATATATTTTATAATCAAAGAAATAAACTTTGTTTTCCAATACAATAATAATGTGATACAAAAACAAAACATGGAAAGTCAATAAATAAAGTTATTATTGTGATAAATATTTGTACGCATGATCTTGGTTTCTCTTTGTTCTAGGAAGATAACGACAAGGCTAAGAAGCGGAAGGCGTTTAGAATTAAGGAAGAATACGACTATGGTAAAAAAAAACGAACACGATTTGGATAGACATAGGTATTGCAATTGAACGTCCAAACACGGAATGTAGGAATAAATAAAGATAAATAGAACAAATGTGAATGAAGATTTTCGTTGTATAGAATGAAAACAAACACAAAAACAGAAAATAAGAAGGAATCATAAGAATATACAATCAAGAAGGAAATGAAACAAAAATAAGAAGAAGATATCAAGTAGATCACTGTTGTTGAATGTGAGTTGTATGCTTAGAGCGATTTAAGTATAGAATTCTTATATGTATATGCAGAGAGGAAGATAGAGAGAATATTGCACGAGAAAAGTGTATCGAACAGCTGGCTTTTCAATTGTAAATATTCAGGAGAAGGAAAATAAGTAAATGTATAGAGAATTTGCATTGATTCATGTTTGCGAGTTAACTTTGTTCCATAATTTCACATTGATAAGAAGATAACTTGAAAAAGAAAACGAAATCAGAACGGAAATTTGATTCGTCTTTATTTTGTTCAATTGTTATTTGCCGTAGATGAACGTTGTTCTTGGATAGTTGTATAACATTGTCGACAGACACGAACATTTTTGTAGATTTTCATCTTGGGAATGTCTGTTTCGAATCGACTACATCTAAAAGTGAGAAAATGATCAACAGATCTAAAGATGAAATCGAAAGAGACGAGACTACCTGGCACAAAATAATTGTCCGCAATTTCTGAAAGCGTAGAGGATTTTTTCTCATTAGATGTAATCGAAGATACGCTTTCTATTTACCTGCAATGGTGTCTTCGTTCTGCAAAGGAAAATCGAATTGAACAGTCTTTACATGCACCAACGGTCTCATCTTTAATCCAATGATCAGCATTTGTTCGACCAGGATTATCACTGACAATCCAACTGAATATTCGACCACGTGCATCACCGACATACAAACTTTTGTGATCTCTACAAGTAACAAAAGCGTCTTTGTATTGATTTTCTTTGAAATACCACTCACTTTGATATGCCAATTGCTGTTACAGCAGCAGGACTTGGATTTTCTTTTCGTTCATAAGCTGTATGCATTGTTAGTTTGCCACGATAGTTCAATCGACGTTCCCATCGAAAACCTAGATTATAGAAGCAAGATTGGTTAGAAAAAATTCAGAAATAAATAGAACTCGAACCTTCTTTCAAGTCGAGATAAGCTGATTTCACTATATTTTCACTATTTGAACTTCCACCTTTGGCTTCAAGAATTTCCACATCAGTCACAACAATAAATTTATCACTACCAGTTGGACTATTTAGAGGCGGTGCGGATGGTATAGCAAGTGTATCTTTAATCGCATTCATATCTCCATCGTCATCAAACGATTGTTCATTTGCTGGTGAGAGCTGCATTTGCGTGGGCGTTGCAGGCGTTTGTGGTTCACCTTCGTCAGAATCGACGTCGTTATCAACGGAGAGATGACTAGGATTTGACTGTAATTTGATTGGCGATGGTTGAGAGATCGATGGAACACGACTTCGGTCATCACCAAACGTTAATACTGAAGGCGAAGATGGCGGTGCATCAAGGACTTGATCATAGCCTATAGTCCACATCTAGAAACAAACGTTGTATCTTCACGAGCATTATGTAATAGATCGCTCGTACTCTGACAACGCCATCTGAACTTCCCGTAATGATCACATTTTCATCATCCCATTCATTCATCTAATGAATAAGAATGATGTTTAGTTTGCGCTTCAAGTCAATCTTACTTGAGACATAGCAACGCACAGAATCGACTGCTGACGACTATATGCCATAGTATTAATTGATGCCACCAATTGCCCATTAATAGTCCACACATAAAGATGACTACCCGCCGCGCTGGCAATATCACCCTAGATGTAGACGAATAAAACAATCAACAATCTGTATATGTCAACGGAGAATTCAACCTACTGTTAATTCATTCACACATATACACGATATTGACGCGGCATGATTGGGTAATTGTCGAATAAAATGCAAACGATTCAAATCCCATACGATACAAGTTTGATCATCGGAGCCTGATATTAGAATTCGATAGGCTTGTGATGCCGTGAGACACGTAATCGTATCGTTATGACCAGCTAATCGTGTTTTAAGATGTAAACGTTTATGACGACCTTTGCCGATTTCCCAAACGTTAATCAATGTATTTGTACCAGCAGTTATCACGTATCGTGGCGTCGGACAAAGAACTTGAGTTATTTTTCCCTCTTGTACCAATTCATAAATCATGGAACTCTACAAATGCAAAGCAATAGCGAACTGTTTGTTTTCTCACAAATGAAATGTTTAGTTTTACTTTATCAGAATCAACAGACATAATGCGAAGACTTTCATCAGGAAATCCATACTACATTGAAGGGAAAAGTGTGAGAGATGTTCATTCTCAACGATTGTCAGTTGCTTACCTGAATACAACGAGTATAATTTGGTGACATAATAGCCTTGCATTGTTCTAATGCGATCAATGATTTATCTGTGGGAAGTATCAAACCAACTGCTGATTTTAATTCTACAACGAAAAGGCTGTCTGTCGAAAGAAGTTCATTTTAAGAGTGATAATTACCTTTAATTGGTACTCTTGAAGGTCGTAGACTATTCACATGATTGAAGAATAGATTTCTGTCAATACCGACAGAGTCCATCAGAGATCGACTTAATTTCTTTTGGGGATGAGGTCGTTTAAATAACTAAATCAATTGGATAACATACAATTAATCATCTCCTAGTACTTTTTCCAACATACTTGTTTAGGAATTTGTCCAAAATTATTTATGAAACCAATGATCTATGAAAGCAGAAGAGTCCAATAAAAGTCAAAGTCTTTATGAGATACATACAGCTGATCGCTCGAGTGGATCACTAATATCATCGACATCAACAGCACCTTCGTAAAATAAATGGTGGAATACATTGGTTGCTTCGATAGCTGCTGGTCCTTCTTGTTTATAACCAAAGATAAGATCAATCCATTCATGTAAGTGTGCTGAAACATAATCACTCTCCAATGCCTAACGAAAAGCGAAAAGATGTGCAAGTTTTTCTTATATTCGAAATTTTCTATGCATACCATACGATGGAGACGAATGAATTCTCTTGGATCATTTTTCGACCACGTTGGTAGAATGACATCATTCAAAGCTAATCCATTCTGTTTTTTACCTAGAGACGAATAAAAAACGGTCGGTTGAAAGCATGTAGAGAAACAAGTATAAGTCAGTACCGAGATCGAATTTGTTGGTGTTGAGTAGAAAATCAGGTAGATAGAAAAACTCTGGAATTAATTCTTTGACATCAGCCATGTTATTTTTACTAGCTGAGAGCCATGAATCTTTAATGCTATGAAACATTCGATCAGCGAGATCAAAATGGCCACCCTAAATTGCATATGCATGTGTGTGATTGGTCGATTCGAAAAAAACTTACTTGCAAACGAAGAAAAACTTGAGTGAACGGTTCAGTTCGAACAAGATACGATGCAACAATCATTGCTGACGAATAATGTGTACCATAATGGTAAGCTGGTGTGGAACCCGTAGGATCGTCCCATTCAGCAAAACGTTTTTGAAACTGAACAAGTCGATTTTCTGTTTGAGCACCCATAGGCTTTGATAGGTCACGGAATGTCGATGGACTTGTCAGGTTCAACTCCTTGAAATATCAAATAGGATGGTTGCAGAAATCAATTCATCGACGAAATCTCTTCAATAAACTTACTTTACTATCGTAATCAGCAAGAATCCATGGAAAAACTGAAAAGAAAAGAAAACGGTAAGATCGCCCGGGAAGAAAACTCCCGTGAATTACCTGGATATTGCATTAAGTCATTATATGATCGTCCGGCAAGTGTATTTAAAAACATTAGGTACTGAAAATTACTAATTTCACCTTTTTCCCAGCGCTGTGTCACTGACCGTTCACCCATGAGTGTACCGATGAAACTAGTGCTAAAAGATACGACAGATAGGAAGTGTTCGAACATACAAATCGGTTATCAGAGTTCATGCAAGAAGAGAAGAAGATTAGTCATTTGAATTATTAACGAAAGATGTTCATTTCATTTAACAAATTCAAAGTTCGAGTTAGATAATTATCTCCATGCTTTGTGAACAAGTGAAAGTGTTGTTATCTTACATTTGACTGCGATTTCGCAGATGACTAAAACGATTCGATTTGTTTTTAAAAAAGTCTACTCGTTCTTTGTTTTTCAAATGAAATTATCACATGCGACTCTTACCCTTGTTCGATACTTATACTTCGTCGTTGTCCAGATACAGAATGAATCGCTGAATCGGTCAATTCCGTTGCTGAATTGATCAAACGCTGATAGACCTTATTCCGTTCCTTACGAACAAAAACGAGTAGATAATTTCGACCGTCGGCAGCAAATAATTCCAATGCAATAGGCTGAAATAGCAAAACGTATGGTTCATCGAAAATTCTAACGTGAAAAAGTCATTTACTTGTAAAATATGTCGTCGTTTATGAACTTCCTTGATGTCTTCATAAGCGAATTTCGAACATTCTTTTCTATATTGTGTTATGTCTGTGCTAGTTATTGTTGATGATTTAGGTATCAATGGTATGTATTCATTGCGACATTTTTCCAAATCGACAATTTCATTCTTTTCTGTGTTGTATGTGTATCCTTCGAGAATGTAGAAGTGTTCACGACCGAAGATTAATATTCCTTCACTGCCATCCAGACCTTCGATACGTGCACAGCGAAATGCTAGGGATATCTGAAGAACAAGACAAAGTAGAATAGCTGGTCGATAGACTACTGAGATAGAAAAAAACCTTTTCATCTTCTTCGAGTAAGCGTAGAACATTTTGATTCGTTTGTGCCATTTCGAGTGTTTCGTTTGAAGTCGGTGCTACTTCTGATTATAAATGAAAAGTATAAATAAAAGATGCGATCGATCTCTTACGTTGAGTTTCAACTTCTGCTTCTGCTTCATCTTGCTCAAGTTTCGTAACCATTGGATCTTCTTCATCTTCATCATCAGCTGTCATCATTTCTTCTGTTACTGTTACGTCAGTTGATGCCTTCTTTCGCACAGATAGCAAAGTCGGAGCTAATACTTCTTGTCCTTCTTCGTTTGTCCACGATTCACCTTCGTCACGATTCGTTTGTTCTGTTAGTGAAGGAGTCAATTCATTTGTTTCTTTAATTATGACTGCTGCAGACATCACTTCGTTTGGTTCTTTCAAGATTGGGGGTGGTGATGGAAGACTATTTTCAATCGCCAATGGATTTGTGATTAACAATCGGTCAACAATGCTTGATTGTCGCTCGAAATACTGTTTCGAATCGAACGATACCGGAGGATTAAACTTTCTTTTCTAAATAAAAACAGGCTGATTAGCTGTCACAAGAAATAGTTCTCTATTCACCGTTTGTTCGACGGTCACACGATGCGGATAATGTCGATAGAAATCTTCATTAAGTACCATTCGTTTGCGCATTCGACAAGGTCCTTCGATAAAATCTAACTTATATTTTGCTAATGGATCAGGCTCATCGAATCCCCATAAGCCGCGTTCGCGTAGCAAATCACGTTCGATCGCAAACCATTCTTCATACAGATAGTTAAACTTTTGTTCCGAATTCTTAACAAAAACCAGCAACAATGGATGACTTTCAACCTTTGCAACACATTTCTACCTGTGTCAATCGACGATATTCATTTTCAACATTTTCTCTCACGCTGGAAACAATGACAGACATCAGAGCCAACGCACTCTGAAAAGACAAATGATAGACATTGATTCCATTGGTTTCTCTATCATTTACATGAATCGTTTGACGATCTAATTTCACTGCTTCGCGTTTTACTTTTGTTCCGCGAAGTTGATGAAGACTTGAACGAAAACCACCGGTTACACCACCAGTCAAACGTTGTATACGCTAAACAAATGCCACACTTCATTGGCCATCAAGTTATTTTACCGATACATACTGAGCCGACATGCATAATCTGTTGTTGAATCTTATCGGTTATCTTCAGTTCACCCTCAACAAACTTCGTCCAAACTTTTGATGCTGGTTCCAATAAATATTCGCTTGAAAGAGAAAACGTCAGCACTTTCCACAAGCAAGTGTGATATTATCTACCTGACGTCTACTAAAGTTGTTTTATTCTGTATCACAGGCTGTGAGAAACTCATTTTGAGAATTTCTTCCAACGCCTAGAGATCAGCAATGAAGACTATCGAATCAAGAAAAAGATTCGAACTATTTTCATACCGGCTTCTTTTTCATATACAATTCCGACCAGATACGTTGTGCAGCATTGATAATCAAACTTTTATTTGGTCCCACCGTTGATATTGGACTGTCAAGACGGTGATACCACGTTGATCGAGAACTCGAATCATCACTAAATCAAACACGATGTTTTTCTGCATAGAAAATGAAATCTTCTATTCTTACCCTATTTGTTTTGTTCCAGTTTCATCAATTAAAATAATCAAACAATAACAAAGACAACCGAAAAATTCCGAATCTTGATTTGCATCCGTGAAGATTAGTTGTCGATTGTTAGCCAAACGATGAAGTGCATCGAGAATGAGCATTTGATCTAAATCAAATAGTCAAATATTCGATTTGTTGAGAAAAATTCATTTCTCACCGCCAATCGACTCAATTTTTCGTGATAATTCAAATAGTATTGTTCGATTCAACGAACGAAAGAGTGAATCCATGAATGTATTCGATCCTCGTTTTTTCGCTTGATTAATTATTTTAGTAATAAATTCAAAGATCTGCTTCGGTTCGCGATAATCGATTTCCCAGATTTTATTTACCATACGTTCGATAAAGTGTGTCACATTTTCCAAAAGAACCTTATACACTGACATATTGAAATTCGTCGACGAATTATTTGACGTTATAGTTGAAAATGCACGTGAATAAACGCTTTTCCCTGATTGTTCACCGAGACCGAAATTAAATGCACTAGTCTGATCATCACTGGAATTCAATGCACAAACATCAGATGTTTCCAGATACTCAATAACAGATTTGAAAACACATTGGACGAATATTTGATACGTTAAATCGGTATTCATATTTTCCGGAAGAGCCTAGATGATAACACTCGAGTGTTGAAGACGAGTTTGAGAAGAACACTTACAGAAAGGAAAGAATCAATTACATTCGGTACGCGTACGGCATTAGCACAGAGACTGTCGATAATGATATCTCGAATGATGTCAACAATTGTTCCACGCAAGGTGGCATTGGATGAAAACGAAGCTAAAAAGTTGGAGATTAATAAAACTTCGAAATCAATTTGTGTTTGATGCTTTACTTGTGAGTGAATCAATCTGAGTAGTTGGTGATGTGGGATCTTCACTAGCGACATTTTTCTTCAAAAAAAAAACGAACTTGTCTAATTGTAATGGTAAGACGAAATTTGTATCTTACCTGACGAGTGATGACACTTGGCGAATCGACAGATGCTTGAGGCAGCTAAAAGACGAGAGCAAAAGACAGTGTGGTAATAGAGTATTTGATTAGTTTACAATCACTACTGGAGGGAAAACAATTCCACAGAGAGATGAAAGGTATTCGACTGTTTGGATATAATTCGAAAATTCTGCTTTGCGACGGTATAATTGATGGAAAAACTTCAAAATAGCTAAGCCATTCTGTTCCGCTTGTTCAGAATCCTAAATCGAATAGATCGTACGATAGAGTCAGAGTGAAATTTCACTTTTACTTGAACTGTTAAACTTCGTATCATTGCTAGCAAAACTGGACAAGCATCTAGTTCATACTGTTGCTGAGCTGCTGATTGCTGTTTCGTTCCCGATGAACCCGAATTCGATAGAGTATTACCAACAGGTGTATGAAGATTGACGGATTTCAACAGTTTCTCTACCGTGATCTAAGTAAAAAAACCAAAATGTACAACATTCTTCTTTTCGTTTTCTCGAGTCTCTACCTCGGTTTGTTCCATCATATCGTCTGAAGGTTGTTGTCGAAATAGTAGTGCTGTTAATTGATAGTACGTAGGTATAATTTCTGCTCTTTGCGCATAAATATGTTGCAAAAGAACGAATCCCGGCAGTGGCACTGAAACATTGGCATTGGTTCCAAGCGCTAAGCTTGGATCAATACCTAACGGAAACGATGTTTTCGCTGTTGTCCGGTCATTGAGTACACTGATCCAGTTTTCATTGATGGCTGCTAATGGTGATAATGGGGTCGCATTTCCTGTATTTGACGTTGGAGACGAGATTGTAAAACCACTACCTGGCGTTGTTGCTGCCGATGATGTTGACGATGACAAGGAATTTCCTACTGTTGATGGATTACTCAATAGCATCGCATTGTCACGAAAGCGCGTCAAAGCATTCGAGGATGATAGAAGAAACGCAATGAGCAATTTCGTCGTTACGATAATCGTGCGAGGATGTAGATGAGACTGCAGAAAAAGAAGCAACCAATCGTAACCGAGATGTGCAAGAAATTCATCAGTTAAACTAAAGAGAATAAATGACAACGCCATTTCAACATTCAAGATGTACTTACTTCGTTTGTGAACGTTTCTCCTCTGCAATCGTTCGTGCTAACATTTCCAGTAGAAAATTTCGGAGACTTATACTCTGCACAGCAGCAGATGAATCATCAAGAACTAAAAGTGATCGACATGAATACTATAATAGCTTTTCATCTCTAAAATCCTTACGTTCATTAACAACAATAGTTTTTTCCGAAAATGAACTCGAAGGCAAAAGATAAACAAGAAATTGTCCAAGTCTAAACAAAGCTTTCAAACAAGCATTCACGTAAATCGATCAATTACTTGATGATATCGTTGGCGTTCTTATACGTCACGAGTAATACACGAATTACACTGACAATGATCGGACGTGTCGATTCCGAGAGCGAACCGTCTTTCAGTAAATTCAATAGACGTGACATCAAGTTGATTTTTTGTGATAATCTCTGATTCATCATCAAATTTTGTGTATCACTGAAAATACAAGTTACGACAAAGTTTTATTTATCATGGTAGGATATAGTCGCTACTTGCCTTGTCAGAAATACATCAAGTAAGTGCTCAAATGACGACTTTTGAATATCAACATTAACACCTTTCCATATCTAGATCGAAAAACACGGTTTTCTTCATACGCACAGACAATGCTTCTTACTTCAAATTCACATAACAAATGTTCGAATGCTGCTGGATTCGTAACTGCTGTTGATTCACGAATAGTGTCAATAGTGCCAACTAATGTACATGTTAAGTGTAAGATATGACTATTAATAAGGTGACGTTTTTTCAAAAATAAAAATCCCAGAAACTAAAAGTGAATATTGCTTTGCGCTCTCGATAATTCAACTGCAGCTTTCTCACTTGATATGCTTTTGTCCTCAATAATTCATTTTGCATTTGTTTATTTGACTTGAGCACACAAACAAAAGCTTTTACTGATGCATAGAATGATTCAATATCATTTGACATAGCAATTAGACCAAGCATGACGTGAGGACCACCGATATATTCAATCGTTTTCGAAACTGGATTCGGAACGAAAATGCGAACACCTAACGACAAGAAGAGAAAATAAACGCACTCGATGTAGAAGGTTAACTACTACCTAAGTAACCAATGACTACTCCACCAACTGTTCGAGCAGGACCACTGTATGGTGCAGCAATATTATACAAAATTCGAATAGGTACCGTAGATTCATTGGTCGGCATATTGAGCTAAGAAAAAACACAAAGGAAAAGTTAATGGTGACTACGCTTGTACTGAAACATTGTGAAGTAAATACCTGTTTGGCAATTAGTTTTGCGTCATTTTTATTATAAAGCTTTTTAAAATGTGATAAAGTTGTTTCGAAGAAACTAGCAGGGTGCAAGCCAAAGATAATTCGATCTTCAGGAAATAATGGCGAAAAGATATCATTCACCGGGTCTAAACAATCCAGGAATTTCTTATTTCTCTTCTTCATTCCGGTTTAGAAAACTCGTCATACCGATACAGACAGCTTGGAATGATCCAATATAACTTGGACCAGCTCCATACATAGCTGCGATAAGTTGTGAAGAAAGAATATCTTCAATTAGAAAACAAGGTCCCTGTCGCCATTGAACATTCGAATGTACACGTTGAACAGGTAATGAGCCAATATATGCAAAGGTCGCAACACTGTTTCCGGGTGGTACAGTCATATTATTGATATAATGTAACTAGAGAGAAGAACACTATTGACAAAAAAAAACGATTGCATCAACAAATGTTTACCTTTTGAACGGCAATCTGTTTGCCATTGATGTAAAGAGTAACGCCACTGTTTTTCAGCATACCTTTTGTCCAAACAAGTGCTATATGCGTCCATTTTTGTTCAATCATCATTTCCGAACACACAAATTTGACCAAACCATCAGACTTGATCTCATCAGTGCATATCGAATCATTGTGACAATCTATTGAAAAGATATTCTAGAATGTATTCTGAATTCGAATAACAAGATCTATATTTGTTCTAATGAATTTCACTTGTCTATTCGTATAAACATCGGTTCGTTGAATCGAGACAAATTATGTCTTTACGTTCGAAAGAATAGGAAAGAGTGTTGTTAAGATTAATCTCGTTTCCTTTTACTCAGCCGTCTTCACCAATAAGTGTCCGACTACTTTCGAACAAAGAGAAATAATCTTACCTTGAAATGGATGTTCTTGTGTTGAAACTAATAAAGATTTGTCTTTTGGATGTATATAGATCTGTAGAACGAATCGATAGTCTTCTCGATTGAATGTATTTCGAATAATAGATAAAAGCCGTATCGGATGCATATTATCCTTAACTGGTCCGAATTTCTCCACATAGAACCATGTTGAATACGTCATTCCATACTGTGGTGGAAATGGTCGTTCACCACCATTCGTTAACGTCATACCACCTTGTAGGACAATGTCATTCGAAATAGAAACCATACCGAAATTTCCGACAACATTTGTTGATGATGTGACGGACTGTGGACATAAGCATGGCAATAAGAGAGCACCAAAACCTTCGATACCCATATTGAATTCGACGAAAGGTGGAGATAGGACAGTCGACAGATTGGACGAGGTACCGGTTGGAGAATTTGGAATAATTAAAACTTGAGTTTCCCGACGAATATCACGTAATGTTGTCATTGAAACCAGACACTTTATTCGATTTAATGGTACAAATGGTTTATTTGATAGACTAACATCTTTTGGTGCAGTCAACATCAGTGCTGGACTCATCGTTGTTTCGATACCCATTCGAAGAAATTGTCTATTGAAAAAAAACAAGTCAGTATTCAATCTTGGAATGATTTCTTTGTTTACCTTAAAGTTCGCACTGGTAGGATAAAGGCAGCCAAACGTTCGAAAATGTATTCGACAGATGTATGCAAGTGATGATTCTCGTTCTCCAGCGCAACTTCGCAGATATACAAAATATGTTGAGAGAACCCGTATGTAGCCATGATTTGCAAATTTCGATCGCTTTTCAAAAGATTTTTCAATGTCAACATTAAAAAGTATTGCAATCGATTCGAATACTTAACGAAAGAGAAAGTAATTCTAATGAAGAATCATACTTGCAAAGAAGATTTCCTACTTGTTCATCAACCATTCGGGGTATGCAAGATATAATCTGTAAGAAACACACGATAGCACCTGGATAAACAATAATGGGTTCTTCCATATACAATGGAAATGTGAATGATACAGATGCTCGTGCTGTTGTTGACATATTGAATGTATTTTGACGAAAGAGTGAATTTGTAGATGAATCTTCGTTATTATCATTTGCAGAGCCTTGTCTGTTTGGTTCATTTTTCGATACTAGTGACCTGTACAGAAGAAAATGCGAATGAAATAGTGTGGAAGAAAAGACAATAATTTTGTTTTTTTTCGTTTTGTTAAAGGAACCGATTTCCCAAATTTGATGCATGCAATTAATTTCATTCTCTTTTTTTTTAATATCAAAACACATGCGCTTACTGAGAGATTTTATCAATGGTAAAATCATCCGCGAATTTCGAACAGCTGTAGAATTAGATTAATAAAATGCAAATCAACGCGAAGTTATTACTTACTTATCGATACAATCGAGTGCGATGTCATGAAAACATCGTGCAATGTGACAAGCATTGATGAGTTCAAGTGGCAAATCCGCCGACGAGATAAGACGTTCGTCCAGCGAATAAAATAATTGTTCGAAAATATCATAATTGTGTTTCGATGCATAATCAAACTTGGATGATGAAGATGTTTGACTGTCAATGAGGCGAGTTTCGTTGGTGAAACAGCCGAGTAATTTTATTGCATCACACAAACTTTGCCATCGAACCTAGGTAAAAGTATTCATCAAGATCGCGACCTTTTCATTGACATCATGGGCTGGACTATTTCTTAGAAATCGATGTCATTCAACTAACGTGACCAGTTAAACAATACTCTGGGGATAAGAATAGAATGTTTCCGTTATGGAAATGACGACTTCCGGACTGAGGAAGTCTCCGTCTTAGTATTCGAATACTGCTCTAATAACGGAATAAATATAGGATGTGAAACTCACTGAGAAATTCTGGTAGAACTTGACATTCGGAAAAGTCGGACATGCGTTCAATTGATTTTTATTTCTACATACCTCATTCTCAAATAATCGAGCATTGCCAGGCTCAAATCGCATTGCCACAGTTAATGTGTTTAGTATCAGACGAATGATCGATAAGATTTCATGTCGAGATACTTAAGAAAGAAGGATCTTTTTGCTACAAGGAAGAATAGGAAATGAGATGTACCTACCTGTGGTCCACGGATGTTTTGGTGGTATGGCTAAGCAGCCTTCCATTGATATTAATAAGGAGACAATGTAAACAAAACCGCCGACTTTTCGAAACACAGTACGAGTCCGATGACTCTCTCGAAGAATGTAGAGAAAACCCTAGATGATCACAAGATAAAATAAGCAGATTTACTTTGTCATTTTGGATTACTTTAAGAATAACGGATTTCATCTCTAATTCTTCTAATTTTGCTGTATGTATCAAACCCAACAACGTTCCTGTATCATCTTCCCCACCAGTACATAGCACAAGATGAAGCACGACTGTTAACGCAGCTATTCGACACAACCGATATGGTATGATATTATGGGCAAGTCGTGCTCCTCCGTGTTCTCGAAAGATTTCTGAAATCAGAAACAGATTTAGTTGTTTTGAAAAAAAAACATCTTTGAATTCGATAATGCACTAGAACATACTCGCATTTTTGGGATTATGTGACAAAAGTAATGCCAATGCTTCCATAACAAGAAAACCCAATTCTTTTTCTTCTTGATCCATATTATCGCCGGTATCTAAAGTAAATTTCATGGATACTTCCGCCTGGAAAATCTTTTCATTACCATTAACATCTTGTACTGATTCTTTTAACAATGTCGCGAAATGATGTAAACGTGCAATCAATACTTCAATGAATCCCAGTTCACGAAGAGCATCTTTCAATACATTGTTAAACTTTAATATATGAATCAGATATTTCACACAATTCTTATGATTTTGTATCAAACTAGGACAAGGAAAATATTTCATCAGATTGTTTCTTCGAAAATCCAATCTTACCTATTCGATTTTAACATGATCGATAAGTTCACCAGTTCTCTATGAGGAACATATTTGAGCTGAAAGACAATGAATTCTAATAGATCGTAGATTTTTAATTGAACATCATTGGGTTTATCATAGAGAACTTCAGTTAACGGCGAAAGATTTTCGCCGCAAAAGAAGTAGTTGGCATTATCAGCGAGAATAATACTGCCGATCGTATCGAAAACAATGTTGATCAGAAATGGATGCGTTGACTATACCAAAAAAAAAGACAAACAGAAATGATTGACATCATCGAGAAAGACAAACCTGTTGAAATATCGATTGGAGAATAGCAAATGCCGATAGATTGCGAACAATAAAACCTAAAAGATTCCAAAAAAAAATTTAATGAACAATGAAAGAGGCGTTATCTACCGGTTTTTTTGGGTTGTGGTATGATGAAACTTGGAATATAAAAAATTGTCTCTGGTCTTGGCGGTAGTTTTAATTCATTAAAACCTGCATATGTGAAATCACCGAGTAATGTTATGAAACGTGCGAAGAATTTTTCCGATTCCTCATTGATCCATTCATTTTCAAGTCTATTGACGAAGGAGAAAAACGCAGTGTTTGTCATGACAGTCACGTTCATCGAAGAAGAAAACTTTTACTAGTCAATTTACCTTAGAATAATATCTTTCAAATGAACATAACAATGTGCGAGACGAAAATCATCTAGAAGACTAGATGCTAATGCTGCTGATTCGATTAATATACAAATAAGTGTCTCATAAACTCGAGCTATCTCTTCCAACGAGAGATCACACGTAGCTCGACGTAAATTATCTACGCACTGAGATATATGTTTCCCATCTACGCAAAAGAAAGCAAATCATTCGAACATATGTTGACTTTTATAGTCGGTTTGCAAGTTTTACTATGTATGCATTGAATTGCTGATTGTAATGTATGTTTTCCGATTAAAATCAACATATCCGATGCTTGATTTCTCCATGGTTTATTACGCTGAGGACAGTTGCTTGAAATCGCATTGAATAACAATGAGAGATCATCACGTCGTGTTAATTCTTCCACGCATGAGTTTGATACAGCAGTACGTGATAGAAGCTAGACGAAAGACAAAGCAAAATCTCGTATTCAAATCGATGTATAGTTGATTGTTACTTGAAAAAATATTTGTTGAAGTAATATACGTTTTTCTTTAGGTGATATACTGTCGTTGGTAGCGTGAGTTGATGGAGTTTCGGGTAAATCGAAGAATAAATATAAACATTTGACTAATGTACTCGGTAAGGATGCTTGAGCAAATTTACTCATGATGGAATTCGGCCCAGTTGATAATAACTTAAGTGCATGGAGTAATGACCAACCGGAAAGGATTTGATTTTCATCTGTTAATTCCAAATATTGAATAATAGCCTGACTAGCGGCACTACTATTCGGTTCTTTATCAGCACGTTGGCGTATTTCTACAACTAACAATTTAGCAAGTGTTAAAGCATAATCAGATAATTCAGGAAATCGTTCTTCCCATTCATTATTTGATAGAACATTAAGAACTTTGATAACCATTGGTATCGTGGAATAGAGCCGATCGTTTTTTTCTTCTTGAGACCATTGCACTTTCGGACATTGATATTCATTGAAAATCTTTCGAAGATGTCCCAGTGTTAAAAGTATATCTTGAGATGTTGGATGACTTCCATCGGCTAGATTGCCTCCAGTTGTTGTGATCGACGGAGCTGATGATGTTGTTGTTCCACCATCACGTTTCGATAGGATTGATTTGAAAATTTTATTCATGATAGAAGATAATCATCTTCAAGCGAGATCTCAAAAAGATAAACATAGAAAAAGTGTGAGCATGAAATGAATGGAAAATAGTTTGCGTTTGAATGTCGTTAATAAAAATATCAATTAAGCTTATAAAAAAAAAAGACGAAGGAAATAATATGTTCTCTTTTTCCTATACACACGCGGGTGTTGAGCGAGTTCGATAGCGTCGAGCGAACGGCACCGCTCGTTCATGCATTTTGATTAAAAGGAGAAGAAGAAAAAAGAAGTCGGATTTTCTTATTCGATGAGTTCGCTAGTCAACAGAACAGAACAGCATCAGATGTCTCTATATGACAGATAAAGCCTATACGATATTAACGTTTCTCTCTTGTATAGTAGGAAGCATTTGTGTTTTTTCTTTTCGAACGATTATAATTACTCTTCGTGATTGTATAGTTTTTCTTTTTGATTTACGAAGAGAGTAATCGTTTTGGATCACATTACTTTTCTAAATGTAAAAGATCTTGTTGTGGAAATAAAATACTAAAATCAATGTAATTGGATATGGCATGGAAAATGGCTCGCAAGTTTTCACAGGAATATCGACGTAGATGTTCTATGTAACGGCGTCAATCAGAAAGAAAAGAAGAAACATGCTCAACCGGCAATTTTTTGTATCTCGTGCCTTTCCATGGACACTCTTTCCTATTCAATTTCTAAGCGATAAATAAATTATCATTAGATTGGCGACTAGCGTTCGGCAAAGAAATCTATGTGATTGATTGAGAGAGTATATAGGACGTACTGATTCCTATTACGTTTCGCTATGCTTGTACTCGTCACATTCATCCAGAAGTTAATTTGACCGGCTAATGCAACTACAATGCATATTCATGTGCAGCGACGAATGTTTGAGACATTCTTACGACCAAATAGAAAGTTATTCGTTCAATCGATTAAAAACTTGCGTGCGGGAAATCACACACGCTTTCTATGTATTTCGACGTCTACATTCAAATGCATAGGACATCTTCACATGTACCCAATGTTACCTTTGGCGTATTAAAGTGAACGACCCCAAAGTTTACTTTCTGTACCTCGACATTAGGATGATGTAAATGCTTGATGAATCGTATCATCAAGAAGATTTTATACTAAATTGTTCGATTGTACAATCGTCGAAATGATGATAAGAAAAAGCGAAATCTTGATCGTTTTTCTTAAACTGATATAAGATCGATTATGTTTCATACACACATGTACATCATTTGTAATGGTTTCTTTTTGGATTTTGATCTGCAGGCGTATTCACTACCTCCCTTGACAATCCATATCGGTAGATTAATCACAACCGATGAATGGTTCTGCTCGTTTGTTTGCCGTGCATTATCAAGGCGAACGCTCTTGATACATTTAGACAGCATTCGAACATTTTTTTTTGTCAAACTTGTAATGTTTCGTCATTATCTGTATTGCTTTACAAAATGGATTTTTTTCTTTCGTGAGCCAATGTCAAGGATAATCACATCCGTATTTAATGGAACACACACGGTACACCTAGTGATTTCATTAATGATATGATTAGATCATTCTATGAACGTAGTTCATTTTTTCTCGACTGCGATGAACTGATAAGTGTCATTGGGAAAGAATAAATTGTTTACGGGTCGCTTCACTGTCTTCCTATCATGTGATTTATTACTTATTAATCATTCATCTTGTGTCAAGCGTCCTATGTTCACTACATACAGATTTCCTTCGTTACTTTATGTATATGCAGGCACACATACATATGCATGACAATGAACGTTTTTCGTTTTTTTTCTACTTTTATCTTACGCTCGGTTGCATTTTAGTACGCTTGTCACACGTATATTCCTTGAAATACAAACAAGTATATATATATATGTGTGTATATGAACGTAAGGTTTTTCTTCGTCTTCATTTCTCCTTATTCTTTCTGTTTAACTCGGTATACTCTAGGTGACCCTCACCTCCCTGCATAGACAATTTTTCTCTCTCTCTCTCTTGCCTTCTTCTTTTTTTTCATTTCAAAATTAACGTCATACAATAGTTTAGAGTCAATGATCATGACCAATGACTAACTGAAGTCGAGTAGAGAAGAAAAGAGACACAGAGAGAGAAAGAGAGAAAACTTAACAATCACACCTTCGCTTATTATACGGGTGAACAAACCGAACAAAATCATAGACGAGTGGTAAATATTTAGATATTAAGATCAAATTTAGTACTGGTCACCTTATTCAACAAAGTCGTTCAACATTAGAATGGGTAATCGGGTAAGCAGTAGAAAATCAATCATATTCACTTTCTCACTTTTCCTATAGTGGCTTATCTGTCCTTGATAGTAACGAATGTCATTGAATTCGAAGCCGACATCAGATGTCAATAGAGACGCTCCATGAAGCGCAGAGCATAAAGGACAATATTACTTTCAGAAGTTTTCTTTTAACACATATACAGATAGCGTCAAAATAGCAATAGAAAAAAACTAAAACAAACTAATTCTTTGTCGTATCACCATTATTCGGTACAGCATATTCATTTTCCGAGCCATCGTCATCTTCAATCACCATGACTGCTTTTCGTTTCCGTCCTCTTTTCGAACATTCGTTGTTGCTTGTATTCACTGTAGCTCGAGTACGCCGACCACGTTTCGATGTTGACTGTGTTGTTGATTCTTTCATCGTATCTGTCGGTAGTTGAAGTAAACCTGCTTTTAACTGTTCGCGTAGATTTTGATAAACCTTTTCCAATTGTATTGAGTCCGAGTAGATAACTGACGTTTCGCAATTGAAAGTTTGAGCGTTGGTAACTAATAGTTTCATGTCAGCATCGAATTGCTCTAAGCTCGAATAACGGTACGCGTCAATCTTTCGTCGGATACGTTGAAAATCAATTGGATCTTTAATAATTTGATAATAAATTGGCAATTCTTTTTGTCCGGGTAATCGAATAAATATTTGTGCTAATTGACGATCATCATCTGTACGATACGCTAATAGATTCTCTAACAGTAATCGGCATTGTTCTGCTATTTTTGGATCGTTCGTTTCCAAACGTTTCTTGATGCTACCACGTTTTGATGGTAAATTGTGTTGCTGATTCTGTTTCGTCGTTGAAGATGTTTCAAATGACGAGCAAGGATCAGTTTCATCCATATCAATCTCGTCATCATCCTGCAATGTATTTCCACTCTTACGAGTTTGCTTTCGTATACGTTTTTGTTCAATTGCATCTTCTAAGTTACCCTCTTCTAACGCTTGTAAAAATTCTCGTTCGGTTAAGTTATCACTGTAGTCAATGTCTTTACGTTGTCGACGTCCTTTACCGAAATCTTCCTCATTTTGAAGAGTTTTCTCCACTTCATCGACATCATTCTTTAACCACGCAGGTAGTTCATCTTCTGTTATCAAACGATTGGTTTTCATTTTACGATGAATTCGCGATGTTTCTTGAGTGAAGTCCACGTCTTCAACGTCATCAAGTTCTTCTAATGGTAATGATGTTGTCTCTTCGCCAGCTGTCAGCTGTTCTCCTTCATCGATAGTATCATCGTCATTAGGAGCTGTGAATGCCGTTGGAGTTCTGACGAGTATAGTAGACAAAAAAAGTACATAACAATCAGAGAAATCTTATCTGTACTTTGCATTGTCCATTGCATTGGACAGATCATCGTTTGTATACGACACTTCCGGTGCAGTTGTTGTATTTGTTAATTTCCAAGCAATACTTTCATTAGCTGCATCACCGTTGTTACCCACGCCATGTAAGGATTCGTGTTCTCGTCTTGCCATGTCAATTTGATTAAATAAATTGAATTCCTTTTCGGTTCGAGCAATCATCTATTAATTGAAACAAATCATTTGATTTCATTCAATGGTTCGATGGTACATTTTCTGTTCAGGGTTTCATATCGATTCCATTGTTATATAACAAAAGGCGATCTCGAAAGATAAGTGAGCGAATGGCGGAAGTAATATATGCTGTTCTGTTGACAAGATATTTACTTCTTTTCTTCTGGAAATAGATTTTATCTTTTCAGAAAGCAGAAACAATGAGTAAAACGTCATAAAATATCCTGCTTTGTTGGCTGAATCAAGAAAATCCGTTTTGCTCTCTCCAAAAAGAACCAAACTAACGCTGATAAGGACGTCTTTTTTTCTCTGTCATCTTACTTGATTCAAAATTTCGTCATCCGGAATATCTTCGTCATCATCTTTAGATTCATCTTCGCCTTCGATTAGTTGTTCTAAATAATCATATCGTTCGCTCGATGTCGATGACCGATTGAACATTCCCGCTTGGATGACCATTTCATCAACGTTTAGTTTGTATCTCGCACAAGCTAAAATCTTCTCCTCGACCGTGTTCACTGTTATCAAGCGTAATACTCGCACTTCATTCTTTTGTCCGATACGATGTGCACGATCTTGTGCTTGTTGATCTTGATGAGGATTCCAATCGGAATCAAATAGAATCACAGTATCCGCCTTTTGTAAATTCAATCCCACACCTCCTGCGCGTGTTGATAATAAAAATATGAAACAATGGTTGTTATCATCATTGAAGTTTTTCAATAGTTCACATCGATCATCGGCTTTCGTTGTTCCATCTAAACGTAGATAAGAGTAGTGTCGATAGGAAAAATAGCATTCAAGCAAGTCCATAACGGATGTCATTTGGCAAAATAGTAAAACTTTATGACCGGAAACATTTAATTTTGGTAGAATGCGATCGAGCAGTTCGAATTTTCCTGATACACGAAAGAGATCAGGCCCGTCGATAATTCCATTGCTATGACCAAGTGTTCGTGCTAAACGTTCTTCAATTTCTCGGAAGAGAAATGGATGATTGCAAATCTTTCGTAATTGCATGATTTTATTCATTAGCGCTCGACGACCTCCTTTACCATTTTGACTTTCAATTATCAACGTTCGATTTTTTGACATGGCATGATAAAGACAACGTTGCAAAGCAGATAATTCGCATTTGATGATGTATTCGACCTAAGAAAAATCACTCAATGATGACAAATATCACTTTGATAGATACTAACTTTCTCTGGTAATTGGGATTCAACCTCCTTTTTCAAACGTCGAAGAAGGAATGGTCGTAAAACTTTATGCAAACGTCGAATGATTAGCAAGGTTTCTTCGTGATTTAATTCAACTTTTTCACTAGGTAGTGTAGCAAATGGTGCATTGAACCAATCAGTAAATGTCGTTGCGGACTTAAAGATTGTTGGTAGAATGAAATTCAACAAAGCCCATAATTCTGGCAGATTGTTTTGTAACGGTGTACCAGTTAACAATAGTCTATGTGGAGCATTACTGTAGTGTGTGTTTAAAATTTGTGTTAACTTGCAGTGATGATTTTTCATTCGATGTCCCTCGTCGATGATCAAGTATTTCCAGGCGATTTTCGACAACGTCGCACGATCACGCATGATATACTCATAAGTTGTCAATAGGACATTCAAACGATTTGCGCGTAACGTTTGAGCAAGCACTTTTCGAATTTGAGGTGAACCTTTGTATTGCAGAACGGTGACCTGAGGCGCCCAGCGTTGAAATTCAGCAGCCCAGTTGGATAATGTCGATAGCGGCACAATGATCAAATATGGGCCCGAATTTGTTTTGTAATCAATCAGATGAACAATTAAAGCAATTGTTTGAATCGTTTTGCCCAGGCCCATCTCGTCAGCAAGAATACCGTTTAAATTGTTGTTATACAGGGATACAAGCCATTCTAAGCCTTGTAATTGATAAGGTTTAAGTTGACCACCGATGAGCAGTCTGGATTGCTCTGTGATAGGTTCACGTATATGATGAGCGATTGAATAATAAGACTCTTTCGCATCGTATTCATCATCTTCTTTTGTAGCGGCGATTTTAACGGCATCACGTTTAGCTTCGTCGGTATCGACTTGTTCATCAGTCGATCTAATTAGAATATTCTCATAAATAGTGCTCGTATTCAGAAAATGACACTTACGTCGAATTCAAATTTTGCTCTGTAGAAGATGTAGTAGTAGTAGTTGTTGTCGATGTTATTGCACGGACTTCTTCCAATTGATCGGGACTGATTTTCGGAGGTCGTCCACGTGATCGATTGGCTTGTTGATGTTGCCGTACTAATTGTTTGAGATTATCAATATAAGTATCGGTTTGTGATAACAACAATGCTAAACGTGCGTGTTTTTTTTCATCAACTAACTTCCGATAGCCGTCTTCGTCTTCATTCATCAGACGTTTCAATCGCTCTTTCTCCTGCCGTTCACGCTCTTTGATTAATTCGCGTTCAGTATTAGCAAAATAAGACTGAACCGCTTTGCTCATTCGAGTCGTTGTCATAGCATATCGACGATGATACTCGCGAAAATCTCCTGCGTGGGTTAGAATCGCTTGGAGAAGTTTTTGATGTTTGTCAACTTTTCTTTGCTTGATTTCTAATTTACGTTGTCGTTCATGTTGTTCAGTTGTGCGAGCTTCACGAAGCTGATGACGTTTTGGACGTTTGTACGCGCGAGGATTCAGAGCAGTTTGTATAAATGTATCTTTCTACGTACGACAAATAGAAGAACGCTAAAAGAGAATAAAAAAGGATGAGAAATACCTTCGTTGTATTGAGAACTTCATGACGAATTTGTTTTTGAAATTGAAGCAATTTCAGTGATTTTAGTTCGATTAGGGCTCGTGTTCGTAATTCACTACTCATATTAGCCGGCATATGTTCCAATTCATGAATACGCTTTGATATTCGATTGTAAGAGCTAGAGAAAAGAAAATAATGAAAATGGTGAGCTATCTATGGTGAACCGAATCTCGTTGTTTGCATTTACCGTTTATCTCGTTCTTGTTGAATGTACAATGGATTGAGACAAATCGGATGTTGTTGAGTTCGATGAATACTTGTTTCTTCATTATTTTGAACTAACCATTGGTACATTTCTCTCGCCGACGAGAATGTTTTTGATGCACCGTCAGCATTTGGGTCATCGGGTTTCGAGACATTGGTTAGAACGATACTGTTCGGTTTTGATGGATCTGTTGTCTGATCTTGTTCTTGCTGTTGCAAATGTCGATTGAAAACGGTAGTTAATTGAGCTTTGTAGGAACATTCATTTAGTAGGGAATCGGATACCGGTAAATTGCGAGCTAGAAGACGGTATGCAGCTATTTGTGTCTTTAATACATCAGAACGAAGACGATCGAGTTCAGACGATTGAATTGTTATCACAGATAAATTACTATGGTCCGTTGTGGACATTTCTCTATATATATCTAAAACAAATAATCTGTTTTTCTGTGTTAATATTTTTGTATTTTTCTTTAGTTGGCTAAACCGCCACCATTAGATCGTCCTATCGTTCCAGCTAAACCTCGCAATCTTCAAGCACCACGACCATTTCCAGCTATTACTCCGCAATCATATGTCCCAGGCGGTGTTGGTGGCGGGTATCCAGGTATCTCATCTATGAGCTCTCCTAGTAGGTTTCCACCACTTACTAGAAATTCTTTTCTTTCTATAGTAGGTAATATCGAACCACCAATTATGAACTACAGTGGCGGACCTGGCATAATGCAACCGCCAATGCTTCCATCTATTCCTCCTCTACCACCTCCGATGCCCTATGCGAATCAAGGTCCAATATCAATGGTCAGACCACCGTCAATGTATGATCCAGGTTACCAATCGTATCCTCGTCGTCGCCCGGTGCGTATCCATCGTCGACCACGTCGTTCGCGGCGTTGTCGTCCAGTCGTGCGAATTATCGAGTCCTCATCGTGCTCATCCTTATCCTCCTATACAACGGTGAGTTCTTGTTCACCTCGCCGCTGTCGGTCACGGTCGCATTCACATCGATGTCGAGGGTCGTCATCAGCAGCACCTCAACAGCCAATTATTCTCCTACCTATGCAATGTCAACAACCTGCTGCTGCCGCCGCCGCAGTAGCTGCTCCCGCGGCACCAGCACAACTACCACTCTCTGTGCAAGCCCAAACCCAAGCACAACCGCAACCACAACAAATTATCTTGCCGCCTATTCGTATTCAACAATCAGGGCAATATAATCAACAACCGTTCACGATACCACCTATGACTGTTTCCCAACTTGGCGGACAAATTCAGCAACCACAGCAGCAGTCAGTTACTTTGTCGCCCATGACTATTTCACAAATTACTGGGCAAATTCAACAACAACAACCGCAACAAGCAATCAATTTAGCACCTATGCGATTTGGCTCACCCAATATTCTTTCGAATACGAACGCAAATTCAATGGTAATTCAAAGCGGCCAACCGTTCATACAACCATCTTCATCATTACCCCAGGTAACCACGATTGGACAACCACAGCAAATGCAAGGAAGTACAATCCAATATGTTCAAGCAGCGCCACAGTCATCATCATCGTCAACATTACAATATATATCAGCACAGCCACGGTCGACCATTGCTCCCCAGCGCGTCCTTGTAAACAGTACGAATAAAAAACAAGCGCCGTCATCAAAACCAGTTAAGCGATCTGTTTCCACACGTGAATTACGTCAGAGTGATCTGAAATACGGTCGCCGTCCATTTGATTGGTATGATAGCAATAAGCAAGATAATATTATCAATGAAAATGTTCAAGTTGCGCAACGAAGAAATACCGTTATGACTTAGGCGATCAAAAGACAATAAAGACTTCCTACAAATGACCAAAGTTGTCGTTATAATAAAACTTAGATTAATCAATAAACATATGAAATTTTTCTCGAGTTCAACTTGTTTCGCAAGGCATATTCAATATTTTAATTCGTTTTATAAATTGATCAGCAAAGCAAACCGAAGACTACTGAAAACAAATATGTTTTTCATTGGTTAACACGAAACCTCAGATCAAGGCGATTTCAGAAGATGTCGTTGCTTGTGATGCATACGCTTTCGTGCACACAAATTGTGTCTGCAATGAATTTCTCCCTTCTATGTTAATATCTGATGCAGAATGCTTGAAGTGTGTATTCATAACATTACTATTTTCTAATCTTGGCAGTACCTGCGTGTAAGGGATATACATATTACGGCCGATGTTTTTATTCTTTGTTTACATCGATAGAGAAGATTCAGAAAATACATCGAATATTGACAAAAGGAAATGGATAATGTCAATTGAATGAATATCATTAGAGAAATTTGAATTTTAGAGAAGTCAACATAATCAAATGATGCGATATTGACTGGACATCCGGTGATAGAAACTTCTTTTTTACACTTACTCAAACGAACAGAATTAAAAACTACCCTTCTAATCTTTCGCGCATATACTTTCGGAATATCCAGCCCTATGCACTTTGATCGAGGTCATCAAAGATTTTTCACACGCACACTCTCTCGCGCTTAGTTCTCCTTGTCCTTCTGGTCATATACTTTATATATAGATATCGTCTGTGCGAGGAGAATCTTACTTTTACTTTTCTCCTTCATCGGTTTCTACATTGTGAGTATAGTATTAAAAGATATTCTATGGAAATAATCGTTCCTTTACAACTAGATCAAAGACAATGTCGTCAATATTTGTTCTTCTCCTCTTAATTGGCGTTGTCTCATGCGACTTCAAACCAGAACGTGAATTCGAAGTTAAACAAGCTGGTTTATTAAACAGTGGTCGTAGTTATACGTTAGTTGAATAACATGTTGTTTTTGCCGGCTTATCCTTCGCTGTTGAATATTTAGAATTACTGAAGTTGGTTCATCGGGTGTAAAAGACGATCCAACTCGTTATACCATTCGAAATGAATTACTCAGTGTTGGAAAAAAGCTTGTTCTCCTCGACAAAAATCAACCAATCTACGAAATTAAACATAAGTTAGGTCATCTCTATCAACAGTAAGCTCTTATTTTCACTTTGATCATCTGTTTTCAAGTCAACCTCCTTAGATGGAAGATTACCGACTCAAAAACAAGTGAAACACTTGGAAAACTGAAACATCGTCCATCAATCATCCACGATTCATATAAATTTACTTCGCCCAAATTTGGCACTTACCGTATTACAGGAAACATAACCGGTCGAACATTTTCAGTGAAAAAGAACGGTGTCAAAGTATGTCAATCTCCTATGAACATGTCGATAATCTTCGATAAAATCTTTTACAGGTTGCTGAAATTCATAAGAAACGACTTCATGTGCATGATACATACAGCGTTGCCATTGCCGCTAATGAAGATCCAGCTATTATTTTACTTCTCGCCATTGGCGTTGATGAAATTCGTCAACATTGATTTTTAAACATTTTTCTCCTTCACTTTTTGAAAAACACAAAATAAAAATTTCTTAGAAAAGTATTTTCTTCTTGCATGTGTTGCAGCCTAACGACGGCGCATCTTATATGAAAATATCGTTACATACAGCTAAAAGGATCGAGTGATTATCGACACGAAAACAAAATTTCGTTTTGATGAGATTATTTCAAAATTGCTTTTATAACACATTGTTGATCCTAATCAACCGAATGTCACAAAACTTGTCCTTCACCTTCAAGACTTTTTTCTTCTTTTCAACTTTCTTCATTATTTACTCGCACAATTAAATGTATACAAAACATTAGAGCCAATTAATAACGTTACTTTTCAATAGCTGAACTTCATTTGCTTTCAAACTTTTTCTTTATCCAGACAAATCACAGTTAAACTACTGAATTATCCATTCAAATACGAACATATAAAAAATTCCAGATAATCATCGAATAGTATTCTTTTCATTGTATCCTAATCGGCTTTCTTTCTTGAATTCTTCTTTTTATGCGTTCTGTTTTACTTTTAATGTTATTATATTATTGCCGGATTGCTTAATCATTGGCTCTTCTCCTTCACATTTCTCTTTCTCCTTCATCCTTATACGAATCATAAATAATTCTCTCGTCCGGAGAGCGACCAATTAGCCACGGCGAACGAACACTCAACTTGAGAAAAAAAAGAAGAAAGGAAGAACGAACGTCATTGCCCAAAGAAAAATAGAGAGAGATAGAGAGAAAGAGAGAGAAATTATATTCACATTTAATGATCGACACTCGTCACTATTATGTTCTAATTGAACGATGTTTGGTCTGCCACTTTCAACATTCTATCATCCATCTTTCATGTATTTACCAGCACATGATACGATGAAAACGAGTACATCGGATAGCAAACGAAAGCAAACGGGAAAGTGTTCTTCGACACCGAAAAAGTACATTTCTATTCAGTTACATTCCAGAACGTAGTGATGTTTTCTTCGGCGAATTTAGATTTTGTCCGAATAATTCTGATCAGCCGGTGAAAAGATCCTCCTTTGACATTGAATCACTTTTAGAAATCAAAACCAAAGATAATCAAATCTCCAATCGAAGCTACAATGAAGATACCGAGGATGACTCGAGTAATGATGGTCAAACACCATTTCGTAGTCCACCCGTCTCATCTTATGCATTATTTAATCAACTAAAAAGACTGGACATGACAATAAATCATAATACTAATGTCAATAGCAACACGAAAAACGATCTAACACGTAAGTTATCATTCGTTGAAGGTGTCTTTGCATTGATTTAATCTTTTCTAGCTTCATCATCATCGGAATCAGATCATTCGCCGTATCGTTTGTCAACAAATAAGCATCTTCCTCACTCTCGTCATGGAATCAATCATAAAAATAAACCGAAACGTATTCGAACAATATTTACACCTGAACAATTAGAACGATTGGAATTAGAGTTCGATAAGCAACAATATATGGTAGGAAATGAGCGATTCTATCTGGCGACAACATTGGATTTAACTGAAGCACAAGTGAAAGTACGACGAAATAGACAATTCGATTCAAAAGGAGACAATCTTCTTTTTTGCTTCAGGTCTGGTTTCAAAATCGTCGAATTAAGTGGCGTCGCCAAGCTCTCGATGATCATCAACAACGTTTAGCATCATTTACTGGTAATACCTCCACAGCGAACGACGATCAGCATGAACATTCCGATTCAGATGAATAAATTTTGTCTTTAGTAGTGTTAAACTAATGAATTGTTTTTCTCCTTTCTCACATTGTGTACATATGCGTATTTTCAATATTTCTTGCCTAATTCACAAGTTCTTGTCAGTAAACAAACTCGTATGTGTATGTGTGTATGTGATCGTTCTCACGAGGAAAAGAGAAGACAATTTTATTGAAGAGCAATGAATCTTGTTTGAAAAAAAAAGATAATACCTTTTAACACGCTTAGTATTAATTTGTTGTCATTCATCTAACACATCGCGTTGTTCGATCGATCAGGTGAAAACAGACAAAAGAGAATGATCAATATTGGATACAAATTAGTCTAATGTTTAATAATTCAATGCGATACCAATTAATCCGTTTTCTTCTTCTTTGTGTTTGAAAGAACGATAAGTGCGTTTGTATGCGTTCTCAAACAATGAAGATGAGAACAGGCACCGTATGGATGCATCCGAATGAAAAAATTTTTTCTTCGACTATTGTGTCTTGATGATTTTCAAGTGTTTGATTTTGTCGACGATAATGCTAATGATAACAAATAATAACCTGCAGTGTTCGATTGTCAATGAGCAAGAGATCATGTGAAAAAAGATAGTAATGAACATTTGACTCTTGACGAGTCAACAAAAAACTTGCATAAGATGATCATCAGTATGCATGAGCACAAGGCAAATCGATGAATATCGAATCGATCAAACACAAAAGAAAAATTAAGTTACTGACGGCTTTCGAGTATTGTTAGAGAAAAATAAGTTGACATTCGAGGATTTGTTTTTCTTCAATTTTCTGAATTTATCAGTATTCATCAGTGCATCACTAAAAATCATGATACCTCAACGAAGACCTCCTTTGTTTAATTGCCTGTTGGATGAAGGTGGGGATGCTAAAATTGATTACATTCTTTCACTTTAATGTCGCATTTAAACGATATCTGTGTGTTTAACGTCATTTTCATTTTTTTTCTTAATATGGTGACAAAGATTTCTTCTCGAAGTAGGTCGATTGCAATTAATGATGTACTTTTTGGTTAGATGATGTTTCTGTTTCTACTTATCACTGGAAAAGTTATATCTAATGGAGAAATGGTAGGCCGAAGGATGAATGATGAGATAAGTAGAAGTGAAAAGTTCGAAGCAAGAAGGAAAAGAGAAACTGTAGCATGTGATACATTTGAAGTACTGCGCAGGAGTTAGTCTATAGAAATTGCACTCATAATTCTTTTTATTTCAGTTCAATAAACATGTTCTTCGTACCTATCTCACGATATGTTGTATTTTACCTGGTCATCGGACTGGGCCACGTCGCCTTCATTCACACAGCTTGGCCGACACAAAACAGTGCTGCTGTTCAGCTATTAGGTCTTTTTGGAGATGCACAAAATATATCGACGCCTAGTACGTTCTCTGTACATTCACGAGCTATGTTCAAAACAGCGATCATTCTTGCACAGCAGTATGATCTGAAGATAAATGGAGAATACATTCAGTGGCAAGCTGCTCAAACTGGTGGAGATCGAATAACTGCTCTTGATAATGTATGTCAGACAGTATCAAATTATAACACTGCCGGTATCATTGGTCCAGCATTCTCACGAGAATGTCCGACAATAGCTGCATTTGCTGAGAAAACAGGCATTCCTGTTATATCTTATTCAGCGACCAATCCTGATTTGTCTGATCGTACCTCCTATCCGGCATTTTATCGTACAGTTGCATCCGATAATGGTGCTGCAATAACAATTACAAAGTTATTTACTCGATACAACTGGACATCGGCCATCATTGTCTATCAGAATGACGCATTTGGATCAAGTGGAGCAATAGCGATTAGCGCAGCACTTAGTGCCAGTGCAGTGGCGATTCGACAAACGATTATATTTGATGTAATAACACGCAGTATCCGAGGTGATCTCAAAACGCTCTTATCTAGTAGTTCAACACGAATTATAATCTTATGGGCGGATCCAAGTAATACCCCCTTGATCTTACACAATGCAATCGACAATGATGTTCTTGGCCCGCAATATTTGTGGATCTTAAGTTCGAGTATTTCATTCGATACCTTCAACCAAACTTCTCATCAAAAACTAATCGGAATTCTCACCGTCGAACCAGTCACAGGTAGTGTCATCAGTGCACCATTCAATGAAACACTATTGAATGCGGCATGCAATGTTTGGCAAACATACGAACCAGAAACATTTCCAGGCGTATCGAAGATAGATTACTACGGATTGTTTGCATTTGATGCTACATGGTCACTAATTCAATCATTACAAAAAGTCTGTTCGTCATATTCTAGCAACCTTTCAACGTGTCCATCGATGATAGGTTCATCCTACTGTTTCGATCGTCGTTTTTCCAGTACCAAAAGCTTATTTGACGCACTTAATAATCTTGAATTCCTTGGTGTGTCTGGTCCAGTAAAATTCAATGCAAATACAACAGATCGTATTAATGGAACATATTATATTGCGCAAAACTCTCAACTTCTTACAGACTGTCTTAAGTTTATACCTGTACTTAAATATGGCGATGCTAGAGTTTGGCAACAATACACAGACACCAGTATAGTTACATGGCCAGGAAATTTGGCAGTTCCTCCCAGCGATCGAGGAGTACTAGAAGGTGTTGTACTACGAATTGCCATCATGGAATCTGTGCCATTCACAATCGTTACTTATACAGTAGATGAGTTTGGGCAAAATATAACTAAATTCACTGGATATGTACCTGACCTCATCGATCTTTTGCAAAAACAAATGAAATTTGTCCCTAAACTTGTTTTAGTGCCGGCAACTAGAAGTTATGCGGAAATAATACAAGATGTAATGAATAATGTCTATGATATGATGATAGGCGATGTCACCATCACGGCTGATCGACAAGAAATAGTGAGTTTCTCCAGTTCAATATTTGATAATTCTTTACGTATCATTATGCGACAAACAACCGCTGATCCTATCGATTTATTACTATTTATGAAGCCCTTCTCGCGTAATCTTTGGCTGGCACTATTAGGAACTAATATCTATGCAGGTCTACTAGTTTGTCTATTGGAAAAACAAGAGAACGATGCACTACAGCATCGATCTTTCGTTTCATTAATAGCCATGGGTCTATGGTACGCTTTTGGTGTGATTGTTGGCTATGGTGTCGACTTTCATGTGAGAACTGCAGCCGGACGTTTATTAACTGTCGGCCTTTACATAGTTAGTATCGTTTTTGTCGCAACTTACACAGCAAATTTAGCTTCATATCTAACAATTTCAAATTCTCAAGATCCAGTTTCAAGTATCGATGATATTAAGAATGGAAAGCTATCTTTTAACCGTATTGGAATTCGCGTGGGTACGACAGCAGAAGACTACTATTTACGTGAGATTTCCGGTGGAAATCGAAACTTCTTTACATTAAAATCGCTCAATGACCTATTCACTGATCTTGTCAACAATAATATTGATGCCGCATTCATCGACAGTGGTGTAGGAGAATACGCAACGAGTAATATCTATTGCAATTTAACATTGATCGGTACTGATTTCAATAAGTACTCCTATGGTATTGTCATGCAGAAACAATGGATGTATATTCAAGACATCGATGTATGCATTTTATCGTTTGGTGAAACAGGTGAACTCGATGCATTGAGAGAAAAATGGTTCGCAACAAAGATTTGCTCTACAGTCGACGATTCCAATACAGCAATGGGAATCGAATCGTTGATTGGTCTATTTGTCACTTTTGGTACGATCAGTATAATTTCATTGCTTGTTTTTGTATGGAAGAAGCGAAACTTTATACAAGAATATCTACTAGAACTAGTCACACGAAAAAGAAATGCTACCGGGAGAAATGCAAAGAGACAATCGAGATATTCACAGTGAACTGTAATGTACATTTTGAAATTAAATTGTCATTTTACTCATACAACTACAACTGTTCAATTGTTATTGTAAAAATATAATCAGTTGGTTATATTCATCAAAGCCGATGTAAATATCGTTGTTGTTGTTGTTACTACTGTCGTTGTATTAGCCAACAATGCTTCTAGAGCACGAACAGCGATCATTGAATTCGTTGGTGTTAACGTAGAACTATTGGTATATGTTGAGACGTTTATAAAGTTCACTGTTTGATGTTCCGATGCTACAAAGAAACACATGAATTCGCCCAATACAGATCAATTCAGTTCTTCACCTGAAGTTTCCCGAAGTCGACGATAAATTCGATTGAATTCTGTATGAAAATAAGAAGCCGAACAAATTTTATTACAACAAATCAACTAAGTTCACCTATCGAAACAAGTATGATTGTTGTTATTAAACTTATCCCCGCAATGATAGCAACAAATATAAAAATTATTGTTTTCTTCTGGTGAGCTAATTTTGCATTTGCACTGCTCTTACATTCCTGCTTATTACTTTCATTAATGTTCTAATAAAAAGATAAAAACAAACACTTGTAATCATCGTCTACTGTCGAAGATCTACCTGATTCGGTTTCATTTTCATCTTGCTTAGTAGATTAATCTGATGCCTATCATTCTCTTGTAGCGAGTGAGAAAGAGAGAAAGAGAGAAAGAGAAAAGTAGCGTGTTTAATAATGTCAAACAGATCAACACATGATGAACAAATCTGAATTTCTGGACACAAACATCATCAACAACAACATCTTGAATGAATTTGAGTTTATCAATCGCTGAAGAGTTTTCCTAGACACCTTGTTCGATTTCATCATCGTCATGATTATTTGCATTCACAGGCCGGATCACTGAAAAAGATGATGATCGAAGTGAAATATTCCAACGAGCAAATTGACATTTATGATTTCTGAAAACAAACACAAATCATCGAAAACAATCGATCAGTCGAAAGATATCAATTTCATTATTACTGGATGAATCGACGAAGAAGAATCGAAAGTAGATAGAGAATCAAATGAGTCAGCATATTCAAAAGCGATGCTATTAGATAATGAAACTAAACAGAAAAAGCTAGATTGAACAAACGAGGGGGCGATCAAACCCACTAGATGTTTAATAAAAGAATGACAAAATAAATTCATAAAATCATCATAAAGTTGATAAATAATGTAACAATGATCGAGATGTTCAGAAGACAAAGATTCATTCTAAAGAAAAACGACAAATTCAATTGTATTAATATAGCCGTTCATGTAGAGTTTGCTTCTAATGAATCGTACATTTTTATGACTCAAATCATTCGTTGTCCAGAAGGACATCTTCTGTTGACAATCTCTAAAAAAGAGTTTGTTTAATTGTATCCATATTTGGGATTATCCGTACTGAATCATTTGATTGATATTTGCTGTCTCATTGTTTAGTATCGAAGGAAAGGTTGAATTGAACCATTCGCTCGTATAAAAGAGCTATAGGAAAACGATGTTAAATGGTTTCCAAAAAGTATTTTTCTAACTGAATTATAGAGATGTATAGTCTTGAAATTAGTGCAAGCTGAACAAACACCGGCCACATGTGGAAGAAGAATAACTAGTTTTGTGAACCTAGATTCATTTGAAATGTAAGTCAGTGTTGAAGTTTTACATCTGAACCTCACCAAAAGACAAAACCAATCCAATAGATTATTGACAGACTTAAGTACACAACTACTAGAATGTTTATTTGTCGTGAAAATCTTACATGAATGCAATCTTTGTTTTATTTAAGACTTTTCGACGAGACCAATGAAGTTTTTTGAGTAAGAAATAAAACACAATGTCAAATGTAATTAAAAACATCACAGCCAAAGCGATGGTTAATGAATGACTTATATTGAGTAAGTTTCAAGTAAGAATCCGTTTCCTACTTCTAACTAATCTTACCTAAGACGGAAATCGAAGATGGTCGCCCAGATTCTCAGACGCTCTGCTAGATTAATGAACATCTATACAGAAAAAATACTTTTCCATTATATTACATTTCTTGAATCTGATACTCGATTCCAAATCTGATTGAATCTGATTTGGTCAGTTTGATTAGAGAACGGGTTAAACAAACAATTCAATTTCTTAATAAAAGAGTCAATTTTTTTCTGAACGAAGTTTTCTTCAGCGTTACCGATGTTATACACTCTGTGAACGCGATCAGATCCGATGAAGCATATTCAATCGAATCACGAACTTTAGCTTCGACATGAATTCCTTCTATGTTCAGAATAATCATCCATAGGAGAATGGCACTGAAATAGAACTTTCAAGAATTCCGTCATGTTTACATAGCTACCTTGATGCTAGATGACAAACGATGAATATTCCATAGATAGCTTTATATGAGATTCGGTAGATATGACGTTGTTTCGACGATGATGGGGCGAAAGATTTTGAAGTTTGTAACGTACGGATAGCATGTGAGTAAATACGATATTTTTCTTGTTCGAATAAACTAAGACTATGCGTTGTTAACTGTTGCCTCCGTTTAATCTTCTTATTAGATTTCAACATGCGAAGTGATTGCCGCGTGAGTAAAATAAAAAGGAATAATAGAAAAACTAAAATGAGTAACACTAGACATAACCACAAATTCCTAATAACCTTCAAGAACGGATAATACGAGAGAGCATCAACGTAACATACTAAATGAAAATGAAGTTGTATTAGAAACAATGTGTTGTTGGATTTATCCGATTGTCGACTGAGAACGCCTACAAATGAACGAAATAGACTAGTCGATCGATCATTAGACTATTACTCCATGGAAAGGATACATTGAGGTGTAGAAATGTTTCATACAACCAAACATTCCAGGCTTGTTGTTCTATGAAATTCCGATGATTCAGTCGAAGTATTCTATAGTTCGTTGAAATCAATGCACATGACATTGATAGAGTCTATAGAATCATAATGAACTCAACGCTACAGCTGAGAATTTCTTCGTTAGCAACAGTAGACTTTGTTCACTATCACTAATGATGTTTCTTGTTAAATGTTCTACTATACATCATATATTTGCGTTTCATCGACTCTTTTGGCTTCTATTCAACATAAAAAATTCCATTTTTTGTAGGTCATACAAGGTTATTGCTCCTCGGTACATTAAGTCTTCACATTTTTCTTCTTTCTCTGTAAGCAAACCTGTTCAGTATGTTGAAGTAGTTTTTTCAATAACGTAAATCTTTGTCCTCTAAACGCAGTTCATTCCAGTGTTCGATCAATCATGAGAATCAAAATCATTGAAAAGTATTTTCTCATTGGTTTATGCCGAACACGCGTTGCTAGACGAAGAATTTGCCGAATACGGCTTCGTAAACAATCCGACGACTATGCAAAGCAGAACACGAGTTTCTCGACGTGTCATTCTCAAAAATTATTTATAGTGGTAGATTCAGATAGATATCAAAACATATATCGATGTCGTTGCTCTGGTTAAAGTAAATTCGACTCGTTTAGTTCTGTACGAAGTGCTCGAGACATAAAAAACGGAGAGTTTAGATTGAGAATGTTCTCACTAATGATTACTATAAGAAGTATGTTCGTTCTCTTTGTTGTAAGCTGAATTCCTTCGCTTAGTATGACAAAAACCTACCTATTAAACATAATCTAAACTATAAATTATTATTACGTCATACAAAGAAGAAATATCTGACTGCGATCAAATAGCTTGGAATATGTGAGTAGTTCAAGTGAGACCATGAAAAATCTTGAATAGGCTTTAAAAAAGAAGTAAGAGATCGTATATAAAGTACATCAAAACGACGTTTGAATTGGTTTGACATGTTTTCAAGGTTTAGCGGTTGTAAAAGTTGTTTTATCTTTCTATGATTGCGTGCAACTGTTTAATTCGTTTATTGTACTAAAAGAACGACTTATTAACAAGGTTTCTGTACTTTTTTCGAGAATATTTGTTCCCGAACGAACCCGCATAATTCCATTTGAATGCAAAGTGCGTTCTTATAACAACTCGCCTCCCATTGAGGCAATCTACCTTCAAAAAAAAAGTAATGTTTGTGTAGAAATTTTCTTTTCTTTTCATAAGAAATATTGCAAAAAGTGCATATACTTTCGACAGAAAGAAAAATTTCGAAAAACGATGTAAGTTAAACTTGAGGGTAAACATTTCATAGATAAATGAGAGAAAGTACAACCATATGAATAGTCTGATGTTAATAAACATCCATTGTCTCCGTATTCATCTTCGATAAACTTTTTCCTTACTAATATATACTATCAGAGCGTGAGTACGAATCGATATTTGTTCATTAGTATTTTTCTTCGTTGACTCTCATTTCACATTCCAGATGAAAAACATGCTCGACTTTTGTTCGATTACATATCACACGACCTACCATGTGGAAGAAATATGTATATAGATCTACATTTGCGAAAAAAATTTTTCGACATATTTTACATAAAATCACACAGCACTACGGATATTTCTTCAAGCATGAGCGATCGAACTATTTCTGTCTTTTATTTTTAGTCGTATAGGCGAAGTTCCAGCGCATTCTGCGATATGTACTTGGCAACAATCGTTTAGTTTTCTTTTTCTCTTTTCGATGAATTCGCGTCATCTTGTTAATTATACAGACGGACAAAATATTAATATTTACTTGTTTGACGCATAGTCATGAAGCACTCTCAATACGGAATCGTCTGTTTTTTTTTTCTAAAATTCAGATAAAAAGTACTGTCAAATTCAGTTAGATATTTGCCTTCTGCGATGTAACGTCTCGATTGAAACAAGCGACAACTAAGTTTACCAAGAGACTTCATTAATGATTTCTCTTCCCATGTGAAATTCTGAGAAATGTTCTTTAAAATGTGTCAATATGCAGAAGAAAAAGGACAGGAAAGTAACACTCGCCTTATTTCAAAGAAAAAAAAGCAATTTCTTTTTTAAATTTCCTTTATTTAATAGTCATATGCCATTCTTTTCATTTGCATTACACCAAGTTTTTTTTCTCTCTTATCTAATATAAGTTTTTTTTTCAAATCACTAAATCAGCTGAGGCTGAGGGTGAATATGTCGTACGAATTCAGCAATGACTCGAACAGGTTCTTTTTTGTCGAACAGAAGAAGAAGAAGAAGACGAAGCAAAGAAATCAGTCGAGCGCGAAATCATTATACGATATAGTAGTCTGTTCTTTGCATATGTGTCGCGTCGATCGAGAAAAATGTATCTTTTTTTTTTGTTTTTATATAGATACAACCAAATGAAAAATGTTGAATAGTACGAGTAGGTTACGTTATTGACAAACTTAACAAAGAATTTTCAATGAAATTTTAGCGACAAAAGTCGAGATTGACGGATGGTCAGTGTTGTTTAATGTTCCTAATACGTTGTCGTGGATACGTATCATACTACTGTTCCTTAGTCTTCGATATTTTGGGTTTGAAGAAAATATTTGATTTGCTGACGATGAACCAGTTTCGTTTTTCTATGTTTAGTAAACGGAAATATCTCCTGTTTGTTGTTCTTCATACAGTATCTGGATTTCTCGATTTGTTCGACGGAATTCTAGCGCGATCACTAGAACAAAATTCGATCGTTGGGAAATTTTTCGAACATATCCTCGACCAATATTCTCATTTTCTAATGAATGCGTGCATTGGATTTCTTTATCCGTCCTACATCGCCTATTTCTTCTACGAAGTTGCCATTGAACTCTGGAATTCGATATTCAATTTGTACATACATACAATCAAAACCTCAGATCAAGCGTGGTGGCACCAGACTACATTCTTCTCGTCTGCGTGTTCGCTCACAATTCACGATCATCCGAATCTTCGTTTGTTGAATTGGTATGGGCCGGATATATTCCATGTAGTATTAGTACTACGCTACATTTTGCTCAATGAAGCAGGTGGAAGGTTTATGATGATAATTAAACAACATATCTCGATGAGAAAACTTCAGTTAATTATTGTATATGTACTCTGTTTTACCGGATTTTTTGCACTTCTACGCACCTTTGTAACATCCTGTTTTATGTTAGAAAAATTGTATAAGTTAGCTGAAGCAAGATAGATTACTAAGAGGCTTCTTTCGTTGATTTTTGTCAATATTTAAACGATTATAAATGTGATATGTATGTTGAATCTAAAAGTCTTATTTTCAGAAACTAATTGAAGATATAAACTCAATCGTCAAACGACAGAACGTAGAAAATACATTTTTTTAATGTCAAATATCGAACGACATATGTCGACACCTATATTATAACGAAGTTAAATTTTGTTTGTTAGTAAGATACCTTATCACAACGCAACGACTGATCATCTCTGCTCTGTACTCTACTATACTCTACTGCTACTGCTACTGCTTGCTTGTTGGTTTGATATATACATGTGCCGATTATAATTACGTAGTGCTTCGTCACTGATAATAATAAGCACATAAAAAAACAGGTTAGTTACAATGCAATTCGGGTTACATATAAATACATACTACAATTCCTTTCTTCGCTCTTTTAACTAGTGATAAGAATATCTAAGAAGTATATGATAGTATACTGAAAGATGTTCTCTTGGTATCTTTTGCTTTTTATCGGTTATATCTTGAATTCTACTCAAGGTCTTGGCCCTCTTCAACGTCGATTAGCAAGTATTCGACAAACACCCTTGGAACCTAACGATGATCCTGGTCAACCACTCTTCCTCACACCTTACATCGAATCTGGCCATATCGATCAAGCTAGAAATCTTAGTCGAGTAGATCTACAACCAGATTATGCCTACTCATCTTATTCTGGCTACCTCACAGTCAATAAAACTCATGAGAGCAACTTGTTCTTCTGGTTCTTTCCGGCAAAGAGTGGAAACACGAGCGCACCATTAGTTGTTTGGCTACAGGGTGGCCCAGGTTCATCGTCACTGTTCGGTCTATTTGCTGAACAAGGCCCAATTATGGTCGATAAACAGCAGACGCTTCATGAAAGTAACATTACATGGAACTCGAAGTATCATCTTCTCTACATCGATCAACCCGTCGGAACCGGTTACAGTTTCACGAAGAGTGACGATGGATATGTACGTAATGAAGATGAAGTTGCTCGTGATCTTTACTCAATGTTAACACAATTCTTTCAAGTATTTCCTGAATACGTTCCAAGTCCATTCTATGTGACGGGTGAATCGTACGGTGGCAAGTACGTTCCAGCGATTGTATATAAAGTTCATATGGAAAATCCATCGGCGAAAGTGAAGATCAACCTGAAAGGCATGGCAATCGGTGATGGTATGATAGATCCATATAATGAATGGGACTGGGGACCAGTGATGTACCAGTTTGGATTAATTGATGAACGTCAATTAGAATATGTTAATTTACAAACAGCATTAGCACGAAATGCTATTCGACTAGGACAATATAGTTTAGCTTATGATATTTTTGGCAGTTTATTTGATGACTTTTATAGCAATGCCACCGGTTTAAACGATGTCTACAATTATATATTAACTGATTTACCCGATGCTTTCGGTTATTATGTTCCATGGGTAACTGCAAGTGACAATCGTCGAAAGATTCATGTTGGCAACTTAACTTACAATGATGGCGAACGAGTACGAACTGGTTTAGCCAACGACGTAATGCAAACAATTGTCGGCAAGGTTTCCGTGATTGCCAATAACTACAAGGTACTCATCTATAACGGATTACTGGATGTTATCATTGCAACATCCTTAACTATGGATTGGTTAGATAAACTCGAATGGCAGTATGCGAATGAATTACGGGGTGCTGAACGAAAAGTCTGGAAAGTGCAAGATGACGATCGCGAAGTTGCCGGTTATATCAAACAAGCACACTCGTTTTTTGTTGCATGGGTACGAAATGCTGGTCATATGGTTCCGGCTGATCAACCGCGAGCAGCATTCGATCTCATCGATCGATTTATATCAGCTTAAATAGAACTGGTGATACTCATTCTTTCATTCTTTTATTTTTTATTATGATGATTTTCTATGAATAAAATGTTTGTTGAATACATTTCCTCAAAGAATCAAAACAGGAAATATAGTCAGCAACCAACAGGCCTGTGGCCTGAGCTAACCCATCGAGGATAAATCTAAGTCGTCATTGTGTTTAGCTTGTCTTTCCTTTCGCATAACTCTTATTGCTTCGTCTGTATCTTTCTTGATATCATTGACTTATCGTTTTTTATCGCCGCATCATCAACAACTTGCATCGGTATGAAAATCAAGACAAACAATTTAGCTTTCTGCTCCAGCTAAAGATAACAGGACACTTGTCTTCTACAGAACGTGGCGACAGAATGCAACTCCTGTGTAAAATAGTCTTCGTTGCCTTTTGCCACTGTGTTATTCTCGTGAATAGTTTTGATCCACTGAGACGCCAATTAGCAAGTGTGCCCCATACGCCATTACGCCCCAGCGATGATCCTGGTCAGCCACTCTTCCTCACACCTTACATCGAATCCGGCCATATCGATCAAGCTAGAAATCTTAGTCGAGTAGATCTACAACCAGATTATGCCTACTCATCTTATTCTGGCTACCTCACAGTCAATAAAACTCATGAGAGCAATTTGTTCTTCTGGTTCTTTCCGGCACAGAGTGGAAACACCAGCGCACCATTCCTCGTCTGGTTACAGGGCGGACCAGGTGCGTCATCACTTTTTGGTCTATTTGCTGAACAAGGCCCAATTATGGTTGATAAAGACAAAACTCTACATCCACGAAATATCACCTGGAACTCGAAGTATCATCTTCTCTACATCGATCAACCCGTCGGAACCGGTTACAGTTTCACGAAGAGCGAACAAGGTTATGTACGTAATGAAGATGAAGTTGCTCGTGATCTTTATTCAATGTTAACACAATTCTTTCAAGTATTTCCTGAATACGTTCCAAGTCCATTCTATGTGACGGGTGAATCGTACGGTGGCAAGTACGTTCCAGCGATTGTATATAAAATTCATATGGAAAATCCATCGGCGAAAGTGAAGATCAACCTGAAAGGCATGGCAATCGGTGACGGTTTAATCGATCCATACAATCAATGGGATTACGGTTCTGCATTGTACCAGTTTGGATTGATTGATGAGGTGGAATTGGAACGAGTTAATCTCGAGTCTGATCTAGCACGGACTGCCATCGAACTTAAACAATATTTGGTAGCGTACGCATTATTCAGTAATTTGTTAGATGAATTTTATACCGATAAAACAGGTTTACATAATGTTTACAATTATTTGCAAACACAAATGTCCGATTCGTTTAATTATTACATTCCATGGGTAACTGCAAGTGACAATCGTCGCAAAATACATGTCGGAAATCTAAGATACAACGATGGTGATGTAGTTGGTATTGCTCTCGCTAACGATATGATGCAGTCGATCGTGAACAAAGTCACAGTTATTGCAAATAGTAACTATAAAGTTTTAATCTACAACGGACTGCTCGATGTTATCATTGCTTCACCGTTGACTATGAATTGGTTGGACAAATTCGAGTGGCAATACGCGGATGATCTTCGCCATGCTGAACGAAAGGTTTGGAAAGTGCAAGATGACGATCGCGAAGTTGCTGGTTATATCAAACGAGCGCATTCGTTCTTTGTTGCATGGGTACGAAATGCTGGTCATATGGTTCCGGCTGAACAGCCTCGCGCAGCATTTGACCTTATCGATCGATTCGTGTCAGCTTTAGAAAATGAATAGATTCACTTTTTATTGTGCGACTTTTTTAAAATCGTCGTCAAATATATACATACACACTCAGAAAGAAACAACAATAATAAAGCGAAGAAAACAAAGAAGAAATCTGAACTGTAACACAAGTTCATAATTGTATTTTTGTGTATGTATATGCATATGTATTTGCGCACATGTGATCCAGAAAGATCACGGAAACAAATCGACATCATCTTGAAAATGATCGCCGATAAATGAAATGGATGCAATAGTAGTCGGTATAGGAAAAGAAGCAACAAGAAAAAAACGAAAAATAACTGTACATATTTTGATGATTTTTATGTTTCGTAATGTCTGCAAACATTCGAATCGAAAAGGAAAATCAATGATGCACATCTTCTAGAAGTTAAACTGAAAAGCATAATGAAGAAGGGTGTCACACCAATATATAGAAGAATAGAAATCGAAATGGCCATTATGTTTCCCTGAGATTTCACCGTAGTTCTACATATTTATGTATTTCGAATGCATGCAAGAAGTTTGATTATCTCTGCGTCGAATGGGATGATGTTTCCGTTGTAATTGGAACGTTTGCCGTAGGATTCAATTCGAACTCGACCAGCAGAGGAAAGTGATCGGATGGTACATTCGGCTGCGGACAGCCAACAATCTTATTGGATTGTAACCATTCAGGATCAAGGGGTCCCAAGACACCAAGCACTCGCATAAGTTCTGATGAAAAGAAAACATAATCAATAATACCTTTGAAATCGTATCTGAAATCATCAATGGTCACAATGACATTTTATTTTAAATAAAACAGTTCTTACGTATAGTTAGTATAGGGCATAATTGGCGATGATGTCGTTTCATACGCTGATTGTAATTTAAAATTATGTACTATGTCCGTACTAGGCGTTGATGTCATATCTAACCGACTGATCTTTTGTAAATATGATTCGTATTGAAGATCTTTGAAATCAGCATGATTCAGTGAAATTTTACCGGTACGCATCAATTGAATGACACCTATTCAATTTTACAGCTCATGAATTCAAACATCATTCTAGGCAGTATTTACCTGAATCCGGTAAGGAGTTGAAATCCCCGCAGAGAACCAATGGCGCTGATGTACAGTCTGTCGGTGCATTTGAATCTGTTCGATGTTTCTGTAGTGCATCTTCCATGATTATTTTCAATTCTGATAATAACATTAGCGTTTGAACAACTTTCACATCGGAATATTCAGGATCCCAATGGATGTGTGCAGTGCAAACAAATAACATTTGTTTGTGTTTTGACGGCAAAGCACCTAGAAAAGTCGAATCGATGTAAGAAATGAATTTTGAATGTGAATTTACCGTGAGAAAACGAATGAGAGTAGATTTCTTCTTTTGTTTCCAGCAGAGCGACAAGACCGATATTGTCTTTGGTCATCACGCGATTCATCATATCATGACATGCGGGAACATTCGCTGCTGTTATTGCTAATTGATTGAATTCGACGAGATAATCTTTGATTAAACGAAATCTACATAGATAAAGCCACAGTGAAGTAAATGATGATAGGAATGTTGTCCATTACTTTGATTGTCGATAGAAGATAGCACAACCATCCACAAATCGTCGATCTTGTTCGCACATTGTCTTCGCTCGTGATTTCGGACTGAACACGCCATCATATCCAAGTTTCTGTAACTCAGGCAGAAAATACAAATGAAACTGATCGGTTTCAATTTCCTAGAACAAAATAATCGCGATAAAAATGAACCATTTTTATGCATTTTTATATGAAAGAAAAAAAGCAACTCAAGAACTGAAGTAGAAAAAATTTTCACTTGACTAACTACAAATGCCATTCATGATCAATAGAATATATCAAAACAATATTCACATTTGTACTGCTTCGATACACTTCTCTTTTCTGTTTGATCTCGATCATTTTGCTTACTTGTAGCGCAATTATATCAGCAGCATAGGTGCCCAATTCGTCGAGAATCTGCTTTCGACGGTATTCCCATTTTAACGCCCATGATGGACAATATCCATAAGAATATCTCGTCGCATATCTGTCACAGAGAATATTATAGTTCATCACTGTGAAGATCGCAGTAGGTTCAGTTGCATTCGGTGAAGCTAAACGAAGCCATGCTCGTGTTGGTGGCGGTTGAATAGCTAAAATACAAAACGAAAATAATTGCTCAACTATTCTCACTTCGGAGAGGAAAATCGATCGCTATTAGCTACTGCGGATGTATATCTTCTATGAATCTCATACTCTCTATCAATAGGTGATATCATACGTCGACAGTAATATGGCTGTATGTATTCCGTGGCATCGGTAAGAGCGTTGTCATCGAGATAGACTGATGGAAGATTATTCTCATGTAATTTCGTTAAGAAGAAATCCGGATAATTTGGTAGATTTGGAATGATTGGCTGCAACCATGTGTGATCACTGATGTCAACATAATATAATTCATTGGTATACTCATTGGATAGATTCATCATTACCAAAGACGTTCCTTCATTGAGAGCTGAGCATTTACAACAAGAGGAATTGTGGTACGAAACAAATGCTGTCGAGCATGGACATGTCATTGTATCATGGTATTCGATCGTGTAATTGACGTTGAGACCAGTGAGGTCAATCGTAAATTTGACTGGCGTGGGAGTGTCGTTGTAAGATCGATTACTTAGACGTTGCGATTTAGTTTGTCGGTTGGAGTAGAATTTTAAACGGGAATTGAATTTAGTTCGTTTCTTTTGGCAAGTTTCACAAGTGTTTGTTGTTGTATAACGTCGAATCGAATACGAATTGATGCGATTACGTTTACGCGATGAAGGGTTCTCTTTCTCACAATGACAATTAATCATATCATTCGAAGTGTTATTATTATAATTTGTAATCGATAGATGCTTCTTGTTGGGTAAGCGATTGGAATTCTCGCAATTTGTATGCAATTCCGATGACGATGATAGAGAGGAGAGATTGCTCACACTTGATGATGGGGATGTAGGAGAAGAAGATGATGACGATGATGATGATGAAGATAAAGACACGCGACGAGTTTGTGTCGACGGATGTGAGCTTGAATCGAGCGTTGGAAAGTTGAACGAGGATTCTTCAGCATCGAATGTAAACGGTGAAGATTCAGTGAATGGCGATATATGTTGTGTAGATTGCAATTCAGGATCGGTACTACTACCATAATCAGATGTTTCAGATAGCAGAACAACTTTTGGATGACTAAAAGTAAAGAGAGAGAGTACATGTTTTGTATGAACATATGTCGATCTGTGAGAAGATAAGAAAGTCATGTCTATAAATCAAGATTAAGATCTAATTATCGGTTGAAAATGTCTATGACGTAAATCAACTTCGTACTCTTCAGTTTTTCCACACGAGAATCATAAATTTACCTTAATTGAACATCTTGTTTTTGTTCTGAGAGTAATACTGATGTCTGGCGAGTTGAGAAAAACGCTGGTGAAAGCGGATTTAATGACGTCCGGAGTAGTTTGGTATTATTAGTCGTATTTGATAAAGATTTTCTTCCATTATCGTAAGTTTGTTCAATGGAGAATGGAATTTGAAAGACATTAGAATTGAAATGACTGTCATTAGTAATATCGACTAATCGTTGTTGTTGTTGCTGTTGATTTTTTTTCGAATAATTTGACGATCGTACGAAAACATTCGTATCAATATTCGAATTTCGTTTACCATGAGCATTATTATTATTACATCGTCGTGATGATGATGATGGTGGTGATGGTGTACTTGTCGTCGTCATCGAACGATCATTTGCAGATGAGGAAAAAAGATTTTTACATGAAACAGTAGCACGATGGGGTTCAGTAACTGAACACATGAGTTCGATAGTTGGCTTTACCAGATATGAATAAAGTAAAAAATAGTAAAAAAATAGATTATTGAATGGGTATCAAAAGGATGAATTCTTCATTTTGTTCCACTAAAAAGAAAGAAACGATAAAGTTAATGTACAACATATGTATACTTGACTTTCTTTTCATTTTCTCCTGCTGGTGCTACGAGTACGGGCAAGGGTAAGAAATAAGAGGAGAAAAAGTAAGGAACCAACTGGAGCTTGACTGAAAGAAAGTTAGAACAATATTCGTGTTCATTTCTCGATCGTTTTCTTCAAAGTGTTATGATCAGAAGTAAGTCAAAAAGAAAAACAGAAGTCAATTGTTTCACTCACTCTCGTCTCATTGTCACGATTATGGCTGTTCGTCAGCGTTGTGTTCATAATAGTGCGAGAGAAACAGAACTGTCAAGGTTAATGACGAGAGCGAGACAGAATAGAAATTCTTCTGTGATTTCGTTTTATTTCGGTAAAAGTTTTGCAGAATTTATTGAGCGCATTTCATTCTCATTGAGAAACAAAGCAAAAAAACTTCTGTTGTTTTGTTTTGTTTGACATACTAAGTCGATTGTCACTAGGTTTTCTTTAACAGTTCGAGACAAACAGAAGAAGTTATATTAACAAGGCCTCGATTATACTTCTCTCGGGATTTTTTTTTGCTTCTCTTTGTCAAACCGTCGAACATAGAAAGGAAAAAATGAATAGAAGGAAAATAATCTCGTTTTTCTTTCTTCTCTTTTTCTGTTCACAACATCGAAACGCGAGAGGGAGAAAAAACCCGTCGAAAGGAAAAAGAAAAACCTTATAGTGTAGTTCATCGTCCCTGGATCGGACTTGTTCTTTTTCTTGTCTATTTTCGCTCCGATGAGGATGAACAGCAAACAAAAGCTGACATACTCACGCGCGCACTCAGCCGATGCTAATTGTATTGGCTAACTCTGACAAGACGGAAAAGAAGATAAAATGGCAAAAACAGTTCTCTCGATGATTTAATAAAAATTCAAGCACATCGGCGAATGCTGCAAAGTGAAATAAAGAGCAATAGCAACAGATATTCACTTGACGAGTATGCTTCCAGGCCTGGAAATAGAATGACGAAGAAAAGAATGAATGTACTTTAATGAGAAAACTTAACAAATCTTTATCAACCTTTCATCATCATTTTTCATTTCATTTCTTACCTTAACGAAGTCACGTTTCCTTGTTTCTGTCCACGTCACTTAACTGTATCTGTCTATTTGTAATCAAGATAGTATCATTAAGTTATGATAGAACGAAGAAAAAAAGCCATAGAAAAAAAGGATAGAAAACTTGACGCATCGCACAGTCGACAGTTAAGGAAGACGAAAACAACATAAACATGTTGGTATTGTCTGCATAATTACACTCAAGGTTTTTACTTAAACACCTGTGAATAATGATCATAGTCAGAAGAAAAAGAAGAACAACAAAAACAAACGAACGATGATAGTGAGTTTTATCAAATATAGAAAATTTCTCTGATCGCTATTTCGAATCAGAACTCATCACGATTTTTTTCGTATTTCTCTTACCTTTTTTTTACGTTCGTATACATATGTACACACATTACGATTGGGTATGAGCAATGGCGCGTGAAATACAACGACGTATACTTGTTCAGACGGTAGTATGTCTCGTGCGTATACGCCTAGGAGCATTGCTTATTTTCTTTCTTTCTTCTCGATGCACTATTTTCTGGCAATTAAAGGGAAACTTAATCATTTTCGTGTGGGATAACTTTAATCTCTACCTTACAGTGAAAATAAAAGAAATATAAAGAGAATTCTGTCAGTTTATGTTACAGTCAAATGGTAATCGACAAGCAGTAATAGCAGATTGAAATATTTGAATTTATTCTTTAGAATAAAACATATTTACTGACGAAAAAGCGCCCGAAACTTTACTTCAATTGTACACTTTCACTTTTCTTTTTCGTTCTATCCCGTTCTCCTTTTTTTCATGTTACTATATGTAAACAATCGACACACTATCGAACTTCATACGTACATACCTTGATAACAACATTACTATTGATAGTTATAGTTGTCAAAGCAAAAAATTTCATGCATACTTACGAAAGAAAAATTAAAAAACATCGTTGTCAAATCGAAAAGAAATATGTATGAGGTTCACTTGGCGAATATCCATGCAAGGAGAAAAGTGTTCTTTTTTTTCTAATTATATATTCGTTCGAAATTCGATTTTTTTGTTTCGAAGAACTTCACTCGTTTGATCGCAAGAAGAAAGAAGAATTAATCGTCTTCTTTGTTGGCAACGTGAACAACTAAATGAGTAAACATCGAAGCCCTCGTACTCAAACAATGACCATTGACTAAGCACACGTGAAGAAAACGACGAAGAAAGCGAGTGTTGCAAGAGGTCAAGATATTCTTCATTGTTCAAGAACAAATATGAAAGTACATCTATCATCAGCTTACCTAAGAAGTAAAATCGACTATGGGTATGTATTCGTCGCCATACTGACGAGAGACGTTCTCTAAAACTCTACAAGTGCACAACAAAAGAAAGTGAATTCATAGCAATGCCAGAAACAACTACGTACTTCCTTTTTTTTCGAGTTGTGCCATTGACAGTTGATCGAGAAAGTATTTCCCGTCGAAACTCTGAATAGTGTAGATTTCAATTCATTTTCTTTTATCATTTGGAAATCAAAACATGATCTGAATTCGATAAACGAGATGATTTTCCAGTTTCATATGGCATTATCAGTTCAAAGTAATGTTTGTTAAGTTATCAGATCACCTATCAATCAAAACAATTAGATAACAGTCCCCGAACGTCACTACGCAACGCATGACAGGTTTACTGGTACGCAAAAAGAATCGACGAGAAAAAAAATTTGACACCCTTCATCGTCTGAGGAGACGAAACTGTAATGGTTTTTAGAAACGCATATCATATGTAAGGAAAATTGATATCGAAGTTAATGTAGAAAAGTGAATGCGTTTTCTCGTAGAAAACATACCGCTTTCCGACGAAAAATGTCTTAGCTAGCTATTTAGCAGGTCAAGTGTAACGAGGCTAATAGAAAACACTGTTTTTCAAGGTAAATGCGCCAAATGGTCGACATTTAAATATAGATCAGTTGACCGCGATAAAGTTCACAGAACTGAAGACTGACTTCGAACATGATTGATTATTTCAATTGCATTCTCTGAATATTCAAAGAATGATTTGCTGAATTTCCGCAATTAAACCCTCTTTTGATCGGTGCGTGGATTTTTCGATGTTTGCCATATGGCTTTGTTAGAGATAAACACTATTGAGATAACATATTACTAAGCATGGCAAACCTTCGTTGTCACCAATTACAAAATACATAGTTTTGAAACAAGAGAAACCCACTCCTTTATTAAACCTGCAAAAAAGCAGTAGTTTTCTAGTTCTTGGATGAAATATGCATTCTCATAGATCTCCTGCTGAACACTGAACATTGACATCGTTTTTGGAGAGTATTACAGTATCAAGCAAATCTAAAAAATCTCGAAGAATAAAATAATTCATTCTTCGGTGTTATAAAGCGATTTTCGTTGGAAGACTATCTTTTTTTTAAAGTTTGATTTTGAGCAAAACTGTTATCCAGATAAATGTTTTTCAAAACATTGTTGTAAAGGAGAAAATAAATGGGCGTAGAAAACAAAGAACGGTTCGAGCAAAGATCTGATTATGCAGCACCATGAGAACAGATTAACAAATCTTTTCTCGGATTAAATCATATCATTGTTTCTATCATCTTCTGCATTATCCCATGTTAGCGGCATCTAACGAGAAAGCAAAATGAAGTCAATAGTCCAAAGTGCTTCACTATAGTGATACTTTATATGGAGTTGATTTGGAATATGAGCACATTGAAGTCCATTTTTCGTATAAATAATTCATTACTTCACGTGTTCCATTTGGTCGAGCAAATAAACTTAAAATCTGATCGCCTAACGGATTGTTACTTAAACCTTTTCATCGATAAAGATTACTTGAGTGAACTACGAAAAATGCGAAAGGGGCTTTTACCGAGTTCGTCAAGGTCCAGCTTGCTCAATTCATACGGCAGATTTTTCAAGCAATTTGACTCAAGATAAAGCCTTTTCAGATGAAGTAAATCTCCTAAAATCAAAACCAAACTAAATGAATCTATACAATGAGGGTGAGGGCGAGGGAAAATTAATCAGCTCGAAAGAATAATTCAAATCACACAAACCAATTTGAGATGGTAATGTTTTCAATCGATTGTAGGACAAATCCAGGTACACAAGATTGATTAAATTGCCAATTTCTAAAACAGAACAAATGCTAAAGTTTGATCTCATTTTCCAACACATTCTATCGACCTGGAGGTAAATACTTCAATTCATTATTACTCATAATCAAATATTGTGTATTTGTTTGACAGAATAAAACTGGACTTAATGTTCGTACTCGACCTTTGATTTCCAATCCAGTCAACCCATTCTTTGTTCCTATAGAAAAACGCGAGTTCCGAAAATTCATTTCGCGTAAGACTCTATTTCGTAATCACCATTAACATTTCCGCGCGGATAGTTTTCTCCTTCGTCTTCATGTTCATTGAAAATCAATTGCGATTGTTGATTATCATTATCTTCATAGAAAAGATTATCGTTCAAATCTTTTGTGAAATAGTGATTTGCTGTTGATGATTGCATTTTGTTAATAATTAGAAATTTAAAAAAACAACGAACTTCTTGTGAATATTGAGTCAATTAAATAATATATACTGCCATTGAATTTGCAGCTCTAGGTCGTGATGTATTACCAGCACACGACTGTATATCAATCTGAAAAGATACAGAATCGAATCGAAGGTACTTTTGAAATATTTTATACACATAATCGGAATAAATTTAAAATAGTTGATCGTCGACTGACTACGAGAAATTTTGTCACAGGATGGGATAGAAATTGAGTAGTGTTGTTGTATAATACCATGCAATAAGTTTGTTTTCTTTCGGGTGGGTTCGGAAAAATATAAAATGAAATCAACACGATTGACTTTTACCAGTGAACGTAGCGGAAATTTTGTTCTGGTGTTCGCTGTATTCGAAGAAAATATTGATTTGTTTTTATTGTCGTTTTATCAGCTTAAATTTCTAAAATATATTAATGAAAAGTCGAAAGATTCTCATAAGCGACATCTATAACGAAAACTCCATTGAAAGAAAGATTTATAAGTTTTTAGACTGGAAATCGTTTCACTTAATTTTAAATAAACTTGGTCACTTTGATGACAAATTTTTATTTTTCAACAACGTAGAAGATATTCGTCCTATGATCTACATGACTCATTGAAAAAGAGCAAAAGTAGTAAGCATGTATGTACTTTTTATTCGGTTTTATTTCGTCCTATACAGTGGGTACACATAAGCTTTTAGCGACTCTGTACTAAATACAAATATTCAGTACTTTACCTATATTAAAGAAGAAAAGAGTAATAGTCGCATATCTGACAGATATATTAGATAATCAACGAATAAAAAGTTGATCTTAATAAATGACTCAGTGAACTTCGGGAAGAAAAAAGAAGATCATCGATATTATTTGTTTGAATAGTTTAGCAGTTAAAAATATGAAAGGACGGCGAATGTTTTCCTTGCATCATGACTCACGAAGAAAAATACAATTATCCGCATTGAAGCTTTCAGCAACTGAAGATTCGACAGTTGGAAATAATCCGTCGAAACCTCAGTCCAATCAGCTAAACATCGTGCACTTTTCCTGTATATATCATACAGAGCACCATCAAATGAAAAAAACCTCTGACCGAAAAGTCACTCAGTACGATCTGATATTTTATTTCAATTACTTTCATTGATGTTGAGCTCCAGATATAATTGCGATGTGACCAATCTTTGAATCTCATTTATTATCATGATTGCGAAAAAAAAATTCGATCGACTTTTAGTCATCATTCATTAAAACAAAATATGATTACTCTATGCTCTTGAGTATGTGGGATGTAAGAGATTGGCTTCTGTATTGTTCTGTCTATGAACTAATGCATACTGGACGGAACAATGGTGAACTAGGGGTCTACTTGCTCAAGTAGTTAAAGTTGAATCACTATGTGTGACTGATATTTTCATACAGCAACAGCAATTACATTAGTTAATTCTACGTATCTATAATTCGATCAATAAGCACGTTTGAGTAATCGTTTGTATTTCATGGTGACATCTTTGACTACCTATTTCTATTCTAATTATTTAACTTTCGCAAAATTCGAAAATTCACGATGCTATCGAAAATCTATTGAATATTAGCGAACCATGCGGACGTGACTAACCAATTTATCCGTTTTGAATTGAACTGTGATCGGATAGACAACACTATGTTGGCTGAATTAGAGGGAAATGGCGTGTACGTTATAAAGATGAAGACATGACATTTTTCGAGTCACCTACGATCAATTGTTAATAAAAACAGCTGTAACAACGGTAGCAAAAAATCCTTTTTTATATTCATCTCTAACAAACTGAAAGCTAAGAAACTTTCAAGTATAAATAATATACTCGATTGTTTTATTATAGCGTTGCTCCGAAATACTGATAACAGTATATATAACTACTGGACCGCTTTTCAATGCTGGTTTTTATGATCATTCCATACGAATAAAAAGCTCTTTATCCACTCAGTTTCACTTCTTATTGAGAATTCGTGTGTTTATTAGAGACAATACAATGATTGTGTTCTATACTCTCGTATCATTATTCATTTGTTTCTATCGTCCGATTTCTACATTGTCCTGTTATGACTGTGCATCAACGTTTCCAGGAAATAATGTATGTTTACCGGAATGCTCTCAAACAACTCAGCTGAACAGTACGTGCTTATTAACACGTGATATTCCCCTCGATGATGACTATTCTGGATCGGTACGTGCTGCTCATATTAATAGTGAACCTTTTATATTCGATGCAGTTGACAAATATTTCATTTTCGGCGAAGAAGCAGTCTATCAGAATCCATCTGTCGCTGTCAACTGGGATTGGGAATACGGGCCGATTACATATGGATGTGATACTCCGTAAGTAGAATCTTAAAACATTACAATTGTGCCTGCTTATTCAGTTATCTTTTATATACAATCTAGTGGCTGTAATAATCCGCAATATGTCAATAGTTTGCCAAATGCGTTAAAGGCACGGATACCCAATGAAACATTGGATCGACTGTTGACTGGCACTCTCGATAGCAGTTGCTATGTATGTGATGAATGTCTTGACGAAGATGTTTCAACGACCGACATGTCTAGCTGCCAACCGACGCTTTGTCCTCAGCACACTTGTAATTTTGTTGCTACACGCAGTTCAACAACAGGCCCAGCGCAATGTGATGGCGGATGGCATTTTACAAGCGGTTGCATACTTTCTAACGAACCTGCGCAAGTTCAAATGAGTATTATGTACTATATTCGTTCAAAAACGAATGTTATCTATCAGTTGGAAGCTACCTGCCATAGTGACAATTGTAATAATTTTACAACATTCCGACAACTTAAGAATGCTGTTACTGTTGATCCCGATTTGACTTGTTTAACTTCTATTACTACTACAACATCTTCATCAACATCATCAGTTTCAATATCTAGCACGACCAGCAGCAGTACATCCTCTTCCTCAACAGCAACAGGTTCAACTTCTACTACGACACGCACATCGTCGAGTGGTGGTGGTTCGACATCAACATCAACAACAACATCAGCACCTAGTTCTGCTAAACAAGTATTGATTAATGTGAAATTCATCATTCTGACGTTTCTATCATTATATATAATTAAATTTTAATGAAACATTCGTATCGTATACTTTCTTTCATTCAAATATCTGACTGAACATGTCATTTTGAGAAACAAAAATCAATAAAAATGAATTGTCACTCATTTGATACATTGACAGAATTTTCTCAGATGTGAATAATTTGTTTCGATGCATGCTGCCGAAGAGTGATATGCATTCAGACGACTAATATGATCAAGATCCGCAACGAAACCACTTGACTTTGTTGAGTATTGTGTTGTGGCTTCGTATAGTGCCTGATTGGGACTCGTTTCAAAAGTTATTTGGTAGAATATAATATTAGTTTTGTTATCGTCATATTTTGGTACACGGCCGTCAACATCAGACGACTTTGAAAATGTCAATAGCGCTGTATTGGGTCGATACATTTGTGCGTTATGAATTGAATGAAGTTTGAGTTGCTGACAAAGACTATTTTCCACGAGCGACAGTTGAGTATTTATAAATTTGACAATATGTTTCGCTGCTTGTTGAACTTTGTCATCGTTTGTCTCGATAGTTTTCCATTGTAAACACGAACACCAATGTGGTTCAAGATTAATATCACTGCATGTTCGTTGAGCGGGTATAATATGAAACAAAGAAATATTACGCTGATGAACGGAATTCTCTTGATTGTAGTTCATTTTATTCATATTCAATAATGATAAAAGTGTAGCGTGTATATCGAAGGGTGTAGTTAACCGATGAATGTTCTTTTGGAGATTTTCAATCGCTTTTGGATACTTTTCCTGGAATAGTTTAGGAAAGGTAAAACTCATAAATGGTAAACGTTCTTCAAGTTTGCCCTGAGGCGTCCTTCGAGTAGCAGAAAATCGTGCACCATGATCAGTCATGAGAATCAGAATCGTTTTCTTATGTTCATCAGCTTCACGGAAATTTCGTAAAAATTTCAAAAACGAATCATCAAGTATTGTGCCACCTGTATAACCATCATGCGTATACTGTTTCAAAAATCCGAAAAAGAATTTCTTATATCGCGAATATGATGACCAAAACTGATCAACATAAGAAAGAAACACGTCGACTGCGGTTTGATTACCTATACAATGTGAACCCCGTTTACTAATTAGTGATCTTGTTGTAGATATTCGATAGAACGGCGGCAGATAATGATCAGTAGGAGTCTTTCGAAAACCTTTCAAGCGAAGTGTCCATATGCCATATTCAGTACGATCTTCAGCATAGCCGGTCACGTAATTATGTTTACGATAATGATTCCATATGAACGGATATACATCAACAAATGAACTATTACGATGTCGACGCAACGTTGTGGGCAATTCAGTTTCTTTAAAAGAAGTTAGCATAGGGATAAGTTGTTGTGGCGTGCCGTCTCCTAGGATGTTGTAACCTTAAATAAAATATCAGAGATACAATAGTATTCTTAAAATCAACAACTATTCACAAACCTTTCAAAACAGTAGCTTCTAATTCTTTTGTGAGGTAATCAAATGTTTTCGGTAACATTCGTTCGAATTGTAATCTGGATACACTATCAATACCAAGAATCAGCACATTAAACTCGTCTTCTTTTCTAGGAAAATTCGCCAATCTTTCATGAACACGTTCATTGTAATGTACCGATGCATAAGGAACTCCAGAAAAAACACCTCTTCTCATTGTTCTATCACATTTTAAAACAAAGTAATCACTCAATAACTGAGTATTCTGATTGTAAATTAATCTAGTAGAAGTCATTTTGTACGATGCATCACCTTCACCCAAGTAAAACGTAACTATGCAGTCAACATACGGATGACTCAATCGTATACGATTATTTTCTATAATAACTGGATAAGATTTTGTATTACACGTCGACGGTAGCTTTCTCTGATCTGTCACATTTAAGTCAGCATTGTACAAAGATAATTGTGGGAATCGACACTAAAACAAAAGTTCAGAATCATTTCGAGTCACTTGGATTTGATCGTCATCGACTAACCTGAATAACTTCATTGTCGACAATGGAAGAATTCGTTGAAACAGTCGATCTGTCATTGCTATCCGACAGAGGATAAACGATAAGTACGACAGTTGAAAAGCTAACTAGTACGAAATATGTTAAAATCGATCGCCAATGCCAGCGTTTTAATAAACATCGACGGAGAATTGTCTTTGGAATGAATAATTTATATAGCCATAACAACATATCAATTCAACGAGCCAAAAGTTAATTTATTTCTGTTTCTAAAAAGATCAAAACAAAGTATGAAATTGAATTCTACAAATAGATTTAACGGATATTTTTCACGGAAAAAACATAGATGCGCGGTAAGTATAAAATTAATCGTGTACATAAGTAACTGTACCGATCTCGAATTGGATTGATAAGAGTTCAATGAAACACACACACACATACACGATGATCATTTTACAATGTTTGATTTGTCTGTTGTCTGTAAATCAGATATCTTACTTTTTTTTCTTGATAAGAAGAAGTATCAAATACGTATATTCCACTTCTGCGATTCGTTAAGAGACTCAGTCATCACTTTTTCTTTCTCTTTAACGCTCATTCTTCTCGCGTAATCTAAAGCACTATTCGTCGTTGTTTGTGAGAAGATTCCGACTGATTCTCACACACTTGTAGAGCATTACTACCTTATATTTGCGTTTTTATTATCTACACAGAAGGGAGAAAATGAAGTAAAAGAACATCGCAAATTACTGAAATGTAAAAAAGAAAAAAAAACTAGTTCTCGGAAGCACAAACAAAACTTTGCCAAGTGGCAAATAAAAATATACTTTCTAAAGGCCTTTTTTATTCGAAGTGGCATCTAGATCTAAGGTATTGACTCTTGAAAAATAGTTGGTATCCAAGCTGAATTACACAGTATGTTTGTTCACCTAGTTTCAAATGTTTAATCGAAAGAAACCCATATTTTCGCTTTTATTTCTATCCATAAGCGAATAAAGGTCAAAACGAAAAATAACTTCTCGTTCTATATTGGATTACGAAAACTCTAACTATGCCCTCAAGAAATCATGCAAGAAAATGTACTTTCTCATTTGCCTTTCGTGCTTAAGTCTATGAGAGAAAGAACGCTGCCTGTTTTCTGTCGTCGTGTACTATTATCGCATGAAAATCATGCTGTTGAAGTCATCTATCATGTTATAAAATCTTACATACTCTCAGAATACTTCTGGAATGTCTAGGAAGAAAACGTCACAGTTAAAAGTAGGAAAAAAGATCGATGAACGTCATTTTTTATGCAATCATGTGAATATCATGAATGAGAAAGTGAATAGAGTAGCAAAATGGAGTCATGTGCACATGCATTAAATATATGAGAAAAATGTTAGACAGCGTAGCTTTTTATGTCAATAAAAATAACTTCCAGTAATATAATATTTAACTAAACGATTAGATAGAGAACTGAAAACGTAATGAACATGAACCTGTTCTCTTCCTCTTCATTCATTGTTCTCAACGGCTCTAAATAGGTACGAATTTAAACTTTTGCTTTTCTCAGATCGCGAACAACGGACATGTTCTTAATACATCTTTCATTTATTTACAATGCTCCGTCAATTAAAGTATACATAGCAATTAGATATGTGCATCACAAATCGTGTGAGGCCACACCGAGAATATTGAAGACTTTGAAGGTGACAGTTTTTATCATAAATGTTTTAGTAGAGTTAAGTGACCGATTTCCAATTTCGATCTTGTTCAATGGTGGTATGGATGGTTATGCATTGAAAAGTAATGGAGCCGAATAGTGCTAGTGTGTTTTTCTTTCGTGATTCTGTTTTGATAGAAGAAAAAGCATTTGATTATGTAATATGAACCTTCACAAGCACGGACAATGACGAGAATCATTCTGTTTGTATATGATTGTAAATGGATCATTGAACGATTCATATTATGAATTGAATAAAAAATGTCAGATTGATTGTGCTATTCAATGGGTTTTATACAATACTGTTACTGAATGAAATAGTTACAAAAAAAATCATAGATTATCTTCTAAGGAGCTGTCAAATACTGTTTGAATATAACTTTCTCCAGGCCGTACTCCCGAAATGGCATGAATCGGTAATATTCTATAAACCAATTTTGTCTAGACTGTGTGCTTAGCACATCACATATACGATGTTTATTTTCTATTCTTTTCTTTACCAGAAAGAATCTCCATAAATCTTGTTGTTTCAGCTGGATCAATCGCAGAGTGCTTGATTTCGAACTATCAGATCAACAACGATGATAATGTATCCTATTTCACTGATGATATTCGACATAGTTAAGACCAACTTATCGTTCGATAACGCTCGTATTCTTTTCAATTGTTATTAAAAAAAAACAACATCGAAGGAAAAAATTTCTTCTGATTTACGTACAAATTATACACGAATATCACAAAGCGAACGAAAAAAAAAGAGACAAAGACACATGTTGTCAATAATAGTTCTATATACAGACATAGACGAAACGTATGAAAAAATCAATGAGAAAACGATTAAAATGGACTTGTTTCCCAGTTTGTCCAGAAATTTGAATTGATTTCAACCTTAGGTAAATAACGTTCGGTTAAAAGATGACTCGATCGACCCGACGACGACAAAGATTGACTTGTGGATTCCTTTGGTAGATGTTTCAACCAGACCATTCGTTGCATAGAATAAAGTGTATCAACTTCTAACTGCTGACGATCGTTTAGTTCACACTGAAAAGAATATTTTACATTCATTTATACATTCTACGTCATTTTGTTCTTACACTAAGACGTTTGTATTTCAGATTGGAATCTTCCTGCCATTTAATGAATGAACGTCCATTCCAACGATGTTTACCACGTTTACCTAATTCAGTTGCTGTGTAATCATTATTAACCATTTTCTCAGGTAATTGAATTGATGGATTATTATAAACTTCATTATCTTTCAATAATGAACAATAACTAAAAGGAATCTCTTGATTCAATGATGAACGTGTCGCATTGCCGCATAAACGTAGAACTTCTTGTTCATGGGATAGGATTAGTTTATCCTGGAAGACATTCGACATGAATTGTAAAACTTTTCGGGAGTTATTATCTTACTCGTTCAACTTGATGACGTATCTTCATTTTATATCGCTCATCTTCCTGTTTAGTGAAGACATCTGCTAAATGTGGATCGAGGTCATGCGGTGCTATCAATCGTTTGATACCGATTGCTGACGGAGTTGTGTTTGAATACGAACTAAATGATGAAGCGATTAAGTAACTCTTCTTCGCCATTGTAGTTTCGGAGAAGTCCTTTGGAACTTTCGGTAAAACGAATTCATGTAACATTGTTTTATGTCGCTTATCGATCTAAAGAAGAAGATCACATTTGAAATCATGAACTGGAAAGAAATGAATCAATTAGATGGTTCAATATTGAACGGTATCCAACGAGTTTTATTTTCTATCACGTGAACTGGAGAAGAACAATTGCTATTGCTATTGTTTTCTTTTTCTTAATAGCTATTGCTTCGAGCTAATGATAATGAACAGGAAAGAAATCGGAAAAGCATTTTTAGCATTTCTAATTAAAAGGAGAGGATAGTCTCTCTTCGAATTGGAAATAACTCAAAAGAATAGTCGTAATCAGCTGAAAGATTTAGCTTTAGGTTTCCTTTAGAAAGTGATTCTAACCTGTTGACGGATTTCCAGGAATTGTTTAATACTATTGACTGGTACGTCACGTGCCGTTGTCGATTCGGTCGATGAATTATCTGTAATTACGGTTGAATTTGTCGATGTATCTGTTGTGGCTGATGGAATAGATGCAGTCGGTATTCCGGCATTTCTTTCACGTAATCGACGTTTGTTTGGTGGTAATGTATCAATGTCAGCGGTTGGATTTGATTGCTTCGGATTTGTTGCTGAACTACTTGTACTGCTCTCATCGCCAGCGCCCGTACTTGAACATGAACTGGCTTCGTCGTTAGCATGAGTTGTCGTTGTCAACGAGGACTTTTCAGCTAGAAACCAAAATGTTTGTTTTTTGTTCTTGAGGGTGTGAATGAGTACGTACCGTTGGTATTTTCAGATGTTTGATCGTCGGAATTACTCGATGTTTGCATATCATCGGTATTCATGAGATTGTCTTTATCTTTTCTCAAACGTTCGGATGTTGTACGGCGTTTTCTCTCTCTCTCATTCATTATGGCTAATGTTTTGTTATCTAAGGCTCGTCTTCGACTGGATACTCGTCGACCATTATTGTTATTTAATGATGCTGATGTTTGAACTAATGTAGACAGATTTCGTTTACCACGGGCATGCGACCGTAATGTGCGTGTCGTTGGTTTCAAGTCCGTTTTTGATACCGATGATATTCTTGTACTCATACGTTCTTGTTCAGTTTTGTGCGATTTGTTTGACGAACTTTTTTCGATTGTTTCTTGCTCTTCTTCATCATCTTCGTTTTCCTCCTCTTCGTCTTCGTCTTCTTCAACATCCATTTGGTCATCTTCGATGACAGGTAAAGAATGCAATTGATTTTCATTGTTTGATTCAATTTGTGTGATGAGTGCATCGAGAACAGACGAAATGACTGTTTGCGGCGATGACGTCGATGACAAAGGTGGATATTTTTCATTATCATTCAAACTGGTTGCTTGAGAACTGTCGTCATTGGTGTGATTGTCGTTATCTTCGGTAGAAATGACGAGTTTTTCATCTGGTTCTGGTGACGCAATGGGAATATCGGTTGACATTGACGATAATAATTTTTCATTTTGCTCAATGATTGGATGTGGCAATGCCGACGACGACGATGCTACTGATGGCGATGCGGGACTAATTGTTAAGTTGTTATTATCATCATTCATATTCGAGGGATTTGAGCTAAAAGAAAAGAAAACAGACGGGCGATGGGTGAGACTTTCAAATAGTTTATGAAAATTTGTAAGATTTCAACTGATGGATTTTTCATGTAATGTTTTCTTTTTATTTGTACTTGAAGATACAATTTACCTATTTGGTAGAAGCTTACCTGACGATTTTTTTTGCTATTGCTCTCTTTCTATGCGGGTGTGTGTGTCTGTATGCAATGTGTGTATGCGTCGAACAAATGAAGGATAGAGAACAAGAAGAATGAGAAGAAATTCGCTTTCTTGCTCTTACGCGCACACATACGCTGTATGCATGTATACATATACGTATATATATATATACTTTTATTCTTTTCTTTCATGTATGTCTTCAATTTTTCTATCGATTGTGCCTATTCCTCCTAGGATTTTTTTCTCTATTGTCTTGTTTATATCATTCTATCATAAACGATTATCAAAAAGTAATCAGCTAAATGATGTTCGTCGTTTTCTTGCATGAGAGAGTATTACACCAGTGTTAAGTTAATTAGATGAACTTCTCTTTTACTCCTCTACCAAGGTTTGTATATCATATGTGTAGACGAGAAATATCTCTTTAGTTCAAGATAAACTTGACCATCTGTCACTACTATCATTGATAGAAGATATCTCCTAATCATTGATTCTTATGTATGATTTTTTTCCATAATAATATCTAACGTACGTACTAACACTTCTTACTACCGCCCGGATGTCGAATACACACGCATACATATGTATATACGCGCACATTTTTCTTTCTGTGTATGTTTTGCTTGCCCTTCTTTCTTCTTTTCTCTTTCTTTCTTCGTTTTACTTGACACAATTTCTCTCTCGTTCTTTCTTTTTATGCATTTTCCCCTCGGGTGTGTGATATCCACCTGAAATCGACCATACTTATTTTTGACATACTGTTTTAGATTTCAATGTCACAATGTACACGGAACTAATCAGGAAATAATTGCTGAACAAATGAACCACGAATGACTGTGAATTATTGATAAGAAATTTACGATCAATTTGGGGTACTCTCAGAATTTCTTACGGGTACGAGTGGGAAAATGAGAAAGTTGGGGTAGAGTAAAGAAAAACGAACTATTATATCGAGCACGCAGCTGGTAAGGTTTGTCTAACACATCTTACAACTCAGAAGAATGAGTGTCGATCTACTAATACGCTGTCTAGTCACTTTAAAGAAAATACGCCATTTTGTGACGTGAAAGATAATGAGAGAATCTCGCATAGCGCATTTTATCAACATGCTCGCATGCATAAAATGAAAATGATCGTGAGTAGAGCTTTTCTTATCAATAGTAAAGTAACTAAAAAAGATTTCTATGCAGCAATAATATTAGTATTGAAAATCACAATTAATCTTATGTAGTGAGGAGATTTCTCATAACTCTAGTGTAGCAAAATAGCTGACTAAGAGTGTACATATGTATACATCTGAGAATAGAAAGGATTACGATATAATTAGAACTGTTCATTGCTCTGTCTTGCTAGAAAGAATATCCTGAAGACGATCGGACTCTAATCAATATATTTATCGGAGATTGAGAGACATTTGTAAACGTCAATCTTAACTGTATAGGTTAGATGTCTATGTATCTTTATCTTCTCGTTTTGTTTCTCTTGCTGAGTGCCCAAATGTTATGGAACATCGCGGACGAACTGTCGAGCGTTTGGAAAGAAGATACCGACGTCATCTTGGCAGTTTGTCCTTGTCATTTTATCGTCATATATATGCGAATGTTCCTGTTGTACTTACCTTTCAGTTTCAAGTGTTTTTTGTAAAACAGCTCTTGCTAAAACGATTTTCAAGGGCGGAACACGATAGATGTGTTGGAGTTGTTCATCATCAGATGTTGATTGGATTTTTTGTTGCTCTTGTTCTTTGATTTGATCAAGTTTATTCGATCGTTTCCTTACATTCGAGCTTTCAACCGACGATGCGAAAGTTCCACTGTGAGCCCGTTGTCTAGTCGATTCAGGTTTTCGTATAGGTTTCTTCTTTTGTTCTTCAGGCGTCTGAGAAAATTCTGAGTTTCGATTGGCGGTCTAGTTTTAAACAGATTATTTACCTCAGTTGATGGTTCACGGATTTCTCCTTCTTCTTCGCTTTCGAAATCGTATGGGTTTTTTCCTGATGCCGATATTTCATTACTGCCACTAGTCGAACGAATCTTGCTTTGCGGTGAAGAATCCAATGTTTGGGATGAGCGCTCTCCCAAACCACTATAAGGCTGCAATATCAGTGATTAAAAGATGTAGATCATTTTTATGGTTTCTCTTTACCTTTTTCCGTTGAATTTTGGCGAAGGTTGTATGTTGACCAAGATCTTTATCTAATTGCTCCACTACACTTGAATGGAAATGCTGCTTATCATCATGTTCCTGATCGTTATCGCTGGTTAATGGCGATAGCGGACTAATCGATTCGTCATCGTTTTCGTTATCTGATGATTCCAACACGGTTGTTTCACGTCTTAGAACACTTGCCATTGTTTCGTTCAGACGAGTTAAGTCAACAACAGACGGATCAGCAGAATAAGTCAATAACAACTCAGCCATCTAAGTCAGACGAGGAAAAGAAACTGTAAAATCAGAATTTCAAAGTTGCAGAATATACTTTTGTGTTATTGTTAAGAACAGCGTCAACAAGTGGAGTTTGTCCTTCAGGACCAGGTGCATTGGAATTCGCACCAGATTTCAACAGGAGACGCGCAGCTTTGAATTGATTCTTTGTAACAGCTGAAAGACAGTTTATATTAAAAGGAACAAAAGGAAGTGTAAATGCTTTTATTTCTTGAGATGCAAAAGGACTAGTTGAACTCAGCTTATCTAGTCTTTTCGTTAATATAATCAACTTTTATTTTTCAGATTTACCTTCATGCAAAGGCGTCCACCCTAGAATACAAAGCAAGAGTTAAACGACTAATTGAGTATATTTCGATCAATCTCACCGGCATTATCAGCTTCGTTGACGTGCGCTCCAGCTTTGAGAACTTTCCGTAGTTGTTTCAAATCGCCTTTTCGTGCAGCTATGTGGACAATTGTCTCTCCGTGTTCATTTCGTCGATTGATCTTTGATGGACGCGGTTGAGGAGTAATCGAGGATGGAGATTGAGATCCAGCTAAAACATTCTTGTGAAAATAAGATATACTTGAAGATAAGACATACTGTTTGATTCGTCGCCAGCTGTTAATTGTTTTAATACAGCCATTTGTTGACGTTCGCTGACAATCAAACGGTGCGGTGCAAAATCCGCGGCAACTGAACCACGTCGTTTATTCGATAGTTGATTTGTGGAAGTTGAAGGTTGTTCTAAATTACAAAGAAGAAGATAATTACTATGTTTTGATTGTGCTAGATATCTTACCTCCATTGTCGTCATCTGATTCATTAGGAGAACTGGCCGTAGGATAACGTCGCTTTTTACCTGGCACTGACATGTTTTAATAACTCGTCATTTTGAGCATTTACTGAGATTAATTGGAATTTTTAAGACAGAGAAAAAAAGAAGTTCATTCATTTCATTGATTGGTAAACTTTTTTTTCATTGGTATAACATTTCTGTCAATCGGAAATAATAAACTACACTCAGAAATTGAAAAAGTAATTCTTGTTCAAATTCAAATATTCTCTTGAGAAAAGAAAGTGTTTTTTTTTTGCTGACAATCAAAGGAAGACGTTTCCTATATAGATGTCACTTCAAAATAAACGTTGATTAATGCCATTCAGAAAACAGTATTCATTCTTCGTTCTTATCTCATCATTAAAACAAGTCAAGTTTTTCAATGCACGAAAATCTCCAAAAAAGATCAATACCAGCAAATCCTGATAGCAATCAGCAAACAATATCGCTGGAAAGTGGATTACCAAGTGTGGGATCTATTGTAAGAAGTTATATGCATTAGAAAATGACAATGTCATCTAATCTAAATATTCAATTGCAGGTTTGGTCTGCTGGACGTACTCGCGCTCAACAAGCAATCAATTTGTATGCTAATTTAGATTATCTCAGACCATATTTTGATGTCGAACCGAAGGAATTAGTGCATCGGTAAAGATTTTGGTTTTCCATATGATTCTTCTCTAAATAATTCCATATTTATTCTAGATTATTGTATAGCTTAGTTCCTCGATGGCCATCGCCAGATGAAGTACGATAGCTAACTCTTCTTTTCGTAACTATATAGGAATAAATTACTATCTAGAGTATGAAACCTGAACTCTACGGTCCGTCAATGATTGTGTTCACTTTGGCAGCGATTTTGATATATCAAATGAAGTTAGGCAGTCACTCTGTAGTATGTGTCAATTCACTAACTATGAAAATGCATTCATTAGAAGAAAAATTGTTAATTGTGTTTAGCAAGACGGTACTCTAATCGGAACGAGTTTTCTTGTCTGTTTTGGTTACTGGATTGGATCCAGTTTTGCTATTTCGTCAATGTCATTCGTCTGTAATACACGTCTGACCTTTATGCAGATTTTAAGTATAAATGTTCGTTGAAAAGCAAATAGACAGTGTTTATTCGTACTAGAAGCATCTCTGATTGATTTCTACAGGGTTATGCTCTATTCAGTCATACGATTGTTCTTCTCCTGGCTACGTTTATTCACACGGGTCACGATCATCTTCTGTTCTATGGTCTCTGGTGCATTGTTGGAGGTGTAGCTGCCATCAGAATGGTATGTTTAGAAATCCAAAGGATAACGTAGACTACGTGTTGTATCGTAGATGTTTATTATTATGGCACGAACAATCAATCCACGATATCGGGCTTTACTCGGACTTTTTGTTGTAGCTATTCACATGTTTTTTCTACTCTACCTTCACTTTGCTTACCATGAATTAGCAGAAAGTATGTATTGAGTACGTCATGGAAATTAAATGCATGATCTATCTTGTTTCAATAGCTATTTCTCATGCAATGAATGATGAAGCAACTAGCGCGAATGATGCAGCTGTTAAATCTGTTTTGGCTCCCGCTTCTCCAGCAGCTGATGTTCTTGCACGATCAAAAGGTAAATAATCTCTCTATTAGATCAAGACTATACCTATGATATCTACTTAGATCGACTGATGGCACGGAATAGCTGAAGAATCCATGTTCATTTATATAAATATATATAGTGATAAGAGGAAATCTCATTAGTCGTTAATGTATAGATTCACAATGAACAACTGAACATTCTCTTTCTTATTAGAAAATCAACATGGCAATAAAAGAACACTTTGCTCTAGATATGAAAATATCTGCTTTCAACGTAAATTTATTTAAAATGTTGGTACACTATACACATGTTCTTTGTCATTTTCAATTGGTGAAGTCTTCTTTTGATGATGATGATAATTGAACACGTCGCGAAGACTTCGATAAGCTTCAGACGGTGTTATTGACGATGTATACGTCGACGAATTGTATATTGATTTACTTTTCGTCGCATTGGTACCGTTCGATGTCGGCAGTGACTGTTGAGGAACGATCGCATCAGATGAGTTTCCGTTTGCTTGATCAGAATTTTTATATCGCCAAAAGCAACAGCATTTACGAAACGATTTTCGTTCCAACATACAAAATGTCATGATTGAAAAAGCAAAACCTTGTAATGTGTTCACAATACAGAAGAGAATGTTGCCAATTGTTTGCACATAAGAATTCGGTATGAGAACGAGGAATCCCAATACCCAACTAAAGCCCATAATGATAGCAAAGAACAGTCCGATTTTGAAATTCTGTATTCGTCGGGATTGTTCCGATTTGGTCGAACGTAAATTAGGCTGTTGCCGATTCCGTATGCATAAATGAACCATCGTATAGATATAAAACACCACATTCAAACAGATGATGATTAGAATCGGAATAACCAATCCGTATAACAAAAATTCGCGTGTTAACCAGCAATAGTTGCATGTAGAAGAGACAAATGTGGAATTAGGATATTTAGCAAACATGACTATTAATGGACAAATTGGTAATGTGAATGTTATGGTAAAATAGATAATTAGTAATGTCCGATCAGACCAGTAGGACTGGAATAGATTAGTAATGAATAAACTTTGTTGCAGTGAAAAACACAATTTCCAAAGGAAAGCAGTTAGTGTAAAATAATACAAAGATGCAGAGAGTATTGTGCAAGCAACATTCCGCTCTGCTTTGATAAATGTCAGAACAAATATGAGAATATTCATGATGATTAATAGTATACATAATACGAACAACATTGATTTGACCATTGAGAGTCGGCGTGGTTTAGTCTATGAAATCATATTCGAACACAATGAAGTAATTTGTATTGAAAAGAGAGAGAGTGAGGTTTCTTACCATGATTCGCCGTCGTAATTCTTGACTTGAACTCGAATGTGATGATGAGATTCCATTGACGTTATCCTTCATTTTTCGACATTGTCTTATAACAACGAACATCACCAATGTAACAGATAGACCAAGAATGGAGAGAACACATCCAATCCAACTCAGAATTTCTAACGCTTTCGATGGTGTTGCACATGACAAAGAGAAAAACACGGTAAACATCGTTAAATGTTCACAGGTGCACATAACCGATGTATTATTTGACAACTGCCGATCAGTTGTACAACCATCCGTTTGCCAAATCATACTTGTTGTGTTCAAATACATGCAAGTGCCTTGTAACAGCATTTGACCAAGTTGATCATAAAATGAATCTGAAGTTGAATTAATCGAGACATTCGATGTTTCATTTGTGATGATTTTTTGCTCGAAGTAAAACGTTACTGTTTGATTATGATCAGGTGCAAGAATTGAAATAACATCATATTCAGGTATTCGATTGGTATTGTAGAATAATTTCGGAGATTTCAGTGATGTTATCGAGAACCGATTCGTACAGTTCGTTGTTGTATTTCTATGAAAAGAAATAATTTAGTATCAACAGAACTACTTGACATGTTACTTACGATGGTTCACATTTCGTTTTATTTAGTTGGTTAGGATCAATTTTGAGAAATATACGCGATGTTACAGTTGGATCAACAGATGTTGTTTCCGTGATATTCTCTGAAATTCGGTTATCATTGGTTATTTTAAAACCTAGACGATCTTGATCAGGCATAACTGTTGGAAAACGTAAGCTCATCGTTGAAATCGGTTGACTTTGGAAAACGAAGATCGACTCACTATTATTAATAGTTTTTATTGACCCATCCAGAGACACGAGTAGTTGTTGCAAGACAGTAGGCGATGACAATGATGCTGTATAGACTTCTGGTGACCACGGTCGGTTTAACATTTCGGAAAATGTCTGATGGAACATTTGTGCATCATTTGGTGATGATGGTGCAGGATTTCGATTAGAATCAATTAGAATAGTCGCAATGGAATTGAATCCTTGAACCCCTAACGTTTGATTCGGATTCACCGTAAGATATTCTTGACTTTCGCGAAATAGAAATTGTTTTGTATAAGGTGTCAACGGTATACGCTCTTGGAGTGTATTGTAGTCACACCGAGATAATGAAATGCACGTCGGTTCCGACGGATATGCTTCGGCACATGCAGTTCCATTGGGACATTGGACTGATCGGCATTTATCGCAAAAAAAATTCGTTTCACTTCCAACAAGATATTCGACGCCATTGAATAGACAGATGTCTGCAGAGAAATCGATAGCAGTAACTGAATCCGGACATTGATAGAAAACTCCTTGGCGTTGAATGGTTTGCAGAAATGATACGTAGGCACAGCTGCACGTTTGAATCATTCGATAACTAAGTATCCATTGCGATGAGATATCCTTACATGATAGAACGTTAAAAATGTTATTCGAAGAAGGAAAATTTCCTTCGGCAATGTTAATGAATCGTAGTTTAGGTAAACGAACGATCTGTTGTTGAAAATCGTACCATGAAAACGAATGAATATTTCTCAACGTGATCGTTTCAAGAAGAAATAATCGACTGAATGGTTTTTGCAATGTAATTAAATAACATGATGTTATATAGAGTGTATGTAATGATAAATAAATCGATGAAGATGAAAATGTTTCACTGGAGATGAGTAACATCGTTATTGGTTGCGAATAACTGTAAATAATATACAATTGATTGATGGAATAACTTGAAAATGAAGTACCATCGAGCACAAGATAATCATTGCGATTGGCATCGTAGATTCTCAGTTGATCAATATGTTTTCGGCCGATATTCGGAACGCTGAAATGATTGCTTGAAAACATACAATCATTGAGTGTTATATTGATTAGTAGAAAGTTTGTATCCGAAACGGGATATGATGTTGCATTTTGTAACGACGGAGAACACGATAGTAGATTGCTAATTCGATCGTAGCTACAAAAACAATTCGAATCAGTTAAACGAAATGCGCTTGTAATCACCAATGGAATCAATGGCCAATATGTCGTACTTCGTGGTATGTAATTGAAATCCGTTGAAGGACTTGATGAATATGTACTGAGCAAATTCTCATGCGCATCCGTATTTGTATACACAATCTTCGATAGGATACTCACATTCATGCTGAGACTTGAATCCTCAGCAAGATTGAGTTTGATATGATAGAGTAAGGCAATTAAGAAGTGAAAAAGTGTAGATGTCTCCATGGTCTGAACTGGAATATGTTGGTAATAGAAGAAATTGTTTCTTTATATAGATGCGAACTGTGAAAAATTAATATTCTATTCGGAAGGAGAGAAAAATAAGAGAGAAATCTTCTTTTCTAACTTGATCAATACAATGAGAACAGCTGCAGAGGACTTGTATACTCGTGATTTGATTTTGCGATGAATATTATGACAAAACAAAATACTCATATTTTTTATTTTTGTATTCACGACTGAGAACTCAAAAGCCATTCGCTTAATGAGATAATAATGAATAAGAAAAAAGTGCTATTCATGATTTTCAATAAGACATATCGAAGTTCTTATGAGAATGTGCTAATCACTTTTCGATTACCATAGAATATTCAATTCTATACGTTCGAAGAAAGAAGGGAAGAATCCACGCACAGTCAAGTAGCATTATTGAGTTTATTAAGCTCTTCTCCTATTTCCAATCCTATTAAATCGTTTTCTTAGTTTTTAATATGTGTTGCCTAATCGATGTTGTCAAGCGAACGACGCCGAAGGTCGTAAATTTATTTATAAAATTGCAGAAAAAAGAAAAAGAAAAAGAAAAAGAAAACGAAGGCAGTATGATACGATTGTAAACAATACGTTGAAAAAATCCGTAGAAATCATCAAAGACAGACGAATAAGAAAAAAAGAAGGAAAGAAAAGTAAAAGTGAGAAAGAAAATATTCACTATTTACTGTTTAAACATCTGCAATGACGGCTGTACATTATATAGGTGATTTGACAAGGAAACCGCTTTGATTTCTTCTTATATATGATTTTCTTCTAGATGACTATACTTTCCATATCCCAAATATTGGTCTACCTCCAAATCTGAATTTCAATCAATTCGCACCACATAATTCAAATTTTAATAATGACCCTTCTTTTTATCCACAACAGCGTATCGCCTATACTTATTCTCAACAAGAATCAGAGCCAGAATCTATACAGCCACTTGTCATTCGTCGCCATGAGCCAGGCTCGACAGATCCGCCGGTGGCGAAAGAACCAATACCTGTCATTTTCTTGACGTCCATGCTACAGCCTCCTTTACCTCCCATCTTACCAGAACACATTCAACCGGCGAATATTCAGCCAAATCCATGCCAATCTACTCATCAATCGATTCCAATTCAGCCAACCAGCATTCACCGAACTGCATGGAAATCGATTGGGAAGCAACCACAGATCGAAAGCGCACCCGTTGATCCCAACGATCGACCTATTAGACCAATGAAAGATACTTCAGTCTACAATAATCCTCCGTCGTCTACCAAACCTTTACCATCGGTAAAACGAGTTCATTCCGCATCCAGTCGTCAGACAGGTCCATTTCAACTACCATCCAAACCAGCACGAGCTTCATCTTTTAAACAAACGGACCAGACGCAAACAACACTCAAAACTGCATCATCTCCACCGCATAATCCTCCGTCAAGATTACAGTCAGCGAGCAAACCTCCGCAATTGCCACCCCAGAAGCAACCATCAAGATTGGAATCCAGATCTAAACCACTTTCCAGATTGCAATCTGCATCGAAACTTGTAGCAACTTCTCCTACTCTTCAAAGACCAGATTTACACCCATCATCCCCATCGCGAAATTCCATGCGTAACGTTTCCGCTCGTCGTCCTATTCGAACGGATATTAAAACCATCTTTGATAACCAACTTACACCGCAGGAAAATGAGCGTCGTCCGATACTGATACATGAACCGGATACAAATAGTTATGGCTATTCAGAAACTCATATTAGATCTGCTCCAAAAAGAATAATTGTACATGAAGATGAACGGATGATATCCACGTATGGAATGCCGAATAGACGAGTCGTTGGTTCTCAACCAATTATTCATCGAATTCCAACGTAAAAATAGTGTGCTGATTGTTAAAAAAAGTCTTCTTCTCTATCTTGTAGAATGGATAAAATGTTCATTGATTCATAGTAGCTTTTATTACGGGGAGAAATGAAATAAAACGGTACTACTTTGCGGCAAGAATACTCTTGTTGGCAGTAACTAACGAAAACACTTAACAAGATCGGAAATGTACAAATGTGTTATCAATTCTCGTAAAAGGCATTCGAGATAGTTTTTGTTGCCGATGTTTTAATGAGTTTCTTCGTTCTTTTTCTCGAATCTGCTCTCGAATTTGAATGATCCAGTTCGTTGACATCTTCTAAATCTAAATCTTCGATAATATTATCTCGACTCTCGGTTTTGCTCTTCTTTCGTTTCGATTTCTTCGCTACCGATGGCGCATGTGAATAAAGAATTTTGTCATTGTCTCCATTGACGTTGAGATTATCGTCAGAGTGAAATTTCCGTATTGCTGTTGTGCGTGGTGTGAGTACGACCTGACTAGTCGGCTCAGCTGGATACGGTTCAACAATAACAGTGCGACGAACGATAGGCACTTGATGAAAACTATTATTATGCTCATCTAAATATACGAAATAGAGCAAATCTGTTTCTTTCAATGAAGCGAGAAGAATAACTATGTCATACTTGATATATCTTCTAGGTCAGCTGTTACACTGGAATCTCTGGTTATTTTCAATTGATGTTCTGTTGCTACGCTGCTATCACGATAGAGTTTTGTCGGAGCATGTACAGGAATAGGTGGTGGGGCAATCACAAAATGTGTGGGTATGAGTTCCGGATGAGGATGATGGTGATGATGATGATGACTGCGATGAGCGTCGTGTCCCACATCGCTGTAGAATTCTTCACGTGAACATATTGAACAGGGAGAGTGCGATCGTTGCCGATGGTGCCGAGAATGATGATGAGAACGATGTTGATGATGGTGATGACTATGCTTTCGATGTGAATGATCAGTTGTGTGTGTGTGACGATCACTATGACGATGCCGACGATCAGCCAAAACAGTATCGTTTGGATCATCATCATCCATAGACTTTATTCGACTAACATTTTGTACAGTTAAAGCACTCGGTGACGACGCTCGCTCTTGATTCTCTTCGATTTCGACGATTCTCTCTATCTGAAAAGAAATATTCATGAAGCGATCATAAGATCTTAAATCAATTTATATATACGTACAAGTTCTTTTGTTTCGGGTGCTTTCTTCATTCGCGGTAATGGTGGTGGTGGTTCAATAATTGTTGGTATCTGAAATGTACTGGCTGATTTTGGTTTTGTGACATCAACTTCAACAGCATTCTTCTTCTTGCGACTTTTCTTCTCATTCTTTCTCTTTTCAGCTGCAAAAAAGAACGACATTCGTAAGACATTGAAAAAAAACTTGTTTTCGTGCCCTACTTTTCTCATGATTACTGTTCAGTGTGACCTTCTCTGCTGTAGATGAAGTTCCGTTTGTTGTCTGTGCTCCATAAGTCCATTCCATCGGTTGAAGAAATCTGGCATCCATCGTTGGCTGCGCTTCTTGTTCAACATTGACTGGCCAATAGTTTGGCGGATAAACAACAGTACCTGGCGTTGTACTCTGTAAAGGAATCTGTTCATTTCCATAGGGAGCGTACGGGGGATTGGGATAGTTTCCATACGGTGCGAAATCAGACTGTGGTTGATAAGCATAATTATAAATGTCCTGATCATCTTCAGCTTCCGCTGCAATCTGCCTCTTCGTTTTGGTGTATGATTGTTTAGATCTAACAATCGGTTTCGGATTCTCTTTCCGATGTTTTTGATGCCAGATGCCAATGAGAATCAATTGTAAACCGAGATAGAATGCAAAGGCACAAATACCCACCCCAGCTAACTTGCCGGCATTGGTCGACGCAGTAGGATAACCTTCGAATAGAAGAAGAAATGGAGAAATTTCGGAAGAGAATATTTTTTACTTTGAGCATAAAATACACCACACATGATCAGAAATATAACTGCAAGAAGAGTAAATACTGCCATGCCAATATAGAATATATAGGAACCGGTGCGAGTTAAACCAAATGGACCATCATAGACTGGTTCTTCATAGACGACCGGCTAAATAATAAAGGGAAAAGGGTAAAATTACAAGTCAATCGTTATTTGCAAGAAATTTGCTCATACGTCAATGCTAACAACACCATTGTCACCGATAACAACTTCTTTTTTCCAACGATCATCGATCATTTGTTGTTCATTCTCACGATACGTTCCCATATGTTTCTTTCCCGAATTATCATATCTCGTTTGACTTGCCAGATAGCCGTTGGTATACCCATTATTCATCGAGATTCTACCGTTGTTCGTTGATGCTCGTCCATCATGCAATTGATTGTATCCGTTTGTTCGATCGGGCGTATTATTGAAATTCATTGCACCCCCAGTTGATGTTCGAACGCTTTGCCGAATGACGCTATCGTCGACAATTAGCTTTGGAATGTTTCTTTCTGCTGGATCCCGCACGAGATTCGTTCGTGGATCAGTTCGAGTCGTTTGTGTTATATCCATATCAGGTAAGCCTTGATTAGTCATAATATTACCTGCTAATGGAGTTGCTGGGTTGTAGTGTTGTTGCTGTCTTGTATGCACTTCATTTATTTCCTGTACTGTGCCTGGAATTGTTGCCGTTGTCGAACCGATCCCGTTGTCAACCGATGACAACGGCAAGTGTAATCCAGGAGAAGTGGGCGGTGCATCTTCACGGCTGTAGATAAACTCCGGATAGTAGTAGTCAGCTGGATAGGCGAGAGCAGTATTATCGATCATATTAAAGTACAACTATGTACATGTTAATGCATTTCGTTGCTAATGCTTATACTGTTGCTAAACCACTGTGCACTCCTTTTCTTATATTCGTTTGACTGACAGCGTTGTTTTTACTTTTCATGAAAGTGCTTCATAGGTAATCATTGTATGTTTTAATAGTTTATTGAATCACTATGATGTTATAGAGAAAGAAAAATACGAAATGGTATGAAAGACTTGCACGTTTTGTTCGTTTTTTTTTTTAATACTTCAAATTGTTAACGATTAAATGCTTAAAAGTGCGTCATAGTCTGAAATTCTCTTTACATTCCTCCTTCGCTAAATAGTGACTAAAACGATGCCTTCGTTTCTACAGAAACAGCCTGAGTTTTCTCCTGTTTTTCAAATCGATAGTTGACATAAAAAATTTCAGCAAAGTTCGTTTTTCTGTATCATCCGTTGTTAGTATTATAAATGCTTGAAATACCATGTCAATTCAATGAAAACACAATCTGTTTCAAGAATAATAAAAAGCTGGCCTCGCATTAATTGACTTTTGAATTCGACAAAATAAAATAGATGCACAAAAATGCAATAGAATTTAATTCAACGCCAAGGAAGTCCTCAAGGAGCCGCCCATCGACTCTGCAGCCAAATTGGATAAAGTGCAAGAATAACCGTTGAGAACATTCTGTACAGAACGTGTAAATAAGATATTTTACTTTCTCTTCGCTATATTTCACCTTAAATCATCAATCGTATTTTTCAAAAGACTATTGAATCATGGTTGTTTCTAACAACCTATTTTGCTTTGCTCTTTTGTTGGATCAGTGAAAAATATGGATTACATTTGCACTAGTCAACCTGTGCACAAACCGTAAGTCATGAAACAATACCTGTACGATACACAAAGCAAACTTAGATTGATTCAGCAGATACATCATTCACTCCTACCTGTTCGTTATGGCATCTAACAGGAACTAATAATTAGTAAAAACAATATTACTAAGAGTGTCGACGAACAATTCTGTATGTTGTTTTCCAGATGAGTTCGGTCGCGTAAGAATAGTACATTTTGTAGGCGTACCGTTACCAGTATGTTTCCATACGTCACGAAACTTTCGTGTCGATGACTAAAATGACGTCTTTGCCTATGAAGTTTCTACGTTCTTTCTCTCGATGTTTCATGATCGAACGAAGTAAAACAAGCCCAATATTGCTACATATGTATAGTGAACCGTGACTATTACAATAAATAGATAATATATGTAATGCATCATGTGCAGATAGAGAGCAAGAAAAAAAAGAATACATGAGATATATAACCTTGTTATTTATTTTGTTCTTTGCTATTTATTGACATCAAGAAGCTAATTTGTGATACTTTCTACTTGTCAATTGAACGATGCTCAGTACTTGGTGCTGGTGGTGGTTATTTCTGATAATTCCGGTTGTTATCGGCATTATCTTAGGTTCATTCTTTCTGTTTATGAAACGTCATCGCGGCAGTGGATATTTCCTATCAAAATTCTCGGCTTTCACTCGCATACGCTTTAATCATTTGGAAAAACGACGGCAGACGTATTGCCCAGCTAATGACAAATGCCAGTGTCATACGAATGAGTCAGCAGCACACATTGAACCAAATCTCACGTGTCCACATCGATCACCGACACTGTACATGAGTTTTGCTGGTGCTGCAATGATTGTTGGTGGTGTTCGAACCACGGAATGGCGTGGCTCAATGCAACAATGCCATTACAATACAGATGATCAATTCGATGCATTATTTTTTACCGATCCAGCTCAATGTTTCTATTTGCAGGATCCCGATTATAATTGGCAAGGTATAACCTATTATCGGAATTTAGTTGCACTCTATGCGACCCTTTATCAGCGAGTTATTTTGATTGGCGCTAGTCTTGGTGGTAGTATGGTTTGCATGTGTGCCGATCTAGCAACGTTATCAATTGCGTTCAATCCGATCTTGGATCCAACACTACTTGGTTTACCTTGGCGCATCATGGGTGCATTTTGTCCAGCTCGGCAAGCTCAGGTTATTCGTGATCAGGTGCAAACAACAATGGAAATAATAGCAGGAAAAAAAACGAATGATGACTGTGTTCTACATATTCATTGGAGTCAGTTATCAGCAGCTGATCAACGACAAGCACATCGAATTATTGGTGGTGGAAAATACAAGAAGCCGCGACAAACAAAATGTCTAACATCGGTCGCCGATTTTGACATCAATAATCCTGATATAAGTAGTTCATCGGGTGTCCACGCTTGGCTTCATCAATGCTCTCGCCATGCTCTAGCAATGCATCTAAAGCGAACGGATCAATTAATTCCTTTGTTGAAACGTCATTTGACTGCTCGTTCAATCGGTTTAACATCGATAAGCAGCCAACTAGATGAAAAAGAACGACAAAACTTTACTATTGAATTTCCTTTATCAACAAAGCTTCTTCATCAACTCGATAAAGATGCTATTGCGATTGATTTATCTTGAATTGCATTTTTCTTGTTGTATATCGCAGCCTGTACTTTGGCTTTTGTAATAATTCAATTAATTCTGACTTGGCAGAATGATACAAGTCTTTTTTGATCTGTTAAGTAGCAACGACAAATACTTTCCTTTCATTCTTTCTCTTTCTCTCTTGCACCACCGTTCTCATGCCAATCAAAGTCAAACACCTTCACCTTCTCATGATCAGATGAAATACAAGAAGAAAAACGAGAAAAAGAACACATATATAATTTCTTTTTGCTTCTACTTACCCGTTGTTGCGTTCGATCAAAGAGTAAACATCGTCATCACATTGCACATCAACAATTCTAAATGCCCGAACAATCGTCAGCATCCGTTACAGATTCATGCAGTATACATGATTTCGATGAATTGCTCTCCCTAGATGATATATTCGTTGATTATTTCAACGAATATCTTCGTTTAGGGACGTTTGTATATAAAATTAAATACAATCGAGAATTGAATACATTCATTGAAAAACGACCTGACAAACTATTCGATATCGATGACTTGAATCTACCTAACGAAAGTGAACAATCATCGAACGATGCTGACAGGATGAGTGTTCTTAGTGGATTTTCGAACTCTATCCAGTTGGACGAGATTCCTGATGAAATCATCAAAAACAACTCGAAAGCAGAACGAACTCGTCAGGCACAAGTTATGGACTGGGTGAAAAATGAACGGTTAGGTTTGTTTTGGCGCACGGAACTCTATCGACAATACAAATTATGTAAACTTCTACTACGTCCATTGGCAACACAGAAAGAAGCATCTGAATATTCCAGTCAAGGGATCGGTGGTTATAGTCGACAGTACGTAAACTGGCTTTATCAATATCTCAACTCAGCTTTTCGTGTTTTCTTCTCTCTGTAGAAGTGTATATACCGCTGCTCGAACACTTTCAACAGAGAATTCGAATGTGAATACGCATGGTCAAGCGGTCACATTCGAAGAGGGCGAAGAACAAGAGGACCTCGAATCGAATGAACATTCGGCAAATGCAAACACGATGTTCGATAATAATATCATGGCATCAGAATTTTTACGCATGCCACGACCCATGCCAAGACCAGGTAGTCGGGCTTATTCTGTTCCTGCTAATCTTGGTAAGTAAGGATTTTCGTTTGCATATCACTTTCGTCAATTGTTACATGTCTTTTCCTTGCCTAGCACGTTCTCGTTCGGCATTTTTACCGAACTTTTTCCCTAAAACTTCTTCGAAACTATCAAAACGCTCATCAAGTTCGAAAACCAGTCAGAGAAAGTCGATTCCCAAGGACGATGAAAACATTTCTATTAGCGACGCTAACGAACCTGGGAGTTTATCAATCTACAGTAGTATCAAAGTGAGATACTTTGAAGAATCTGATACGGAAGAAGACAACGAAGATATTGGTCAATTTGGTTTAGAACTAGAAAGCTCAAACAATCAATTGAAGTATAAATATCTCGGTAAATTTGCTTTTCTCAAATATTAAATAAACACGGATCGTGAACGCTCTATTTAGGTTCGCATAAAGGTATGCAGGAGTTCGTTCGCTTTCTTCAGACAACCAAAGGTGGTTATGATTTGTATCGCTTTTGGATGGATTGTGAATTTTTCAACGATACAATGGCGGGTCTTGATCAAATTGAAAATGTCGTTGCGCGTACACGTTTATTTCGTGATTTGAACGAAGGCAAATATCATTTACCGTTTATGCGTCATCTACAGAACAAAATTCGTCGGGCATATGCGGAAACAGCTGGTGTTTTAACTCATGATGTTTTTTACCAAGTTCAATATGATGTTCTGCGCCGTCTTCGAACGTATTGGTCAGCAAGATTTATCATTCATCAGCTCTTTCAACAACATCATTCAAACTTTGAATTTCCAACAGAATTAAAACCACCAGCGAAAGTTTGTCTTTATCCAATTGATCAGCGCGCACAAGCCAATCTTGTTGAAATGACACGTGTCTTCCTGTCGGATGATTACACAACTAATGAGAAGATAATTCCGGATATGAAAACCGACGATTTCCAAGACGATAGCGAACAATCGTTTAACAATGAATTCATGAGACGATATACAAATATTATTCGAAAAGATAAACAAGCAGGTGGACTTTTTCTACGTTATTTAACATTCAGTGAACGCCGATTATTACCTCTAATACTTTTCTGCTACGATGTGGACGACTTTCGCTACTCGAATTTAGATGATAAGATTCTCGAAAGTCAACATGGTTTATCTATATTGAATACGTACTTTGGTATGCAAGCAAATGAAAATTTTCTTTTCTGAAATATATTTGATTCTATTCAGGTAATTCAGCGAAGTTGTCTCTCGATCAATTTATGCCTGACATTCAAATCAATCGCTGGGTTGAGACATTTCATCAGTATAAATTCGATAAATTGACATTTGAACCACTATTTAAGCGAGCACTACTAATTCTCAAGGGTGCTTGGTTACGGTGTATAAAAGAAGACGTAAATAGTTTCACACTTGCTTATTATATAACAACCCCACCTGGGGCGTCGATTAACGGAAGTGATAGTGAAGATAACAAATTGGAACAAGAAGAAATCTATGATGATGAATTGACAGAGAATGATGAAGAACAGTTTTCTGTCTTGTCACGAAAACGAATCAAACGAATCTGCACACCGGAAACGGAAATTCAACTGTCGGATGATACGATTTACGTCAAACGTCCATGGTTAGATCGATTCCTTTCATCAGCCACACGAAGAAGTAAGCGAGCTGGAAATGAACGAGAGTTAACCGAAGAGGAACGAGAACGTCTGCGAGCTGAACGACTTGAACGATTACGTCTCATCGAATTAAATCGAAAGAAAGCATTGCGAGCAGCTAGAGAACGACGTCGAAAAGCGAATGAAAAAGGACAAGATGGAGATGAAGAGGGTAAAACTCGACGATTTCCGGGACTTTACATCGATGAACTATTGCCAACAGCAACAGCATCTCTGGTCAAAGATGTACAACGTCTATTGCTAACTACTTTCAATCGATCTATCAAATCAAGTAAGACAGCAGCAGCTAAGTTAGAACATAAGCTTTGTCTTGTCTTTGAAATTGTCAAGGTAAGATGATTGTGATCTATTTCGATAAAGATCTTTGATTTGAAATTGTTTTTGCAGTTAATGGAATTAACCAATCCATATGAAAAGCAGCAAAATATCGATCGATTGAGAAAAATCTACTTCGATTCTCATTCGAAACGAAATATTCTACCATTGACCGTGGAACAGAATGAGATACTCGCTGCTAACAATGGCCGCCCCGATATGAATCTATTTCAACTTCTCTTTCACGATCTTCGTGCCGAATTAGAAGATGAATTCATTCGTTTTGGCGAAGAACGTATTAAACTATTTGGACTTGATTCAATCGATGATTTCATGTTGAAAACACTCGATGAATTAACTGCACTATTCAATAGCGTCGAAGATGGTTTCGAACTCGGTGATGATGACGATGATGATTTTCAAGCGTTATTTGATCCAGATGCGGGTAAATCGACATCCAATGACGATGGAACAGGTAAAGCAACAAAGAAACACTACACTGAACTATATCAATTGTTAACTGATGCGACAATTGGCCGTTATAACGAACGATTTTATTATTTCTATGCATATCTGACACATTGGGTTGATCCACAAAGGGCACCCTATCTGGATCAAGATCTCTTATATTGCATCGATGTAAATCGCTTGAAAGAAATTGCTAATGATGCATTATATCAACAAAAAGTACGTTATATTCTTGATATCTACTTGGAATCGACTACTTCAACCAATAGTTACACATGCCATCTGGATTTAGCAAATACAGATTTGCAAGTTCGCATGTTGAAAGCCTTACAGAAATATTTAACTACTGGTGCCAATGATTTCAGTTCGTTAGATGAAGCACGAAGCATTTTAATTAAAGATGTACTCGTTTATTACTATGCTGGTTTTAAAGCATATTTGATGCGCTTAGATGCTAATAGAAAGCGTCCGCGATACGTCGTTAAATTAGAGGAAAAACTAAATCTTCATCAACAACAACGCGCTGAAAAAATAGAACGAGCAAGTGCACGTGCATCACCGACAACTGCTGCTAAGAATATCTCAACACAAAAAGCTCCACCACTTCAATCCAAACAAGGAAAACCAACAACACCTGTCGATATTACGGTTATGACAAAAACTCAACGTTTGCTCAATGAGCGAGTCAAAGCATTCGAAACTATGGAGCCCGCCAAAGTCAACGATGTGGCATTTCCAGATGTAACAAAAGCTGCAAGCATAGGATCAGCAGCAACTAATAGCAAACTACGAAGTATAAATACTCAAGATGTACAAGTTGCGAGTACCGAAAGAATTAATAGTGAGAAAGAGAAGCAGCATCGTGGACCTATCACAGTTCAATATACATTAACAAGTGGTCTTACAATAAAATATTCTGATGGAAGATCAGCAATCGAAGGAGTTCATACTGGATCGGGTATTTCCTTGCATGCACCGCGATCCAGTATGGCGCATTCAGCAGAAAGTACCAATGATCAATAATGACACACAGAAATAGGCGGTAGAACATTCGGTGATTTGTTTTGTCTTTCTGTTTGTGATAATAATGTCTATCATTAAACATAAAAGGCACGGTTTGATTCTAATTGAGAGCGAACGTAGATATAAAGAACATGAATGAAAATTTAGTTGCTACTGTTGAAGTATGACACATTTATTAGCAAATAGAAACGATTATTGTTCGCGAGCGAGGGTTGGTTGCCGAATGGGCGGTAGAACATACGATGATTTGCTTTCTCTCTTTGTCTGTGACAATAACGCCTGTAAAATAGCATGCATACATACATAAATGTCATGATGCATAGTCCATACATCGATACAGAACTCACCTCTGCAATGGTCACTCTTCTTGTCCATACATCAATTTGGTGCTGTAGATCTTTTGTTCTTTCCATAATATAAGCATAACTTGTAATTGATGGTACTTCTTTGATATCGACTAATCGATGTTTCAGAGCCTCATTTTCTTTAATGAGATCATTATTTTCTCGTTGAATACATTCGATTTCTTGATTAATTTTCACCAAATGATTTCCTAATAATCGACGTTTATTCTCGCAACTGATTGTCTCCTCTTCCTGCTCGACGACTTTGTTTTGAAGCTCTTGTAATTGACGACGAATAGGATATTGAGACGATTTTTCAATCTTATATTGCCGATCGAGTTGCATAAATGTATCTAAATAATCAATTTTCCTTGTTCGAACGAAATTGACATCAATTTCCTGCGTTCTTTCTTCGGAGTGTTGCAAATTATATATCATCAGATCCAGGGCTCGAATACGTAGTTGTGTTTGTGCTCTATTGATACGCAAAAGACCGATTGAACTTAATCGCGAGTGTACTCGTTTATGAATGCGATTAATCAGTAATTCAACTGGAACATCTAAACTAAAATCATTATAGAAAAGCTGTGCTCCATCAGCTGTTCATTAAAATTTACTGATCTGTTTCTCTATATCATGATTTAACATTTGTTGAGCAACAATATCGGACTGCACCGATCGAAGGAGAACCTAAATGATCAAATGTATAATCGCGAAAGAATTCGATGCACAACAAATATATGAAAAATAGTACAGAAATCTGCTTTCACATACATCATAATCTTCCAATGATAGTTGAGCGTTAACTTTCATTCTTTCCCAGTCTAATTTCGTTTGTTCAATTTCATATGCAGCGATCGATAGTTTTTCTTGTTCGACCCGCAAGAGAAATGCTTCATACATATGCTCACGCCAGTTACTAACTAATTTGCTCCATAATGGTGCTGCATTGGATGGATCAAGTGAATGCTTCTTTGCTAAGTATTTCAAAAATTACAAAAGAAGTCAAGTCAAAAGTCGTTACTTGAAAGACGTCGCGCTATTTCAGGTAGTTTTGCATGGATTAAATTTCGATTCGAAATAGTTCGTATGTCACTGACACGAATATCACTTTCATCATTGAATTCGTCAAATGTTTCAATCATTTTCGAGCTTTCTACTCGTCGCAAATACCATGTGTACAGAATATTCTCTAAACGCAGATTTCTCTGCACATTACTGAAATTAGCACTCAAAACCAAGCCATAACAAATTTAAAACGATTCAACTTACCGAATTTCTTCAATTGCATCCATGAGATATTTTTGTTCAAATCGGTTCACTGTTTCACTACTTTTCAATGGCGACGTTTCCAAAGATAAACCGCGTCTCGTTCTTCCTATGCGTTCTATAGGTAAGATTTCTAACTCTGTAGTCGAATGTCGAATCCGATTAACTAGTCGGTTTGTCATGTTTGATAAAATTCTATTGATCCAAGTGCTATTCAATATTTATCTTGCAGATTGAATCCAATTACATCTACCCACATGTACAAAATCTTTTTCGTAAAGAATGATTAGTTTAGTAACGAATTTATATGCATAAGATTTATGATGAAAGATAAGCATAAGAGAAGTTTTCAAGTATTGATTGTATGCTCATAAAACCATCATCAAGAACGAGAAAATGGCGTTTCAGTTCGTTTAAATGAGTCTCAGTACGAAAAATGTCGAGAAATAATTCCATCAAACTCTCGACGGTAATCCGTAGGTTGATTGCACATTTGTTATTTTTATCGTTGTTGAAAGCAATAGTTAGATAATCTATGCTGTATCTGCTTGAAGGACATCTTCCTACTTCTGTCTGTCACATAACTATACGCGTGACTGTTAACGTCTCCACTCGGCTTTACTCGATCACAGCAAGAGAATGTTTGATCTTTTCCGAAAGAAATCATTGATTTCAAATCTTTGAATAACAGTTGCAAAACTGAAATCTATGATCTGATAGTAAAACAACACTTGTCGATAGAGAACGACCATGAGATAATGTAAAATACTAATCTGAAGAGAGTCAGATTCATTCTGTACACTAACAAAGTATTTTTGCACGATTGACATGTGCAATGGTTTCTATGCGATAGATGTAGTTAACAATCAAAACCCTCTACTTTCTGATGGCGGCATACGCCATTGACTCATATTTCTTCTCTTCACTATCCAATCAAAATCAACGAACACAAAGTAGTAGTCCATAAGTGTTGTCTTTTTCAAAAAAAAAAGAAACATCGCTGATCGAATCCTCCTGAGAGTCAAAATAGCAACAATTGGAACTCCAATTCATATCAATAAATTTCTGATCAGTCATGGCCTCAGCAGATGAACATCCATCGTCGAAAATATCTCTTGTTGATTATTTTATTTACTGCCCATTATTCTGTAGAAAAGAAGGACAGGTTTGCTTGCAAATGAATACATTTATGCTTGTTTTTCATCGTCTATCATAGCAATGGTTCTATTTCATTTAGGAGGAACAAAAGATTCTCTATTATCATCCGTCAACAAGAGAACTGGATCGAAAAATACGAACTATTGGTTATTGTGAAGGCTTAGTGAAATTTACTGAGTATATTAACATGTTTGATTGAATATGAAACATTGAGCAAATTCCTTTATTCAAGAACATTTACATGCGAGCAACCGTGTGAAAGTATTCATTTTCAAAAGAGTCGATTATTATTTTATCCGGTTGAAAACGACATTGGCTTTGCCATGGTAAACAACAACGTCGATTCGACATATGACTCGACTATTCATTTCAGACTCTTCATGTTCCAGTTGTTGAACACAAGAAAGACGACAAATGTTTTCTGGAATATCTTGACGAACGTATAAATGATCGAGTTATGTTACCAATTTTGAAAATATCCTATCGATATTTCGCTGTAAGTCATTCCAATGACAAGAACGAGAAAAGAACGATTGATTTCTCCAGTTGCAATACGGAACGATATTCGCGTTGATTCAACGAACCAGTTTAGAAAACGCCAGAAATGTTTTGAAAGAATATTTCGATAAGGTATATCAATTATTCATTAGGTCAATAGAAAACCTTCATAATTATTTTATTTGGTGTTAGTTCATTGAATGTCATCTACATCGGATGATACATCATGCGACACTTGACTCGTCGTTTTTCGGAATACATTTCATATCATTAGACAAACAGATTTATCTGAAATTTCAAGCGGTTTTACGACGATTCGAGTTACAGTTTGCTTCGTTGAATGAAACAGTGTTCATTTATCGAAATCAACTCGTTTGGTAAAGATTGATTTTCAGTGTTTCAGTTGAAATAAGCCTTTCTTATGTAGGAGTGGTCTTAATCAAGATGATACCGCACTGATCTATTCATTTTTTCGACTCTATTATTGGCCACATCTGAAAACCATGCCTCATACATCTACAATTCAGTAAGTAAACCAAGAAACATCAAAATTCGAATAATTTCCAAGTTCTATGCCAAATACTACGCAGTGGAATGACATAAATACTGTAATTTTGTTCTCTCGTTTCCTATTGGTTCTCCCGTATTAGAAAAGCTTTGACGGAAATGGGATTGTTATTCTCTCCATATGTAATTATGAGCAGATTTCAACGGTTAACAAATTGTACAATATTTTCTAGATATTTATCTGTCAATTCTTGCGCAAATCAATTTAATTCATCCACGAATGTTACTGGTCAAAAGTTCTACTTGGGATCATTCTCATTCTCGTACTCAGTACTTGTTCTTCATTATGATTCATTTACTAGTTTTTGCATCTTTCATAACGGTAGAAAGAAAAGATTTATCAATGTTTAATGAAAATTAGTTTCAATTTTTATCGTAGATAACGATCTATTAAACAATGAAAAAACATCAACAGCTACTAATTTATTTCGACAAGACTTAGAAATAGTATTACCTAGCTTTTATGGATATCTTCAACGTGAACATCCTATGTTCGTATCGTATTTCTTTTTCATAAATTCTGATTAAGACAATCTGATTTCTTCTCTAGACCCGATGTTGCTGTTAAAAATGCTTATTATAATAAAGTGAATATGGCTCATTCAGCTACGATCAATTGGCACAAAGACCTGAGCAATCCGATGAGTAGCGTGATGAATACACTCGCAGAAGATTTGCAATGGTAGGTGTCTTGGTACAAAAAGATGTACGAGAAATCCGAGCTGAGTCAGCAACTCAGGAGGTCGAAATTGATTAACGAAGTCATAGGGGACAAATAGAACGGGTAAAAATGTTCGATTGAACATTGTATTTCGATTAAGAATGGATGAACTTTTAAAACATCAAGAGATAATGGCATTCATAAAAGTACATTTGTAGGTTTCATCCATCCGGTGAGATAATGGTTAAGCGGGAGAATGATCCATGGCTAATTGCTAAGCGATCGGACAGACGTGAATTATTAGTAATGATTAATCAAAAAAGTGCAAATTTAAAGCAGATCCGTGGTAATGTGAAAGCTTTCTTCAGCGGAATATTTTTCTTTGACGCTTCTATTGTTGATTTAGATAAAATCAAACAAATCCTTTCGACACAATTTAATAGTATTTTACTGTTCGAATGATTTCTTTCGTTCTTTCATTTGAATGATTGTTTTTTTGCAAATAAATTTGAAAATTGATTGATTTTTTTTTATGAGATCAAAGATCGTTTTAGATAAGACATAATTTGCTATGAGACGATTTTCAATTCGACCAAATCGTGATCCATAGAATAAGTGAATTATGAATGGGCAATCAACAGTAAACCAATCGACAAATAATAATGAACAGTTAATTGGAAAATTTCATGTGGTCAATGTTGACAAAATACCAGTTAATAATTATGAGGAATCAGCAGTTGCTGCTACTGCTCAACAACAACAACAACAACTGCCAGTGGCACCAGCAGCAATACAACAGCCGATGACGCAAACGCCTGCACCAGCAGCTACCGATGAGTCAGCATGTGGATCACGCTTTCAAATGATACGTGTCGATAGGAATTTCGGTCGTGGCCGATGGAAAGTTAATGATTATGAGCCTCCTGAAAATATTCCAACGTCAATCAATCAACCGGTGAATACTATTGAAAATGAACCTGTAAACATTTCCAATCCTGCGGCATCGTCAACTCTACCTGCGTCAACAATAAATAATCTGCCTACTAATGCGCCATCCGGCTTACCCATTGATTCCAATCCGACTTCATCGGCAACACTTGCTGCAACGGCAGCTGTAAGTACACACATTCCATTGTTTCTCAAAATCTACGAGTTTTTGTTCCTATCAGTCGGCTGCAGCGGCCGCGGCTACTGCTTTTCAACAGCAACAGCAAAGACTGGCTATGAATAATCCAACAGCAGCAGTCATGCAAACTGCGAATGTTCCGCCTCCAGCGGGTTTGCTTCATCCATTTCAGCAGCCGACGTTATCTAACATGGCGGCATCCAATCAATCGTATATATTGGCCAATCATCCGCAATTTGGCTATTATCCATATTTCCCGTCACCGTATACACCTTACCCACCTCAATGGGCTGCTTTAGCTGCTGCTGCTGCCGCTGCTAATCCTTTTCTATCTACTCCAATACCGCCACATCAACAGCCAACATCTCAATTACCTACGGGAAATCTTGGTGATAACATTCGATATTCGGACACAGGTCTATTTGACAGTAGATGAGAATTTTATCATTCCTTCCTGTTTCGATTGTTTGATTTCATTTTAGTCGCAGATGTATCTACTGAAAATCCAGTGATGTCTTCAATTCAATTTTCAAACCCTTCAGGCGATCACTTACAAAATGCTCAACTCGCTGCTGCTGCCGCACCTTTCATATACGCCGCTCATCATCCACACCCTTCACCATATGTTCCACAAGCGCCGCCTGCTACTGCTTCGCCTTACGCAACCATCGGTGCTTACCATGCTACACCGCCACCTCCAACAATTATCCCACCATCTACACAGCCTTTATCGCTTGGCCCAATGATTCTCAATAGTACGGCAGACGTACAACAACAGTCACAATCCCATCAGTACCCAACTTCGCAACAACTGCAACAGCAAGCTCCAGTTCTTACCTCACCTAAACATGATACACCGTCTACAAAAACTCCTGTTCAACCATCAAATGTACCTAAAACAACAGCCACAGCGCCAGTCAATCTGCCAAAACCTCTTACAACAGCGGCCAATGGTGCGAATAGTGATGCACTGAGAACAATAACAACAACGGCGGCAGCAAATCCATCACAGATAACTGATTTATTACTATCATCGTCACCTTCAATATCGAGTTCTCACCCACCACCATCGCTTCTCTCTCCAATTACAGTACAAACAAATAATTCAAATAAAACGCCAACAACATCATTAAATGATATATGGACATACGCAGCTTCTGGTTCACCACTGAATTTATCTCAGACAGCAGCACAGACAGCTGCTGTCACGGCCGTTGCAGCGATGGGCTTACTGACAAATGAGAATAGCAAAAATACAGAGATTGCTAATGAAATTTTGAAAGAATTAACAACACCAACGAAACAGAATAAGTAAGTCACTGAAGATTGTTTGTCGTACATGTTCTTATCTCTTATACATCTTTCTTTCCACACATGTCAAGCTTCAGCTTTTCCGATAGACGAGTACGAATGAGAAATAGACGACTGCGCAGGTATTTCCAATAAATTTACGTTCACTGCATACACACGCGCATATATAAATAAATATAGAAATATTTCAATATAATCACGAAAAAAAGCCATTTCAATCAATTAAAAACTTGCAACTGATCTAGCATAAAACTGTCGAACTGACGCTCACGCTTATGGCCAGATAATTGCTACGCTGAAGCAAGGAGAAAAAAGTCTAGCAAATACATGATCGATCCTTTGCAATTATTCTTCACACTAAGAGCTATTGTCCATCCTATTTTCTCGCTTACCATAATCGATACTAGAGCATGAAAGCATCCATCTATATCGCCAACACTGTATTTCTCTGTTTTGTTTTAGTACAACTGATATCGACAATAAGATCTCGGCAGCTATGGTAAATCAGATCCGAAAATTTGACAGGAACTTCCTTTATCGTATTCTTTAGGATCTTGTTAAAATGCATTTGCTATCTGCTGTTCGTGAAGAAGTTACTGAATTGCGTCAACAGATTCGAATATTAAATGAAAAAGTCAATAGTGTTGAACATGAAAATGCATTTCTTCGTCAACATGTACCCAGTGAAATCTATGCTCAATATATACCATTATTCGTTAATTCATCTGCTGCTAATGATTCATCCAATTCGACGACGACTGCTTCGACTACGGCTCCTCCTCCTCCTGTTCCTCCATCGTCTAGTCAAACGGTGCCCGCAACAGCTTCATTATCATCACTTCCTTCATCCATAGCAACACAGCCATCTTTATTGACTACTTCACAAGTGCCATCGCTACCACCACCTCTGCCCTCAGCTTCTGCATCAATAAACCTTCCTCCAACTTGATCTTCTTGTTATTTAAAAAAGAAATTTTTTGTTTTTCTCTTTTTTTCCTCTTTTTATCGATTATATATTCATTCTCTCTTTTTCTTTTGTGTGTGCGTGTGCGTTGTGTATGTCTTCGTCAGTATACTATATGAACGTAAACCTTGGATCAATGGATGATTTCATCAAGAAATTGTCAGTTTCAAATCTCTTCGAACTCTCGATGTAAAAGAACGCGTATCAAAGCGGCTTTGTTTCCAAATGCAATTTCATAGATTTTCACGAACAGAAAAAGATCCTGACTATTTGGCTCAATCTGTAGATTGCGCCTCGGAATTACAGAACTAAACATGTGTTAAAGTAAAAACCAGAAGATAGTATGTTGAGCACGAATTGCTAGTGCGTCGTACATATTCTTACTACGTTTTAAGGTCTCGTGCGCAAATAATATGCTATTAACAGTTCAACTCCTATCACGAATATTCCTCCTTATAGGGTTCATATCGATACTAATCGTCCGAAAGACGATAAATGTACCAAATTGTCGTTAGAAATAATGGAGTCTTTAGCACAAATTCAAACTAATAGAGTGCTGATGCATGGGATTATTCCATACTTGTGCGTTTTGACTTGCGTATGAAATAGAGTTAAATTTCACTTCCCATTCAACTATATAATCAGTGACCTTTTGTAAGTACTCCCATTGACATTTAACACTAAGGAAATCCTCACTAGCAGCTCCCACGATACGGGAGATAATTGGTTACGCTCTTTTAACCTGCATGAGAAAGAAATGTGATTAGATGGATGGTTTCATCAAAGTCCAATTCTAGAATCAACATTTTCTATTTGAATTGATGCGCTTTATTACCAAATGTGAAATATTTCATTATTTGGAAATTCGATGGGGAATAAATGCATTCAAGGAAAGTCTACTATGAAGTCAGTGACCGAAATGAGAGTAATAACTGTTATTAAAACGCAACATCAGGGTCGGATTATTTCAAGTCTTTAATCTCATTCTTTTATCAAACAAATAATCACGTTTCAACCTCTCATGGGATTTCCCATTGAAGTAAAGACTATTCTGCACTACAATCGTGCACTCATCAATATTCTTCAACTAGATCATCCTTCATCATCAACTATCGCGTAATATCTAGGTCAAAGACTAACAATTTAATATTTGCTTCCTCTTATTCAGTTTTAATGACGACCGTGAAAGTCATTTCTCCGCTTGATAATCGAAGAAAATTTTCATGACATATCAAAATGCCTTTGGCGTTAAAATATCATACTGTAAGTAGCCTGTCGACAAAAAAAAGACTTGTAGTCGAGTACACTACAGTCAGCAAGCAAACGTGCTTTTTGTCATAATAATTACGCTAGTTTTTTGTCACATCTGACTAATTATAATAATTAAGAGCTGGCACTGCTAATTTCTGCATAACCCGTCTACTTTCGGTTGAAAAAGCACGATTTAAAATCGAGGAAAAACAAATGTTGCCATCGACTTTTTCCATGATGTTTTTCTGCCAAGGAAATAAACTTTTACTTTCTTTACTTCCTCTCGATTAGTAATGCTGCACTGTGTATTTTTTTCTCAAGCAAATCTTTTAAGTATATTACACTTTTGCCATTGAGTACATGTATGTATATGAGATGACTAATCCCATTTTTGCGTCAATAATAACGGAAGCAGTCAGATTAAGATTAATATTTGATGAATAAGAATACCAGATCGAATCGGTCTTTATTATCTCCAGCAGACATTCTCATCCTTCACAGTTTCATACTTTATCGGATAAATATTAATAACATAGATATGCAATGTCCTCTTGTATCGAACAATGATGAATGACATTTGTTTTTGATAAGTCGAAATGTTTTCAAGAACAATAAGGCAACTATGTTTCTAATAATTGTCAATGCTAAACATGTTTTCACATAGACATGATCGACATAGTTACACTGATCTATTTTGTTAATATATTCCTTTTTTTTTCTCATTGTTATTCCTGATATACAATAGCAAACACCAGCGAATATTTGACGATGACATGTTATGTCATTTATGCTTTTCTACTTCGCTCTTCTCTCGCTCTCTTTTTCACTCCAAGAATGATCAAACTTGTCGATATAAATACATATTAGTAATCGTAGGCGACAAACCACGTTCGACAAGCACAGAACACACGTAGATCGTAAGGCCAGTGGTGACTAAGCAAAAGCTTGTTTTTTTCTTCAAATAAAAATCGATAACGGAGAAACAGGATACTAGTTAACAAAAACTAATAACGCGTTAATTTTTATCACCCATTTGCCCTCGATGAATCATTTGTCTTGAAATAAAAACAAAGGCTAACCCTTGTGACTTTCCTGTTGACTTGTTCAACTACAACAAGTCATCGAGAGAACTGAATGTTTGATCTTCTTGACAAAAGCATATTTTTCTTTTCCGAGGTATGTTATTATTTGCTAGGAATGCTGTGTAATTAATATTTTTTGTGTGAAGAACATGTCTGACGATATTGATCGATTGTTTCTTTGATTGAAAAGGTACATTCATGTAAGCACAAATGTTCGTGTTAAGTGCTGCGAAGGACGTTCTTTTCGCAAACTTTGTTTGTATATGTTTCGAGATGAATCATCAGTTGTCATCGTGACACGTCATCAATGTTACCCAATCCAAACAGAATAACAATATCAGTGGAAACGTCAACAGAGCTTCCATACGACTGGGTCACCGAGAGCATGTTTCCTTCGTAACTATTTTCCTTTCTTTCTTCTCCTCCTTCAGCTGAGGCAGAAAAGTACGAGCAATATTCTAGAATTTTTCAGTTTCATTACTGAACTGATTATTACGTCGTATATTACGTTCGCATTATTTTTCTCTCTCTCTCTTCTCTTTCTCCTTCCAAAACAAGCATCGAGTAGATCAAGATTTTTTCCATTCTCTTGTTTTTTTTTCTCTCATTTTCTCCGCTTTTTTTTCTTCATTCTTAGTTCTTTCTATACAAGAAGAAAAGAGAAAGACTATAATGCAATACACACCATCACTTTGCAGTATAAAAGCTCGACATATATTACTTCCACGGACATATTCATTCACTCATTTCTTTTTAGTTTGCTTACAACAGATTTTCATTTTGTCACAAACCAGATCTAGCCTGTTATCTTTTGAACGAAAATTACTAAATCATGAAAAAAGAAATCGATGTTGCACTTGATCTACTTGTCTCCTACGTATCGCGTTTTGGTTCAATAAAAGAAGAAAATATCGAAGAATTTCGTACGCATCTTCAGAAACGTTTGCTTGAACATTATCAAGGTCACTGGTATCCTGGTAAGATTAATCATGATCGGCGCTCGAAACTAGGTTTTCTATTTGCATTCCTATTCTAGATAAACCTATCAAAGGACAAGCGTATCGTTCGTTAGAATTCAATAAACAAAACGAATATTGTGATGTTATCGTTTCACAAATCTGCCGTGAACTAGGATTTGCTCCGAGTTTACTGGGTATTATGCATGATATTACATTATGGATTGATCCATACGAAGTAACCATTAGGTATGTCACATCATCATGACTAAGCTTATTGCGACGTTGCCATTCTCTGCGATTCATAGTCATGCTACTATGAAGAACTCTTGTTTTCTCTTCCTTTCCCATTCTGTTTTTCTTTACTCGACATAAAGTGCGTAGGTCGTACGCGCGCAACCTAATCACGAGATATGATGTCATCACATGCTCTAACAATGAGAGGAAGAGAACGAGTTAGTTTTTCATCGTATACATTGTATGCTTTCTATTTTCTCCACCCACAGGAGCGTTGTTTTCCTCCTTTCTTCTCTTCTCTCTCTTTCTTGTCAATTCGACTGTTTCCATGTCGCCATTTCTCTGTATTACACAACGACAATAACAAAAACAGAAAAACATTTAAATAACATAAACCTTAGAGACATTACGTTTTTCTTGCATAATACTTTTCTTACAAACAAACGACGTAGTTTAAAAAAAGGATCAAACAAAAATAGACGTATTGACCTAAATCATACAAACTTTTTTCCTATTAGACTTGGAAACCATGTCTCACCAAAAGAAAATCAACAACTACTAGTTGCTCGATTTGATAAAGAAGGAAATGAACTTGCCAGGAATGACCTCGATACGTTATTTGCCCAAAGTCGTCTACCCATAGTTACGGCAAATACACTACGTTCGTCACCAACAAACAGTTCATCATGTGACTCAGCTAGTTGTTCGGGTGCATCGACACCTCAACGTACTTCATCACCGTTTCCCATGGGACAACCATCGATAGTCTTACCATCACCGCCAACGATGTACCACAACGGTCCATTATTCACTCCTCCGCGCGCATTATCACCGCAAGCCCCTATATTTCAAATGTCATCTTCGGACCCAATCAAAGTTCCAGTCAAGGGCGAACAAAATTTTTCATTACAAAGCAACATGGAATCATTGTCGTGCGAAGGGTCACCTATCGATGGAAATCATCTTCAACCGGATCGTTCGGATACGCCTCATTCGATGCATAGTACAACGTCAAATGAATCATCAGATAGTGGATACTGTGGTTATGTTGAAAGCTTTCCATGTAAGATTTGCGTTTTATCTTTGACCTGATTTGGAGTTAATTTGTAATGTTTCTCGTAGATTACTATAAACTTAATCGCTTATACAAAGCATTAGCGATACAAAAGCTTTCAAACAATGGTAGTCCAACGGGTAAATTTGCAAATCATTCTTCGGCAACTCATCATCAACGACGCCGTGTTCCTCAGCAACACTATCAAAATTTTCAACAGCAGCAGCAGCAACAACAACAACAACATTCAATGAATCCCATCATTCCATCATCAACATCAACATTATCTAGTTCACCTCCGACGCCTACGCCAATGAATATTAATCAATTTTCACCTTTCTACACTCAACAATCATCGTACCTTCCTATACCAACGACAGTCGCTGACAGTCGTAAATCTAAGTATTAAAAATCTTTGTACGTTCGACTGAGTAGGCTAGCTGCATTTTTTTTCTTTCTTTCTTTCTCTTCTTTCTCTTACATGATCAATTATGAAAGCGAACTAACGGTGACAGACGAACTAACGGTGATTCCATGTTTTGAATTTCCGATGATCATGACGTGCAATGTAATTTATTTTTCATATGAGCAGAAGGAAAAAAACGCAGACATGCATCCATGTTCAAATGTACATACGTTTGTTACTGTTGTTATTATTGGTGTAGTAGCTTTTGGAAATATTTTCCATAAAATTTACTTTAGTTTATCATTATTTTCAATCTAGAATTGTCCGTTGATCGTTTTTCTTCTTCGTCTAATTCTGAAAACATTCTTTATATATATATATATACATATTTATTTTAACTTGACTGTTATCGTTGATGTTGTGTGTTATTCAAGCCTCTCAACTTCAGATAAGACACGTGAGTTTTGTGTGTGTATACATTTATGTCTCTTTTCTTTTTCTCTCGTATTGTTCCGCTTGAAAGGACAGTGATGTGTTTACTTCTCTGCTGGCCAGAAAAGATATTCTCGGGATAAGAGCAAGTTCGGATCTAATTCGTCTAGTTTAGTACGCGTTTATTGATAACGTTTTTCTCTCTCTTTCTTTCTTCTCTCTCCGTTGATTTTCAATCTATGTAAATACAACAATCAACCATTTTACTTCTCAAAATTCTTTCATTTTGTGATGCGAAGTTTAGTAGTGGAAAACAAACTTGTTTCGAGATATGTCTTGAAGTAAAATTGTAATAAGTTATTCTTTTTTTCTGTTGACCGGTGACCAGCTGGATGTCGATTCCGAAACTGTTGTTGTTGTTATTTTTTTTTGTTATGCGCTTGTACATTTCTTTCGACATTAATATAAGAAGAACAGTGCTTAATTGATTTGAACAAAGAAACTGATTTTTTTCTATTTTGTTGATTTTTTTTTCTTCTGTTCTTTTTATTTTTTGAAGTTTTAATGGAAAGAAATCCAAGCGTTTAAACAGTAAGCGAGAAAATGCATCGAGTGTGATATGATCATATTGTTTTGTTTTTTTGTTATGACATTTGTTATAAATGATTTCGTGGAATAAAGAGAGAAAGAAAGAGATTTCGAATAAATGCAAACTTCTTCTGCAGACGTCAATAACAATATTTGGCAAATCGCCGAAAAAGACGACTATGGCGTTTAGAATTTATATTTAAGAAGAGCGAGAACACAAAAGAATAACATTCTACTTTTTATTGACAAAAGAAAGCGCACTAAGATGTTTGCTCGTCGTCGACGACATACAATGAAATTCTAACAGTATTGATTGTTGAAGTTGATTCTGAAACGAAAAGATAAAAATAGTGATTACTTCGAGATAAGGCGTATGAAAATAAAATTTCAATTCGATTCGTACGTCGTACGTCATTTTTCATGTTTATTTATTCATTACGATGCTTTTCTTTCGCAACTGGTCGAGTGTTTTCTTTACTTTGTTGAAATCTTTTTGCGTACTAAGAAATCAATACTTGTCATTCATGATGACCTTTCGCGCACAGGCATCAATCGACATAGGAAGTATGTACAAATCAATTTTACCTATGAATAATGTTTGTCAATGTGTGCTGTTGTCCGCCACCGGCCGCGCCATGTGCTGGCCCATCTTCTTTCGAAATCGCATCAAGTAGTTGCCGAAGTTGATCAGTAAAATTATTATTAAAACTAGCGACAACCGCACCTGGTAAACTATCATAGTCATTGTCATCATCAACGTTGTCCATTGCGTTAGCGAACATCACACATGTCGCCATGATTTTGTGAATATGTCGCAATAGATGTACACTGGTTAGCATACAATCACGTAGGCAATTGTCGAGAAATAAAATGTGATATTTCAATAATTCGTCGATATTTGTTACCTAAACAAACGAAAATATCTTCGAATATTTATGAGAAAAAACTGTGTGGGGTGTCTGGGAGAGTATCAAAGAAATCACTTTGCTAACAGAGTCCATAGTTCTCGTCGATGAAATTCATGCTCGGCTTAGACTTCTGTGGGTCAGTGATTTGGGAGAATAGATTACGGAAATGAAATTGTGCTTTCGCTTATCTGATTTGACGAAGTAAAGCATCGGTTTTGATTCGATTCATACCTTTTTTAAATTATTTTGAAAGGCATGCCAATGCGATTCGATCACTTCGAAACTCATATAATATAAAAGATTTTGTACAAAATGCAACATCTTATGTCTTAGATAAGCAGCACCATTTGGTTTGGTTATGATATTTCGCCGTTCCCGACTGTTTCCACCACGTCGTCGTCGTCGTCGTCCGCCATTCTTATGCGCGCGCCAGACATTACACAATAAACGTTCAATGTATTTAATATAGAATAAAAACCGAAATAGCATTTGATAACGCGTGAGACAATTTCGATTGATCACTAACGAAATTGGCCATTTAACATCATAATCGAGTGAAAAGGATTCTAAGCCAGTTAGCTTATGTTCCATTGATTCGTTGATATTCATTGATGAATCAATGTTGATAACACGTTCAAGCATCGATATCAAGTCATAGTGAAACATTTTGATTCGTACGTCATCTTTATAATGATCGTCGGATGTTAATGCCAGTGAAACATCGAGTAACGATTGAATTTTGTTTTCGTCAATATCACGCGCGCGTTTTGTCAATTCGTCTTCAGCTGAGTCCATGAATTGAACGATATAATCACCTTTATCAATGAGAAAATAGTGTTTCAATGTTTGAAAACGTTCAATTAAATGATATTTGTTTAAAATCAGGTCTAATAAAATTTCACTTGCATATTTATATGCTTCTTCTAATGTTTCTTCCAAATCTTTCTCGTGGATAGTATATTCCAACTTCTTGTAATTGTTCATCAATAGTTGTTTGTCAACACGTAGTATCGAGGTGGACATGTCCATGGTCATATCGTCGATAAAATCGAATGCACTTTCACGTATGGCATTTAGATATTTACCAGTGTTTAAGATCATTTCGGACGATGATTGAAATAGTATGGGAGTGTTGTTACGTTGCAAGAGATAACGACGTGACCAGAACTTATCATTGAATTCTTGTTCGAGACTGCTTTCATGGTGAATAATATCTTTGTTTTCTTGAACCATAAATTCACCGTAAGGATCGTCAATTAAACCATTGTGAATCCATGTTTCCAGCATTGTTAAATACGGTCTGTAGGCTGATTTAGCAAGAAAAAAACATATATCGTATGCTTGTTTATGACCGGATAATTTCAGTGTTTGTTCATGAAGAAGATCAAGAACAGCACGGCCAACAGTATTACCCTAGCATAGATTATTTTCGATAGTTTTAAACAAATGCTAACATCTATCTACCTTGTTTAACGTTCTGACAATATTGGCAACAACTTCCATCATTTCCATGACAGGTTCTGTATGAAACCATAGGGTTTGTAATGTTAATTGACCTTGTTGTTGCTGAGTTTCGAGTTGACTGACAAATACATAGTATCGCTAAAATGAAATGCAGAGAGTAATGTGTATCGGACGAGTTCTTGAAGATTGGTCTTACTTGAACAACTTCTCTCAGTGCTCCAGCAAGTGCATGGTTGATTAAACCATATCTATATTGTAAACGGTCTAGACAAAAGGTTTCAGTATGAAAGTAAATTGGAATTTCGCTCCTACAGCATACCTTCAATGAATCGTACGACTAATGAATGATTTGAGCAGAGTGGTACCATTCGTCGTGCTAGATCTCTCAATGTAGCATCTAAAGAAGGAAAAATAATGTGCAAGAGAAGCTTAATTAATCTAAATGATCAGTATACCCAATGATCGATCGATATGAAACGAACGTTGAGCTTGTTTATCTGTCAGTGAGGGTGTTTTGATATATTTTCCTTCGATGCCCTACGTTCCATGGATAAGTAACGATTTCAAACTGAATATATTTCCATAAATACTTACCAACATACATAACAGGAGATCTTCTACAATAATTGCCTCTTGTTCAGCAACTGAAAGTCGTCCAATAGCCACATCCTTTGAATACAATTCATTGAGAGAAGAGCTTCGTGGTGAAATGAACTTACAGGCTCAAATTTCTCAGGTGTTGGATAAAAGTCCCATAGAAGACGAAGTCGTTCGTTCAGCCACGATGGTCTACCAAGAAATTCCGTTGAAGTTGATGGTGTTATAGCTAAAAACAAACAGTTTTTAAACTAATTCCAAATATCTGATTAATCCTCACCTCGACGGCGAATTTCTCCATCCGACATAATCGAACCTGGTTGTGATAAGGTTGACGTCGGTCGAAGTAAATTATCCTTCATCTAATCAAAACTTTTCACATCGATTCACTCAAGGCACGTTGTGAGCTCACCTCAGCGAGAACATGTGCGGAGTGTACTTTGCTCATTGTTGATGTAGGACTTGTTGTTGCTGTTGCTGTTGTACGACTTTGATTGTGAACACGTTTCTGCTGAGGACTTGTCATTGTTGTTGACAATGGACGAGATTGTTTAACTAATTCGCGTACCTAAAGCATAAATGATATTTTGGAAGGTTTGCTTTACGTCAATCATTACTTCGTGATTATCAACAATTTGAGAAAGAATTATAATAACGGAATCTAAATCCCGTACACTAAAATGGCACGGCTGTACATTAAAAATATGATGATTGAACAAATAAACATACTGTCGTGCTTTTAAACTATCGTAAAGCTCCACGAATTCGTTTGCTGATGCAGAATTTGCGAATAATTTTCGTTTTGCATCTGCTAATTCCGCCTATTTCGACGTCAAAATGCCTAGTATGATCAAAGTTCTATCATTAGTTTATCTTACTGGTGTGTAAGTGTTCGCCTGCTGATTGGTATTCTTATTAAAATAGTCCACAATCGCTTCCGGCGCAAGGTTTGTTCCTTTCAGATTAATACTAAAAGCAATCTTGGATCATAAAATTCATTCCGAAAGTAACTATATTACTTCGATGCTCGAACAAGTTCATTAACAAGAAAATGAAGACTATATTCGTGCGCAGCCATTTTTGTTGTTCAATCCACAAGTGTTCAAGTGATCGATTGCCGATCACAGTGTAGATTTGTATTATTTATTTTGTTTATGAATCACCTTTCAAATTCTTCGATTAGGATTGGAGATATTTCGAACAGATGGAGCTAATAGCAAAAAGTAAAAAGAATCCTACCAAGGGATTTACATAATCAAACAAATATCAGAAAGAAAAGGAATCTCGTCGTTTCTTTAGTCATACAATCATGGCTTCGATTCAAGTGAATCGTTTAATTCTTTTATAAAATACAGATATTTTCTCTTCGTGCATTTTCGCAAGGTGCCCGTCAACTGATTGTCATATTCATATAAACCAACTTTGCCAGTTTCATTTATTCGCTGACTTGGATCTGTATTGTTGTTTTAAATAATTGCAGCGTCATCTATCCATGAGCATTACTTTTCTAATTGACCAATCAAGAATTTACATTGAAATAGAATTTTATTCTATTCTCTTCGCTCTCTTTCCTTCTATTCTTTCAATACAAAAAACGGACAGTAACGTGTATTGAGCTTGATCTTCGCGAACGTTTTTGCCTAACTTGAGTGAAACTTCGCGTTTCTACGAATACTTACTTATCAAGACATCAAATATTTGTTTCTACTCGAAAGATTTGCCTTGAGAACACGAATGTGCCATTGACAATCATCCTCATGTTATCTAATCATCTTTCCAAGTAAATTTCCAACCCAGTCAACCGATATTTATGATTCATCATCGATCAAGATCTCTGTGATTTATTAGAATGCTTGAAAGTTTTCTTTTCCAGATCATGAAAGAAATAAAACTGCACTAAACTAAACGATTTCCGGTGACTATTTATTTTTTACTAACTACATTTCATGGCCACTTCGTCATCAGGTACGTTCGTTAACTAATTACGTAGAGAAGCGAAAACATTCGCCTCGAGGTAATTGAATCGGTATTTCACATCACACTATGACTCATCATTCTAGGAAATCGGATATACATATGCCATTTCTGTTCTGCTGAACATTCCAGTCGTGCTACATTATACGCTCATCTATTGCATTGTCAAACACGAAAAGCTAGCGAAGTACTGAATAATAATCATTCGGAACTTCTCAAACTTCATCAAGACCAATGTGATATTCTTTATAGTAAGTCGCTCCTAATCTTCCTACTCATTCATTGTTCCAAACTTGTTCTTTCAGTGGTCAAACTTCATCCATCCATACCTCAATTTTCTTTGAATCATTTCGATCGTCAACTTTCTCCTCATGATTTAAATCTTCAAATTCCTTTATCGAGTTTATATACTCAAGGCTACCTCTCCTCTTCCAAACAGTCATCATTCGATGATCTCGATTGTCTCTATAGCAATACACCGATCTACACTCCTTCCAATGATGTCAATGACGAACAGGAGAATTCTCCTTTACTCGATGATAAATCTCTGACATATCACGTATACAAATACTCTCGTCGGGAACGTAACCCATCCGATGTTCGTTTAAAACACGCACAAATACGAAGACCAATTCAGTCCAAGACGAAGAATTCGTGCTCCAAAGATGAGCTTCCTTCGATGTTTTCCTCGTCTACTAATGTGACAATCAATATTCCAACGCAGATTCATGCACGACAAAGACTCGAATGTCCTTCTCAGCCGATTTCTCCACTTTTATTCTGTCCAAATTTTCATACTTTAGTGAAACTACCAACAAACGAACACTTTGGAAACTACTTATTGGATATTCGAGTATCTTTTCATTTGTTACATTCGATTGCTAGTCAAGAATTTCAAATAATTGTACATAATACCGATCAACAACACGATTTCTTGAATTCGTCATCAACATTAATCAATGCACTACGAGATACAATGCTGAGCTACATAACACATTTACCAAATGTTTTCAAACGACATCATTCGCAATCTTTTCATCCTGATGAACACGATCTAACGAATCATCATGATAATGAACTATCGATTCCACCGTTGAAAATCCGCCGCCATGATGATTCGTCATATGAGATCGAAAAGCGTTCTACGTCGTCGTCGTCGTCATCATCAGGAATGTCAATAACCCAGATACACAATGGTCAACACTATGACGAACGTCGTCGTTTCGATACACGACCGATGAAATATTCTTCAAGAATAAGTGATAATCATCAAAATAGTAATTTTAATGATACTGCTAAACGAGATAGTTTGAACTACTCAGTTGACTCTCCATTACAATGTGATTTGTCCCTTGTCGATCATCAACAGTCAAAAGAGTAAGTAACGACGAGTTCGATTTGAAGACAAATCATCTTCTATTTCAGACGAAATAATAGTGAATCATTCCTTTCAAGTGAAACAAAACCAAAGAAGAGTATCAGTCCAGTCTCACTCAAGGAACATTCCAATGATTCTTTACCGAAATATCAATCGGTTGCTCTTAATGAAGGTGCCCGCATTCGCATTGTTAATTGTTCCAATGATAATAACAAGCACTCATCATCGCGTAATCAATCGTTGACAAGTACAACAACGAAATATTCGAATTCCAATGATAAAGTCGATGAAAACTGGTCTACGAAGTCCACGCGAATCAATACTCGCAAGATATCATCGACGAACTCGAAAACACCTGACATTGCTCAAGTTTCGCCAACCTATCAAGCTCAAGCTGTACTTTTATCACAGAATGAAATCGCGAACAACTGGTCAACGCACGGTGTCTTCTATCGTTGTCATGCTTGCTCACACGAAGAATTTTTTGTTGTATATTCACGGGAATGTATGCGATTACACATCTCCTCGAAACATGGAAATATGGAAGAAAATTTCAAGCAACGTATCTCGAATTTTCTCAATAATCAAGGACGAGCATTAAAAATTTTCCAACATTATCTCAAGTGGCAACAGCCATGGTCAGAAAAAGAAATCGATCAGATTTTTCAATTATCGAATGCGAATAACAATCGAATCAATGGTATTGATATCGAAGGATTTCGAAAGCTTTGATCTGGTTGTCTGTTTGTTCTCTTCTAGGTGCTCGATAGAATGGGATAAACCTTCTAAAGTGATTTGAATTCTCACATTTGCTAGTGCAATTTCTCTCATTCTTATTTTTGTTTGCGATCGATTTTTCGTTCTTTCTTGATTTACACACAGTTTCGTCTATTATTTTCACTCTTCCATATCGATCCATGTTATTGGAAATAAATTTTCAATTCCGTCGACTAATTATACTTGTTTTCAATTGGTACTTCGAATAGATTAGCGCAGATAATCATCAGTGCTCTAAAACAATATATGAGACGTTCACTACGCTTTCATACGAACACTGTCGAATCGAACATTTTTTTCTTAATATTAATATAGTCCGAGGATATTTTTGATAGTTATTACACCTGTTTTAAAACGATATGCTTAGCTATTGTATAGTATGTCAGATAGTCGCATTTCCCCTTTCTGCTAAGAAATCTAGTGATTTTTTTTACCTGAGAATATCTTTTTGTTGATTAGGTTTGAGTTTACGTCGAATTCGTGCCCATGCATCATTCGTGGTCTGATCGTCGCGCATCACATCAAGCCATGATGGTTCCGATACATTCGTTTGATGGAACTGTGTCGAGGTTGCGGTGTTGATTTTAGTTGGATAGATTTGTGTTTGTTGCTGACTGTCCATAGTTTTACGTCGAGGTGTCGACGACGATCGCGAGGAATAGTGAGTTGTAATCGATGATGTACTCAGCGTATCTTCTTCTTCTTCTACTTCTGACTGTCTTTTTTTAGTTAACCGCGAAGACGACAAATGTTTCGATGCTCTCGAATATTGATGAGTCACTTTAGCTTTCGATTTCTGTTGATAAGTATCATTCGAACAAGACGTCAATCTAAAGTATATTGACTTATGAAGTCATTCCTTTTGCTATTCACGAGAGTTTGGGGAATATTTACGTATCTTCCATGCGATTATTATTTCGAGCTTGTTCGATAGGTGCGTCAGTTTGATTCGTTGTTCCTTTGATGTTCGATTCGATTTGACTAAGCAGTGTTACCAGTGAACGTAGGGTTTCTTCGTTGTCTTCGAATTGCTTTTTAATCGTTGAGTTGGATGGTAGAATCAACTTTTTTGTCGTTCCATTCGTTCGCTTTTTTTGAGTTTGATTCGTTTTATATCTGTCGCGAGCGTCGGAATCACCAAAGATAGTGCCAAGAAGACGAGTAAATAGTGGTGGCGATTTTTCGCTAATGCGTGAATAACGAGGACCACGCTTTTTTGCTCGTTTTGCAATAGTATTATTATTCTTTGACTTTGCCTTTTCAGCTCTAGAGTGCTGGTTTTCTTCGATCGTATAGTCTTTTGCTGGAGAATGAAGTGGACAGATTGTTGTTGGTTTTGCCGGAAAGTGTTTATCTCGCGTTTCTACCGATGAAAAGTCCATCGTATCTTCATCGAATTGTCCACTATGGAGTGATACAATAGAATTTGTTCGAGATAAAATCTGTTCGTGCGATATAGACTGATCTGGAATGGAACCAGCTTGACGTAAATATGAACGAAATATCGTTGTCATTCGAGATAAGATAAGGAAAATTAGATGTCAGTAGGATTTAACGATATATAAATGAGCAACGAAACTGAGTTAGAGATAAAAACGCGCTTGTAGATAATCATAACTCAAATGGATTTTTCTCTTTACCTTTTCTTCTAGACAGATGATATGAATCTCTATCCAGATCTCAGTATGGGTCTTCGACCCGATAATCCACCTTCTGGCTTGAATCTTCAATCGCCAAGAGCTCGTATACCATCGCGTCTATCAGACGAGTTTTCACGTTCATCTCCATCCGAAAACGCAACAACACCGCAACGACAAAAACTTTCTTTACCAGCGTTTCTTCCCACTCCAAGTCGTTCCATCCAACAACTGCCAGCATCGCCGGCAAGTCTCCTATTGAGCCCTTTTTTTAAAAAAGATGGCAATGATAAATCATTGAATTCATCATCAAGTATATTAAATAATAACGATGATGAAACAGAATTAATTGAACAGATTGATCATTATTTTCATCGACGGCGACAATATTTACAACATAATATCGATGTTTCGCTCAATATCAGTAAGTGGGCTTTGGAAAACATTATTTTCTATTCCATGGAAACACTCAGGTAACCTTTGTACGCAAACTCTTTCACCAACCATCGACCTTTCTCTTTTTTTTTCAGACGTCAAGCACAAATACAAAGCGAGTCATCATGTTCGTATCTTACCCCATTATCCGCCATTCGCATGGTGTATTCTATGAAATATCAACAAGGTAGTGGAGTACTATGGAAAGGCTGTTTTAGTTCGTTGATCTTAACAACAGCAGAGACGATTTCAGATAATCTAATCGATGAAATTGCTCCTTTGAACCATTCATCTCTACGAATTAAGCATATTATCCTGAAAGGCATTAGTTCATTTCTTCTCATCCCAATGTACTCTGTTCATTTACTTCGATCTGTTCAATCCGATTTAACAATTGTCAATCACTGGTCGCCATTAACCATATTTATCGAGCCTTTTCAACGTTTACTAGGTGTCAAGACGGGCTTTTATGCACGTGCATTACCAATGTGGTATCTTATATCATTGAGTTTGCCTTATTTTGTCGGACGACATGTATTGCAATATTTTCTCAATCAGTCTTTCTACAAAGTACGCGAAGAATATTTCCAAAAGCAAGAACATATGAACAAGTCTAGTCGTAATCAATTCGAAACTATCGATGATATCGAATGTCAACTCATTGACACCATTCCCAATCTAGTCAATAGATCATTTCTACGTATCGAAGCGAATCTATTTTCTATGTTTCTGTCAAACTTGTTATTATATCCATATGAAACCGTCGTTAATCGTTTATTTGTACAAGGTACGCGAACGATTGTGGATAATCTCGACAAAACCGGTGTTGGTTGTGTGCCTATCAATACACGTTACTTGGGCTTTTTCGACTGTTGTAGAACAATAGTGGAAGCGGAAGGTTGTCAAGGATTCTACAAAGGAGTTGGATTCTTAATTCTGAAATTTGGTTTGATCTATGCTAGCGCTCATTGTCTAAAGCTTCTTATCGAACGTTTAGCAATTATCTATACGCAAAATACAAGCGAGTTAAGCAAATTTCATCATTATGTTCTGTCGAAACAAGAACAAGAACCACAACAAAACACTGATGAATCAAATTAAATAGCATCAATATCCATTTGTCCATATCCTAGTCGTCGTTATCCCTGAAAGCGTGATCGTGTGTGTGTGTGTGTGTATGTTTCCTTATGCAAAACTTTTATATACAAAATAAAATCTATTGTCACAATTTAAATATTCATAGTAGAAAAGGAAACGTTTTAAGATATTTCTAATGGCGCCGTCAAGTTTGTTCAAACTATTCTCACTACGACAAACTCAAGTTCTTGAGTAAAATATCACTTATAAAACTTATGGTCTGCATCTACGTTTAACTATCATGTAGGCGGAAACTGCTTCATCATAAGTGCTACTTATACTTAACCTGTATATGTATTTCATGCTGTCGCTGTTTCACATCAATGGTCATCAACAAACAGCTGAAAATCATGATCAGATGAACCAAAGCGAATCATAGAATCTGTTGGTTTTCACATTACTCTGTATTGATGCAATGTGTAAGATCCAGGATTCCTGCTCTCTTTTTCTCTCACTTCTAATGATAATTATTCTTTATAAAAAGATTGAAACGCAGCGTGTCAATGCTAATCACTTGTTTCCAGTGGTTATTAGAGGGAAACTTACGATATTTTCTCGATTATATACAGATATAATAAAAATCAAATCAAGACTACCGACAAGGATTATTTAGCACTATTAATTAGCGGCTAACCGAATTTCTTTTCCATAGGAATATTCCCCTCGATTGTTAAATATTTCTCTTGCATCAATTTCAAATATCCGATACAATCGTGTGATTCCTATGAATAATAGATTCTCATCTTTATTAGATGCTGTCATGTACTTTCGTCAGATAATATCTGGAATGACGAGCAAGATAAAAAGTCGCTCGATAAAATGAATCCTCAATCAATTTTGAAAGCTAATCAAAAATTCAAATGAGTTATTCATCGTTCCATCCGATGCCGATTATTCATAGAAGAGCAGACAACAAATCGAAGAGATAGAATACGCTCTGGTGTTCTGCCACGGCAAATCCGTTTGTTCGTTCGAGACGATTTTCAATTAAAAATTCATTTCAATCAATAACTCGAAGAAAAAGATAGCAACAAGTTTCCTTCTATTTATTTTCAATACAAAAAGAAAAGAAAAGAAACGTCTGACAAATAATTATTTTTACACTGTTGACAAAAAAAAGTATTTTCTTTCGCAAGTGAGCGAATGTCAGCACAGACTGTTTTCCTCATTTTGTATTTCCACAAGTTCAGTAAAAACAAAAAAAAAGAAGGAAAAACTATTTAGTTGATTGAATCACATCAATTTCTTTCCGTTCTACAAAATAAGAACGACTTGTCAGTGATGATTATCAATTTTTGTTTTTTCCGATGTACATATAATATGAGGGAAGAGAAAAAAAAGGAACTAATCAAATTACGCTAAACTGTTGATTCAACCGAATCAAAAGACGACAAACAAACGAAAATATTTATTGACATCATTATTACAAATAGCAATCACGCGTTGCTTTTTTTTTTGTCGTCATGATTATTCATTGAACAAGAGAGAAAAGAACAATTATTTCCACAATGTCTGTTTAAGCAAATCTTTTTTTTTCTCCTCTAGCTGAACTCTGATGATAATACACACGAATGGTTTCGTGATATGAATGTGTTTCGATGAAAGAAGACAATAAGATTTGGATATAGAAAAAAGTTTCATCTCGCACGAGTAAACATAATAGATAAAAAAAGCAAATGAATATAGACAAATTCATCTTAGCAGAATAAATTGTAGAGACTATAGTTTAACTGTTTTCTAATTCTCTTGACTAGAAAAGATGAATGTGAACCGGCAGAACATCTTTTTTACACCGAGAATATTTATTTAGGATGTTAATCTATATGGAATAGCTCATTTGGGTGTGGAACGTCTCTCCACAATCATCATTATCATCATCAGATGGATTCGAACACTGTAATTGGTGAGGATTTTCCGTTTCCTCTCGTCACTGTTTCCTCATTTTGAAGTTGGCTCTGTCAACGAATAATAAGAAAGACATTTGCCTGAGTTTGAGATAGATATATGTCTTGACTTTTCTGTCATGCGATCCAACATACAGTAATAGGTAAGAAATAGAAGGTTTTATTCTGATTGATCGTTCGATGTAAGACGATCTTCTCCTGCTGCTCTTGCGACTTCAATTAGCATGCTTCAACTATGATATAGTATAAGATCACTCTTATCAACAAAACCGAAGGAGAAAAAGAACAAGTTCATAAACAATTTCATAATGATTATAGAGAAGTTGTTATGTTGATAATCAACAATGTCTTTCTCGACTTTCAACCTATTTATATGAATGATTTGCTTTTTCTCAATACCAAGTGTGTATCTTTTCAGAGTTTGCTATTGTTATTCTTGCCGTTTTTCATAGATCGGCAATGGCGGAAATCTTGCGCATTCAATTAAAAATTCCACTTCATGAATTAAAACGAGAAAAGAAAAGGACAAAGTAGCAGCCGCACATTTATATATATATATATATATACATCATCAATTAACCATTTGCACCTACGGTTGCCGTCAGCATTGTCGTCGAACAAAGACAAACTCTCGGCCAGTCACTCTTCTCTATTCTCACTTTCTTCCAAACTAAAGTCGCATCTCATCATTAGTTTTTTCCCTATCATTTTTCTTCTTCTACTTCCTATAGTACTCGTTAGAATGTTTGAGCAAATGATTCTTATTAGAAAGGTAGAACGAGTATACATAAAGAGAATGTAATAACACAGTTTTTGAAGTTGATGAGGATGCTCGTTCTTGCTGTAGCATAAGAGCGCGTGTTGGAAGCTATTATCGATCAAGAGTTGCTGCAGTAACAGCAACAGTAGTAGCTTTGCTCCGGATGTAGGATGAACATCACTACTATCCGCATGTGTTGTGATTATTTGTCGTCATGCCTCATCAACGTTGCAAACTCCGTTTTGATGGGTATTTTTAGGAGAAAATTATCATAGACATTCTCTGCTTTTGATGAACATTTACTAGTTACTGTTTACTATTTCGTCACTCTTGTTGTTGTTAGTTGATTGTGCCTTAAGAGGTCTTGTTCAGTTGAATATTAGGAGAGATTCGCTCATTAGTCGAGTCTAAATCTTTGGTACTTAAGAAAGAAAATGTTGTCATTTCCAATCAAGGACATGACTAATAGAAATCGTAGTTATTTTTGTCAAGAAAAATCGAACAAACAGAGAGATAAGACTGATGAGAGAAGGGAAAAAAGAGGGGTTATATTGAAATTCGATTTATTCGAACGACAGAGATCAAGAAATCAAATCGATCTAAGATTGTGTCTCAGTGTGCGCGGCGGTGTTCATCGGCAAATCATTCACGCAAAGTTAGATTTGTTCCTTCTATCACATGCATTTCTCAGTCGACAAGAGATTAGAGAAGAAGAGAGAGACAGGGAGAGAGAGAGAGCGAGCGAATAATTTCATTTTCCATTTGACGATCTACACGGAGACTTGCATCTTCTTCTTCTTCTCCTTCTTCTTCGATATTGTCGCCATCATCTTATTTTTCTTTCTAGTTTCCTTCTCTTGGTTTTTTCATTGCTCGACCCAGCAAAGCGATTAATGTCATCATCGCACGATCAACCATTTCTAATCAGGATTTAAGCGAATGACGAAAATCTCTGCCTGTCTCGGTTTGTCTCTCTCTTTCTCTCTAGATAATGTTCTTCTTTTTGTAGTTTTCTATTCGTCGTATTCAGTTGAGATTTATGATGAACGTGCGATCAAATCGACGAATATAATTCGGATCTGTTCTTCACTTGTTCATAGACGTGTTCATGCATAAAATGGCCTGAGCGAGATAAAAACGGAGATAGAAGGAAACGCTCGTCATTATCATACGCTAACTGAATCGATTCGGTAGCGGAGTAGAAACATCGCTCACTAAATTATGACAATTGTACATCATCATTATCATCATTGTCGTTTCGTGCTCGTGCCGGCGCTCCTATCGTATAATAGGATTAGGTGATCAGACTGCCGAGATGTATATATTGGAGAAGCGAGGGTTTCAGCCCCGGAGCATCCTGCATATACGATGTAGAAGAGAGAGAGAGAGAGAAAAATACGAGAGATGATGATAAGACCCGTGCAATTGAATCGTATGATAGATCATCTTGAACTTATTTTCTTTGACGTATCCTTTTCTTTTGTATTTCTAATCAACTGTATAAAAGAACATATCTTCATTACACTTCAGATTTATAAGAATGACTTGAACTCTTTCCTTTTCTCTTTCACTTTCTGTACTTCTCGATCGACTCTGTGTTTTCTCTTCTATAATCATTCTCAGTTTTTGTCTGTTCATAGATTCATTCAATGAAAAACATCATTCTATCTTAAATTATAACAACGAACATCTCTAAATTTCCCTACCATGGATGATATTCTACGAGTCGTTCAAAACCAAATATCCTATGCTTGGGATACTCTTCAAGAGATTATCAACGTCCCTAAAAGGCAACGACGATTAATTATGGTCATTGTATGTGTTGCCTTGTTACTTGATAATATGCTCTATATGGTTATTGTAAGTAGAAATATAGTCAATTGTTCTCCGATGCAAACGAGTCTTTTCATGTAGGTACCAATTATTCCCGACTATTTACAAAGTATAGGAGCATGGTCAACAACGCCAAGTAATATAACAAAAGCGGTGCCATCAACTGCAAAAACATCGAAAATAATCACGACTACTATTGCTACTTCCAAGGATGATGATGATAGTGCAGAAGATGTTGCTGTTGGAACATTGTTTGGTTCAAAAGCAATCATACAATTGTTAATCAATCCATTTAGTGGTGCACTAATTGACCGGATTGGTTACGATATTCCAATGTGCATTGGACTTTGTGTCATTTTTCTATCGACAACAACATTTGCATTTGGCCGTTCGTATGGCGTTTTATTCCTTGCACGAAGTTTGCAAGGAGTGGGCTCAGCATTTGCTGATACATCCGGTCTAGGTAAGTTAATATTGGTAAATGATTTCGAAAGATTCTATGCACATTTCAAATACTAGCCATGATTGCTGATCGATATCAAGATGAAGGTAGTCGTAGTCGACAATTAGGTATTGCATTAGCATTCATTTCTTTTGGATCTCTTGTTGCTCCACCATTTGGCGGTTCGTATGACAGATTTATTTTCAACTAGACTGTTAAAATTATTTATTGTTTCTTCTCGCTCAGGTATTCTATATCAATTCTTTGGTAAACGTGTACCGTTTATCACACTGGCTCTAATTGCCCTGCTCGATGGTGTTCTTCTATTTGTTGTCATGCGACCGAATCGACTTCGGGAAGCATTTGATTTTTCCAATAACTCGGCTGGCAAACCAAAAGGCACACCAATTTGGCGTCTTCTAATGGATCCTTACATTGCTGTATGCGCAGGAGCTTTGGCCATGGTATGTAACGCTCTCGGCTTTCGCTCGATTCGAAGTTCTGTTTGTTTTGAAGGCTAATGTTGGTTTGGCTTTTCTTGAGCCAACCATATCAATATGGATGCGAGAGAAGATGAATGCAACCGAAGCACAAATGGGTCTCATTTGGTTGCCAGGTTTCATTCCTCATGTTAGCGGAGTTTATTTGACTGTCAAAATGAATGAACGATATCCAAAATTTCAATGGTTATTAGCAGCTATAGGGCTTGCACTTCAAGGTATCATGTGCGCTTTCGTACCATTCTGTACGAATTTCGCAACGTTAATGATACCAATCAGTGGAATTTGTTTTGGTATGCGATTTTTTTGCTGCTCATAATTGAACTAAAGCTCATCTATGTAATGTTTTGCTATTATTCTCTAGGTAATGCTTTAGTTGATACTGCATTGTTACCGACATTAGCCTACCTTGTCGACGTTCGCCACACATCTGTTTACGGGTATGAATATAGCTATATTGTAGATGAAAAAAAATGAAAATCTCGATTTTGTATGTAGGTCTGTTTATGCTATTGCTGATATATCTTACTCGCTCGCCTACGCAATGGGTCCCATAGTTGCTGGATCCATTGTGTATGCAACGAATTTTCTCACATTGAATATGTTCATATTTATCAGTAATATTGCGTACGCACCGGTCTTGTATATTCTCAGAAACTTTTATGCTTATAAACCCATGGAGAATGACGAATTACGGTCATTCGCACATCAACCACTACAGAATGAACCCGATGAAGATAATTACCTACGTTCAATATCAAATAATAACTATAATCAACAGAATGATTATGATTCATCATCCAACGCTTGGCCGAAATCGACCGTAGTGAACCAATATCCTCAAATGAGTACGATGAACCAACAAGGTGCAGTACATTTCCAATCGAAATCAAGGAACATTGTTGATTATGATGAATTCTAAGCCACACCGATCTGACATCGAGACTGCACAGTCAAGCCGGTGATGTATTTTTATTATATTATTTTAGGGAATTTTCTCTTCTGTTTTCTTTGCTCTTTTTTTTTCTAAAAACTCTGTCGTTCGTATGTTGTTGTGAATGAGAGTCGGCCTTCTTTTTCTCTTCTCTTCTTTCTGTCATCGTACATTTTATCAATTATTTAGTTTAGTGTCATGATTTCTAAGAACCAACCAATATATCATCAAACATATCATTTGAACTGATGTATAAAGAGACAAATTTGTGTGCCTGTTTTCTCGATGTTCGTATTGACCTACTTCCTTGAATCTACTTTCGCTCATGCGATTTTGCCTTTGAAATAAATTCCGTGTAGTTTAATGTTGTTCCAGTCTAACATTCATAAACATATGATTTTTTAGATTTTCAGAAGAAAAGAAAACAGGAAGAGAAGCAGAAAAGAGAGAAGAGAATCATGGAAGATCTATCGTCTCAATTGCCAACATTAGACAAATATATTGGACGTATTAAACGACAACAAACTGAAGATAAAGACTGTTCGAAATGGGATGTTGAGGTGAGCTTGTAGAGTACCCGAAGCGAGCGAAAAACATGTCTAACCTGTGTCTATCTCGTGATATTTCATAGAAAGGACTGCCACATCTTCCTGTGCCTGATTTGGATGCAACTTTGACGAAATATCTTCGCTGTTTGGAACCGATTCAAAGCAGCGAGGAATTCGATCGAACCAAACAATTAGTAGATCAATTTCGTGCGCCGAAGGACATCATTGGCCAACGACTACAAGATATGCTCATTGAGCATGCATCGAAATCTGAGAATTATGTATGTAGAAAGTAATCTCGATCAATGACATGAAAAGCAAAACACGAAGAAATCGTCTTACGAACTAATCTTTTCTTTCTTCAGGCAGTCGACTGGTGGTTAGAAGACATGTATCTTGCAAATCCTCTTCCATTACCAATTAATTCTAATCCTGCGTTTGTTCTTCCGCAACAACATTTCGCAAACACAGAAGATTACTTAAAGTATGTAATCACATTTGATATTCAACAAATGAAACATGCTTTGTCCGTTCAGATTCATTGCAAAATTAATATCAGGAATATTAGATTATAAAGTATTAATCGATGGGTAAGTTGACGACAGGAAAAGAAACAACAATCACGGAGAATGATTGGAATTAAGCAAATCAAATTATGTTCGTGTTTAGTCGAGCATTGCCAATCGATCGAGCAACTAGCCGAGAAAAAGGTCAACCGCTTTGCATGGAACAGTATTATCGTCTATTTTCATGTTATCGTATGCCCGATGTTCCGCAAGATCGTCTTATACAAATTCGTAATAGTAAAGTCGTTCATCATCAGGTCGAACATGTGATTGTTGTCTATCGAAATCAATTCTTTGTATTGAGTGTCGTGATTAATTTTACGCGACTCGATGAAGATGATATTTATTCGTTACTACGACGAATTGTTCGAATGGCTGATGATGATCCCTATGCATCTGATGATGTCGGCATTTATACATCATTGCCACGACGAAATTGGGCACATATACGAACGGAATTAATGAAAGGTAAAAATGAATTCTGAGGAACTTTTGTGTTAAAAAGAATTTTAAAATAATATCTGTTGTTTAGATTCTTTGAATCGAGACTCGCTTGATCTGATCGAACGATGTATATTCATTATTTGTTTGGATCAATCCGAATCATCAAATGATTCTGAAGACGATGGCGAGTCAGTTAATTTCAGCAAGGCAACAAAACGAGATTTTGTGTCACTGGGTGAACAAATTCTACACGGCGGAAGAAATACGATTAACGCTGCAAATCGTTGGTACGATAAGACCATGCAATTCATAATCGGCACCGATGGTCTCTTCGGATTAAATTATGAGCATTCACCAGCTGAAGCAATAGCTGTCATTCAGTTGATCGAGCATCTATTTAAATATATGTAAGTCGAGAGAAAAATGAAGATGTCTAATCGATTTCGCGGATCATTTTAGGGAGGAGAAAAGTCGGGAGAGATTTCGTCGTTCAAAATCACTATGTGAACTTCCGGTACCACATCGATTGAAATGGAATCTAAATAATTTTCTGCGACAAAATCTATTGGTTGCTAAACAGTCTTTGCAAGAGTATGATTGACTATATTTTGTGATAAATTCCATTTTTCGATATTCAACTTTGCTTTTTAGAGCAATCAATAATTTCGACATGCGTATTCTGAAATTTACAGACTATGGTAAAGAATTCCCCAAAGAGCACAATATGAGTCCTGATGCGTTCGTTCAAATGTGTCTGCAATTTACTTACTTCAAGTTCGTACACGGTTGATAGTTCCTCGTATAAAAATAAAACAAGTGCCGTTTAGAATGTACAACAAACTTGTGTCAACATACGAAAGTGCGTCAACACGACGTTTCCATCTCGGTCGTGTGGATAATATTCGAGCGAATACACCGGAAGCACTGCTGTGGGCACGCGCCATGGTCGATGAAACCGGCAACATATCAGCTGCTGAAAAACTGCGTCTGTTTCGGCAAGCTATGCAAGCACAAACTGATCTCATGGTTCAAGTAAGAATTCTACTCAATAGACTGAAAGTCTTCTTCTCAGATACTATTTAAAAAAAGATGTACATCTTGTGACTAGAAACTTATAATTAAGATAGTTAATTAGTTAGTTTGAATTGGAAAGGCACGGCATGCAAAGATAGAGATGTCAATAGAACAGGTTCAAATTCGTACTTCTCTTTATGTGATAACCTAATTAATTCTGTCGCGACATACATCGACATTCCCGTGAGTACGATGTTAGAAGTCCTGACATAGCCGACGGTTTTCGTAATGAATATGATTAATCTTAATTTATTCATATGAAAATATCTGTTGTAGCACGAAACAACATTTTGTACAAGTAAGTATTAACCATCACGATTTGTAGAACTAATGAACTAATCGTACGAATGTATTTCGCTGCTTAAAATTAAATTGAACAACATCTTTTAAATGATTTATATTTTTTAGAATATCCTCGGCAATGGCATGGACTGTCACAGTAAGTTCCTGAATATTTTCTTTTCGAAAAACATTTCACTATATGATAACTTTAGTGCTTGCTTTGAAACAAATTGCACGCGACAATAATCTTCCAATCCCGGAGCTATTTCTTGATCCCGGTTATGCATTAAGTAATCATTTTAGTCTCTCAACTAGTCAAGTAACAACTAATATCAATGATTCGTTTATTTGCTATGGTGCCGTCGTACCTGATGGTTACGGTTGCTCTTACAATGTTCGTTCAGATTATATTCTTTTTTGTATTTCATCATTTAATAATTGTTCAACAACGAATTCTCAAGAATTTGCCGAATCTCTAACAGATACACTCTATGAAATACGTGATCTGTGTACACTTGTACAACGTCAACAACAAACAATCGCCCTTCGACGACCATCCTATGCTGCTAAGTTGGTCGCGCAGCAATCTATTTCATCTAATTCAATACATATAAATGAACAGAATAATAATAATTAAGAAATAAAAATGAAAACTATCACACAGTTCGTTGTCTTGTTTCTTCTTGCCTAGCACATATTATCTTTAAGATTTACGAGCTATAAAAAAGAAGTATGGCGTAAAGATGCCCGTTTGACCGCCACGTAATAGGCCAACTGCTGCTTTCTCGAGAATTTCGAGTGTACCTATGGTACCTTCAGCAGCAAGTTTGGTTTTCTCCATAAACCAAACCATATTTCGTGTAAACCAACGGCCGACAGCGGTTGTACGGAAGTTTGCTAATGAGAAATATGAATCACCACCAATAAATGGTTGGTACCATGGAATATCACCTTCCGGTATAATTCGACTTTCTTCGACAGTGAAACCAACTGTTTTCAAGTCCACAACCAAATCATCGGTTGATTTCAAATCAGGCAGTCCATCACCTTCTTCAATCAAACGCTTCATTTCACGATGATCACGGTTGTCTTTATCGTATTTATCAGTTATACACCAATCATAACCAACAAAAGAGCCACCTGGTTTCAATACTCGAAATACTTCAGCGAAACACTTAGCCTAAACACAATCATTAAGAAAGAGAAAATCGGCACAGCAATTTACCTTTTCTGGTGCATGACATGCGGCTTCGATAACATAAACATGATCGAAAGTATTATCTTCAAATGGTAATTGCATGAAATCTCCTTGAATAAATTGACAATTAGCCGGTACACCTACAACACAAGATTTCTCCAATAACAAAAAAAAAAAAGACTAAAAAGGTTTCTACCAATAGCCTTCGCTCGTTGAATTTGATATTGACTAATTGTTACACCAGTGACATGTGCACCACTTAAATTTGCAATGCGTCTCAATGGTCCGCCAACACCACAACCAATATCAAGTACTTTATCGCCTGGTTTCAGTTGCATTCGCAATGCTAAATACGATTCGTGTCGTTGAATCGATTCTGCTAATGTTTCACCGCGAAATCGATTAGCAAAATGAAAACTTTGACCCCAACCGTATTCGTAAAAATCAGTTGCTAAACTATAATAATTGCTCACCAAGGTCTTATATTCATCTTTTCGTTTGTCGATCGATGTTCCATCTTCGTAGAGTTGATTGTAAGACGAAACTTCTTTTTTCACAGCTTCATTTGAACGATGTATTAACGTTTTCTCTGACATTGTAAATAACAAACAGTTGATTGGGTACAAATTTGTTATGGTGTGACTTTCGGCAGATGTATCTACCTATATATATATATACGCGTTGGTATGGGCAGACCATTAGCTTATTTATTTAGTCAAAACTACTGATTCGTCAGGGGACGCTCGAATCGATAAAGAACAACAGTTGGTTGAGTTATGCGGAACGCACAGGTAAAGGAAAGGAATGCATGACAACGCACTGAACGCAAAATGGTGACATTTTCCCGGTCGATATGACTCATTCGAAGAGGATATACTTAATGAATGTAACAGTAGAAAAAAATATCATAATATCAGTTTATGTTCCGTTAACTAGTGTTAATGGTTGAAACTTATGTATGTTGCATGTGCTTACTAAGAAGAGAAATGTACAAACGAAAGAGAGATTCTCAAAAGTTTAACAATAAAAGGAGGAAAGGTTTTTCTTTTCTTTTCTTTTCTTTTCTGGCATTGTAAAATCAATAAAGGACTTCGTACGACTGGTAAGTTGATTTCTCTTTGTTTGATTTGAATAGTGTCAGGAATGTTGTTTTTCTTTATGCAAATGATTGATTTCAGTTTTTCAAGACCGTTTTCTTGCAGGCTATAAATGAAGATTTCTCTCTCTATTTGTATTTCAACATTGCAGTGAATCGATTGTTGTAGACATAAATAAAATAGATACGAAGTTGTATATTATACGCCAAAGTATGAATTCAGACTAAAAACTGTGGATAGCAAAGTAAGTCGATTACTCTATTTGTCTGCTACGTACGGTAAACAAAATCTGTAATTATTTTTATATTGAATTATCTGAACAGATGTTCATAAGGATTCTTTCCTATGTGTTTATGTATGTATTTACGCTTGCACAGAAGACAAGAAGAAGTAGTCTGTTAATAGAGTAACGAGTGAAGACAAACATTGGATTTATTCATGTGGAATCATCATATAAGCATTTCTTGAGAAGTCTTGTCACTCTCATACTTTTCTATAGAAGTTGAAAGATCATTCATTGCCCTTCGAGTTGTTCTTTCATATACACATGATATATCAAATAAATGTTGACTGAGATCATGGACAATATCGGTAGGTTTTGTCACATTATTAAGTAGCAAACATTCGTTACGTTCATCAGTATGCATCGCCGTCTCATATATCGTCAATCTTCTACATCGATGAAAGTAAATGTATGGAAGAAAGAAAAAGACAAGAATCACGTTCGATATATTTATACGGGACGTTCAAACGTAATTTCGAAAAGATTTTTTGCTTATCTTTATACATTCGTTTTATAATCATAGTCAAGTAGATAAGGTTTCTCTCATTTTTTTTTCTTAAACCTACGCTCTTACGCCTCTTTTAGATTCACTAACTAAAAACAAGTGTTTTGCATCTATTCGTATAAGTACATAGAGAAATCACTTCGATTTCTTTTCATGATGTTGTAAAGTATTCTGGCGACTATGAGAGTTTTTTTCATCAACTAGCATAGAAGTGGAAAAGAAGTACATACAATAAAACAATCCCCGAAGCACTCAATGTCTTTCACGCGTACATCAAGGCTTTTGCCGTAGAGCAGAATCGGATGCTTTTAACATCAGTCTTCCGAAACTTTCGTGCAATACACGTATTATCGAAAAACTAACATGATGTATACTGTAGAGATCTCGTCGTAACTCCACTTGATCTGCACAAGTAGCAAGTCATATTTTTGATTATGTACAAAAATGTCACTCATTGGTATACCATATTTCTGAACTAATATTGACTCTTTTTCTGTTGCATGGCATTGTTAGCTAAGTTTCTTATCATGCGTCTAAAGCGAGAAAAAAAGAGAAAAACATGTTGTTTAGTTGACAAAACATGATGTTACTCAATTTCTTTGCTCCCTTTCTCTCGCTCTATACTTTCTCTTTTATTAATTGATGTGGAGAACGGTAGGTCGGTGCCTGCGTGTGGTAGGACATTAAATACATATTATCGTCGTGAAAGGCGTATTGAAGTGTATTAGTAATGGAATGATTATTCATTCATACATGACTTTTATAATCGACATCAAAACAAAAAATAAATCTCTCTTTCGGGACGATTCTAGATGTCGAAATTCTTCGATTTTATCTTTGGGTATGATCGACAGTTGCAATGAGAGCACTGTTTTTGCTCTACTATTTGTTCGTTCAATCGACGATTATCTACGGTAGGAGGAAGAGGAAAGTTAAAGCCTATGAATCACCATGAAAAATGCGCTATTCTTAGGTCTCAATCAATATTTGGGTTGCTTTGTTAATCCAAATGAGACACATGATTCTGAAATAATCATCGGTCAATATGAACAGCTGATTCCTGAACAATGTATTCGTGCATGTCAAGAAAACGACTATAATTACGCTTCTATTCAATATGGTAGTGAATGTCGATGTATTCAACAGTATGACGAGTTTGGTCAAGTGTCGGATGATGAATGTTATTATTCATGTGTGACATCCGAAAAATGTGGTGGTGACCAGAATCGAAAGAGTATTTACAATGTCTTGACATCTGTAACGCCAACTCGTACAGGTAGTTTGTTCTGTTCAAATCGAGAATTGATGTTGAAAGAAATGAGACATTTTGCGTTTGTTTAGATTCTGTGTGCTCGAATACATTCAAAGGTTATCAAGGTTGTTTTAATGACGTAATGTTCGCGACGGTGATAGGTGTTGTGGAGGCGGTGGAACAATGTTTGCTGTATTGTGCTGTAAACTTTAATTATGCAGGCATTAGTAATGGGTAAATCTTTTCCGAATTACAATCATATGACAATTTATTGTGATATGCTTTAGTAATTTGTGTAAATGTGGTAATCATGCAAATCAATCTTCCGTAAATCCTACTCTATGCAATATTCCGTGTGGTCGAAATCAAAACAACAAAGAAACGGTTTGCTGTGGTGGTTCATATGTACTCAGTGTCTACGACGTTAAGAATTATCGTTAGTATCACGACAGTTTACATCTATATTCGTAGAGGTATTTCGTATTTCTGAATTTGTTTTTAGCAACTCACTCGTACAAAGAACATGTTCGAGGTACGTGCACGATCAGACTTTGATCATCTATATATGTATCTATGATATTTTGTTTTTGTTTCAGTGAAACGAGCTGGTAAGAATCTTTGACAGAATGTTCTCTTCTGCTGAGAGTTTACCTCATTCTTAGTTTTATGTTAACGGTTTCTTTTTCTAAAATGCTAACTCTACATAAATCTGCTAATTTGTTGTGTCTTCTTCATCGATATAGATTCTGTCAATAACGGATTCCAAACAGAAATTTGCCAACCTATTCGACGCTTTTGCTTCTTATAATGCATATCTTCTTCTGCTATGAAAACCAATGACTGTTTGTCCTTGCTTAACAGAAAAAAGAAACACGGTTTATTGCAATTTCTGTGGATATCATTTCATTTGAGTTTACCTCTGGTTACCTTTTCCTTTCTATCTAGATGGAGATGCAACATTTGCTAGTGCACAAACAACCGTTTCATCAATGAGCACTGCTATTTATCAATCAAATATGACTTACAATGTTAGTTCTGATCAGGTAACAACACAGGCTACTCTATTCAGCACAACAACTGCAAATTCAACCAACAACTTAGTCGTCACATCAGCTAGTACTAATATAAATACCGCTGGATTAACAAGCATTATCCAAAATACTTCGTTATCATCAACGGCCGCGGTTTCTTCAACAAATAATTTACAAGTGACAACAGCTACAATCGGAAACACTATTGCGTCTGCCAGTACGACTGCTTTCTCGAATGCTACACTGAATGTTGGCACGTCTACGTTACTTCAACCAAATTCCACTCAAGCAAGTAGTGCACCGATCGTAACTACAATTCCGATAACTCAAGCATCATCATCACATGCAGATACATCAAGTAGCTCGTCTACTTCTTCAACACTCAGTAGCACAATTGCGATAGGTACTACGGCCATGGCCAGTCTTATTACAAGTGCATCAACCGCAACAACGATGGCAATAATAACAACAGCTGGTGTCACGTCGATGTCATCTGCACATGCAGATGCGAGCTCCATTGTTACTACAATCACATCACAAATGCTGGTTACAACACAATCGTCAACTTCCGGATTGGTCCGTGACACAAGTATGAGTACAGCTCCATCAATACTCCCAAGTACACATCAAGTAACTACGAATCCCACAACAAGCACTACACCTGTGTCAACATTCTCGACTGGATTCACAAGTCAATCAACTATCCAGGTAGACACATCTTCTAAAACATATACCAGTGTACTGTCATCAATATCATCCACACTTACAACTCAAACTATTCAAAGCACAATAGTCACCACTACTAATGTGATGCAGACTTCCTCTGTGATATTGACAAGCTTGTCATCTCACTACACTGGTGTATCACAAGATACTAGCACTGCTATTTCTTCAATTTTATACACATCCGGCCCCACTGTACCAAGCACTAGTTCGTCACTAGCGCACATCGGTACATCCTCACATACAGACACAAGTCAAATGCTTTCTAGTGCACCCCCAAGCACGACTACGTTAACTACCGTGACTCAGTCAGCAACAGCAACTTCATTATCATTGCACACCGACACAACTCAACCACACACAAGTGCCTCACTAAACACTGTTTCTACAATGTTTAGCTCCCCCACAACATCGACCAATTTATCGACGTTACACACAGATACATCAATGGCATCGCAGTCTGCTATGTCGTCGTCGTCATCATCTCCGCATACTGACACGAGTCAAACAGCTAGTAGCAGTGCCATAACAAGCACCATCATTACGATAACAGCATCGCCAACACATCTTTCGTCTTCATCGCTACACACGGATCTTAGTTCAGTCAGTAGTAGTATAATGACGAGTATTCTACCAACAATTACGTCAACATCGCCTACTTCATTTTCAAGTGGCTCATCCCTGCATACAGACACAAGCCAAACTGCTAGTGTCAGTACCATGACAAGTACCGTTATTACGATAACAGCATCGACAACACATCTCTCGTCTGTATCACCACATGCGGATCTTAGTTCTGTCTCCGGTGGTACAGTAACAAGTACTATGGCGATAATTACATCACTGTCACCTACTTCATTCTCAAGTGGCTCATCCCTGCATACAGACACGAGTCAAACTGCTAGTATCAGCGCCATGACAAGTACCGTTATTACGATAACAGCATCGACAACGCACCTTTCGTCTTCATCGCTACACATGGATCTTAGTTCAGTCGGTAGTAGTACAATGACGAGTATTCTATCAACAATTACGTCAACGTCACCTACTTCATTCTCAAGTGGCTCATCCCTGCATACAGACACAAGCCACACTGCTAGTAGCAGTGCCATAACAAGCACCGTTATTACGATAACAGCATCGTCAACACATTTTTCGTCTTCATCGCTACACACGGATCTTAGTTCAGTCGGTAGTAGTACAATGACGAGTATTCTATCAACAATTACGTCAACGTCACCTACTTTATTCTCAAGTGGCTCATCCCTGCATACAGACACGAGCCAAACTGCTAGTAGCAGTGCCATAACAAGTACCGTTATTACGGTAACAGCATCGACAACGCACCTTTCGTCTTCATCGCTACACACGGATCTTAGTTCAGTCGGTAGTAGTACAATGACGAGTATTCTATCAACGATTACGTCAACGTCATCTACTTCATTCTCAAGTGGCTCATCCCTGCATACAGACACAAGCCACACTGCTAGTAGCAGTGCCATAACAAGTACCGTTATTACGATAACAGCATCGACAACGCATCTCTCGTCTTTATCGCTACATACGGATCTTAGTTCTGTCTCCGGTGGTACAGTAACAAGTACTATGACAATAATCACATCACTGTCACCTACTTCATTTTCAACTGGTATATCCTTGCACACAGATACAAGTCAAACTATCACGAGTACTAATGCCATGACAAATACAGCTACTACGATCACAGCATCTGCAACTCATCTCTCGTCTGCATCATTACATACGGATTTCAGTTCAGTCAGTAGCAGTTCAATGGCAAATACTGTGACATTTACATCGACACCGTCCATTTCACTCTCAAGTAGTAGATCTCTGTATACGGATACGAGTCAAAGTCTGGGTAGCTCACCAACATCGCACACTGCTACTTCATCAATGCAAACTAGTGGTGCATCATCTTTATCTCCAGGAACGTATACTAGTCAAACACTTACTAGTACAGCTGCTGCATTACACACTGATACATCGTCTGCAGTTACAAGCCAAACGGTTAGTAGTTCAACACTATCTACCATGTGGTCGAGTCCTTCTTCTGCCTACACAAGCATGTCACACCAAACAAGCACTGGTATTTCGTCATCGTTGCATACCGACACAAGTCAAATGGCAGTAACATCAACCATAAATACGCAGACCATAACTTTTACTTCGTCTTCTGTTATCAGCAGTCAAGGATCTACATATACAGCAACTGCGGCTAGTTTTAGTTCAACATCAATTCATACTGATTCAAGTCAGATTACTAGCTCTTCATCAATTATTCTTTCAACGCTGACAAGCTCAAGATCAGACAGTACCTCAAGTTTGCTATTAGCATACACTAGTTATTCTTCAACAGCGTCATCGATGACGGCAACTTCCACTGCTTTTAGTAGCACACAATCATCGTTGATGAGCTCAGCTACTACATTTACACACACTTCTGCAGCACCATCTACGTCAGTGTATACACATACATCAACTGTTGTGAGTTCTTCAGTAACATCTTCGAGTATACTACTGACTTCTTCTACTGGTACATCAAGTATTATTATGCAAACAACAGTTACCAGTGCTTCTTCCCCGTCTCCACATACAGGTAAGAACAATGAGCAAAATCCGACATTCTCATTTTAATTACCGCTTTTTACATTGACAGATACTACTTCTCAAACAACAGTAACAATAGGAAATTCGGCCAGTGCTATCACTACTGTCTCTTCTATTGTCAGCTCGCCCAGTTCTGTCGCAACGTCTACTGTTAGTACCAGTCAACACACAGCTTTTACAAGTGCGGCTACGTCCGTGACAGCATCAGTATCTCAAACAACCGGACAAACGTCTACTAGTACTAGCACGACTACGACAACAGCGACTTCGCAGTCAAATATTATTGCTACAGGTTTGATAGATTTGAAATGATTTATTCCTCAATAACTTTAGGTCGATATTTTTTGTTCTGTTTTAGTAATCAGAGTTTTCGGAACAAAACCGCTTAATACATCGGATTCAAACCAGATAGCTAGTCTCAAGAGTGGCTTAGCTGCTGTTATCACATTGGGTTTCCAGTGTTTAGCTAATCCATCATATTCGCAGTGTTCATCTTCGTCACGACGTAGACGTCAAACAACTTCTACTTACACTGTAGACATTATCGGAAATATAACGCAGGTGCGTATAGAAATACTGCTGTTTATGTTTGGAAAAGTTTCCTATAATTATCGTTCATCATCTTTCAGATTTCAAATTCTAATAATCCGCAACTGTATATGATCAATTATACCGTCACTGAAACAAACGGTAGTGGCAGTGCACAACTAGCTACAGATAAAGTGTACGTTGCTACACAAACTGTGCCACGAGATCAAATAGCGTCTTTGCTTGGTTTCGCAGTTGATGGTGATTTCGTCAGTAATGGTAAGGCAGCCACTGCGCCGTCCACCACTGATTCTAAACTATGGATTATTGGCGCTGTTCTGGGACCACTTTTTTTCGTCCTATTACTCATTGGTTCAGGATGTTTCTTCTATTACAAATGTCGACCAAGACCGTATAACAACAGCAGTGCTCAAGTAATTCCATTTTAATTATCATCACTTTCTGTTTTCTATATCAGAATGCTTATTTTCTCGTTTAAGGCTGTTTACAATGCTCCACAAGCTCCTAATCCAACACAAGTAAGCTTGTAGAAAGATTACAGACAGACGGCCACTGAATGTTTTGTTTTTAAATAGAATTATCAACGGATTTTGAATGAGCCACGAAAAGATCAGCCGACACCTACGACTAATATTCGGCAATTACCACAAAACGATCTTCTCGTTGGACGTTCCACTACGCCACCGCGTCGTTTGCCACCCGTAGAATTACAAAACACTGCTAATGATCGTGCTCCACAATCTCCAGTAGTTGAGATACCCATGCAAGAAATACGTCGTCAAAATGATGTCGACCGATGGCGAAATAAACTTCGCTTACAAGAAAAATTTGAAGTAAACTCTAAAAGAGGTCTTATTTGAAATAATAAAGGAATTCTATTGTTTTATTTTTCAGGAACGTTATTCGGATCCACTAGCAGACCTTGATCGAGCGCGTCGTTCATCAGTATCAAACAGAGCGTTAGTACCTAGTAAGTAGACTAAGTGATCATAGTTCATATTGCACAAAATGCGTCATTCTGTGATCTCTCTTTGTAGTTGCTAATCAAGCAATAGCATATCAATCTGATCCTACGAATGTCTATGTTCGATCAAATAACAATTTAAACATGCATGATCCACCTCGGACAGTACGTCGTACACCGCACACAGCAGAAATAGAAGCTGGACGAAACCAGTTACATCGTTTATTGGATGAAGTTTTGGATAAAGTCGAACCTGCTGACGTCTATGATCCTGATTCAAACACAGAACGACGACGGCAACGTCGTCAACAGCGCAGCATTCATAGTGGCATATACAATCCGAGAAATCCTCCTTCGATCAATGGTAATTATCAACCGCAGCACATGCCGATTGTGCCGCAAGTACTAGAACGTCCGAATTCAACACTTCTCAGCTTTCATCATAATCCCTACGAAGCAGGTGATCGTGCATATGAAATCGAACGTTATGCACCTGTAGAATTAAAACCTAAATATGCGTCGGATGACGTCAGCATTCGACAGCGTTACTCCCAATCGTCTCCTTACTCGAATCCCTCATTATACAAAAATGATTCTGTATCAAGAAATCGCCCTATAACTGCAGCTGATGTCTACCATCGTCCTCACGGACAACGACAACATCGATTCCATGAAAACGAAGTGTATGTTGACACAATATCTAACCCACGCGACGATCCTCGCACTCCGATACAAAATGCATGGGTGCACGAAGACGTTCCTGATCGGCCAATGTTTCAGTTAAATCCATCCGATGTCAATAACGATTCCTCGAAACACAATGATTTTCACGATGAATACATCATCGCTAAGCAAAGTGTTGTCAATACGAAAAATTTAATATCATCCATACAAGACGAGCTACAACATATCGTGGCTGAACCACCGTCAGACAGCTATCATGCATAGAATTCTTTCTTATCTGTTGTACTCTTATGTGGTGCGATATACATGTTTATACGAATGCTTATTTATGCGGGAAAACTAAAATTCTCTTTCTTCTCTCTATTTTCGCTACATGGTTTGCTTATGTGAATGCTTAGTTGCTTTTTCCAGGGAATATTTGATTTCTTTACAACGAAGTATTCCTGTTGTTTTTCATAAATCAGTGATCTTTGTTCTTGTATCGTTAAAAAATAAATAAATATTTGTGTGTTTTCACTTGGAAGCATTAATTCCGTTCGTGTTCAATCGTGAATGTATAATGAGAAGAGATTTTGAAGGTTAAAATATATTTTTATTTAACAAATAGAATTGGTCATGGCTAAACAGAAGGAAGAAGATATAGATATTATTTTCTTCCGGTGCAATTCGAGTATATTTACTAAATTTCTTGCTTCATAATCTGTTACAGCTTGAAATTGTTCCAAACGCCGCTTTTTGTATGCTTCTGTACGGGGATCATTGTCAGTATTGTAACATTTCTCCAACTTTTCGATTATCTGTTTCACTTCGCTCTTTTTAAATTTCGCTGGTGTATTCACAGCATTGGCAATCACTAAAACGGCAATGATGTTTCATGTTCAACAACTCCAAACGTCATTTACATCGAATTGTTTCTTTAACTTGTTGCATTTGAGCTGATTCTAATGAGCCATAAACATGCTTGAGAATGTAGTCATCAATATTGACTTTTGCCTTCACTGAAGCAAATACTAATGCTGTCAGGGCGATCTAAATACAAATTAGGTTATATTCCTTTGGGAAAATATCCACTTAGATTACCTGCGAGGGAGGAAAAAGAAAATAGACATCTGTTAGTAATGTTTTATCGAGAAATTCATAGCCAGTAACACGTAACTGATCAGCATCGTTGACATTTTCACGTAAATAATGAGTCTAATTTATTCAAACCGAAAAATTCATGAGAAAGTTGTCTTTGCTCAATGTCGTACTTTCAAATCAATAATTAAACCTTCGAATGGTCGATATGCAGTATGTACAACCAATTGGAAATGAAGTTTTTCAATTAATAGAAGTTCATATGATAGAAGTATATCAGCTGTATGATTGACATTTGCACTTTCTTTGATATTGGCAACAAACTCTTCCATTGATATTCTTAATTCTTCCGTTTTGCCAGTTAAATATATACAGATTAGACTAGAAGAAGAAAAAAAACGTTTGCTTATCGAAGATCGTCATTTTTTACTAGATATCTCTGGGATGATATTCCATGACGGAATTATTCAAATAAAAGCGTTTGAAATATTGCATCGCCACAGCCTAGAAAAGGAGTATTTTTCACACACGCGTAGATTTTTCAACATACAATGGCCATCTTTGTCATTGGCGGTCGAAACTTCTCACAAAAATCTTTCAGTTGGATTTCATAATAGCGTATAACCATAGCTTCTTCTTCCACAGTTAAACAATCTCGCGATACCTATTTGATTTCAAGAAACACATTGAATTCATCGGGATTCATTCGAACTTACATGTTTTTGCACATATTCAGCATTTGTCTTCGCACGTAGATCTTTCAACTGCTCGACAGTGAATAGCCATTGAGTGTACTGCGTACTTAAATGATACATCTACAAAAATAATCGAGAATAAGCAGACACAGTCGCGTGACAAGCTGGTGTTATCGAAATAGATGTTGAAGAAAGGTTCACAAGATCAGAAATGTTCTCTAATGGCCAAAATTTCAATTCACTAGATTCGAATGCTTCGGTATGCGTTTGAAGATCATAACGTTGTTGCAATTCATTCGATGACATGGATGTTCTAGAAAAGCAACAATTGTATTAAAATTATTTTTCGTAACATTCATACCGAAGACAAGACTCAACAGCAGGTCGACCGTGTTGATTTAAATTACGCGTAATTATAAGAATGAAGAAAAATGAGTCAACGAGAAGCGTAGTTCGATCAACATTCGTCTCATCGACACATTCAGCAATGGTTGATAAACGAATTTCGTCGATAATATCTTGTTTCGAATACGATTTCGCATTTCTGAAACGACAAAAGTTAATAGACTTTCATTCAATTCTTGAACTTACTTCGGTTCGGGATGACCACCGGGTAAATCATAAAGATTTGGTGAATCTACACAGTTAGAATTTCGCTTTATCAAAACGATCTTATCGTCCGAGGTTATCAGTAGACATCCGACACCCAGAGGATGTGAGAGATGATCTTCAGTTATATATTGACGAATATCATTCGATAATTTTTGTTGTTGTGTGCAAATAAACGATTTGTAATCAGTTAAGCCAAGTTTGAGCACAAATTCATTGGTATTTTCATCGGTCGTTTTCGTTTCAATGGAATGTAATCGAAACTTGGATTCATTGAAGAGAACGCGCCCTGGTTTTGTATCAGCTAATAATTGATTCCATCTTTCATCTAACTTTTCCTGAATATCATCCGGCAACGATTTCGCGTTGTACAACTCAGGATTGAAATCAATCAATAATTCATCGAATTTCAATGGTTTGTTCAAGTTTAATATATCAACCCAAGTTGAAAACATTTATATACTAAAAACAATGAATTCATAGATTAGAGTGTTGCTCATTTTATTTTGTAAGTGTAACTATCTTTTATTTAAAAAAACAACAACAAACAAACACACGCAATCTACGGTCCGAGATAGTGACCTTTCTTTTTCAATACTTCATATTTCTCCCAATAAGAATTGTATTGTTCGAATTCAGGTCTTAATGTTGGATCAACAAGAAGCGGTTCACGTTTGGTGACAGCAACAGTTGGATATGAAATGAGACCAGTCATTCGAGCTTGACGAATCAACGTATGCAATTTATCGTTCTGTTTCGGACATAAACCGGTGATCTCAGGAGGAAGAATAGTGCCATCTTTTCGAAGGTATTGTCGAAGAACAAGAACATCCTTAACGACAAGAATACGATTTGAAAACATTGAAATCACTCGTTTTCTCATACAGTATGTTGAATGTGAATAGAACGACGATCGAATTTACACCAAAGACATACTTGTTCAGGTCCGGATAATTTCAGAACATTCTTTTCATTGTCGTCAATATATTCTCCTTCATACTAAATACAATCAAGCAAGTCATAATTCGTAAGAAATTCATTTAAACTTACGGTAATTACATTGCCTTCAACTTTTTCTGTGACTAAAATGAAACGATGGGATTTTTAGATAATATCACTCAACAAAATCTATCGAAGTCGTGATCTCATCGATTCACATGTTGTGAGCTTAGTCGATGCACGAATCTTCTTACTTTTCTTCAGTCCGACTGTCTGTGTCAAATGAAATAATCGTTTTGATGATGCTAAAACGTTCGGATTCACCAATTTAACTACGGACAAGAACTTCAACATCTGCAAAAGAAATCTTTCGTCGACTGTATTTAATTATTTGTTAATATTTGTCGGGTAGAAATAAAGCAAAACAAGATATCACGATGTTTAATAAAATAAGGATTTGAAAAAAAAAACATACACATCAACAAAAACGTATTCTCGGAACATTCAAATTTAGAAAGGAACTTTCCAAACAGTCATACTCACTCAATAGGATCGTGATCGAAATCTGAACATGGCACAAAAAACAGACGTAAGAACTCATTTTGCATGTGCATATGTATTTGATCAATGATATGTACTAAGCCAACTATACAGATATACAAATAAGCAAGAAAAATGAGAAAATGCTCGGTATATACGTGAAATAGAAAAGAAGACAAGCATTCTCGGATAAGTTGAAATCGACAAAACAATCATTTGAATAAATAGAAAAGATAAATCGTCGTTTGTCTCGTCTATATGGAATGAAAATGACACAACACTGTTGGAAATGGATATGATATGCATATTTCTACTGTTCATTAGGATCTCGTAATCTCATTTCAAGATTACGTAGGAACCCTTTTGGAGTTAAGATATGATCACTACCTAGAAAACAACGAATCAAAAACAAGTTCATCCGACTGATTCAACTAAAGTCACTTACCGATGAATACCTCCCATTTTTTCAGATTACTTTGTGTTACTTCATACGCACAACGAAGTTCATTGTAAGCAACACCACCGAGTATGAAAACAATTAAACGTGGACCATTGTAAGCCGCAACTTTACGGCCGTTCATCCAACCACCAAAGCCTCGTGAACTAAAAACAAACAATCAAGTCATGCGTTAATTCTTCCATTCTACGAATACCTCTGAGCTGAATACGCAGCTGTCGGATTTCTTTGGGTACTGATTGATGGAAATTGTCGAATATCGAGTTTATCCTCGATGACATCCTTGACATTGAACATAAAAGCGAATATTTGATATCATTAAGTTATTTACCTCCATGATATCTTTGACATAAGGTACCCATCGAGAATTAGTATACGTCGAATCTGAACGTTCTTTTCTGCCCAGCGGAATGTTTTTCCGACGTCCAGCCTAGTATGAGAGTGACCATTGTTTCCTATCCAGAATACACAAAGAATCACATACTCGATTTTGATCTTGAGTAATTTGCAAATTGAGATATTGTAGATTTGTAATTAAAGTTTTCTTTGGAACCGGAATGATTGCATGACTCAATAGTTTATCCAAGTTTTCTTCCGTAACACCTAAACACGAAACGAATAAATCGAATAATTGCATTTCTTGAGATCAAAGAAAGTAAAACCAGCAAAAACGATCCTCCTAGTCTCTCCATACCGTACATCTCAGGCGGTGAACAACAATAAGCTAAAAGCTATCACATACGAACAACATCTATTCTCTACCCCCGGATCGACTTACCGTTTTTCTGTAAAATATATAGCATTATGACACGTATTTTATCGTCGATAGCAATGGATGTATCGAGTAACAATGGCACAATATTACGCATATGATCTTTGATACGTTCGCCTTCGGGATCAGTGCCCATTGCTAAATTCTGAAAGTATGGAGAGCAATTATTAGATCACTGCTCAGTTGATTTTCAGACAATGTGTATCATGTACCTGTTCAGCGGAACATAGCTTTTCCACTGCTTCTCGATTGTATTTGTTCATACATTGCTCAGCAATGATGAAATGAAGTGCATACGCATTCAATTCTTTTTGATACTGCGGCATTTTCTTGATCATTAATCTACATTAATTGTGCAGTGTTTAGTAAATTCAATGAGAACAATACTTACGAAAGCTCTCTCATGGTTGTACGTTCTCCACGTTCGGCATCTTTAACACGATTTTGCACTGCAAAATCTTTGATTTTCTTTGTAATACTCCTACCGATCGGTTACATTAATTCACTACTGAATGAATAACAAAAATATTCAACAAACTGTGTCACAGCAGCAATATGTTGATGACGTAGTTCTGTCCAAAGTTCGTCGTTCTCATCTAAGATGACTTTTTGCTTTTGTCCAGTAGTACTGGCTTGATCACTTGTAGGTGTCTGAACATCATACTCGAAAACATCATTGTCAACCTTTAATAAATCATATGTCATTGCTTGATATGTCAATTCATGAAGTAATGGTGATACGGCGTCAAAACCACGATCCAATAACAGTAACACAGATTTCGCTTTATCAGCTCCCTTCAAAAAAATACGACAACCAGAAGCGTATATCATTTTTCTTTGTTGAATTCTATTACTTCGCCCATGGTAGCGTCATCAGCTTTATATTGATCTAATTTCTGTTGAACAGCATAAGCAAATTCAAGCATTTTTTCATTCTCGCTATTAATAAGTATAGAACTGTTTCAGGAGCGAATGAGAGAAAGGATCTTCCTTACCCTCGATATCGAATATTAGGATATTCGCCAAGTGTCGCGCATAATGTAGCGATTTGTTCGGCAATAGCATCAAGATGTGCGTTACGCAATGATGTCGACGTTGGGTTGTACGCAATGTAAAATGTATCTGGTGAATCGAGTGTGAATACCTTTCAACAACAGATGTATAAACGAGTGAACAAGCTTTTTCCTTCTACCTGACGTTCGTAAGGCAAAAATGCGATATTCACTTCACGTAATGTTTTGATGTATTTCGCGCATTTCGATTGAGTTAAACGTGTAAATAAATCTGCATTGCATGCTACAACAGAACATCGAAAGTTCTCAATCAGAATGTCAAATATTAATATATTCAATCGAATTATGCTACCAACAATCGTGTTTTAGAACGAATCAAATGAAAGCAGCAGATCAATCAATCACTGTCATCGACAATCAACTGACTATATACATAATGAAGTCGTCGAAAAGATACCTCAGATAGTGACAAGAATCTGCGTTAATATATACTTTAAGTTCAAATTAGTAGTTCAAACTTGACTTACCTTCAGTGAAGAACACGTGTGCAGCTTTATACTTAGGTAACAATGCATTGTGTTTATCGAAATCATTCATAAGCTCAGTGACTGACTAAAAATATAATATGTTATCAAAGGAAGAGCCGCAGCGAAAAGTCAACAGTACTTGTTCATTCGGCTGGATGAAATACACGGCTTCTAGCATTCCGAGTGGTTCGCGTTTTTTCATAATATCTTCTACGACTTGAACAAACGAGAAGGTCTGATCGGAAATCAAGCAGTCGGAAAACGACACCTACTTGTAATTCCTTCCGACATGATGTCATGCATTTTACAAGAGGCAGAAAAAATTCTCGTTGCTAACCGATCCATGACCAAAACTTTCCAGTCATTCTTATCTTTTTGTTTGACTGAATCACATCGCAATATTTCAGTGATTAATTCTAAGTGAAAATTGAAATTTAAGTGCTGTTAGTCGATCGACTGGCAAATTACTTGTTCCAACTAATTTCTGCAGATTGGATGTGGACATTTTTGAAGAAAAATTGAGATCGAAAACTATTGAGTAAACATATAAGAAAAATCAAAGAAAACGAATGAATAATATCCGATCTAAAAGAAAAACAATTTGCCTACGGATTGATTATGAATCATAATAATAATATTGTATTTGTTCAATTAAACATAACTAAACTAGCTGAATCAGTTCGATCTCTCCCAGCAAATCGTCTTAGTGAGGATTTTAAAATATCTGTATGATATTTGATTTAAATTACAAATGCAGTTTCTCTTTCCGAGACGCTTTTCATTGGCAGGATCAAATATCCAATAGTAGGAGACGATTGCTTCGTTCGTTCGTTTGCCTCCTATCAGTATTTTTCTGTTTACCGTCGTACGTTGCCGTGTGAATTACGAAATCATCTCATATGACTCATGTAAAAAGAATAAGAAAAAAATGATTCTTTTTCTTTCAATTCTTTTCATCTTTGTTTCTCTTCGTTTTTTTTTTGTAGATGAAGAATCAAAATTCGATTTCGAAGCCGGCTGTTATCATCAAGCCTCCTTCGTCTGTATCAGCAGTGCCGTCGGCGAAAAAAGACAAGTTGCCATTGGAGAAGAAAATGAATTTGGAAGCGAAACAACAGCAAAATCCGACTGATAACGTTACTTCACCCAACAATGACCCCGCAGTAAATACGAATGAACTAGCAGCAGCAGCTGAAACACCTTCGACACCGCTCACTGATAAAGTAATGGAACTTATTCGTCAGGATATAGAACTTTATTTGAGAGTGCCCACTCGATTGATTAATTACATTAATCAAAGCTAGTGAATGAATGGAGAAACGAAATGAACACATCAGTTTTGTTTTGTTGACTGAATAGATCAGTGATGTTTATTATCTGTACGAAAGATGACTTGAGGCTGTAATATCCATTAGAAATGATGGTTTCATCATACGAGAAAAGAAAATCTTTTAAATAGTCGACAAAAAAGCACTCTTATACGCATGTCCTTGACATTGTTCTATTTTTGGTTTGCTGGTCGAATAGAAATCCATTAGATGATTAGAAGATATTAATTTGCAATGCATGAACTTTTTCTTGTTTAGGAAGCGAAAGAACAAGAGATAATTATTTACGAATTTCACTTTCCTGTGGAACTATGCGGTCGTCTTATTGGTCGACAAGGTGTTCACGTGGATTACATTCGACAAATGACTCAAGTTGATTTAGTTGTACGTGACGATGCTGTTTCGTACGAAAAGCAAGTCGTGGCTTTACACGGTTGGGCACTATTATAACTCTTTAAGAAACTTCTTTCAATGAAAACTACAAATCTAGGTCGCCGAGTTGATATTGAACAAGCAATTGAACTCATCGCTAAACGTTTTCCACCTGAACGTTATCCTCAAGTTGCTTTCAAACCTATTAACAAGAAAATCGTTCTACGACAACGTCCACCCGAACGTGTGCCAATTCCTCAGGGTGTTGCTCAAGTATGTTCATACCTCTTAACGTAATTAAACAAGCATAACTGACATCTTCCTGATCTAGCTCAATCTTCCTGATGGTATACCTACAGAAGTACTTGTTACAAGTGTTGTTTCCTGTAATCACATATTCGTACAACAAATTTTACATCCATCCTATGCTGAACTTGCTCGTCTTGATAATTCTATGTCAGTTTTCTATCATCATACTGAAATGACGCCACCTCTACCTCGACCTATTCAAAGTAATTATTATTCATTTCGAGATTATAAACTCATCACTCAACTATTTAGCGGGTGTTATATGTGCAGCGCCAACACAAGCAGGTTGGTTTCGAGCATTAATCACAGTATATAACAGTAATGACGACATGGCTATGATAAAATTTCTCGATTATGGAGGCTACCTCTATGTAGATGCAAGCTCCTTACGTGTTCTCAGGTAAGCTGGATTAGCTTGAAGAATAATTGAAAGACAAATAATGATGATTGATGTAGACAAGATTTCATGGTTATCCCATTTCAAGCAGCTGAAGTCTATCTCGATAGCGTTGTGCCGCCGGGTAGTGAGTACTATTTGACTTACTTTTCTGAATAGCTTTAATCGGATGAAAAACATGGAATTTAGATCAAGAGGATTTTACACCGGAATCCATCGAATTAGTCAAACCGACGATTCTCGGCTCGTGCTTTAAAGCGCTGGTTACTGGATATCATTATGATAATACACCATTCATTCAATTATCGAAACGCTTAGATTTTGTAAATATTTTCACATTGAGACATTCGATTAACAAGGGAAGCTGATCTTCTTTTTGTTTCTAGCAACGTCTCGTGAATATTGATATACAGAAGATGATAAACAGTCAACAGCAAACGTCGACTGCACATGATTCGAACACAACGCACAATGTACCTACTACTACTCCAAATTCAACTGGTCAACCGATGACAAATCAATTTCAACAATCCGTATCGGATGTGTCGACTTTGTCATCAACAACCAATTCAGACAGTTGAATGTATCATTTCCTACGTGTCTTTTGTGTTCTATTCACCGGTTTTGTTCTCTCGCTACCAAACGAAAAAAGAAAACCATACGTGATTATTGCGCGTGCTTTCTCTACCTGTTTCTTTTTCTTTATTTCGTTCTGGATGGTTCTTTCTTATGATCACTGTTTGTTTATTATTGTTTTCATTGTATTGAGGATGATAATAGATTCATCATGCTGGCTTTGCTTGTTTTCTACTACACACTATTTCATCTATCTTCTTACATTTTTCTCTCGATTTGTTTTGTTACAAGATAACGTTGCGTATCTTTGACTTCTTCTTTTAAACATTTCACTGTTCTTATTTTGCTCAACAAGATAACAGCAACAGAAACAAAGCGAAATTGTGAATCAGTCTCACACGGATAAGCAGAACGGTTCGACATTTCTCTGTCGACAATCAACGACGTTTCATGTGTTCTATGAACTTGCTTTCACATGTTTGATTTCTGTTTTTTATGGTACAAAAATAGAACAACATCAAATCGATAGGAACAAACAACACAAATGAAAAACAAATAAATCATTTCGTAAAAACTCAACTGTTTTATGAATTCCTATAATACGTATGTGTATTATTTCAAATGGATATTCATGATGTTTTTCCTTGCGTACTTGTATGGAATTAGGTTCTCTCGAGGTTCGTCGATGTTGAGCAGTTGATTGTCGGATGATGGATAGTGTGGTTTTTCAGAGAAAAAAAACCCGTGAACATAACGAAACACCTCGATTTGGTTTAGAATTTTCTCCAGAAAGCACCAGATTCGAAGAACAACACGACAAGTTTAATACAGACTGTTTTCTCTTTTGAACATTTTCAACTAAAATAACTAGTTTTATTAGATGAATACTTGATCACACGGTATTTTGTCTTTGAGGACAAGTCACAGATATTGTAGGTAATGTTTGTTGAATAGAATTCAATTGTGTTTGAACACGCGATTCTAAACGTTCCCATAGTCGACTATTTTGTTCATTAACCGCTGATACCATCACATTAGGCAGATTTTCAATTTGAGACTACAAATACGAAGTGATAATATGTATTCGTTAATCAAATTAAAGATGATTTATTCCTCGTATGTCATAAATTATCTTTCTTCGTTGTCTAACCTCGCCGGGTACATGTTTTCAGTTAGAAATAGGTCATAGAAACGCTCTAGTGCCGCTCATAATTCCAAAACGTCAATTTTTGCCGCTCGGGAAAAGATAATTAATGTGGAAGACAAAATCTGCCTTGAAGCAACACTCTCGCGTATCACTATACAATACCTGTAGAGATAGAACTCTGGAATCTAATTCATGAAATTTGCTTTCGAGAACTGTTTGGTTCGATAACATTTGATTAACAATATCATAGACTGATGATTGCAACTAGAAAGGAAGATAAATCAAAGTTAGAACGTGGAGTGTACGAATGGAATTCTTACCCGAGCAATGTCTGATACAGCATTAACATTATCAGTTAATTTTCGTTGGTCTAATTTCACTTTTCGAAGACTAGAAACCACGACAAGAACGAATAGCATCGTTTTCGAAAGTCCGACTTGCCTATGAATTGCTTGAAGGAATTTTCGTTGATGTGTCCTCACTTTCGAGGCATTGACAACTTTAACAAGTTTCGTGTATTTATAGATTAACCATGTTTCACGTAGAACATTGGCAGCTGCATTTTTCAACTAGAAAAGTCAATTCTCTTTCGACGAATTTCTCTCTCTCTCCATACATACTCTCTTCGTCAGTTGTGTATCCATCATAAAATTGTGAACGTGCTTTTCCGCACGTGTTAACTCGAGTTTTCTCGCCAGCACAGCAACCATCGTTGCCGTACACGAAACACCCTGAAATAAAATTCAGATTATTGCTTTTATTTTTTCAATAACAGCCTTGAAACTGTAGACTTGTTTGAGAACTTCGATAATTGGAACATATCATTATCAAACACGTTTCGAATGGAAAACAACTTGATTGATACTGACAGAAGTGATACATTTGTTGTTATTTTTCCTCGTATTAATGATTGTTTTCTGTGCTTTACACTGATTTCTAGTGCTTATTAACTGCCTACACATACTCATGTTTCGTATTCCTAATGTATTTACATTGATTTGAAGTGTCGGCTAAATTCGATTATTGCTCTTAGTGAATATTGAAGACTAAGATAAGATTTCAGATACTTCGATAGATATGTCGAAAGAACAAAATTAATCTTTCCATGTCAAGCCTAGTCATGTCTACTATTGAAACTTGATTAATGTTCTTATCAAGACTAATTCGTTTTTGTTATACATCCAGTAGTGTCGATTCCAGCGGATTGCAAGTAGATCAGTCTAATGAGAATCGACAAAACCATTTACGAACGCATTCAATTGAAACTTTTATATCCAAATTGTCCTCGAAGGGGACGTTTCAGTGAATACTGCGACAGTTTCTGGCTAAAAAAGACGACTCGATACTAACCGTTAGACCCGACACGACACAAATAGCTCGACCACAGTAGGTGTTGGGTACGATATCTCCATAGCCAATAGCAAGAAATGTGACAGCAATTAACCACATTGAATTCAAAAGGTTTCCATGATGTTTGGGATCATGATTACTAAAGAAGAAAAGATATCCCATAGAAAGAATTCATTACAAATTTGTTTTTACCTTTCGCACGCTCTCAATATCCAACTAGCAATAATAAAGAGTGAAAGAATAAAAACAAGTAGAACTGTTCCAGGACATATAGTCATTAATGTTTTAACGACGAATCTTGTGTTAAATTTAATACGGTTAAACGCTCCAATACTTCGTGATGAAGCATCTAAATCACCTCGAAGTGTTATTAAATCTACCGAAGAACATAACAAACCTGTAAATAATTTGCTGTGTAGAAGCATAACACGACATATTAAATAAAGTCGAAAGAACATGGGTAACGAAAGTAAAATATCTACATAGACTGGAACTGTTTTCATTAATGAAGGATTATCAGCTTTATTCGACATGTGTGTTGTCCAGTTAAATGTTATCGATCCCGGAATTGGGTGAATTGCACAAACTAAGAGAAGTTTTCGTTAGAAATTTGTTCGTACGGTTGAGAACGAAGAAAATCATTCTTACTTGACACTTCAGCACCAATTTGTAGGACACGTTGCCATGTCATTGCAATTCTCCAATCATCCAAGCAATTGTCAATCATGAATAACTAGGCAAAACACAAGCAACAGAGTTAGAACGCGAGATTTTCATCGGAATCCATCGCTTTACTTTGACTTCGAGTGCATGATAGAAAACAATCATAGCAACAAGGATCAATGTCGACAAAGTTATAAATGATTTAAGAAGTAATGAGCACCAGTTGTTCTAAAATTGAAAAGTCATCTTATTGATCAATCTGACGTTATTTCAACACGCACGATATCACAAAGTTCAACTTCTATTTTAGTCTCGTTTTAATCAAGAAGATATTAATAAATTTCTAGTGCCTTTATTAATGTTGTCTCAGGTATCATTAGTAAATGTTGTTTTCCATATTTTGTCATCATTAACATAGATAGATACTTTTGTCTGCGTGAGAAACACGTTCGTCATCTGAATAACTGCGACATTGATTGTCAAGACAAAAGAAAAGCGAAAAAGAAAACGTGAAATGATTAGCATGTGGAAAATATGCTCGAGGACAGCAAGTGTCATCCGTTTCACTTTGCTTATTCGACATTGAAAAGATCATTCTGACGTGTAAAACATCATTAAAGTTATCTTAATTGACACTGATTAAGCAACGCTGTCTTTATCTTTTGATCATGAAACTCGTGTCCAGATAGGCGAGGTGTTATTTAACGATAGATATGTGTGTCTATATATACGACACCTAGACGGGTTTAGTATTTTCGCATCTGACAAAGCTCATGTAGGTACGGAAAATGAGTAACACATGTAACCGCATGGATATTGACAAAAAAATCGAGATACAATTGTATTTTTCTCTTTTTCTTCCTATTCCCAATTTTCGATGAAGAGGAAAAAAGAATTCAAGTGATCTTAGCAAGAGTACTTGAATGCATTCACTAACGAACCACTTTTGTAATCTCTTTAATATATATAAACANGAATACGAACAACATTGTGGTGAATGTTGATCAATTCGATTGATTTGAGTTGTTGTTGTACTTCGATTTGCATGTAAACTGTTTTGAAGTAGGAGTAGATTGTAGGCTGAGTTTTGTGCATTTCTTTGTTGAGCATTCTTCACATCAGCGAACCGAAGAGATGATCCACTGATACCACAGAGACCAACACATTCACCAATGTCAAGTTGTCGGGGATAAATAACAAAGTTCAATGCATTATTACCTTGATCGAGATCGATAGTCAAGGGTCGCCGACAACATGGACTTGTCGGATGACAACCACGAGCTAAACGTGGTACAGCATCGCGTGTACCTCGACGTCCGGATGACGATGGAAAGATCTTTTCACCATATTCAATTAACATGTAAGGTAATTGTTGTGATTCTTTAGTGCTTTCTTCTTCAGTGCTCGAATGTACAGAAGTTCCCTTAGATCGCTTTGCATGATACTGGCGATAATAGTATCGATTCAGGGATGAAACTTGAAGATCATGATCGATGGCAAGTCCGTACCAAGGCATGAGAAGTTGTTTGTACAGTTGTTGAATGTTTGGATCTTCACTGCTGGTATCAATAGTTAATTCAAACCAATTATCGTTTAATTCTCGAACTTGAGCTATGAATAGACGTGTTGTATCGGTGAGACCTACTGGTGGTTGTACAGCTGTATCGTTTGATGTTGGTCGAAAGATTTGATAGACTTGAAACATATCAGGTGAGATTTTATGGTGATATTCATTGAGATTGAAATAGCTCTTCTTCACGTATAATCGTAACTGAGTGATCAGTTGGTTAGTTGGTAGACTTTTTGATTCTTTGGCGGACTTTGTGAACCGAAAACAATCCATTTGTTGAAGATTCGTGTCCAAAATATTTAATTTGGCTGACAATTGTTGACGGCATGTATGGTTCAAAATGAAATCACCAGGTAGAATAGCGCGTTCAGCAGTCGGGTGAATTTCTTCTTGAAGTTTCTGTTGATGTAAATTATGTTTTTCTTCATTTGCATGCGCATGTATATGCTCTTTCGATTGCTCTCCCAATTGTTTAAATATCGATGTTGGCAAGCCTATGTCATCGTTGACATTCACTGTTACATTAGGAGCTTCTTTTAAATTCAATCGGTCGAATAAGAGACGAGTGAATAGCTCGACTTGTTCATCATTAGCTTGGTGTTGTGATATAGTTGATGCTGTATTGGGCAGTTCTTTCACATCGCCATTCCAAGACTGTTCATTGTTGATTTCACGTCGTTCTTTCACGTCTGTGTAGACGTCTTCACTATTGAAAGTTCCAGATGATGGTCGATGAGATTTTGTAGATATTGAATATCGTCGTTTCTGAGGAGCTCGATTTCGAGCTTGGACAAAGGAGCTTGAAAGAAGTAAAAGAACAATACTGACGAGTATAAATCGTGCTGGCATCTTGCTTGAGTTTCTACTGTCGCAATATCGTAGACGTACTTGTAATGTTCCAAGAGAAGTTACGTGTGTAAATGAAATTTACTTGATGAGTATATGGGTATATATAGTGCTTCTTGAAATGTGAGAGGCGTTTTCTTCGAAATGAGAATCGGTTGTAGAATGAACGATATTAATAAATAGTTGGAGGTGTGTAGGTGGTGTTGGCGATCATCTGTGTTTTTGGTTGAGCAAGAAATAGCCAAGAGTACACCCAACAGAGAGTAACGGAGAAAGAGAGAGAGAGAGAGAGAGAGTTGGAGAAAGATGGTGATGATGGAGCTAATGGTGAACAACAACACAACAATGAAATGCACTGAAGAAGGAGCAGAGGGAGAAAAGGAGAGAGAGAGCGAGAGAAAATCTGTGCAATAGTTATCTGGTCAATGCATTTTTTTTTCTCTGATTCTCATTTTTTTTATTGCTTTTTCTGTGCCTCTCTTTCTTCCTCCCTCTCTCGTCTTATATGTTGCGTTTGTCTTACTCGTACTTATTCTTTCAGTATAAGAATGGCATTGGGCGTCGAGGCAGTCAGCAGAAAAAGACATATGAGAAGTAAAAATGAACAAAAAAAAAGAAAACGATGAAGGAGAAAAATTGAATGAAAGAACGATGAAAACAAATTCAAAAGATTTACGACGAATACACACATGCAGTTCATTTTCTGTTTGTTAACTTTTCTTTCTCGAAAACTTATCAAAAAGGACATTTTTATTGATCGGCTGACATATGATCTAATTATTTCTAAGGTCAACGAATAATATAGACATATTTCTTATACAAAATTCAAATTCAGAATTTTACACACCGTTAACAAGTGTGTAGTGGTTTTATCGTGAAGTAGGACACCATTTCAATAGAGGACGATGACGATTAGAAAAAATTTCTCTTCATTGTCAGATATTTTCGTACATTATCTTGGCTAGGTCTTATTGTTGGAAGATATTTTATTTGTATTGCCGCATCAATGATGTCAGCAAAATCAAGAACAACGAAGATTCTTCTAGAAAAAGACTGTTTTTGTTCTTCAAATAGGTCAGCGTGATTGAGGCCGACGACTATTACTTTCGGACATACGCCTTCTGCACCATCAATAGTGCCAATAGACATAGGTCAAGTTCTTCTTCATTCTATTCTTTTTTCCCTGCTTTTGTTTATTGATGGCTGCAATGCTCACTGCTAATGAGAATAATTGAGGTCAAATGCAATGTTGCGCGCCGTCGGCCGATGGTCGGCGTCTCTTATTCTGTCAAGAACAATTGTTCACCATCGTTCTCTTTTCATATAAACATCTGTGAGTAATCTGATTTTCCATTCGAAGATAAAGTAATGCTTGACCAAAGCAATACTTCTCTACGTCATAACAATAAATCTTCTGGTCATTTCTATCAAACAGGAGGTGAGATCGAATACTGAAGGGCAATAATCATAATTGATTCTCTAATGAAAAATAAACATATCGAAAAGAATATACGCGAACAGCGCACGATCGACTCTCAGATCAGATTACGGATCGTTTCAATTCTTCTCTTTGCGATCTTGATCAAATCAAAACATTGCTATGGTTTTCAATGACCTCATGCATGAATGAAGCTTTTACTTACAGAGTACGCGTAATTCAATATCTTTGCTGACAACATGATCATTGACGCCATTCGATGCTCGACATTCATAATGTCCATTTTGATGACGACTAACATTAATTAAATGATATATACCATCGGTATCGTTGGCTAAAATTTGATTGTCTAATCGAATTTCATTCTGACGATCTTTGCCATCTCTGTGTCGACGAAACCATGCTATATAGGGTGTAGGTCGGCCTCGAGCTTGACATTTCATTGTTACATTATCGTGTTCGGTTACAATGATGGGCGATGATGTGGCATTGTCAATAATCATCGAAATTTCTAAAGAGATATTCATAGAAATATTCTTTGAACTTAAGAATCTTTTTTGAAGAAATACAAATAGAATCAAGGTGCAATCTATTCTCATGGTTATGCATATGTTTATTGTCTTGCTTAGTAATTGTTACGCATCATTAAGCAATAGAGGTTTTGTAGTATAAAAATCGAAAACAAGTTTTCGTTGTTTTGTATTCGTAGCGTTTCTTATTCTCATACATATACAATGGCTGGTCAACTATCGGTAACCATCGTCGAAGCTAAAGAGCTTCACGATGAAGATACCTTCACGGGTTCGAACGATGCTTATGTAGAAGTTTATCTCGACGACGATTATAAACAACGAACAGCAACAATTTCCAACTCCACCACGCCTCAATGGAACGAAACATTTCAATTGTAAGTCGCACCATCTCTATTCTATTCTACAAATATTTTCGAATACGAATAATTCTAGTCGTGTCGAAGCAAATCAAGATCATCTACATATAAAAGTGTACGATGATGATGGTGCAGCCGGCCGAGATTCAATTGGTTCAGCTAAGATCAAATTAAATACGGTAAAACAATCAGGTTCATTCGATGATTGGGTAAAACTACCCAAACTGATGGGTCTCAAATCAAACGGTCAAGTTCATGTTCGCATGACTTTCCGTGCTTAACGATCATCTGAAAGTTTTCTAAACTGTGTGAATAACTAATTTCTAAGAATATGATAACACAGTTTATTTTTAAAATAAAACTCTATCTTTGTCATGAACATCCTTACGTGCATATATACAAATCTAAAATCTCGCGATATTTTCGCTCCCGGTGATGGTAGACTCTCGATCACTCAAATAATCACTGGTTGTGCATTGAGTATTTGTTGACAATACTGTTCGTAATCGACGGTTTCTTCGAGCTTTCTTCGTGATAAAATTCGACGGAAAGAATTGCATAACAATTAACGCATAACAGAGGCAAGCTGCAATAATTTCGCACACTAACGAAGCAATTTCATAAGGTTTTTCGCGTCTGGTTATGTGAATCCATTCAGTAGCAACCGATGCTGTGACTGTAATCACAAATACGTATAAAACTGCTTTCATTCGTACACCATTGAAACGATGATATGATTCAGCGAAAAAATCGAATAATATATAGAATGCGATATTATCCCTTGTCAACGTAACTAGACGAGTATCGAAAAACACAGGAATGAAAATCGCAAGTATAACTTCCAAGCGTGAAATGAAATGAAAGAGGTGTTCTTGTTTCATAGCGATATGAATATGAAGACCACGAGATTTACCAAAGACTCGACAATAAATTAAACAGGCAAAGTAAATGGAATCTACTACTCCCCAAATAGCATACAGAACAACGTGAAATATATCGTTCTTTCTGGAATATGATATAATATGACCTAATGTTCCAACTTCGGACAATATCCAAAGAGATAAATGATAGAAAAATCGAACATAACGTGATCGAAACGGTGCACAGTATTGCAAATAAACAAAGACACTCAATATCGATGAGAGTAAACCTTCGTAACCTGTATTGACTTGATCAGATGTGTGATAATAGAAAACGTCGAAAATGTATGCAGCTTGAGCTAGAAATGGTAGTATACCAGTCGTAAGAACGAAAAACCGATCATCAGCTCGATCTTTAGAAGATAATGATTCGTCGGAACCACTTCGTCGCATTAATATAGGAAATAAAGCTATCAGTTAAAAAAGCCGGTTATTTTATTAAGATACTATCTGCACTAGATAGTTATTACCTACAGCAATCAAGCGTGACTATCAAAATCCTGTACGATTGTGTATGAGTCATGAACGTATAAGCAAAGTATGTTCGAATGGCGACACGTTTGTCGCTGAATTTCAATCTTTGCCTAATGCAAAACTATTTGTCATTTTTTGAACAAGTTGCAAATTATCCACAGTTAGTTAAGTACATCTGCAGCACAATTCAGTAAAATAAACATGTCATATGTTTTCGATTTTCTCGCACTATAACTCCTAAATTGCACGCAACGATCCAATCATTTTAGCACAAGTGATTATTCAACAACGATTAATAGTACGGAAAAGTGGCGGGCATCGTCTAAACTGTCCCTTCACATCACTACGTTCCAATTCATCTCATCTCTTTCTTTTTATCATACAGTTCACGTCTAGTTAATTTCCTTTTCCACACCAGCGTAAGCGAATCGTTTTGATTTTTTTTTCTCTTCATCGAAGACAAGTTAATGTCGACGATGATTGACAATCTGATTCTTTTTGTCTTTAACGATGAATATCAATATGAAAACAAATACATGACTAATTATCATTTAACAATGAGCACGATTGTGTACTTCTTCTTCTTCTCCTTTGTCATATTTATCTAAATCAAATCACACGCTAACAGATCCTAATTGATCGCGCACATCATCACTAGCGTGCTTGTCTATCAGCTGAGCATCAAAACGAAGATCTTCTAAGCAATAGAAAATGACTGACGACGAACAAAAGGACACGCTGATAGTCGTCGCACGTTATATTAGTGAAGAAAAAGGCGTTGAAAAGCAATTCCGTATGTGCATGTCTCTATTTCTGTTTCATGTGTATACACATCGATGCATTGTATGTAGACAACAAAATGTCATCACTCGTTCAAATGTAAACATGCTCTCTCGGTTCAGTTCACTTCTGCCATATATTTGCCAGAGCTTCCTGATCATCATCATTTACCGATTTTCTTTATCTTTATTGTCCTAACCACCATAACATTAAATACATTAAGTAGCAGCACGCACACGTCTCTTCTTTTGCCTCCATTTCATCTTCGATTCGTCTGGCATTCACTTAAACGAAGAATCATTCGCATGCTCTTCTTCCTTTTTCTATTATAAACAATTCTAATAAATGCTCAGTAGATGTAGAAATGATCAGAGTTAGAAATGTGTTGAGCATCCCAATTCGAGCGTGATGCTTAACTTTGACAGTTCGAATAGACATTAAACACATCCATACGAGCAATCCTCCGGAATGATGATTTCCGTTTAGAGAAATCTCATATCTAGTCGAGCAGGTGCAGAATATGATCATGCACTTTGAGAAGCACAGTCGAAAAAGAAAGTATTAACAAATCAAATCTTATTTACCTTGGACATAGAGATGAATCAATGCTTTTTGTGGCGGTTGAGTATTGACTTCGCACGTATAGATACCCTCGTCATCAGCTTGGACATCTGTTATTGTTAATGTATATTCGACATCAGTACGTTGAACATTCAAACGAGAATCAGATATTAATAAATCTTGATTATGTGCTAATAGAGAATCGGCATTATTTGATGCGTAATTTTGTCGAATCCATATTAATTGATGTGATGATGAAAGTGATAAATCAAGATTACTATGGCCGAATGTACATGTTAATATCGCTTTGTGTCCACTTGTTACTGTTACATTCGAATGCAGGGCTTCGATGATCGATTGGTTTTCATCTAAATGTTCAAGATCCTTTCTTAGTTTTATAATGTTCATCAACAAATGGTTCTTTCCCTGAAGCAAGTGTCACCATTGATTTGTTGTATTAAAGAACAATATACAATAGCGAAACTCATCATCCATGCAAAGGAGCAATGACAAAAAGAAATGGACAAATACTCTATAGAAAGATCGAATTAGAACTGAATGATGCGCGTTATCCCCAATCAAATTAGTCAGTTCGTATTCTTCATCCACTCGCAACTCGTAACAGACATCCCCAAATGAGCTAATGTCTGTCCATCTATGTGTGTATGTGATGGAATGCAAATCGGTGTCACATCGGGAACAGCACTGTTCAGAAGCGGTGCGCACAATTTCTCATTCTCTTTCTTTTTTTATTTGAATAAAATAAATCTCTTCAGAGATTAAATGAGAAGAAATCAGTTTTGCATAATTGTGGATTACTTAAATAAAACAGAAGAAATTCCTCTCTATTAGACTATTGTGTTTCTTATTACTGGCCATTGTCCACGGTAATTACAGCCAGATGATCCGTAATGCTTGTGCTAGGCAACATCCGGTTAACATCTTTTGTAATGATCATAATGATGATGACGGTGATATGACATAATCTCTTTTCCTTTCTATCAAGGTAAGTACGTTTTGCTCTCTTCCTCTTTTCAATCATAGCCGACAGGATAATTCAACACCACTATCAAATATACAAAAGAAAACATGCTGCGCGTCGTATGTCGACTACTCTTGTCCGATTCTCAGTCACAAATTACGACAACAAGTGTGTCGATAAATGGGTAATGACAATTGAGATTACTAAAGAATTCTACAGATGGACAGCGACAAATATCTCATTTTGTATGAAGATATACACATATACAGAAGATGATATGATTTATGCAAATCACAGCTGAACTTGAACATTATCACGACGTGTGTATGTATATGATAAAACGGTCGTTTACATCATCACCATAACCATACATTTATGTATATGTGTATTGGATTTATGACATGGGAAGAGTTTTGTATCTCATCGTGTCACTTTTATATTACTCGAATTTGATCACAGGCATGTATGAAAAAGCTGAAATCGACATTTATTCGCAACTGACTTCGATCTTACGTAGGATCATTTCAAATAATGTTTAGGATCGTCTTACCGTGTGTGGGATTGTACGAAGATGCTTGAGTAATGAGAAGATAACTAATGATCAATATGCCGAACATTGTCAGTCGATATAAGGAGAACTAATCGTTGTTGTTTTAAGTTGGATGATAAGAAGAAACAATTGAAAAGTACTGCTAGTTACAATGTCCACTTAAATGAAGAGAGTACTTGAATGTTGGTATGATGAACCACCATTGAGAGAGAACAACGAAGGAGGAGAATGGGATGAGCTTATATATAGTGCGTAGTGCTTCCTGCTGCTACTGCCATTGCGCGTTATGCGGTTGTAGCAACAACAAGAGAAAATTTCTCTCCTCTCTTTCTCGCCCTTCTTCCTCTTCTTCTTCTTCTTCCTCTCTTTCGTTGTACATGTTGGACTTGTCCAGAAGAGAACAGTTATTACATTCAGATAATAGCTTAAACTGCCTGTTTTTTTTTCGTATCCTACATGCCATGAATAAAAGTCTCAAAATACCGACTGATGCCTTTTCTATTTGTCATGTTTTGCTCTTCATTAGGCAAATCGATACTTTACGAAAAGTGTAGTCGTTGGATAAAAAAAAATGTTCACCTTCGAACTTTGATACATCGGTTGATAAAGATTACATAAAATCATTCGATATGGATCAAAGATAAAGTGAATATTTATTACAAAAAGAAAACTCAATCACAGTTTGAAATTGAATTTTTTTTCTTCTATATTAGTTTTCATTTGACATTGAACAACAATTATTTGTTTTAATTCATCAAATAGAAATGAAAAAGAAAACAGAGAGAACGCACCTCTCTCTTCTGATATTTTTTATATCACGCAGAAGGTAATTATGTTGTGATAAAAATCTCAAGCAAATGTCTGTTTCATTTATTGATCGATCGTATCGTAATCAAAATAAATCAATTCTTTTACAAGATATTTTTCTATTATCGTACAATTTACACACTTGATCTTCTCCTTGAATGAACATCGACATCAGATACGATAGTTGAACAAGGCTAACAGAGAAATTCAAGCAATCCATTAAGTGCTATTCAAATTTGTCATCATTTGTAGCATATTATCTGATCAACTTTTTTCTACTAATAACTTACGCATAGCTCAGAGCAAGTAAAACGAGAACTTATCTAGTCGATGATGACAACATTGAAGAAATCTCCTTCAACTCGCCCCTTTCTCTAACAAACAGTAATGACTCATTCGGACGAACAGCAGACATGGTGTGATTCTTGCGTTTCCTTGAGTATCATTTGAAAAGGAATGTCTATTCATACTCGAAACTTATCTTTTCATTTATACGTATATGTATATACACAAAAGATGCGTTTTCTATCATTCGGGTTGTATCAATACATTGCACAGGTCGAAAAAGAAAATCGATGAATATAAATGTACAAACAAAAGAATAATAGTCGACAGATGTAACGAAAGAAGGCAAACAATCATTCAATAGGATGTTCGAAGAAGAAAACATGACTTGAAATGACGAGACTAACACGTGAAATTGCCAATATTATCATCATTCGTTTTTTATATGTTCGGAATCGATTTGAATCGTTGTTATGACTGTCGGATGAGATAAGAGTTTCGTGATTTGTATGGTTAAAATAGCACCGGCGAATGTCAGACAGGGTACACATGTTTTTAAATAAAAGTCTGAATGGGTGTATCTTTATAAAAACAACAATTTAGAATAATACATTGTCCATTAAGTTCAAATCGAATTACTTACTGTAATGCACCAGCGCGTAATAGAATCTCTGTGATCAACGTTAAAATCAATGCTATTGCGAGAGAAAATGTAAAATCGAATCTCGTACCATCAAAATACCACCAGAATGCTATACACAATAGAGTAATTATAATGCTAAAATGGAGATCACTTGGAAATGGAATTTTCTTCGAAAGCGAAAAAAAAAGAGAGTCTCGTTCAAATTCTTGTGTTTCAACTGATTAACTTACAGCACATAGATGGTTTATACCGACGAAGATGACTAGTGATTTACAAATTTGAGATTTTTGTATTGAATCATCATTATATACAGTCATAGATGTTTGATCGATAGATGTAGTCAGTAATGGATAGAGAAAGCCCACGAGTGCTAGTGAAAGAAAAACAAAAGCAGATAGTGATTCGTTGTGTAGTTCTAAGCGATTTACCAGCGCTAAGACCACAGATAGAAATGAGACTCAAAGACGGGAGTGTAAGCATCAAACGAGGTGAATTAAATAATAATAATTTATGTTCATATTGAAATGTCATTAGTACAACAGCTAATGTACAACCAAAAACAAATAATATCAGCGAGCGTGATGAACTCGACGAAGATGTGCGCAGTACCACTGTTGTCATCGATGTTTTCGTAAAATATAGATTGGCCTGTATCTAGATAGTAGATCGTAAAAAACACTTACAAAGATATGTAGACTTTATATGTAAGTCGATAAGTCAGTTTAGACAGACCAGAATGGCGTGATCGTAAGATGCTTACCCTTTTGTCTACGCCCTTCATTGATACTCCCATAAGGGTAGAACGAGAAAAAGCGAACGCAAAACAAGGGAAAGGAAAGAATATATTTCAAGTACTTTGGTCGTGACCTAAGGATCGTATATGTAGTACCAATACATAATGTTTTCCTTTATACAAGAAATTCAAAATAATAAACAAAAAAGAATTGTGTCCTTTTCTATATTTCGTTCTTGTTTAAGTATGACGAAATAAATCAGGTCAGTTATTTGTCTTTTGTTTCTTCTTTATCATCATCAACTCCGTCTTCTTCTTCTTCTTCTTCTTCTCCATCATCGTCATCGTCATCGAATGTGATCTTCTTCTTTTGCTGTTGCTGTTGTTGTTCTTCTTCTTTTTCTCCTCCTTCTTCGACTTTCTCTCCAACTGTTGTTGTCAAATTGATCGATGCAAGATTGTACTTTTTAAACAGCTCGTAGTGTTTTACGATAGAAATTAGTATAACATTTCTAATTACGTGCAACAAGATCAGTATCTGAGGTTTTTTATAATCACGCTTAAGAGTTGTTCCATTTAAATCTTCTGCCTTTCTAGAGATTAGATCGCTGATAAGAATCTCTTCTAAATGACTCGATTTCACTTGCGTATTGTTGGATTTTTTCGCTTGCACATCAAACCAAATCGTATTATCCGTTAGATTATCATTTCCATCGATAAGTGATAGAATATGTTCGACGAATTCTTTCCTAATAATCAGTTTTCTTAAATCATCATCGTAAGCTTTACATACGAATGCAATTGGTAATAAACGTTCGATATAACGACTATGTTGTTCCTTAGTTTGAATACTCGTTTGAAAGATGTTTTCGATTAATTGATTCGTGGACGTTAGTGATAATGTTGTATTGACGAAAAATGAATGCTTTGTACCAGATTTGACGATTCGAAAGCGACGAACGGCTTTCTTTGTTTCATTTAATTTCATTGTCTCGCTTTCTAATGCGGAGTCTAAGTCGTTGAGGTCGTTGACGTCAAGTTGTTTTTCCTCGACGAATTCCGGTCCGAATAATTGATCAGCGAAACGATTTAGCAAATTGTAAACTTCGTTACGAACAAAGGATTCTTTCGATGCGGTGAATGTGATGAAAAAGCCATGTTGTCCTATTTGAATCATGTTGTTATTCGAAGAATTCGGATTAAAATTCCTATTTTGATAGTGATTTCGACGAGGATTCTGATGCTTTACACGACCCATCTTCAAAAGAACAAACAAGAAATTGTTTTTTCTCTTTCAATTCATTTTTTAATCCAGTAACACACACGCACAGATAGATTTTTGCTTTTATCGAAAAACATCTGGGTGTACGAAGAAAACAAAAGACAAACAAACAAAAATTTCGTCCTGTTCTCATCGTTTTGACCGATGATTATGTCTACGAATTCTTCACGACGAGGGTTTTAGAAGATTAGTTGCTGTACTCGCAGCAGGAAACAATTTGTGATACGATTGCGTTGGAATATAATTACCAACAACGGTTCGACCAGAAAAGAATCGTCCGTGAAGTGCATTGACTGTGTTGATCGCTAAAAATCAACAAGAAATACTTTTTTCTCAATTCAATTTGGTGAACTTACCGCTGGCAATAGTTGAACATTTAACATAAACATTGCCGTCAGGACTTTTCTCGTCCACATAGATATGCACGACGCCACCATATTTGTTACATTCGTCGATCACTTCATCTTGAATTTCTTGTACCCAGTGAGGATTTCCAACTTCATTAGCTGGATTAAACATGTTTGAAAGCATGAAGCATTGTGTACCAACAGCTGTGACAGTTGCTAATTGTTGAGGATTTGGTGGTTCAGGAACACGAACTTGCTGAGAATTAGATGCATGCATATGTGCAGCTTGTAATGCATCCATCGCATGTTTAGGCATTTGTAAGCCACTGCCTTCACTGAGTTTAGCCATTAGCGCTAAACGTCCAGTAGCGCCTAGATTAATACCACGATGGTCAAGATCATCAGAATCGAGATTGGATGAAGAAGAGAACGCAGAAGCAATACCAGTTGAATACTGAGGTAGACTAGCACCGGTAGTAGCTTCACCAGGTCGTTCTGTAACATGTCCAACTTTCATCGGTCGTCCAGCTAGCTCAAAACCATTTAGATTTTCCATGGCGCGTTTTGCATCTTCGGCATGTGCAAATTGAATAAATCCTAGAAAACAAGCAATCAACCTAGCACATGACTTTTTCTTATCAAACTTACCATATCCTCTCGATCGGCCTGTATCGGCATCTTTCATCAGTGTGACGTTATCGATTCGTCCAAACGGCTCGAATATTCCACGTAGCATATCTTCGGTTATGTTGAAATGCAACGATCCAACATATACTTTCATTGGTCCATGTGTGGGTATAATAGATGCATTCAATGCTGCGGTACCATTATTCAAAAGAGCATTTTGAGCAGCAGTCGCTTGTGCAGCTTGAGCCGCCAGACGATTCTTTTCTGCATTGGACGGTTTGATAATAATTGGTATTCCGAGAACTTTTTCTCCTGAGAGAGCGAGAGCTGCTTGAACACAAGCTAAATCACGAAATTCAACGTATGCAACACCTTTTGATCGCCGTGTTCGAGGATCTGTGATTAAGCGAACGTCGCGTACTTTACCAACACGTGTGAAGAATTCTTCGAGATCACGCGGGCGAATCATTGCTGCTAGCTGCATACCTTTAAGAAACAAAAAACACGGCGTTGCATATTCGGAATCGATCTCAGTAAAACAGTTTTGCTCGTTCTTACAAAATACAGTTCGAAGATCGCGTTCTTCTGGTGTTAATTCCGGTGATTTCTCTCGACGACCAGATTTTGATGACGCTGCACCGCCGTCTCTTGCCTGTGCTCGTTTATTCAATGTTTGTGCTAATTGATGCAATTCTGAAGTCGTATCTCGGCGTTTTCCACTGGACAACACAGGTGGTGATGGTTCGCGTGGACGTCGTTCGATTGGCGAGCTACTACGTTTTGGTGAGCGACTTCGTTTACGTTCATGTTTCTTGTCACTCTTGTGTGATTTGTGATGTTTATGATGCTTGTGTTTCCTATGCTTTTTATCTTTATCTTTATCCTTATCTTTTTTATCCCCATTTGTATCTATAGTATCTTTCTGTTGGTTTTTCTGTACATCTTCATGCATCCTTTCTTCCAGCATACGTTCGATTTCCATGTCGTCATCCATTTCCTAGGTGAAAAAAAATCGAAGCACTAGATTGGCGTAATCGAAAAGTAACTTTTACCTCTGTAGAAAAAAATTCGATACAGAGAAAAAAGAGAAACGAAATCCTAGAGAAAAGAAAATGAGCACGATCAGACAAGGAAGAGATTCTAACTTGATTGTAGAGCATGAGTACAGACTTTTCCACTCCTAAAATGAGAAACTATGGTGTTTTGTACAAACATAGAGACTGAAGTATCTGTTTGTGTGTACGATTGATCTTGTAGTACGTAGATGAATTTCTAAATAAGGACAAGCGTCTAAAGACAGCAGTTATCTTTATTGATAATTTCAAAGAGGAAATCTTGCAATTTCAGAAGATTTTCATGAGAAGGAAAGCGTAAAATGAAATCGAATACTTACAATGTTCTTTGTAGATGGATCGAATTTAAAAATTGAAAATGATTATTGAGTGATTGACAACGATGGAAGAGAAATCAAACTTTTATTTTAATAATAAAGAACGAACGATTTGATAAATAGTTTGAGCTTTTCGGTTGGTATTTGTTGTGACTAATCAAAAAAGTGTTTCTTGACCAGACGGAGTGCGCCATCCTACAGCGACATCTGATGAGTAAACTTTCATTTCTTGTGAGTATTCGAAAATCTATTTTCGATTGCTCGTAGGGCTGACAGTGCATTTGTCTCTCACCAAAAATAAAGGGTCATGTTTAAAAAAAGAAACTGTCTCAAACGTACTCTCGAAAAGTACGGACTATTCAATGATAATATGTCGTTTTCTCGCAAATTTTTTGACAATGTTCGTGTTGTGCGAAAAATCTTTGCATTCAAAAGCTTGTATAGTTCTTTGATGTACATGTGTGATATGGCGATTTTCTACGATTCGTAAAAATGCTCTCTGAAGTTATCCAATCACAATTTAACGACGTTTGTTCGCAAGAACTTTTTGTTTTTGTAGAGTGAAGTGTACTTCTGAACAATAGTTCTCAGCATTTGCAAATATCAGTGAACGTTTTCTTCGAATACGTATCTCAGAGCATGATCTCTGTATCTCCGTGTTTATGAGGAGGAAAATGAAATTTTGAATGACAATCTTTCTTCTATTGTTCTAGATTGACATAAGCAGTTTTTTACTTGAAAACTTTCTTTCCTACATCATACTTTTGAAGAATATGATTCATCTGACCTATGTACTTTGTTTGTTGACTTGTTGATAATTAGAACGAAGCGACCAAAAAGTATTTCAAATAGAAGATTTCGTATTTCTTAACTCAAACAGAGGACATTTCATTCAACTTATCCATGGCTGATTTATTTGGTTTTCTACGTTTTATTATCAATTTAATACTATATCCATTTGCGCTAGCATTCCTCTTCTTTTACCGCTGTCTACAATGGTTAGGTTTACAACCAACCGCGCACAACTATCATGATAATATCGTGTTGATAACAGGTTCAGGCAATGGTCTCGGACGAGAAATCGCCTTAGCATTCGCCAAAGCTGGAGCATCATTAGCACTTTGGGATATTGATGATGTCGGTATGTTAATCTAATCAACACTGCGAAGAAAAGTTGCGAAGTGTATTGTTTATATTTATAAATAGGTAATAGAGAAACTCAACAGCAATGTTTAGCCATATTACATAGTCAAAATTCATCAAGTCGCGTGCGAGTTTATCATGTTGACGTAACACGTGCAGCTGATGTTTATGCTTGTGCTGAACGTGTTCGTTACGATCTCGGACAAGTCACCATTCTTGTCCCGAATGCAGGTTATGTTAGCGGTCGATCCCTGCTAACAGAATCAGATTCTGACATCGAACGTACTTTTGGCGTCAACTCGCTCTCACCTATTTGGTTAATTAAAGCATTTTTACCGTACATGTTAGATGCCAATCGTGGACATATCGTACTTGTTTCCAGTGTACTTGGTAATGAAAAACCTTTCTTTTTTTGTAAAAGAGATTTTTCGTGTTTTCTGTCTAGGTGTTCACGCTTCTCATGGTCCGATAACCTACGTTTCATCGAAACACGCTAGTGTAGGTCTTAGTCGATCGCTACGCATGGATATTCATGCGACGCATCCCTACTCTCGGGTATCTGTTCATTGCATATGCCCGTATATAATGCGTACAAAAATGTTCAACCCGCTTACAAATCATGTTTTATTACAGTCAGTTGTTCCCATTATTTCCCCTCGCTATGTAGCTAAGCAAGTACTCGATGCAATTGAATGGCGACGTGATGAAGTTATTCTGCCATATCATTTGAAATACATTGCTTTCGTCGCTGATTATATTCTTCCACGCTGTTTGACGGAATGGTTCTTATTCAAAGTATCAGGCCGACGACCGTTAGATGCATTTCACAAAGATAATGAAGAACTTACACGAGAAAAACGAAAGAAACATGCACAAACAGTGCAAAAAGAAAATATTGACTTGATATGATTCGCCAAATTTGTTATTTTATTTTTTTAGGCGAAATAAAAAAAAACTCGCAATAGATGCAAACAAGCCTCGTTTTCTTTATTGAAACGATTCACATCGAACTGAATCAGTGTCCAATGTGCATCATTCATTAAGACAAATTACAATTGCATATTGATTATCAAAAATCATAGGAAAAAGGATTTTACAATTTAATCTGTAATTCCGGGAAGATTTCGCTCATAATCAAAACCATCAGTTTCTAAAAAGAAGTTCAACTAACATAAAGTAAAACAATGAAATTCGTTCTTACATGACATAGATGTTTGTTCAACTGTACATCTTGAAAAAGTTCAAACAAACGTTCAGCGCCAAGTCGGGCATTATCCGAACCGAATATCAATGAAATTGTTTCTAAAACAATGTGAATTTTCCTTAAATTAGTATTATCATTTCGAATATACCTGGAATATTTGTTAGCAGTTGTCGTTTAGCTTGTTGTCTTCGTTCAAGTTTCTCCTCATCGGTACGTGTCTGCCTTTCTGCTGAAGGTGTCGCAGGCCAAAATGAGTCTCGAAACATAATCAGACATTTGACAACGGATTCTTCTTGGAATAAACTAACAATAAATCGACGAACTTGTCGATTAATTGTACTACCATATGTAACGCGGATGAATTGTACTAATGTCATACGAATTAGTTTAAGCAAACCACCTTGTTCATCGAATAGAATATCAATAAAAGCATAGAATGGTTTGGCAATCGAGTCAGCGCGTCCTTCGAGAAAGCGTACACTAGGAAAATGAGAAGAGCATAATTTTAGAACAATCCATACCAAAATGATTGAAATAACGTTTGTTTCATACCTGTCCATTTCCAGTAGTTCACTAGAAGCTTTGTCTGAACGAAATTTGTCACTAAAGTATAGATGAATCCACTGATTCTTCTGAAACTAAGCATATATGATGACTTACAAGATATGTTTACTGGAATTTGAATGTTTCTTTTTAGCTGGTATTAAATTGGAAGACTGTCTGTCATTATCAACAATGGATGGATTTAAAAATTGATAAACAAGTTCAAATGAGGATATATGTTCGTCGAGTAATATCGCTTGTAAAAATGTTTCTAATTGTTCAGATATTTGTTGACACAAAGCTTTATCATAGAGTAACTGCGAAAATTGACGATGACGGGTACGAAAATAATCGATGGTTGGTAAAGACGATTGTAACTAAAAGGAAGGATCTATTGTTTTCCAGAGAGAAGATATACACACGAACTTCTTTTAGTCGAAAATAGAAATGTTGCCAAGCATGAATACTTCGTGTAATCACCCAGCCAACTTGATCTTGTTCGCTGTTCGGACTACGAATTAATACCGCTAGGCAGGATCGACCATTCCCGATCTTAAGAAGAAAGATGTTTTCTTTTCGACGCAGACTATACACAAACCACATCGGATAGAACTTGCGCTTGCCATTGACCCAAAAATGACCACCATAGGTCAACGTTTTCTAATAGACATTCTAACGTACTGATTTCTTGATTCAAATCAGCACAATCGCGTTCGACGGATGCTAAAATCTAGTATAGAAATTTTGACCAGAATGCACATTTCTCAGGATAGAAAATATATACGAACGGTAGCATCGAATGTCGCACCTTCTTTTGCAGCTGTTAGTGCATATTGCTTGTTTTCTAGTTGGTTTCGTAAATCAGCTAGGCGTTTTGGTACGCTCTGTGATGGTTCTTCATTGAGTGCATCTGCTTGCTGTGATGATGCACGACTTTCATTGGATTCATCATAATTTTCGTCAGCTGTTATGGGCGTTGACCAGCCGAGTAATTGCTCTTTCAAATCAACTAAAAAGATCAAAGCAGAGGTTTGTATTGAATGTATAAAAGGAGCTCATACAATCTTGTAAATTCGACGGATTGAATGTTCGACACAAGGCATCATATTGCTTCGAAACGAGGAACGATGCGTAGTAATCTCGTTGTAACACTCGATACACAACTGATTGAGCATGAAAGAACGCATCTGGTTCAGACTAAGTGCAAGGAAACGATTTCGATTTGCTTTTCAAACAATATCGATCTTACTTGCTCTCCGACAAGAAATGATTTCATTCGAACCACGGTAGCATTATCGATTTCATCTCGTACTGCGCTACCAAACCGTGTTATATATGTTTTGTAAATATTCGTTGCTACACGATGTCGTTCGTTCGATGCAGCTAAAGTATTCCCATTCCATTTCTCACCATGAACCATTCCATTTTTCTCACTTACCAGAATGTAATTTCCAAATATCATACCAAAATCTTCAACAAATCCTCCAAACTCAAATGAAATCCCCAAAGAATATCTTACTTGACTAGAGCATGCGTGCCGAATGTTTCTAAGAATTGATGTAAATAATGGCGACCCGTAATACAACTCAATATCATATTCAATGAAAGTATCTATGAAATATTCCTACGATCACACCGATTAGGATTTAGTGCAATTCATACTTTTCGGTTAGCTAGATTGAGTTTATTTGTACTCGCATCAACAAGCAGGTAACTTCGACCACCATTTGCTGTGATATGCCTTTCGCAAACGACTTTAGCTCGTCGTAATTGATTGAGATATTTCGTCAAGTCGCGACTCATCAATAATTCGCCTTTAGTGCCGAGTCGAGCTTGATGATTGTCTGATTGAAAAACAAAGATCAGTTACAACATTTATCTATGAAATCATGTAGCGATACATACCATTAGAAATCACTCCTTCTTTCAATAAGTTTCGTATAGCTGTAGCTTGCATGATCTCTGTGACAATATAATTCCTATTCGAAAGATAGATTAGATTGTCGATTGTTGAAGAAAACGACAAGTCGTGTTGAATGTTATTACCAAAACTGCTCCAACTTATCCAGATCATTACTAGTTTCAATTAGTTTGATGAAATTTTCATAATTCGATGCCAGAGTGAACTTTCGTAATTTTTGTTCATGATTGATATTTAATTGTTCGATTTTCAACAGAATGTTCTCATTAAAATAGTCAGGTTCACAGATAAGATTAATTGTCGGTTTCAAAACTAGACAAAACCAAGTTAGTTGTCATTCTTATCACAAGAGAAAGATTCAACTTACCTCTAAACACGAGAATTTCGCGTAATAAATGCCGTATAGCCAATGTCGATGAATAGCTGGGCGGAAGAAGAAGAAGTAAGAGTGTTTCACTCATTGAACGTAGATATTCATTTTCACATTCATCAGTTGCTAAGTATGAATGCAAGCGAAATGGATATTCTTCACGATGTAAACTAGATGAATTCAAACAGATAACAGAAAATGCTTTCTTTGATGAGAAAATACGAACGTGGAACGACGAACTTGCTGATAATGATCAGCAAATTGCACAACAATATCATTTGAAATGACTTTCACCCAGTCGATGGACGCACAACGTGTTTTCAGATTTGATACAATCAAATGAATCTCTTGTCTAATCAGATGAGACTGAATCGAAAGTATCTCTCTCATGTATACGAAAATCCTCACTTCAATGTTTGACTGAATGTAATTTGTTCGTAGGAAACATGTTGATACCAAGGCAAAACAAGATCTTGTAAAACTAAATCGCATATCTGATTAATAATTGTATCTAAATCAATATTCGATTCATGCGTGACAACGAAACTTTCTTGGATATTTTCTTTCGAAGATATCTACGAGGAAAATTCAAATGGATTATTAGTCTTGTCTTTTCGCTTACCTGAATCTGTTCGATGATCCATTTGACTAAACTGCTATTGCGTGTTTTAATTTTTCGACCATGAACAATTGTATATGGCTTCGATTGATGAATAGTCAAGATAATACCATAAATGACACCTGGCAAAAAAGCGAATCATTGTTATATCGATGCTTTTAGGTATAGGGATACATACCAATGGAGATTAATGAAAGACAAATAGATAAAAGTGGATAATAAATAAAAAAATAAAGGAAGACACCCAGTAGTGGAATAAATACAATGGATTTTTTATATTTTAACCAAATCATCACTGGTCATCTATAATAAATACACATGTCCTTAGTTTCTTGAAAGATTGAGACAGGATGGACTGTGACTAGGTATCGACAAATGGCAAGTTTAAAATAATAAAAAAAAAAAACAAGTCTATTTTATAAGTTATAGTTTTGTTAAATATCACAAAAATGAGAAAATCCACAAAATGATATTCTAGGAATTTTGTTTTTTCTCTCGTTTCAAAGCATATTTCATCTTCTTCCATAATGCAATACACATCACTGGTAGACGATCTTCGGTGATATCCTTTTGCTGAATACGACGATATTGAAACCTAGAAATCGTAGAAAAATGTGTGTAACGACACGTTGAAGCTAAGATTCGTACCGAAGTATAGTTTGAACTTCATCAAAGCGTTTTTGCTGTAAATAGCTCAATGAAAGAAATAGATAAGATTTAACTAATGCGTTCGGATCACCAATTTCACTAGATAAATCAATTTGATTCTTCGATATCATTTCAGCTTCTTTAGCCTAAATAAATTCAGTTAGAGTTAACTCTTTTCAGTCCCATTAACTCATCTTATACCTACATGTCGAGCGGATTCTTCACCTAGACAGGAATGACCACCACCTAGCGTAGATAACCATGCCCATGATGACTCATAACGAACGCGCTTGACTAAAACATGTAACTGTATCGATGCCCTATTACGTGAAAACTTAAGAATATGAAGAACGCAGATCATGGAAATCTACCAGTAGCGATTGATTGCTTCGTCATAGTTGTTGATATAATCATGAACTTTGAGATAAATAACATTGTCACGACGAGAAATCAAACCGAAGACTGATTTGAGACGTTGTCGATTGAATTTCGTCTTTGAATGTGAGAGAAGATCGTGGAATATGTTCGCAAAGTAGACTGAAGATGAAAGTTCACGAAGAAGTGACGTGTAAAAGTACGAATTTGAAGAAATTTGACAATAAATTTCAGGTGAAGCATTATCATCGTTAATTTCAGATGGATGGTGTTTAAGCGAAAAACATATCGGCGAGTTTTTCTGACGAATTAGAATGAACATTGAAATAGAAGAGTGTGAAACTTTGTCAATTTTGTTCGGATAGTTCGTTGGTGGTTGACTTTGACGAAGCCCGAGTTTGAAAGATTGAAAGAAGAAGAGGAGAAGCGTTAAGTATCAAACAGGATCCTATAAACGATGGTTTCAAAAGAGGGCGTAAGGCAACAAATAGAATTCCTCTAAACATTGAGGACGTCATTTTCACTCGAGAACAATCGTGAAATATCTAAAAATAAGTTCTCAAACACGTGCAGAACATATTTGACAAACCACAGCTCATCTGGCAATTGTACAAACAAAAGCATGCTTTCTCTCATGAGATACTCTTCATGATTTTATATCAAATCTTAAAAACGATTTACAGGATGAATACGACGGTCACGAATCATATGTAATGCTTGATGTTTCCATCGATTCCGTTCATGATGTTGCCGTAAACAGTGGAATAATCGGAAGAGTTCCACACGAAACAGTTTGCCATGTAGTGTATGAAGGAAAAACATTCCGCTTGGGTTAATATATGAAATAACAACAGAAATTTGATAAGCAAACTGTTCTCTGTAGATTCGATCTGCTGATTTCGTTGTCGAACCCGTTAATGATAAGTACACTTTCACAATACTCAACGGAAACGTGCAAAGTACAATAGATGCTACTTGAAGCAGTAACATATATATGAGTTGTTTATCACGACGATCGATTTTATTCATTAGTCCATTGAGTGTACGTTGATGACTTCGTTTGATGTTCATAAGCATAGCTATACCAAAGCCTAGCATTAGAATTGAGGGTAAAAAGCTGTTTAAAACTAGATAACTAATCGTTTCAACAAAAGAACATGATTTATCCTTGATCAGGCATTCTCCTTTGGTTTGGACCGATGCTGCAAAACAGAAGAATACTTCGATGTATGCTAGTAAACTTAATATTAATATACAGAACGTGATCGAATAAGTTCGTTTGATATTCATCCATCGACGTCGTATGATGTTCAATGAGGACGAAAGATACCGATCGAAACAAGCTAATACAATGAGCCAAAGGGATGCTGATTGTGATACGTATATGACATAATAACGTATTACGCAGAATACTGGCGAATTGTACGTTAGATCGATATTGTAACCAATTAGACATCGTAGAAGTGTACCAAAAACAAGAATCAATAGATTGAAACAACTCGATAGTAATAGACATAAAACGCAGGCACTTCGACGAAGGTGTGTCCGACTAAAGACATATACACTTAACAAATTACCAACAATACCGAAAATAAAAAGAAACAATGTGCCATAACGGTTAATTCCTGTTATCACATTGCTATTCGATTGTAATGTCAGCGTACTGCCCATAACTAAAGTCAAAACAGCAACACTGACATGTAGATATGGGCGAACTTCAACATTTTGTTTTACATATAGTCAACATGTAGACTAAATCAATAGAAGAATGATCATAGATAGCATTCGTTCAAGATTTATAAGTCATTACTATGCAAAAGCTCAATATGTTCTAGATCACGTTCTTTCTAGCGAGCACTAAATATAATTCAAGTGCGTCACTGAATACGATCCTTAGTGATCGAAAGAATGCCACACGCACCGAATCACATGATCAATAGTCGTCATCTTGAGGGTGTGCGCTACTAAGAGCGAGATTTGTTTAGCGTCGTCTATCGATCAATCGAATGTGAATGACTTACTTGTAATGAGCGAGTCGACGAATTAGTAATTCAACGAAAATTAGCCTGCAAGAAAGTGTTACGGGCACAAGCCGATGTGTTAGTCACTTTTCGCTTTCTTCATACAACTATAATATATAATAGAGAAAGTAAACATTCGAACATTAAAGAGAGGAATTTCACTTCGCGAAGATGTTTCTTACATCTTCGAACGCATACTTTTGTGATTCGTATTCATGCTCGTTTGCAAGACAAACTATCCAAAGTTCATCGGTGATTGTCCTCGAAGGTGCAAATTCAGGAGAATCAACAACAGAAATAGCGAAAGGTGATATTAATTCTGTTTCCAAGACGGAATTATCGAAACTATTTACTAAACCAACAACGCAACATGAGCTACGCCATTATCCATCGTTATCCTCACAAAGTCATTCACCATCGCCCGATCAACAAATCACAATACCTTCAGGTAAGAAGGCAAAAAGGAGAGCAAAGCGACGATCACAACGACAAAGACTTATCCAAGAAAAAGAATTAATCTTTAAACAACAATCACTATTACTATCAGCCGCGAAATCACAATATCGTGAAGGGATGACGTTAGGTGAACTACATGAGGAATATTCAAGTGAGAAGCCTTATCAGAATTGGAAACCATTATCGTTTGATCAATCTTTTGAACTCTGTCAATATGCATGGGATAAATACCACAAAAAATGATTAACATTCTGATATTTTCTCCAAGTGTCATTTTCCTCTTATCTATAATAAAACTATTAACTTGCTATTGGAATTACCAATTCAATTCTGAAAAAGGCTCTGTGAGAGATGGGTGAGGCGTACACCCACCCGGCACCATCAACGATCAAATAAACATCGTGCAAACAGATATTGCATTTTTGCGAGCTAATACAATGGGAAGCGGCTGGTGTTATTCACGTATCACTTGATCACCGGACTAGGAAAAAGGAAAAAGACGGTAGACGTCGCTTGATAATGATATGATCTCATTGCAGAGACAAATTGAACGAATAGGGATAATTTCTTTTGTGCTCTTTCTCTTTCTTTCTGATGTCAATGAAAACAGACGGGTGTCGACATAAAAAGTTTTAGGATATGCGGTATCATTTTCGTCGACTCATCTACTTTCTAATAGCTTTACCGATTTCCGTTATTCTTATTGATCATATCTACAATTCCAATATTCCATCAGTTCAATCTCGATCTCCATTCATAGTATGTTGTTATGTTATTTTACTAAAATCTACATATCATTCTTAGACAATTTTTCATAGAAATCAGACCTATCGTATACTTTCGCCGTCTTATCATTATAATTCCCGTGAATCATATTTGAACTTTGCTTTCTTCAATGTTGAACAACGTAATCGAGTTCTCTACATCGATTATCTATATGGTATGAAATCTAAAACCACTTAACTCAAACGAGAATACACATGTTAAGATTTTAGATGTACCTGTTTCATCTCAATGGCAATCAAAAGGTCATCTATATCCAATTCAAATAGCGCAGTTCGGTCTGAGTCACTGGAGTCGATTCAGACTTCAATCTCAGATCAATCAACAGAACATCTATCAATTTCAACACCTACAACCAAGTAAACCGTCGAAGAAACAATATGTCAAAAATGCTCTCCTTTGTTTTGCTGTAGATAAAGATAATCAATGTTCATCATGGCATCAATTACCGAAAGAAATTCCTGTTTTACAAACATACATTCAATTTACGATACCGTTGAACAGTTCTCTACATTTTCATTTTATGAACAATAACATTGAACTTGTGTATTCGTCACAGTTAAATCGTGATATAGATATTTCATCGAAAATTATTATTCCGTTAGCGGGTTCTCCTCGTCAAGTCCGTCGACATATGCTCACTGATATTAAAAAGTTGAGCAGAAGATCTCTTGTTGATAAAAATGATTTAATCCAGTTACAATTCTGTGGTGAATCTGATTCAATCATCGATCAATTGATAATTGGCAATCAAACTTTGTACGATCAGCAAGCGTTCTATTCAGCAGCACAGTGGTTATTGAACACTCAAGATATGATATCCGGCTGTTGGTTTATTCATGTTCAACGAAATTTTGGCCAACAATATCGTCTACGAGATCCTTGGTGTTCCGCAATGGCACAGGGTTGAATCTTTTTCGAATAGAAGTTGTGAAAACGTCTTTCTTGTTTTGAACATTTCAGGTCAAGCAGCGTCTTTACTTGTTCGCCTCTATGCACTCACAAATAACTCGGAACATTTGCTTGCCATTCGTCGAGCAATGCGACCTTTGTGGTCATCGAACATCAGTCGAGCTTATTTTAATGATCAGTATCTATGGTTAGAAGAATATCCTCTCGAGCCACCAGCCAAGGGTCTCTTTGTTCTCAATGGATGTTTATATGCTTTACTTGGCATCATCGATGCCAATACAGTCGATCGTCAACCTCATCTGGATAAACTAATCGATGAAATAACACATTCAATAGCTCATATGCTTCCACACTATGTCCATCCGAAAATTTCTAATTGGTCAGTATATGATCTAAGCCATTTGACGATGAAAAACAAGTTTAATGCTGCCTCATATTCGTATCATCTTGTACATATTACCTTACTGCAATGTTTAAGTAAGATATTGAAGGAGACGCATCCTTCTGTTTCACAAGTATTTCATTTCTATGCTCAGCGATTTATGACAGCTATTTCGTAAAAGAAAATCAAGATTCCAAAATGGTATTTCATTGTTCATCGGATTTATAAATAGGATAATAATAAATGACAACGAAATCTTTCGCTTTCTCTTCATTACGAACCAGACCGAAGCCTACATATCGACAATCAGGATTCAGAATTGGTGTATAACGTTTCTAAAGCAAACAAAGAAATACGATGATTCGCATTGGCTGCAATGAACAATTGTTTACTTTAACTGTTTGATCCGTTTTCATATCGTTGGCAAGTTCATCGTGAATGTATTCCGTAATATCCGAACCACTTCGAACCGGTGATTGACAAGCCAGGACTCTATAGCGAAAAATAAAATACAATGGAAGTCGGAAATTCACTATACGTTTCGCCAATCGGTTCGTTATGGAAAATGAGAATGGTTGGATCACTCGTGTCGAGTTGATCTCGCATGGATAATTCCATTGCTCGTTGCAGTGCTCGGCTAGTGAGTTCATCAGAAAGTTTTAATGCAGAAAATCCTAATTGAAAACGATATTGATTTATTGCTGTGAGATATTGTACAGCAATGTCATCCGAGATCTTCTCTGGAGAATGCGAGTTTGTAGTGATCTCATGGCTGAACTGAGTGTTTGCAGGAGGATGAAAAACTCTTGCTTTTCGATTGCAACAAATCCGACGACAAGAAAGAAACTGCTTCAACATACATTCTATTTAAAAGAAAAGAATTTCGAGCGCTCAATACTTGTTGTAAATGTATAGTCAGTTATATTTATACTAGGAAAAACAACGTGAATAAATAATAAGATAGAATAGATTTCGAGTTTAAACAAACACATCGGGCACAAAATATGTATGTATCACATTTAGAACATTACAGACGATATCGAGACTGGTTATTGTCGTATGAATATTGAATTTTCGTGAAACTTTAATGAGTAAATTTGTGCACAATATTTTTCGTAGATATCTTCTCCTAAGATTTCGATCATTCGTTGTTTAATCTCCGTATCACTGACATGGTCTAAGATGTCGAGGACTTGTTTTAATTGTTTCGACGACATTTCTTTTAAACAGTTTTCTCTAAGTGCATCACGTCTTTCTTCTAGTTTACTTGTTAACATCATTGTCCGATCGAACATCGAAGGAACCTCAGCCGAAGAAGACACGACAGATGCTGACACAGAAGGCATAGCTGGTTGACGTATAGTTGCATCCAATTGACTCAGAAAATCATTAATATCTCGTTTTGCATTACGTTCTTGTTCGACAATATCAATTTGGCTATCGTTTGATATGGAACGATCGTAGACTGGCGGAGTTTTAGGTTGAACATTCTCCTCATCATGTGTACTCGATGCTGAAGTACAACGTTGTTCACGGCGTCGTTCACGAGCACTGAGATGTGTACGAGGTATACTATTGTCTGCAAATGGATGTGACTAATATCATTGTTGAAAATTACATGAAACTATGCTTACCATCGATGGATTGTCCGTCACCGGGCGATGAAGAAACTCGTTTGAAGCGTGCGAGCGTATCATTTTCTCGTATCTTTGCTATAAATGCGTTATTGATCAATTTTGGTGACTTTTCTTCGTCATCGACTGTAATGGCAACTGCTGATGGTGGAAGTAGCGGAGATTTCGGTGGTTCGTCGTTGGTAGCAACTCCTTTTTGCTTTAAACGTCGAACCCGTGATTGACTCAATGCTGGAAGTGGTGATTTCGCCTTTTCGTTAGAATTCTCTTCCAAAGAAGCTAGATGTGAAGCACGTGGCTTAGGTTCAGGTGGTACCGATTGATGACGGTCATCATTAGCTTGCGATGAATTACCCAGTAAGGACGATTGAGACGACTAGTTAGGAAGAAAAGATTACAATTATTCTTATTTGATGAAACAATACATAATTATAACTGCAGAAAAATCTATCGATAATTCGAACAAATCTCTTCTCGCTCAACTAAAGTTAAGTTTTACCCTATACCGGCTTTGTTATATATGGCTGACAACGTTCTCGTGTTTTATTGTACAATGTGACGATATGTTGTTTGATGTATGGATGTTGTAAGATTTGTTTCGCACTTGGTCGATTAGCTGCATTCTTATCTAGCATAAGATTAATTAAGTCAAGTAAAGCTTGACTATAAACATCAGCAGATGGCAATGGTGGCGTTTGCCCTCGAACTACTTTCAATACAAGTGAACTGATATCACCTGCTTTGAAAGCATGTTCTAATGTTGCCATTTCGTAAACGCAACAACCGAGCGCCCATATATCTGATTTCTGACCATAGGGTTGATTGGAAAAGATTTCTGGACTCATGTAATATCTAGAGAAGTCTATTTTTCAGCAACAGTTATCTCAATGGTAATACATACGGTGTGCCGATAACAGTTGTAGCTAAATCTGCTCCATTATTATCGAGTATTTTTGCAATACCTAAGTCGCCGACTTTGACAATTTCGAGCTTGGTTAAAAAGATGTTTTGCGTTTTCAAATCCCGATGTAATATCGATCGCTCATGCATGTATTGCAGTGCCAGTGTTATTTGAATAAACCATTCGATAATTTGTGCTTCATCTAGCAATTGTTTTTTCCGATATTTCAATTTTGTATAGAGATCACCGCCTTCACAGAATGCCATGACAATATTCAGATAACGATCGCGTGAACGAAATGATTCAATATACGACACAATATTCGGATGTTTGAGAGAAGACAACAGTTGTGCTTCGCGTTCAGCAGCAGCGAGTTCGTTTTTTTCATCATTCGAACGAGCGACGCCAACACGTTTAAGTACACATCGACGAGGCTTACTCTTACTACCAACACTTGATTCGAGTGGAGAAACAAGCCAGACTTCGCCATAACTGCCACGGCCTAGGACTTTGATTGATTTGTAACGATCTTTGACTAGAATAAGCTCATTATCGGATTCTTTTGACGTGACTGTATTGCTTTCAGCCATATTTTCTGGCGAATAAGCGTACGCATGTAGCAAATGTTAGAAATGTTACCATTACTAATAAATTATTCAAAAGAGGACTACCCTAGTAACAGGTCATCACTTCGTGACTCCATGTGAAATATCAAGCTACTCAAAGTTCGTCCACACTTTTTATAACTCGTTCACTTTGATTCCCTTCTTATGATTTTATCTTATTTTATGTTTATACAGATCATTTGGCAGATGACGCCACGCAGCATACATCATGATTTTCCTTTTATTTTCTATGGCTTACAGAGTTCAACAAATTTGTAAAAGGCAGAAGCTAATAATCAACTTTTCCTATATAAGATAATTACTATGATTGCTAGAGGAAGCCTATGCTACCATTGGAGTATGATTATAAGTGACGCAAATCGATACGGGGTTTTTCGTTTTGAATCCCTTTCTTACTTAATAATCAGAGCGCGTGATCGGTTGAATAACTTTGACGTCATCAGTAGGCTATATTTTAATTGTGTCCCTGTTAACACAATATCTTCGTACATAAGGACATGTGAATAATTCCAAACGTTCAGTGATACATCATGACAAAAAAGATGAAGGTAGACAAGCTTCAGCACCAAGATCAATGTGATCAATCTGCCACACAAACACTGCATCAACCAAAGAAACTGTTTGTTAATTATCCGTATCCAATTTTGAACGAGCTCAATAGAGCTTACACGGAACAACAGGAACGAACTCATCATTCTCATGATTTAGCGTCGCTTCGTTGGTACAAAGATTGTTTTCACAAAGCTTTCAGCGTATTACACGGTCTCAGTCGAGACGATTCGCCAAGTGCGCTATTAGAAAAATCGCTGAAGCAGTCACATTTAAACAAACGCATCTCGAAAAACATCGTCAATGATCTACAGAAGAAAACGAAACCAACTCGTGTACGACGCATACTAGCTAGTTCGATGACACCGCCGCCAAAAGACGAAAAAGACCAAAATCAACGATGCGTAAGAGTTCTCAAATCAGTCGATTTCGATCAGCAACCAAACGACAATTGAAGATTAACTTATTCATAATGTATTTATTCTGTTTTTCTCTTACGAGTAAATATCAATTTTTTCCAAATAAATCGTATAAAGATAATTAGCATAAAAATAAACAAAAGAAAACAAATGAAGATATCGACAGAGTGTTTCTCTAACCAATTCATCTGACTGTCATAAGGCAAGAGCTGCTTTTCCATATCACGTCCGTATTTACTCATATATTCAATAATGTTTTGAGCACGCTGTAGACCATTTCCATTGAGACGAAATGCATCAGCGATTCGTCGTGTATTTCGACGATAAATCTCCGGATGATTCAGAATATGATGAATCTTATCAATCAATTCATCGGATGTAAAATGATTTTTATCAATGTACAAGCTCATTTGTAATTCGACGCTACGTTTGGCGACTTGATGCTGATCGAGAAAGAGAGGAAAGGCAACTTGTGGGATGCCAAACATGATTGACTCATGCATCGAACTCATTCCACAATGATTGATGTAAATCGAACGTTCTTGTTGCATGGCAGCATGTGATAAGATCGTTTTCTGAGGTACAAAACCTTCGAGACGGAAACGACTATCATTGCTTTGTAGAATATTACCTCGTGCCCACAAAACATGAATTTGTGAGGCATACTTGGTTGCGATTAACTTATGAAATGCCGAAATAAGTTTATTAGACTGTTCTTGAGTGAGCATACCAATAGAACCCAGACTGATGTAGATCAGTGTGTCGTTGTTTTGGACAATATTATCTAGCCATGCAAGTAGGTTCGACTCGATTGGTTGTAAACGTTGTGAATAAGAAAATGGACCTAAGAAATGAATGGCTGGATTGATTGTAGACCGTGGTATTTCAAAAGGTGGTGCTGTGTTAACGAACACACTGAGATAATGTTTTTTTATCAAATATTCATAATTGAAATCACGCTGGTAAACTTGAGAAAAGATGAAATAACTTTGATATGGTAAGATGATTGAACGATAGAAAAATAATTGTAAACGACCAAGAAATGTTGTTGGTGAATACGGTACAATATAAGATGGAGTATGCCATTGGGGTGTCATACTAGGCAGATTGAGAGCATCGACAAGAAATGGACAAACAACAATGGCTGGTACCGAACCGAGTTCTTCGGCTAAATCAATGGCCCATAGCATATTTAAGTCGAAAATAATCACGCGAGGCTTGGAACGTTTTTGTCGAAGAATAGGTAATAAGGTTTCATAGGCAGCACGATTGAAACTGTGAAAAAGATCAGCCATACGAGATATAAACGTGAGATAATTTCCTATATGTTGAGAATCCATTAAAGAGAACTGATGCATATCGTCGAGAGTCACATCATGAGCAACACCACCATCGAGATAATTAAGTCCTTCGTCGGTTATCCATGACGAAACATTGACATCGGCATACGATGGTACACTCACAAGTATTTCCATGTTTTTATCAGTTCCACTGAATGCTAGCTGTTTGGCTAACTCGAGAACTGGATTTAAATGGCCACGTTCAGGTGGAGCAATAAACAAAATGTAGTTCTCCGCTAAACGAGAGGTTTTCATTACAAATAGCATTGTAGTTCGTTTATAGAAAAGCAAACCAAAACGCAATACGTCACATACCTTCTTTATAACCATTTACTTGAAAGAAAAGCAATGCGAATGATGACAAGAGTAGAAATCCCAAAATACGTATAACGTTCATCATTTTCTCATCCTCAACATCTGGAATAAGACACATTTGATAAGAAGAATTGTTTAGTAGATGTATATAATTCAATTTTATTTTAATGAATATAAGATGTCATTGGATTAGAAAATTTGATCAACAAGACACAAAAATACGCACTACGTTACGAAATAAGACGTATATAGCTAACAAAAGGAATACAAGCAGATAGACAACAAAATAGATAAACATATGCTAGAATTATTATCATAATTGCCCGGGAGGTGGATAAATAGGTTTTCGTTTGATCATTGTTAGCTGTCTTTCCTTACTCTTGCTCTTCTTCACCTTCCAAGCCTTCGCCCTCTTCTAAAAAAAACACAATACATTGTACAACCAATTCTCACATGCTCTCCAAACAACCGCTACTCACCTTCAGCTGTTGCATCTTGATATTGTTGGTATTCGCTAACCAAATCATTCATGTTAGATTCAGCTTCAGTGAATTCCTATC